CGACCCCTCCTGGACCGACGGTGGCTGAGCCATCTCGCCGACAGGCGGGTTGTTGTAATGAGCGATCTGCTCCGGGGAGAGCTGCTCGGTGAACTCATCCCAGCCGGGAGGAACGTCCAAGCCTGAGTCCAGTATGACACTCGGCGGTTGTTGCGGGATGCCCCACATGCCTGAGTTGGTATATTGACCAATGTAGTTCATGAAAGGAGCGACCACATATTGGTTAACAGCCGCCTTCATTTGCTGCCACTTAGTGCGCATCGGCAGGTCAAGCGGACCATTGCGACGCGGTATAATTTCGCCTGTCTTAGTGCGGAAACCTCCAGCGTTATCGGGTACGATCTCACCGGACTTAATCGCATTCTGACAATCAGGGCAATTGTTCATGAAGTGTCCGACCTCGCCACACCAGTTGCAAGTATATTGAGGTCGAGGGGGACCGCGCTGTCCGCCACCATAATTATTTTGGGGTCGGTTGAACGATCCAGGGTAGTTGGGTCGGAACCCACCGCCTTGCGGGGCGGCGCTGTTTGTGTTGAGCGACAGCTGGTTGGTGAGGCGCTGAATCGTCTCTTGGATCATCGCGAAGTTCTGATCGGACTTGGTACGTCCTTGAGCGAGCTCGGTATGAACTTCGGACTGTAGACTACGTATAGCGGTCTTAGTTTCCTTTTCGCCTTGGCTAGCGCGCTCAGCAAATTCGTGGAAATCCTGCTCGAGTTTAACTAAGCGAGATTCACTGTCGCCCGAGTAGGATACAGCGCGCGAGGCGGAGGCCGCGGAGGTCTGGATAGACGCGACGGGATAAGCGTCGCCAATGGCGTTCTGAGCTGCAGTGAAACCGCGGCGCCAGACTTCGCGCATAGTGGCAACAATATCTTCCCACCGGTAACCTCCTTCGACGATGGATGTGTTGGTCGGCCGTTCCGGAGGATTTGCGTTTTCCTTGCCGGGTACCTCAAGACTGCTCGACTTGCCGACCAACATCATGTCGAGGGTCGCAAGGAACTGAGGCGTGCAGACAGCGGCGAGGCGCGAGCAGACTTCAAAATTCGAAATCTTGTAGTTGCTACGGCCGAGTTTGAGAATACACGGAGCGAAGCGGCGAAGGAACACGTTTCCGCGAGTCCCATCCTGCTCGCCAAGTCCGCGGAACTCGCTACAGATTTGGCTGAGCTCTGCAAGCGTTCCGGACTGCTGACCCGATATTTCAGGGTACTGTTCCAGGATCGCTTTAACAAAGTCCTCCCATGGTTTGTTTTTGAATGCGAGCGCCAGCTCCTCCCACAAGATGCGCGTAGCAGTCTTTTTAGCGTGGAGAGGCGCCTTAGCGATTTTGTCCGCGTCGGACGTGATCCCGTGATCTTTGAGGTATGTATCAAGATCTCGTAGGAACAAAGGCAAGCCACTCATATCATCCTCGTCGAAGCGAGGGGCGTCAGACGCCGTATGAGAGTAGCGAGCGGTAGACATTGGTTTGGGAATAGAAGTAGAAGTCGAAGTCGGAATAGAAGGAACGGGACGGGATATACGAGTCGGATTCTGAGTCGGAATGATTCTGGAAGCTGGAGTCGGAGTCGGTTCTTCGGTCGAGGCTGGTTCGGTACGGTCGCGAGTCGGAAATAATTCAGAGAGAGACGGAGTCGAATCGTCGGACAGAGAGCTCAAGGGGGATGAAGCGCGTGGACCCTGTGTCGCGGCCGGTTCGGGCTCGATGGAAAGACGAGAGAATGAAGCAGAGAGGTCGTTGGCGACCGAGAGAGAAGTAGGAGAAGGAGGGTTCGGTTCTGTGTCCTCAGGGAAAGCACCTGGTAAGGTGTCGTCCGCTTTGGATGTTTCTACCGGACGTTGGGTAACGGATTTCCGGGGTGATGCTGATCGCGATGTGCGACTGGCTTGTTCCGCTAGACGCGCCCGCTCTTTGGCCTTTCTCTTGGATCGCTCGGATGTAGAGCTATCCCAGTCCGGTCTTAGAGCCGAGAGGCTGGATTTTTGTCCAGGAGCCGTCGTGACGGTACCCGAAAACACAAGTAGAATTGGAGAGGGCCTTAATATGACTCTCGAAGTTCGCTCAGCAGCTAGTAATTTGCTGGCTAACACAGAAATATCCCCTCGCGGTGGGCTCCAGATGATGGGATCGTACGCTCACGAAAGACGCGAAGTACAGTCTAGCTAGACGATCCACACAACCAAACACCAACAACCACGATAGCAATGAACACGCTAGACTGGAGGCGCTACGAGAGCGGGCGAGTCCGAGTATTTATATTACTAGGGGATAGATTGCGTTGTTTATGCCAGTTCCAGACGAGCTGGACTGAAGCGAGGAGTCGAGTGGGGCAATCGGACGTCTCGGCGTTCTTACGAGCGCTTTCGGGTTTGATTGAAGTTCACAAGGCGGTTTAATGCGCTCGGAAGTTCAGGCTTTTATGATGTGTAAAGTGCGGGTTAACGCGGTTGTGTTTATTTGGTGTGGTGTGTCGGTACTAGGGCTTCTCTGCGCGGGGCGGGAAAAGTCCCCGAATCGTATGTAGGTCTCGGTATATAACTTGAACGCGTCGTCTCGGCCGTCCAGACCGCGCGGTAACACACAATGCCTATCTCTGAGTCAAAATCCAACTATAACGCCTATCCGCGCGTTCTCCTGTCCGAATAATCGCGCAATGACTGCGGTTCCTGGCGGTAGAGCGGTTGACTGGTCGGGTATCCTCCTGCGCCGCGATGCCGGGCGCGATTCCACACTTGTTGATGTTTACCAAGGCAAGGCCGGCCTGGTTTCCACCCGTTCCCTTGTGCGCGACGCGGCTCAGAGGCCTGCGCGGCGGGGAGCGTACAGCCTAGACTGTCGATACGCGGGGAGTGAAGCCCTTGCCGGGGCGGACAGCGCTTGGCGGCGCCGACGCTCGGTTCGGAGTTCAACTCGGCGATGTCCGAGATCACGAGCTCGGACCCGAAGTTCCGGTCTCGGACCCGAAGTCACGTGTAGTCACGTTGATGGTTCGAGTTCCGCTTGCGCGGTGCTCTGCGTGTCTCCGCATGACGGCGAGCAGCAGGAAGGCTTGTCCGAGCCCCAACAATAATCTAGATTCTCTTGACACAGCGGGGCAAGAGGACTGAAGGCTTGAAGCGCGTATAGCGCGGCTACTTGATTAAGTAGGGCCCGCCAAAGGACTCGCAGGATGTCATCGACGACGCGCAGACTCGTGATCAGGCGCCGAAGAGCTCGCTGCTATCCTTGGTCAGTCATTGCAGACGGATAATGCTGCGGACTAGTTGTATTGAAGGTTAGGAAGCGTGGCGCTCCTGGTTTTCTATGTCATAAAATACCCCCGACGCGCCCGTTGTACAGTCGCGACGTCGGTGCAGTATATACGGATCCGCCCATACAATCTAGACCAAGTCGACTATATATCGCTTGTTTATGTATGTTTTTCCGCGTTTTTCAGCCGCAGGGCGTATCACGCCCTTAACACTCGCACCTTCTGCGCATCTCGCGCTTATCACGTCTCTCATTTCTCTCGTCCCATCTGTGCAATGTCTATGTTCCCTGTAAGTTTGTACGACGGGGAGGCGAAGATGAAGGTCGCTAGACGAAACAAAGGGCCCGGATACCTCAAGCAGGCGGGAAGGACACGGGATAACGGAGACATTCCTGGCAGGTATGGCGCGACACCTTGAGCGAGGGGCGGTCACCCGTCGTGCTGCGAGTTGGCACTGCAGGCCCGGGTAAAGCCGAGACGGCAGACCCAGAAATTCGGATAATACAGAGAAAACCTAGGGCTTTTTTGAGTGGTCTGGGCCGCGGTCTTGTCACGCAAAAACGATGCGATCAGAATCTCGTTGTGAGATCTCACTCCCGTGGTAAATCAAATGCATCAATCCCATACTGTCAGATTTCTGTATCCACCACTACTAGTTCCAGACTAGTGTTGCCGGCGGGCTGGGCTGCCCCACCGGGTGGGGTGGGGCGGGCTCGAGCCCACCTTCCCGAAAAAGCAGGCGGGTTGCAGCCCACCCCCGAGCCCGTTGCCACGCGAGGCGCCGGCCAGCACGTGCGGCGGACCATGCATCCACGACCACCCACAGGTCGCATATCGCGTATAAGCTCTCTGCTCACTTCCCCATGAGAGCCAAATTGTGCTGCTGATATCCAAGAGCAGCGAGAAGCCCATCCCTCATACTCTCCCTGGCTTCCTTCGCGTTTCTCGTTGAGCAAGCCAAGGTACGGCAAACGCCGATGTGTGTGGGCGCAGCCCGTAATTTCAAATATAGGTGGGTTAGGCCGGGTCTGAACCCAACCCAACCCCCTTGCGCATTTTTGATCGTATTGACCCCACCCCACCCCCAACCTCGACCGTCGGCAACACTAATTCCAGACGCTTCATAAGAGTGAGTCTGCCCAGGATTTTACAGCGCTTTTTCAAATTCAAAAGCCATTATATTTTGGTGGAAGTTCTTTGGGATCGCCCGAAATCTTTGACCATGTTGGTAGAAATTACTCTGGACGCGCGAATCGCCCGTGACGTCACAGCCTCGCTCGCTCTCCGGCGGGACGACTGACACGCTTCTGCTCTTCCAAACCTCACCACGGGATGCGATACGGTCGTCTCCAGCCCACCTGCCAAATCGATGAGGTCTGACGCTGCCAGCAGCGGGTGTAGAGCATGGGCAGCGTGGAGACCCGTGCCAGAACTTGCCGCAAAGATTGTAAACTCGTCGTAGAAATCATTGCTCTTGTTACAAGAAGTTCGTGAAAAAACATTGCTTTCCGGTTTGTTTTTCGTGTAAATTCCTAGGCAGACTCACTCTATAAAGCTGAATGGAATCCGCTCCGTGGACGTCGGGTCGGCCGAGGCTAAGCAATGTCGTAGAGCCACACTTTTTTCCAACCATGCTACTAAAATGTTGATATCGCACAAGTCATTTTTCAGTCCAGAGCTTTTACAAAAGGCATCAAGACGGGCGACACCTTCGCTACTGTCCTTCCACCACTCGAGTGTCTCCCATTTGGTTCAATTGCTTCCGCCGCCTCTGCCGTGGCTCCGGACCTTATCTAATCTCTCGATCAGCGACATGACTCTAGCCCCTCCTCACGGATGCTAAATTCGCTACTCATCCCTTACCCTCTCCCGTCACCACCCCCTTCCCCCTCCATCATGAAGGTTATCGTCATCGGCGCAGGTATCGGGGGACTTGCGGCTTCCATCGCACTTCAGCAAGACGGCCACGAGACCGTGGTGTACGAGCGCGTTACCGAGCTGCGGCCAGTAGGCGCTGCAATCTCGGTTTGGTCGAACGGTGTGAAGGTGCTGGCAAAGTATGGCCTGCTCGACCGCGTCAAGCGGGTCTCGGGGCTGATGGAGCGCATGGCCTATCGGCAATGGGACAATGGGGACGTCTACTGCGACTTTGATCTCAATCCCCTCTACGAGGAGGTGCGTGATCGGTTGACTGCATGCGAGCTTCCGCTCACATAGCCCTCAGGCGAAGATGCGCGCCTACCCCATCGCGCGATCCGAGCTGCAGGCGATGCTATTGGACGCCAACAAGCCCGCGCCGGTGCACCTCGCGAAGGCCGCCGTTTCGTACGAAACGACCCCGGACGGCGTGAGGGTCCACTTCCACGACGGGACGTCTGACACGGGCGACTTTCTCGTCATCTCGGACGGCACGCACTCGAAGCTGCGCAACCAGATTGCAGGTACCAGCATCGTGCGCGACTACGTCGGATACGTCAACTTCAACGGGGCGATTGAGAAGGCGAAGCTCGGTGTACGTCTTAGGACCCTGTTCTACACTCAGGTCCCTTCATCTAATCGAACAACCTGGTCCCACAGCACCTCCTACCCGCTGATACCTGGACCCAATTTGTCGGCGAAGGCAAGCGCGTGTCCTTCATGCCCATGTCCGACACCCATTTCTACTTCTTCCTCGATGTAACTACACCCCCTGGCACCACCCCCACGGACCCCGCGCAATTCAAGCCCTACCTCGCCGAGTACTTCAATGGCTGGGCACAGGCCGTACAGACGCTCATCACCGAGATGGACGTGAGCCGCGTGGCGCGCGTGGAGATCCACGACACGCAGAGGCTGCCGACGCTAGTGGATCGGGAGGGCGGGAGGGCGTTGCTCATCGGTGATGCGGCACACGCGACGTGCCCGGATATTGGGCAGGGAGGGTGTCAGGCATTGGAGGACACCTTTGTTGTGCAGCGATTGCTAAGGAAGCATGGTATCACTGGGACCGCGCCGCCTCCGACGACGGAGCAGCTCCGCAAGGTGCTTGACGACTACGACGCAGCGCGTGGGGATAGGACAGCTATCCTGGTTCAGCGCGCGCGCCAGCGATCGAATATCACGCACCGCCTCGGGGATCCGAAAGAAACGGATGAGTGGTATGAGGAGTTGAAGCGGGAAGATGGGAAGGGGATTATTAATGGGATTCTGAAGACAGTCTTTAGCGCGCCGAAGGAGTTGGATGAGTAAATTAGTAGCTAACACGCGGCTTACTACTAACACGCACCCTACGCCACGTCTACAAGTAGACAGAGCCAGATACGATCTGATTTCGGTCTTATGGGGAGGCTGACTTGTTTAACTGTTTGCATGCAAGCAGGCATGTAAGAGAGAGGCTCCTTTGCTGCGACAGTCCTCTGATGAACGTGGAAAGTGAACATGCAGCGACCAAAGTTCCGCTTGCTGAGTTGGCGCGACATGTGACTGCCATGTGGTGGTCACCTGATGTCGTTGACGCCTTGTGTCGGCATCTTCCGCGCCGCCACTCGATTTCCCTTCAGTTCACTCCGTTCACCATCGAGCCTCGTCTTTACCACTCCAGCAAAGATCCTTCGTCTTCCTCGCGTCGCAGCTTACTCGTGGCAAAGCCCGTACTCCTCCTCGATAGCCGCCGCCACCGCCCTTCAAGCCAACTCGCCACTCACCGCGATGTCTGCGTATTCGGACTTCATCATCCCCTGCTCGACAAAGGAGTTCTACGGGTTGTACTTGCGAGGATGGGTACGTGTGCCCGACGATGTCATTGACCGCGTCCTCGACTGGATGGTCAGCGACGCGACGTGGTCGCTCGGGGGCAACGTCTTCGCCGCCTTTCCCGGCGCGCAGTGCTTTGGCAAGGACACGTCACTCGACGAGATCTGGAACGGAATGAAGCAGTTGTTCACCGATATTGTCGACGCTGCGGAGACTGTGTTGCCGGAGAACTTCAAGTCGAGCGAGAGGACTGCGGTGTTCGAGTGCAACCGGGAGAGCCAGACGTTCGCGCACAATGATAGGAACGGGCCAAATCGTCTGGATGGCTATACCGTGTTGAAGGACAAGAGCCCGCACGAGGGGGTTGCGGGCGCGGCGATCGACAGCGAGATCCTCGGCAAAGACAAAAGCGAGTGGGCCTCGGACATAGGGATCTCGGCGTTTTGGAACGATGGCGACGACAAAGCTGAGGTGCGTATGTCCTTCTGTCGGTGGGGAAAATGAGAGCTAACGTGTCATGTAGAATGAGATTCAGAGTATCGGTGTGGCCAGCCATATCTTGAATTATGACCGCCGCCGCGTGTCCCATGTCGCCATAACCATTGAGAACACGAAAGCGCGCCTCTGGTACCACAACCGATCATACTCCGCGGTGACGCCTACGTTCGATATCAACGAGGTGCGCATTAGTTGAGCGACGTTGACGATGATTGCTGACCTGCATCATAGAACCCCGAAGAGCTCATTCAATTCGTCCTCTTCGCCACCTATGCAGACACACACCAACTCGGCCTCGATCCCGGCATCGCGCGCGTCGTCGACGCCAACGAGCAACTCCAATTTCAGTACAGCATCCGCCCGCGTCCCACCAGCGACGAGGTCGTCATCTATCAGACCACTGGCGTCCGCGCCGAATGCCCGGGCGACCTTTACGACAAGAATATCCTCGTCTGCACAGCCAAGCCCGCAGATCGTTTGGGCGACGGCCTCTCCATCCGCTCCGACGAGCCAGAGTACGTCCTCCGCGACACGCACCTAACACCTACGCGGCCGAGCGAGTTGACGGTGCAGCGTGAGTTGATGGAGGCAGTGGACCTGATCGCGGAGAGCGACGAGGAGGTCGAGTCGATGAGGAGGATGCTGGTGAACATTGTGGCGGACGTAGCGGCACCGTTCAACGTGCAACATAGGCTACCGACGGGGACGGTCATGAAGAAGCTGAGGCGGGAGAGGTGGTTGACGGTGTACTCGGAGCGGTGCAAGGATTTGTACGAGGTCGAGGACCCGGTGTTGTACTTTCGGGCGCTGGCGGAGGTCATGCGCTGTGAGTGCTTCCCTATCCCTTGCGCTACGTGTTGCTGACAATCTTCGCAGTCCTGCACCTTTTGTTCCGCACTGGTCGTATCCACCACGACATCAGCCCGGGCAATATCCTGGTGTATCGGGATCCGTTGACTCTGCAATGGGTCGTCAAGGTTATCGACTTTGAATTCATGAAGCGCTACGACGAGCATGGTCCCTGGCATGGGCAGACGGTAAGTGAAGGCGGGTTTGCGTAAGAGTAGCGACTCACATATCATCTGACAGGGCACCGACTTCTACATGGCCATCGAGCTTCAGCGCGGCAAGCACATGTTCCTGCCTACCAATGCGCCCAAGTCCCTCCTCGCAGCCAACCACTTCTGTGCCAACTTCAACCACGACATCGAGTCCGTCCTTTGGATGGCGCTCGAATTCGCCCTTCAGCACGTCGACCAGCGCGTCGTCTCCAACTACGAGCGCGGCCATGGGCCCGCCAACAAGCTGAAGGCGCAGTCTAACCTCAGCGAGAAGGTCTTCGTCGAGGTGGCCACGGGCTCTGACTTGCGCCGGAGGCTGATGCTGGGCGGCAAGTCGGAGTTGTTCACCCTGAGGATGTTCCTTGCCAATGCGTATGGCCTCGACTCGCCCATGGTGAAGCTGGTCGATATGATCAGGGCCATGGGCAATGCGCACCGTCATGCTCAGGCCTGGGATATCGACGAGGAGCTCGAGGCTGGGAAACCGAGGAACGAGGTCCGGCACAAGCGACTGGCGAAGGAGAACTTCGACGAGGACGTCTACCGCACGTTCGAGGAAGTCTTCGCTCGCATAAGCGAGTACTATGCGGAGAAGGAGGACCAGCTTGTGGAGCTTGACCGGGTGGACCTCGACGTGCTGAGAGGGGAGAAGGATGGAGAGGTCATCAAGGGCTCTGGCAAGCAGGGGGAGCCGCAGTCGGCGCCGTCAACGACTGACAGCGAGACGGAGGTCAAGCTCGAGCTCGTGGAAGATACACCGCCGCAGGAAATGGAGATGAAAGCCGAGCCAGTGGAGACCGCCTTAACGGAGGAACCGGAGGTGAAGGTCGAACTCGGAACGGACATCATGTTGGAGGGGCCGGATGTCAAGGTCGAGCTTGAGGAAGACACGTTGCCCGGGGAGATAGAGGTCAAGGCAGAGCCTGAAGAGGAGCCCCTACCAAAGGCGAGGATGGCCCCAACAGCGCTGAAGCGCCGAGCGACGGATGAGCTGGACGAGTCGATCGACACGAAGAGGCCGCGAGTGTCCTTGCCCAGGATTGAGGCGCTGGACATTCCGCTAGAAGCCTTCAGGGCTTACACGGAGGGACGAGCGAGGGAAACGCAAGTATTCGAAGGCGGGATGTTGCAAGGTATCGACGGACCGGAGGCGAATATGTTGCTGCCGATCGTCCGGCCTGCGATGGGAAAGCCGCGAGTCGTAGGGTGTGCATAGTTGCGGAAGGACATTCCATGAAGCTGTGGATTTTGAGTCAATGTACTTGTAGAGCTCTGATGACACTGTCACGTACAGCGAACGTGTAGCAGCCCGAGATCCCAAACTTTGTCCCCTTCGCGTCCGTGGCGCATGAAAAGAGTAGACATATCGCTGCTCCAGTGTTTGTGAGGCCTGCGGTTTCAACCTCATTTGCAATCCTGCAGCCAGCCGGGAAGTCCCGTTGAGGTCGAGGACGACGGATGCAAAGAGTCAATATATTCCTTTTTGGGTATCTCGTACGTCTTGTCTTGTTTTTGACCAGTGAACACCGTCCACGCGGCTTCCTCCACTTCACTTCACACAACAGCAGATACCCTTCACCTCCTACATTGTAAGACCCGGCCCTTACATGGTGAGGTGTACCATACACCGGCCATCAAGCTATCCAGAGGCATGCTGTAGATTTCGTGCAATAGCGACGAGCATGCAGATCTCGATGGCACTTGCGCTTCATTCTCGTCTTCGCACATCACACCTCACGCAACAAGTATGGGAGTCGTGCAGCGTTCCATTGACCTGACGCTACACTAGGGATGGCCTGGGGTAATTGATTTAACCCTGCACTGCGAGGTCTCGCATCGCGCTAGGGGGGTGAGGGCGAGCCCTCGGCTTGGGATTGCATAGGTAAGAGAAAAAGAGAAAAGGAAACTAGAGGAGACGGAGACGGAAACAAGACATAAGGGAGAAGAGACGAGACGGGAGGAAACAGAGACGAGATGCGAGTGCTTGAGCCAAGAGAAACAGGCCGCGCTCGGAAGGAAACCCGAGGCGCCTCAAGAAGGGAAAATGTAAAGCATAAGTGACCAGAGGGTCGAAGGTATGACAACGTCTTGAGGGGTTGGCTCAGCGAGGGCGAGAGCGGCGAATGTGAGCCACGCACCGATGGTTGTGGAGAGAAGTTGCTATCTACCAAAAGACTATCTACTGAAAGGGGTCGATCGTCCTTGAGCGCTGCACCAATGTCAGAGAGTGAAGGTACAGGGGAAAGGGTACTCACTTAGACCACGAGACTATAGGATATGATATAGACAGAAACTTGAAGAGAAGAGGAGGGGGCATATGGGAGGACTCCATTTTGAGTCTCGATCGGTATGGTTCGCGGCTGGCCGGATGGGGCACCGATAGCCTTGATTTGGTCAGCATCGGCGTCGAAGGTGACTACGACGATGCGACTCACTCTGCGAGTAGATAGCGCCAGAATTCCCGTGACCGCGGTTCGGGTGGTATCTGGTAGGTGGGTCGTGAAGGTATAACGCATGAATGCGGCGTCGTTCGACACCGCATATGCCGGGAAAACGGCGCGTGGGAGAGGAACAACGTGCTCGCGCGCTTATTGTCCTCCTGCAGTGCCACCGTCAGGATCGCGGCCACCCACATCACGCAGGACAATAAGACCTACCTTCTTGTCGTCAGGGTCGACGCTGCGATTACGCTGCGTCCGTTGCGAGCGCGGAAGCCCGGTCTTCCGCGATCGGCGCTAGATATCGTGCATCAGCGCCCGTATGGGGAACAAAGGAAGACAGCCACTCACCAGGTTCACTGCCGCGGCTTTGGTCTGGGTACTCGTTTTGTGGGTGCCGCGGGCGGTACGTAGGGTGGCAATTACGTATGGCGCCGGCGAGCGGATTCAGATACATGGCTTGGTGGGGATGGGGGGAAAGGCGGATACTGCGGGTCCGGGCGCTGTCGAAATGACTGGAGGTGGCACCGCGCCGGGACTGGAGGCCAGTGAGGACTGGCCCTCGCTAAAGAAAGCGGCTGTCGGGGGGAAGAGATGCGTCAGCGCTTAAGATTAGTGGCGACAATGGAGAAGGACGTACAACGCAGGGGGAACTTGAGGCAGGGGGCCCATGGTGCCTGAGTGCAGCGAAAGATCGCGCAGCTACAGGTGCATCGACCGGCCCTTGGAGTCGACGGGACGCCACCAGGTGAACTACTGGTGTCGGTCGAGGAAAGGGGAGTCGCATGCGGCGCCCAACTTATAGTGCAGAAGCACGTGAGCACTTGAGGGGCGGTCAGCCAGAGCGTTTCTCCCACCATCAACCTTGCCATCCCACGCAGTCCGGGAAGATCAGGCCTGGATAATGCCGTAAGAGTGATAGATCGATAGAGATACATACTGAGGGGATACAACACGGGCTACATTCGTCGTCGCCGGAGTCGAGCAAATCATTCATGACCCCAAATCATCTCTCCGCCAGGCGTCCTTCGTCGTCCAGATAAACAGGATCACCTGTCCGGGCAGCCTTCTTGTACGCCGCCATCACCGACCTGGTCTGCATGGCCTTCGCTTTCCTTCGGAGATGATCTTCCATAAAAGCCGCACGACGCTCCAGCTCGACCTCGCGGGCGGCGGCGGCCTCTTCTTGGCTGGCGCGTAGTACTTCCCGAAAGTGGTGATACATGAGCTTTCGATACGAGCGCTTTTATTGGAAGAAGGTTGAACAACGCCAGAAGTGCACCTTCGCGGGAAGTACTGACCGTTACGCTGTTCACCAGCTCGCGTAACTCTTCGGCGGTCTTTCGTAGCCATGTGAGGGAGACGTCAAAGTCCTCGTGAAAGGAGAATGGCTCTAAGGCGCTGTATGATGGGCGTGAGCAGGCGGATGTAGGGTGGATGAGTCTCGCACGTACAAGAGGATCGCCTCGACATACGGCAAATGGTGATCGCACCACTGGTCCGTCGCCTCCGGAAGAACATCACGATGTTCGGCTATAGCTTGCTTGAGGCGGGCCAAGGAGAGTAGGAGTGAGGTCAGGGTGATGCGCAGGGAATAACATGTGGAGCCAGCGTCGCGCGGTGCGTCCTGTGCGGAAGGGACGGTCAGCCATCTGCTCCGACAACGGTATAGGTCACGTACCAATAGGGCATCCTGTACAGTGGCCTCCGTTCGGTGCGCGAGCTGATACAAGCGCTTCGTCCGCCTGCATACTGTGGTATACACGCCTTCATACGGAGGAGGCGAAGTTCGATCGACGTCCGTCGTCTGGGGTGAAAGGGCAGATTTCTGGCGCGTAAATCTTGGCCTGTCATTCACAGTGACATAGGAGATGCTGTTCATAGTGGAGGGGAGGCGTGAGCTCGACGACGTGCTCGCCATGATGTCCAGGCGACTGGGAAGTATCGGTGAGCGCGGATTGCAGACTGTCGCCTTTTATCGCCATCCGTGTCGCAGCATGGTGGTCATCTTTGTTCGCATATCGCAAAGAGATGTTGTACACGCGCATCAACTCAAAGAACTCGAAGTGACCGGTAATACCAAGGTGATACGGTGACGAGGAGAGGAAGAAAGGCTCTTTCGGCAAGTCCCGATAAATATCCCCGAAGTCGAACCGTCACACCGTGACGCGACCATCCTTACTCACTGCCTACCATTACTCTCTCGAGAGCGCGACTGCTTCCAAGACATATAGCGTGTGCATCGCCTCACATCCTGATCAATATTCTTTATTCGACTCAAGGTATCCCATGCCTAATTCCGTTTGATCCCGATAGGGCAGGATAATCGTACCTCAGAGTCTTTTAATCTGAACTGCGAACTGCAGCTTCTTCTGAAGCCCATGGGCACTCAGCATCGTCAGAATACTCATGCTCGGAGGATGAAAAATTATTGAGAGACCCTAGCAGCAGGGATAACGCCCGTTCCCTGCGACGCTACTTTCCGAGACTGGCGACAGCATCCATGCAACCGCCCAAGTAAAGTTGCACATCCCGCGGGGTCACGTCGTACTCGGCGTCAAGAGCTCTCCCCTGCATTAGATCGCTGGCTTGCTCACAGAAGTTCACCATCGACGCGTATGGTCAGAACTTGGAAACACTGGTTCAAAACGAGAAGTGAACGCGGCTCATGCTGGACGGTCGAGGATGTAGCACACAAGCCCCTCTTCGACACGAGCTACCGTCATACCTAGCATTCCATGATTTGCTGGCCCAAAGCATGCGCGCAAATAACGAACAACAACTCAGTTATTGTTCGTATATCCCAAAGAAGTGATAATTACACCTTGTCCTACTCCCTCACATGGAATTCTTGTCGCAGACGTATGTGGCGCTGCGGGGGCCCACGGGGGCGCCCCAGACGGCCAAGGATACCATCGCGCGGCTGAGCGACAGGCTGTCGCCCGCGACGTTGCTCGGAGATCGACGCGCAGCAGTCCAAGCCCTCAAGGGTCTCGCGCGCGACCATCCAGACGATGTGGCCGCCCGCGCGCTCCCTGGACTGATCAACGTGCTCGCGGACGATGCAGAGATCGACCCTGACATTGCAAAGGCGGTCCTGGAGGCGCTGGCCTCACTGAGCGCGCACGACACGCGCATCGCGGACGCGGTGTTGGCGGACGAGCGGACGGTGCCTGCGCTCTTCGCGCTCCTGGGGGGCGCGGATGGAGGCGCGAGGCTGCCCTCGATGCATCTGCTGTCGGTCCTGCTCGACGCGAGGCGAGGGAACGTGCAGACGCGCTTCCTGTCCACGCCCAACGCGGCGGCGAGCGTGATGGCTGCGCTGGACGATCGCAGGGAGGTTGTCCGGACAGGTGCGTGCTGAAGTACCCGATGAGGCGTACTCGCTGACAGTATCGCAGAAGCGATCACCCTCGTGCGTGCGCTGAGCGGGGGAAGTGCAGACATACAGAAGGTGCTCGCGTTCGAGGGCGCGTTCGAGAAGCTATTCGCGGTGGTGGCGCGTGAGGGGGGAGTGGACGGCGGTCCAGTTGCTGAGGAGGCTCTTGTCTGCCTGGACGGCCTCCTGCGCTTCAACTCGTCTAATCAGGTGCGCTTATAACACACTCCACGTCACCAACCTCCTCACAATTCTGCAGGCATTCTTCCGTGAAACGGATCTCCCTCCCCAACTATGCGCTCTGCTGGCGTTCCCCCCTCATCTCGCTCTTCACGAGGCCGCGCCTCAGGAATTTGCCCTCCAGTTCTGGGATCCTCAGAAGGCTGCCAACGCGGACTGCGTCGTCGCCCTCATGGGCATGCTCATCCACAATAATAGCACTAGCCCGCAAGAACTTACCTTCGCGCGGTGTCTCCTCGAACTATCCTTGGCCAGCAACGCGCCCACGACCTTGAAGACGCACGCATTGCGCCTGCTCCCTGCTCGGCTCGCCATACCCTTGCCCCAACTTGCGCTAACTCCATACGTGCCCGTACCCGGTACCAACGGCGAAGAATGGGACAGATTAGAGCCAGCGAGTGCACTTGACGCTCTCGTGGAGATGGTGCTTGCTGGGGAGTATGGTGGTGTTGATGGGGATGCCGGTCCCGGCTCTAGCGCGCGCAGGAAGGACAAGCTTGAGCTGCGCGCCGCGGCTGCGGGGGTCTTCGAGGTGCGCTACTCTAGATGCTTCCCAAGCGTCATCCTGAGCCCGAGGCGGGCAGAACTTTGTCAGTACGGAAGACGTCAAGACCGCTATCGTGCAGGCCATGCTACCTCCAGAGGGTAAGTGTTGTTACAAGTCGAATTTGCCCCAAACAACTGATCCGCTCCTACTGCCTGCTAATCCATCGCGCAGGTGCACCGTCCCCGCCGCCAATCACGCCGCTTCTCCATTCCTTGGTGAACCCTCCGGACGCCAGCGCTCCCGACGCGGGTACCCAGTTTGCCTGCGTGCTGTTCGCGCATCTCGTCCGCAGCGCGCCTGCCGCTAAGGTTTGTTCTCTTTCGCGGGAAGCTAGGGTACCCTTAGTAACGCCCTTCTTGCCTAGGCCGCCGCGCGCAGTATTAAGCCCGTCCTCCCATCCAACGCTGGCAGTGGATCCGGCGCTTTCTTCGTCCCCGCCGACTCGTCTGGTGCCCCGCCGCCGCCACCACCCGAGGCTGACGATGACGACGAGCCGCCGCAGGCGTTGATACCAATGCTGTGTGAGAACCTCAGCCTAGCGTTGCTGGCGAGGAGTCGGCAGGCGGAGCATGGGGATGGGGACGCGGTAAGTTATACTTTGGTGAGCCGTTTGCGTAAGAATCTTGACGGGAAGATCTGTTCAGGGTGATGCGCAGAGCGTGTTGCGCTCGCGCCATGCCCGACGAGACCTAGACGCATTAATCGCTGCATACGTCGCGCTGCTAAGTCAGTGGTTGTGGGATGACCCCTCAGCGGTACGGGAGTTTGCGGATAGTGGTGGTGTGGGCATAGTAAGTCGTCTCGACGCTGTTTGTGCTTTGCATGCGAAACTTCAGGCCTTGCGTGGATCTTTTGCTGATCGGGCCATCAGCTTGTTGAGCCCATAAACCAGGCGATGGATGCGGATGCCATCGTACCCGGATTGTGTGCCATGTTGCTAGGGATTTGTTACGAATTCGACCGCGAGCCAGGAGAGATTACAAGGTGCGGACGGCCTTGGGCTCCATGATGGCCCTCCGCTGATGCGATCTTTCAGAGCGACAATCCGCCCCATCCTTGATCGGCTCGGCGTGGACAATCTAGTCGGTCGGATGGCAAGATTGCGAGAAGATCCGCGTTTGGCTGGTGCTGCACCCGATGCTGTGGTCGTACCGAGGCCACGTTCAGACGGTACAGACAGCTACGGGAGGAAGCCTGAAGAAATCGCCTCTATCGAGGAGGGTGAACTTTGGTTCGATTGGGCGTTCGTGGAATTCTGGAAAACAAACTACTGTGAGCTGGTTTCTATTCTCATACACAGCGCGGCTCCGACAGTTAGACTTCGCCCCTCCCCTTGTCTGCACGACATCGACCTAGCTTGCTGACAAGCATCCAGATACCATCCAACGCAGCTTCTCTGTAGATCCCGACCAAGCTTCGTCTGCATCCGAGGGCGCCGCGCTGATAGCTGGCTTGAGGCGACAGCTCGAAGACCAGGCACGCGAAATTGCACGGCTGCAAGCAGAAGTCGGACAGGCACCAGTAAGCCATGTCCATTCGTTGCTGACCTCATCGTGCGCTAACACGGCGTCAACTGCAGGCGAGAGGCGGCGTCTCGCAACAAGACTCGCGGGAGCTCGAGGCACGGCTCCGCGAAGAGATCAAGGCGGAGACGGAGAACCTCATGCGCGTAGAACTCGCTGCGGAGACTAGGAGCCTTCGCGCAGAACTGGATGCTGCTCGAGATGAGGCGGCGGCCCTTCGCGCGGAGGCCGCGGTTAGCAGTGGTGCTGGGGCTGGCGCTGGCGCTGAGCTGGAGCAGGTCCGCGGCGCGCTTGCGGTGGAGACGCAGAAGCGTCAAGCCGCTGAAGGAGAGCTGTCAGCGGTACGGGAGTCGCTAGCAAACGTGCAGAGCGAGCTTGGGGCGTTGCGAAAGCAGCTAGCGGCGGAGGTTGAGAAGCGGGAGGCGGTAGAGAAGGAACAGGAGGACCTACTCGTGTTGCTCGATGAGGTGTCGAGCAAGCGACGACGCGACAAGGCGCTCATGAAGGAGGCTTTGCTCGAGGTATCGGAGGACGAAGAGGACGAGGACGATGATGAGGAAGACGAGTAGCCGATCGAAGGCGCAGGGAGATGACGCCTGGGACTGTAGATCTTGGAGGTACGGAATTGCGAATGTGTAATCGTCTCCTTCTTTTCTTCATGCCATCGCGACTTGTTTCTTTCTTGCGGTGACATACCAACCGGGTGGCGCACGCCCGACTCTCGATATGTCGCCAGCGTTGCGAACAATGGCACGCGCCCGACCGGATCCGGATACGTTTTCACCTATGTTGCGCTATGTCTCCAGACGTTCAGCATGCACAGGGCCCAGAGGTGGCGAGACCCTTCGGTGGGTCTGCATAATTGCACGGTGTAGGGCGGGCGTTGACATGTTCATAGCGACTACGCTCGCTAGTTAGATTTGCGGTGGTGCTGATGATACCCAATCATACTTGGAGTTCAGCATGCGCTGCTGTCCGCGTTGGCAGATGCGTGTTCAGTAACTTAGTGCGTGATCGTTCTCTTCACTCTTGCACGCTACTCAGCTTCCGTGACGAGTCTATATCGTACCTTAGAACTGCCGTCCTTCAGGCTTTCGATACCAGAAGAATCCCCTTGGCGACAAACATACGGCGGCAATCGTCCACAGTGGAACTCAATGGCGCTCGAGGTAGACAGGCAGTAGAGCTCACGATGCTCTATGCAGCTGTGCTCGACTATACTAGGTCGTTAGGTATCCAATGCCGCTCTTTCACTTCGGGGTTTCAACCATAGCGGGGCGTCTGTAGCCACGTCAACATCTCACCATACCAAAGGCGTCGCGTTCTGCCCGTCAGCTCAGTTCCAAATGTCAGGCTCTACAGAGCGAGTACGTCCCGTCATATGCCCTGTCCCTTTGGTTTGCGCGCGGCTGCGCTTGCTGACGGATCGACAGTCCATCAGCCCCTTGTTCGCCCGTTTGCATCTCCCAGACGGATAGGCCGTTCCTATCGCCCACCTGATCTGATGCATACGGCGCCGAAGTCGACATTGCGCGGCCAACAAGGCGTGTACCGCCTTGGGGGGAGTTCGGATCGAAAGACGTCAGACCAGGCCGTGTCTGCGACCATGATATAAGGAGCCAGCGCACCAGATCGCGTCGTCTCCTTCTTTCTCCCTCGACAGATATTCATCCAAGCCCGCCGCGCCACATACTGGTATGGGCGCTTTTCCATCGTGCACCCGCGATCAGGAATCGCGCTACGATACGCAGTACGGTAGTGCGGAGAGCAAGACATCCTACACGCACCGCTCTATCGCTCGTGCAACCTGCCAGCCATTGCAACGTCCCGCTCTTGCATTTTTACCAAGGTCTTTGCCAATGGGCCGTCAAAGGGATGGATACCGGGACGACGAAAGTGGGACGACTACCCTATGCTCTACCGAGAATCACTTTGGTGGCTGTGATACTTCTTACTCTGAGAAGGTCTCGGGCTGCGGGGCGCTTCGACACCCTCCCCATGCTCATCCCAGCCTCCATGAAGGCTGCGGCGTGGCCTACCGACGATTCCTCGCAGACAATCCCGGTAAGCAACCTTGCACTCGGTTTATTGCCTAGCCTATGTCTCGAACGCGTGATTGACGTCTTGTTTAGAATATTGCGCCACATTTGCCATCGACGAACTCCGTCGTACCGACTACAGGCGTTTAACGGCCTCTGGGGAGACCTATGTGGACTGGATGGGTGGCGCGCTTTACCCGGAACGCCTGGTACATGCACATGCCGATTTCCTGTGCAGCCGTGTGCTTGCGAATACGCACTCGCACAGCAATCCGTAAGCATCGTTTTGTAATATCCTGGAGACCGTCGCTTACCCTTGCGTGTCGTCTCGTCTATTGCCTCCCATAGCTCTGCACTGTCTCACGAATGTGCAAATGCAGCCCGCGCAGCCGTCCTACAGTTCTTCGATGCGTCGCCGGAGGAATACACCGTCATATTTACGCCCAATGCGTCCGGCGCTCTCAAGCTCGTTGGAGAGGCGTACCCTTTCACGGATGACAGCGCTTTTGTTCTCGGCGCAGACTCGCACAACAGCGTCAACGGTATACGGTGCTTTGCAGCAGCCAAAGGTGCATCCGTGGGATACATACCTACAACGCCTCAAGGAGGTTTCGAACCGCAACAGGCTGAGGTACGCTCCTCTGAGTCATTTAAGCGCTCGGGGTAATCTCATTCTGTCAGGCCGTCCTCAACAAGTACAGACCATCGCCAGGTCGCTCCGCGCTTTTTGCGCTCACGGCGCAATCGAACATCTCAAACAGCAAGGCACCACTCGCGCTCGTCGATGCCGCCTATACCCTCGGTTACGATGTCCTCCTCGACGCCGCAGCACTCGCGCCGACGTCACCCCTCTCACTAACCGCACAACCTGCAATAGGCGCCCTCGCGATCTCATTCTACAAGATGTTCGGTTACCCAACTGGCGTTGGCGCGCTCGTGATACGACGTGATCTGCTCCAACGACTTCAGCGACCTTGGTTTGCGGGAGGCACAGTGGATCTGGTCCAGGTACCTGGCAATAATGTGACGCCCGCGTGCGAGTTATACGAACAATTCGAGGTAGATATCGAGGATCGCAGCCATGTCCTGAATCTAATTATTTCCCGTCACAGGATGGTACCATCAACTATACGTCTTTAGCCGCGGTCCCAGCCGGTCTGCGATTACTAGCGGCCTATCAGCCTCTGCTTCCGCTACGGCTAACTTGTCTGCTTCGCTATATGATCAGCGAACTTCAGCAACTTCGTTACAAGGATACAGACTCCGCATTTGTTCGTATCTTGTCGCGCATACCGATGGCAGCGGGCGAGGCAGGAGCGACGGCCTCGATTGAGTTCCTTGGGGTGAGTATACTTTTCTCCACCGCGTCGTATCCTACTGAGCCCGTTCATCCTTCTAGGAGAACGGGATACCGATTTCACCTTTGCTCGTCGAACAGTCCGCCGCGCGTGCAGGCATCGCACTTCGTACCGGGTGCGCTTGCAATCCGGGCGGAGCGGCCGCCCTCCTCGGCATCACAGCCGACATGGCAGCCCTCCCGCCGGGTGCGACACACGCAACTTTCGAGGACGCGGTCGGTCGCGCGCTCGGCGTCGTCCGCATAAGCCTCGGATTGGTGAGCAACTTCGAGGACGTGTGGCGCGTAGTGCAGTGGGCGTCGAATGTGGCGCAGAATGGGATTGACCGATGAAGCGGTGTGCGCTCGTGGACAAGCTTACTTTTCGATCTCAAGGGATTTATGTATCGCGGTTTTATCTATTTTTGACGGCCCTGTTCCCGGTGAGCTTGGATATTTACCTGCCTCAGGTGCTGAAGTCTATTACACATATACTTACGATGTACTGCACTAATTCTGTATCTAATCCGATTGGGCAGCTTCAGACATCTGCTCAGGGATCGATCTCGCTCGAGGCGCAAGAGCCTTCGACATTCGGGACCGCTTCCTTCGGTACTACCGCCAACTTTTATTCTGGTCCGACATCAATGTCGGCCTGCTTGATTGAATAAAACTAATCGTGGTAAATAGCCTGAGGTCCTCTCAATTTTCGCAGCTGCTTGATTTTTCTTTGGAAATTCCCTCGTGCAGTTGAGGCCCCTGGCGTTAGACGATGCTGCAAAAAGGCGCAGAATAGACACGTCAGTGTCCGCAGCCAGGATCGAACTGGCGATCTCCGGATTACACACCTCAAGGATGTTCATACGGAAGTATGAGACCGGCGCTCTAACCAACTGAGCCATGCAGACGGTACAAGCTACTATGGGACAGCATATATCACCCACCTCGGATTGTGCGAATAACCTCAATAGGTTCATACTAGCATAAAAATTGAGCGAGAACATGTCATTTGAAGTAGATGTGAAGAAGATATAATCCCAAAGACGGGGGCAGTATCCTGAGGCGAAGTTTCACGCTTGCGACACATTGCTTGTCACTGGCAATATCGGGCTTTGTTGGAGCCATCTAGCTAGCAGAGGCGTATACCGCGAAGGGATTCACAGACTATTAGGACGTGATGATGTACAATCTAGTAATGACAGAGATCCATTGCGCGTAGGAGTGTGTGTTAGTGATATCCTATGGGAAGCAGGGCGAGACAAAGGTAGAGCAGAACGACACGGAAGACAATTAGGATGGATATGCGTTACGACGTGAGATTCGTAAATGAGAAGATCATGTCGTGAGCGAAGCATTCATGTCGCGAGTGCGAAGATCATGTGTTCGTCGGCCACGGGACGACCCAGTATGCGGACACTAGATGCTGGGGACTTTCGTCGTCCTCGAACTTTAGTCTGTAGATAGGGCCACTCGCGAGCGTCTGTACGAACGAGATTAGGAATGAGTATGAGATCATGAAAACCCCGATCCATCCCACCTTGTCTCGCTGCGTTACCTTCGGCGGCTCGAGGACCTGCGCGCGGTAAAAGCAGGTCGTGTCCGGATACATTGCCAGCGCATCTGATCCCGTCGGCAATTCCGGATATGCCGAGAGATTAGCGGGACTAGAAGGCGGTGCCGCTGGATCAGGAAGCGGGATGAGGTTGCTCAGTGTCGCTCGATATTCGCTGCGAGCGAGGCCGGTAAATCATCTCTCTATAGCTGAGATGAAGGAGCTTACGTGAATTTCCCATCCTCGCCAGGGTCAGCGTCCCGTACCAAGTACCTGGGTAAACTATCAATACCTCAAGTATGTTGCCACAAAAGGCGGCAGTGGCGAAACGCGGCGCCGACGAGCGCGCACCTCGTCCTATCCTTGCTAGCCAGCTTGACCACAATTGCTAGGATGTATGACGTGTCCTCCGTGCCGCCCTCAGCCAGGCGATACACGACCTGCCGCCCAGGTTTGAGTGGCAGCTTCTGGTTGGGCACCGCACCGCGCGTCCGGGGTGGTAGCGTTATTGTCACACGTGGCGTCGCCGGCGCGCCCGAGTCCGGAGACGACACGGAGACAGAGGGGGACGATTCGAGCCGCTGGCGCTTCCGGACGGGCTCCTCATATTTCCTGTGTGGCTCCTCTCGCCTTCGGGCCGGTTCTTCTCGCGCTCGTGGCGGTGGCGGGAGCGCCCGCGCCTCACTCGCCTTGCGAAGCGCAATCAGGGCTTCTACCCGGTCGATAGCCTCGTCGAGGGATCTAGCAAAAGGCATTGTTCATGAATGTAGTGAGCGGAGGCGCCAAAGTCCGTACTTGGTTTCACGTGCGCACGAACCACGAATGTCCCGCAAGGCATTGGCAAGGCAGTGGGCTGTGTGCGCAGCGTTCTCGTAGTCATAGTCCGCGTCCGAGGTGGACTCCGGCCATATAGATATCCACCTATTTGCCTTACCAAGGACGCCTTTTTCCGCCTCGTGTACGTTATTAAGCGCGTCGAGCGACGCGGTGGCGGCGCGCCAGCATTGGAACTCTGTTTCGGCAGATGAGTCATAAAAATAATCTGAGGACATATAGAATAGACCAGTACCTTCAGCAGTACCTTGGTGGCGCATGCAGGGCGAGAGTAGGTTGGGCCACTCCAGGAGGATGGTGTGCGTAAGAAGCAAGGTGCGATCAATGGTCAACACGCTGTTCTCTCACGCCGATCAGTCAACCGTGCCAGTCACGTGCACATGTTGAACTTTGTCGGGTAGTCTCCCGGAGGGTCATACGATGGGTCATGTCTTCCTCATGAGCCAAAATTAATTCAGAGGGATAGGGTATACTCTCACACACTTGATGCGGGGTGGTTACAACTTCTATAGGGTACAAGTCGATGGCTATGAGGGGCGTCACCAGCATAAAACAGTGACAAGGACTTATTATACAAGTTACCAGGGTGAAAATTCAATTTAGTAGCCTGGAGTGTATATCTACTCCTATAAATGATCTCCTGGGTCTTCGGGATCTCGATATCACTCTTTTTTTGGTGATCCACTGGCGTATGATACTTTTGCATGGACTCGCGCGGTTATCCCATCGACCAAGCATCAACAGTTCGTCTCCCTGATCATGCATTCCACTGTCGCGCTCGCATCTATAGACTCTACCGCACCAAAGGAAGGCGGAATTGCGCAAAGACATCCTCATTTCCCCATCTGTTTGTAAAGGGGTGGGAAACATCAAAGCTGAGCCTGCGGTGAATTCATGTCGAAGCCCGCACTTGCACTTGACTGTTCACTAGGTAACTGGCCCTCAGGCATATACGAGACCTGCCCTTTGTTTTGTCTACACTGGGTTCAGTGTGGCAGCTCGCTGGGGTTCTCTCCACGACACACAAGGCATGGGTGGAGCACGCTCGCCGGCCACAGCACGCGCCCGCACACGCTCACCAGCCACTCAGCGGCTCATGCCGTGATGCGCGCCTTGCCGACAACGTGTCGTGCGCGCCGTCGCTGCTGAATTACGCATCAAAATGTAAGAAATAGTAATCTAAACATTCATTCAAAGTGCATACATATTCTAGAGAGTAGGTAAGGGGGAGGGAAGGGGGGAAAGTAAAAAGCACAAGAGCACGAGTGAGAAATCTCACTCGCGCTCAACGCGCCGCTAGGGCTCGGTAGCGCGCACGACAGCGTGAGAGGGGAGCGGAAAGGAGGGTGATGAGCGTGCTCGATGCGCGTAGGATCGCGTTGATCGAGCGCAATAGAGGGGGCGGGGAAGGCAGCGCGATGCGTGCCCATGATGCGCACGGAGAAGGTGGCGAGGACAAGGGTGAGGGTGGGGGGAGGGGCGCACACATACTAGCAAACACCGGGTGTACCGTTGCCTGCGCAGGCACTTCTCTTGCACCTTCCCCTCGCACCTTGCCCCCGATCCCCTCTCCTCGCCTCGCCCCTCTTCATATCCTCCTCCCCCACCCCTCCTCGTATCCTCCCCGTCCCTGCCCAGCTCCCTTCCTCCTACCACTGTTCTCCCCCCAACCCTCTCGGCGAGGCATGCCCACGCACTCCCTCTATCTGCGCATACACCACGCACACTTTCCATACCTCACTGTGGGCGGAGGTGGTATGGGCATGGTGCGCGCTGTATGCACCGGCAGAGGGAAGGGGCGCGGGTAAGCGTCACCCTGCTGGCGATCTCAATGTGCTGGCATAGCCAGCGGCCGATCGAACGTGACGCGCGGCGCACTGAGGGCACCCTCAGAGGCGTCCCGCGCGTCTCCAGCAGTGCCGAGCCTCGCCGCAAAGGCGAGGCTGCGAGGGAAGGAGGGGGGAAGGCGCCGACCGCTTGGCAGCCAATCGCGAGGCGGGGCTTGGGCAGGTGGCGGCATAGCGGGAAGAACGTAATTGGGAGCTCGCTCGTGACACATTACGCGTCTGGAGCGAGTTCCCGCGCCCTCAGACACGGGCTGAGAGCGAATTGGGGGAGGGGAGGGGGATTTGCACGCCGCCGCTTGTTGCGATGACGCATCCCCCCGCATCCCCACTGCATCTCATAATGTATATTCATTAGTATTAAGTCGTGTGCGGCGCGGGTTCACGCGCCTGTATTTCCCTCCTTCCTCGCGCTGTCTTTGAGCGCCGCGCGACTCGGGTCATGCGCGTGATCAACGCGTAAGGGCGTCCGGAAACGCGTTTTCCGCGTCTTGAGAAGCGTGGATGACAGTAAGAAGGAAGGGGGAGAGGACTGGGGGAGCGGGGGAACGTGTATGTCGGAGCGTGGTGGTGGTCAAGGAGCAGAAGACGCACGTGCACGCGTCGGCGCACCCGCAGACGCAGTCTGAGGGAGAATATAACGGGAAAGCGGGGCAATGTCTGCCCTGCTTCCTCCGCCTCCTCTTGCTTCGGCTCCTCCCCCCGCCGCGGAAAAGAAGTGTTGAGTAATATGATCGAGTGCAGGGGATATTCACGCACCCGGAACTCCCTTCCTCGTCCGGCTCGTGGCCGCTGTCATTGCCAAGCTCCCTCAATTCGTGGGACATGAATGTGGTGAAACACATTGTAGGCGGCCTTTTCGAGGTGTTAAGAAGAAAAGGGAGTGTGAGAAGGGTGTCTGGGAGGGATGAAGAGGCGAGGTGGGCGACATGGTGGTGAGCGCGTCGCAAGCGCTGGACTTCGCGACTTTCGGGGATAAGTCGACCGTGTGAAATTCATCACGGTCGGGCGCCCAGCTTCAACTCTGAATTCTTCGACACCTATGCGCAGTGTGACCGCGTATGCTCGCACATGTGCTATTTGTAGGTTAGGATATGATTCTGTACTAAAATATGAACGAAAGCAACCAACGTTCGGTAGGAAAAGGCCCTGTCGAATTATGTGGCGGTGCACCTCGTCGGAATCTCCCGAGCACGTGGAAAAGAGTCGTCGATAGCTTCGACGGCGAAGGGGACTCATACCAGAAAACTTGATATAATCGTACAAAAGCGCTGAGTGGATGCACACGATTTTTCCTCAAGCAAAGAAATGAGGAGAAGGACGAGAAACTTCTAGCGCCACATATTCATCCCGATTTGGAACATGCCGCTTGGACGTCGAATGGTGATGAATTTCACCGTCGTAAAACGATCCCTGGCAAGCAGGTCTCGTAACAAGCAGTCAGCTCATCTATGATAGCTCCCGTCACCTCGCGGTGACGGACGAGGGTCCAGTTCCGGTCCTCCATAGGCGACCACTATCGGGGCGCTGTCAGCGTTCATGAGTCTCGTCTCCTGCCAGCACCAGCCGAGTTCCGCTGCGAAGCCCAAGGCATGTCTGGCCATGGAGTAACCTCCGGACTGTCGTCCTTCCTTGGCAGTCCCGTGAGCGATAGTATATAAAGACGGAGACTGGGAGTGATCCCAACGCAGCATTCACACTTGTCTTCTTTCTCTCTGGAATCGACTCGAAGCAAGCAGACGAAATGACCTCTCCCGTATGCGCCATTGGCGCCGCAGGTCCTCAGGAAAAGCTCGCGCCCTTGACCGTCAACCGCAGGGCCCCCGACGATGACGACGTGGTCATCGATATCCAGTACTGCGGTATCTGCCAGAGCGATATTCATACCGTCCGCGGCGTACGTCTGCCTCACCACTGCTCTTATGTTCATTTCATTGTGTGGCTGACGCCTTTCTAGGAGATGGGCCCGACTGTGGGCTATCCTATGGTCCCCGGCCATGAGATCGTAGGCGTCGTGCGGAGTACCGGGAAGAACGTGTCTTCGTTCAAGCCCGGTGACCGTGTCGGCGTCGGCTGCATGGTGGACTCGTGCCGCACATGCCGCAATTGCAGCGAAGGAGAAGAGTCGTACTGCAGCGGTAACGATACGGTTCGCTCCGCTGTCCTCACGTACAATGGCAAGGTGATTTTCATGCGACTCAAGTGGTGTAGTAGACATTGGGACCGATGCACCACCGCAGAATCCCAAAGAGAATTTCGAGCCAACCGTCGGAGGCTACTCGGAGTCCATAGTGGTGGACTATCGCTATGTCCTTCGCATTCCGGACGCTCTGCCATCTGATAGCGCTGCGCCTTTGCTATGTAAGTGTTCTGTTCCATGGCAGGATATACCACGTCTGATCGCTTTCGACCAAGGCGCCGGTATCACCATGTTTTCCGCGCTTCGCCATTGGAAGACCGGCCCCGACAGTCGAGTTGCGATCATCGGCATAGGTGGTCTTGGCCACGTTGGAGTCAAGCTCGCGGCGTAAGAGTGTTCAACCGCTCCTATCGCTTCTTTTACTCACATTTGCCTTGTCAGCGCAATGGGTGCTCATGTCACCGCTCTCTCGCACAGTCCAGGCAAGCGCGAGCTTGCCCAATCACTCGGAGCGCACGAATACTACGCGACAAGCGATCCCTCCACCTTCTCCGCCCTAGTCGATCACTTCAACATCATCATCAATACCACCTCCGCTGATCTCCAGCTTGACGGGTTTATGAGGATGCTTCGCCGGGACGGGACCTTCGTCGAGGCGGGCGTTCCTGAACATTCCCTCAAGATCCATCCTTTCAGTGTACTCTTTGGGCGCCATAGTCTCGCGGGGACCATGATAGGTGGAATACGCGAGACGCAGGAAATGCTGGACTTCTGTGGTACGTCTGTTGGACATTCACAGGGTGCTTCGCTGATTCTATGGATTATAGCCGAGCACAAGATCACCGCTGACATAGAGGTCATACCTGCCTCCTACATGTGCGTCTCTTGCTTGTGCTCTCCCGCATACTCTTACTGATTTTTGATCCATAGTAACGAGGCATACGAGCGAGTTTTGAAGTCGGACGTCCGCTTCCGCTTCGTTATCGATATGTCTACTATCCATGGAAATAAGCTTTGAGTATAACAGGTCTGCCAATGTAACACTACGTCGTCAATGCGATTGACTGGTCTCCTCTACTCCCACTTCAACAATCGTCTCGCTCCTGGGCGGCTAGTTCAGGCCAATATCTCTCCCAACATCGAGCCATATGTATGCAGTGACCAGTGTTGCCCATTACGCCAGATATCTGGCCAAAGAGCGACCCCAAGCTGGTTACACTGAATAAAAGAATGATAAAGAGACATAAGGGTATTATAGCGACACCGATCTCCGGGCGCGCCGCTAGTAATACAGTAACGTACAGCTCGGAGTCCATGTACAACCCAAGAAACGACAGGAAAAAAGGGGGGATCTGCTTGCTAGTGGTATACGTACAGTGAGTGCGAATGGTAGGCAAATAAGGCGTGCCGAGCATAAATTCGTGAGTATCAACGTGCAGGAGCCGCGTGTCAGCCAAGGCTGCTGTCGGGTATAGGGACGCCTAAAGACGGCGGTTCATCATCGACCGTGACGTAGTTCTGCACGCTCAGGCGCTTCTCCTCCTCTTCGTCGTAGTCTTCGTCTTCCTCCTCGATGATGGCTGACTCGAGATCGTCTTCATCAGGTTCACCCTCCATATCTGCCTCATCGGGTTCGGCGAAGATAGCATGCATCTGCGTACGACAGTCAGCAGTCGGTCGACGGTGAGCTTTGCGCGGACTTACATGCGTAAGGAGCGTTTTCACCAGCTTATTGCTGTGGCCCATGTTCGCAAGGACAAGGGAGAAGTCGTTTTGCGGTGCACGAAGAAGATTGGGGCTGAAGACGATGGCCAAAGCTTCGGCCGTCATCTGATTATGCTCTTCGTAGTCAGCCACTCTGAGAAGACGGTCAGCGGGAGACATGATTGCTATGAGGGGATCGCACTTGTCCAGATGCTCGACGATGCGCTTCAAAAGGTCATAGTGCGACTGAGAAAGCCGATGAATGATCCCGCGGATAGCGAATATCCTGTCGTCAAGAGACTCGAGTTCTGTAGAGAGTTGAGTTAGATGATCAGCGACTATAGAGTTCACGTACGAGTCGCCTCGATGACTTCGTGATACAAGGAATGCGGAAAGACAGGATCAGGCAAAACGCGCAGCCAGGACTTGACAACGTCGCAGACGGCATGAATATCCGTGTGCGGCTTAATGGGCGATTCGCCTGTACGCGATGAGTGTGTGCGGTACATGGGGACGGATTCTTCGTACCCCTATTAAATGCCTCCTTGAGCACGTTGATCTCGGAGACAGCGCCAGCAATGCGATCTGATCAACGGTCAGCATTGGAAGGGATAGCGCGCGACCTCACGTACAGATTCCAACTTCCGTCAGTCCTCGCGTCTCGATCTCGGAGATGCATTGGTCAATGATAGACGGCACGGAGCCAGGCGCAACGTCTTCGCCGCCAGCTTCCCGACGAAGCAGCTCGTCCAGATCGATGCCGAACACTGGGGCGGGTATGAGTATAGTACAGAAGTATGAACAATCTGACTGACCTGCCCGAGGACCCTTGCCCGTCGGAAGCGGGTCAGCATGAAGGTGATCAGCAATTTGAGGCTTGGGCGAGTTGCCGATGTATGTGAGCCGCCGCTTCGCCGTAATCTTCGCCACCTTGTTGATGGTGTCGACCCACTTCATCATCTCCTTCCGCGACAAAGCCTGCAGAAGATAATGCCCGCCGTCTTCAGTCTCCAGTTGGAAGGTGTAAGAGCGCTCGGTATTGATAAATTGCATGACCCTCGCCTCAGCGAGGTTCACTGCCATGGCTGGTTTGCTTGATGGAGTGAAGTCGAGCTCAGCAGCTGTACGCTTGACACCCGGCGAATGCATCAGGTCCGCGCCAAACGCGCTCGAGATCGGGCGCATGAAGTTGAACAGGGACGACATAGACTTCTTGTTCCTCGCGTGCTTCGGTAGGGGAGCGGGCGCTAGCTTGCGTGGCTTCATCGCCTTGGTGAGCTGGTCGTCGCGCTTCTCGCTACGCATCTGCTCCTGCTGCTTTTCGCGCTGCATTCGCGTACGCAAGCCCTTATCCCGTCGGTTCTTCTCAATTTGCGCAGAGACAAGTTTCTGGAACGGGCGGACGACACGTTTTCCGGACGCGCTAGCGGACGCTTGCATGGCTTCACGGGCAGCTTCCTCTTTGATGCCGCGGAGATCGAACAGAAGCGGAGCCACCTCTGTCTCGACGGCATTCAGACGGTCGAAGTTGCGCCTTGTGAAGTCATCGCGATGTGTGTTGCGGGTGCGGAATAGGTTGGGCGCGTTGTTCAGGATGCTGCATAGGTGACTGCAAGAAGGTTTAGATCAACGAAGTTTCGGTATGGCAGAATACGTACCGGCGCTTGTCGAAGTTGATGAGTCCCTGGCCATCCGCATTCACTGGGTCGAGGATGTCTGGCGAGACGATGATCTCCAACATGCGCTCGAAGAGCCAGCCGATGTCGACCGTGAGCATGTCGTCCGTGACGGAGTGCATGGCGGGGACAGCCAGAAGGGAGACGAGTGAATCGCATGTCGCGCTTCGGTTCATCGCAACGTTGTTCCATGCACGCCAATGCGCCCGACTCTCGACGCTGATGATCGCGGAGGTAATCGTCGCCTCCGCAAAGGAGCGCACACAGTGGCTCTGAGCGATGCTGATGTCCCTACGACCCTCCAAGTTTCGAAGCCGGCATACTTCGAGAGCGCGAAGTAGAAGCTCAATCCTAGATTGGCGTCCCTTCAGTCCAAGCCGAGGAGCGACGATCTTGGACACGATCCACTTGCGCAGAATGAGATGTGCTCGGATGCAGCTACGGATACCAGGAGGAAGGAGGCGGTACAGCGTGTCCTGGGTGAGCTCGGATATCATGGAGGACGCTTCGACCTCGTGAATGACGGTGTGCATGGATTGGATCTCCACGGTGTCTTCCGTCGCGGTGCTGTCCTTTGGAAGGAACCAGCCCGTGCGATCCGCGCTTTGTACCTCGAGGAGATCTGCAGTAACGTACAGGTCCTACGACAATGAGCTATGACCGAAGACGGAATGATACCTGCGTACCTCTTCCGTAACATTGCTGAAAGCTGCCGCAGCCATGGCGTCAAGCTCGTCGACGAGCTCTTCCGGTTCCACCGCATCGATGTCGAGAGGACCTCTGCCGCTGACGTGCCGCTGGCGCGAGCCTGAGGTGGGCAACGGTGGCCGCATCTGAGGATGTGCGTGCGCATGAGAGGGCCGCATGACCTGGGACTCGAAGGTTGCCTGGAGGCTTTCACGCAGTCGCTCGAGCTTGGAGAACGCACGCGCGACTTCCTCCGGGACAATCTTGACGTCGATAGATATATGGTCGCTGTCGCTGTGCAGGAAGTCGTGAAAGGCATGGTACAGGGTATTGTCGTCGAGGACGTCCTGAGCGCCATTGCCACAGCAAAGCCACTCCCTCATCGTATCGATGACCTCGCTGCGAAGGTCGACAGCGAGCAGGTATTCTTCCGCCGAAGGCGGAGATCCCCGAGGTTGGAACTTGATGTACTCCTTGCGCAGCAACTACAGAGAACAGTTAATAGTGATCATGATGACAGACGTCGCACTCACTTCAAAGAAGACAATGGGAGTCAAGAAAGTCCTGAACACATTCCACCATACCCGGGCGAACTCCGCGCGATCGACGTACAGCTCTCGCGTCATACCCTCCTTCAAAGTCATCTCGCCGTTATCGTCCGTGACTGAGACCGATACGTGGTGCAATCCGTGCACAAGGATATCAACGAGGTGATTCAAAGTTCCAGCGCGAACAAGGACGCGCAACGGTGGCTCCGACGACTTATCTGCTGTCACCAGGTCGCGGCGGGTAGAGAGGGACGGTAACGAGTTCCGGCGCGCAACACTTGTCTTGCGATCCAAGCCAGCGGATGCGCCAGGCTTGACACGGATAGACGGCGCACGACTGAACGCGGATTTGTCCGTCGACGAGCCATGGTCGGTGGTACTGCTAGGTGGTCGCGATGACGCTCGGGTCGGGGGACGAGAGGAGGCTCGTGAGGGCGGGTAAGACTCGCTGTTGCTGGACTTCTGTACCACTAAAAGTAGTTCGCCGCCATGCACGGGGATGACTGTTCCGCCCTGACTGAGCGCGCTGATGCCATTGGTACCGCCAACCATGTCTTCAAGGAACTTGGCCTTGCCTCGCCTGTCTTCCGGACGCAGTTGGTCATCGAAGCCTTTCAGGAAGAGGAAATCGGATGCGTCACTGTCAACGCGCCCGCGTACGACCTGCGAGCGGTCGACTAGGCTGACCGTAGGTAGCGCCTCTGGGAATAGGAGCGGCAAGAGCGCGTTATGCGGCGGTTGCTGCCCGGACGGACGCTGCCAGAAGTAAGGCTCGAACAGGCCTTTCCGCCTAGGTTCTGCGGCGAGGGAAAGAGACATGAATTGCTCGACCCTGGAACTCTTGCGTTAGCTTCCGTAAGTGAAGGTGAATCTCGACATACCGTTGGAACTTGGCCGCGATGCCACCAGCACCACCGCCCTCCGCAGCTGCTTGCGTCCAGAAGTTGACCATTCGACGCACATCCTCTTCGTCGGTGCTGATGGTTTCGCGTGGACAGGTGGTAAACTTCTGACGCAACAGCTCGAACTCCTTTCGGACCGTTTGGAGGGGAGCAATCGCATAGCTCGCGCCCTCTCCATCTCCCGCCTTAGCGCGCAACTTGTCGATCTGCTCTTTCGCAGCCACACGTGCATCGCCGCCCCACACAGTCACCAAAGGACCACCGAGCACGGCGCCGCCTGCGGTGGTTGAGCCATGCTCAGCGACATGCGGCCCGCCGCCCAAGCCATACACCCAACTCTCCACTGCTGATATTGCCTGCGGGTCAGCGCGCTTCCAAGCCTTCTCCAGTCGCGCCACCGGGCGAGCGCACAAGCCCGCCATGATCGCGCGCCAGCTGACTTCGTCACCTGCCTGCCGACAAAGCTCACCCACGCGCGCCCAGACAGAGATAACCTCCGAGCGCGTATGCGTGCGCGATGATGGAGCATGCTGGCGGGGAGACTGCGGTGCGCTGCCGGTATGCGGTCGCGAAGGCATTGACTGTGAGTTGGGCGGGGACGAGCTGAGAGTGCGCTGCATCGATGGCCGCCCGTCCAAGGAGCGCCGGGGAGATGCTGGCGAGACGGGCACAGCGAGAGTTGCGCCATGGTATTGCTGCTGAGGGAAGTCTCCGTGCCCAATGCTCGGCCCCGAGCCCGCGTCCGCGCTCAGCACTTGAAGAAGGACTAGCTTCGTGAGCCAGTGCGGAGCGTCGTCGCTCCCGAACATAAGCTTAGTCTCCGACATCGGCGACGCTTTTGATGAGCACGTCGGGCTCGAAGACGCTTGGGATCCCGCTGGCTCCTCTTCACCATCTTCGCCCAGCATAACGCCCGCCGTCAGCTCCCCAGACGCGCCAGAGAGTGCGCTACCATGGAAAACCGTCAAGCTGCGTGCGAGCAGCGCAGGATCCAGGGCCAGCAGTACACTACGCGACAATCCCTCGTTCGCAAGGGCGCCCCAGACGCCAGTGGGTTCAGGCGCAGACCAGTCTTTCCTGGGCGAGCTCGGCCACGGAGTGGTGGTCGGGCTGCTCGGACTGCGCGTGCGAATGGGGCTCATGGGGCCGCGAACGGCAGATGGACTACTTGGAGTTCGCGATCGCATAGGGCTTGATGGGACGCGCGGACTACTCGGTACGTCGAGCGCTGCAGGGTGCGTCTGGATCGGTGGAGGCGGTCCCGCCGAGCGCTTAGATGGCGGGGACGAGTCAGAGGGTGCCCGAGTGCGACGCATGTCCAGTGCATCGTGCATCGAGGGTCCTTCTGCTGCAGGTCTTGGCGAGAATGTGCCGATGTGAGGTGAGAAGGTGTCCGGACCTGGCCTCTCGCCTTCACCGCCCTCTCCTTCCTCGCCCTTCTTCTCTCCTGCCTCCCCTTCGCACAACCCGGGCACCAGAGCCTCCCACGCTGCACGATCGCGCACCGCGCCATGCAACCTAATGTATTCCTTCGCGATCCACGACACGCGCTCCTTCGCTTCTTCCTGGGCATTCTCCTCGCATCCTTCGACGAATTGCTGGCAGCATCGCAGCAGCTCCACCTCCACTCGCGCACGTCCAACAAGAGAAGGCAACGCAACCAGGACAGCCGTCGCGAACGCACGCCGTGCGGCGTCGTACGACGTTGATCCTCCCGTGGACTCCGCGGACTCTGGCTGCGCGTCCCCACCAGTCGTGCTGGCGAAGACAGCCTCGTGCAGCAGCGCCTCCATTGTGCCGCCCTGCACCGAGCCATCTGCGGCACGCGCGAGGTCGGGATGGGGTCCGCGCCCCCAATACGCGCGCCTACGGCGACGAGCTTGTGGTTTGACCTCTTCAGTGGTCTCTTGTGCCCCGCCCGAGCCGCCGGAGTGAGTATCCTGCGCGCAGTGAGCGTCTCCAAGCCCTTCGTCCCCGGCATCCTCATCGTCTTCGTCGTCCCCTGGAGCAACGATAGTGGTCGGGAAGAGCGCCTTGATTTCGCCCGCACGATCACTGGGAGGTTTGAAGAATAGCAGCCTCGCACCGCGAAGTTCTGCCTTGTACGCTTTCCATCCGCGACCTAGATGTGGTGTCGCGTTCTCGTTGGTAGGGGGCACGAAGTCCGTGAGGCGGTTGACGAAGCCAGAGTGGTACATGACCTGGGAGGAGCGCTTCGGTGTTGGGTCGGGGCTCTCGGTCGGCGGTGAGAGAAGTGTAGTCGAGCGGGGATCACGCTCCATCCACGCAACGTCGCGATCGGATGAACCTGAGCCTTTGCGAGAAGGACTGGGCGGCATCCGGGCCAGGCGTGAAGACAGTTTGGGCGCAAATGAGTACGTGCGCGTATGCGAGGGCGACGCCTCTCCACTTTGGATCGGCTCGCTGAATATGGGTGCATCATCGAGGGTAGGGGCAGAGACGGATATAGCGACTGGCGGATGCTGCGAAGGAGGCGGCACTAACGAGCGCGAGGGGGATGGGATGGGGCGCGGGGTTACTTGCGGCGCTACCGCGGCAGACGCGCTCCCCGAGCGGTTGCGATACTGTTGAACACGGTCCTGGAATTGCGCGGTGGGAGTCAGAGGTGCGGGCGCCGACAGCTTCGAGAGGTCGTCCGCGGAGCGGGACCAGCCGCGGCGAGATATTGAGCGCAGGTCTCCGGTACCTAGTTGCGGCCCTCTTGACATGTCCATCGACGCCTGCGGACGCGCCGATAGGTCCAGGACGGACCTGATGAAGGATGTCAACCCATGATCATATGGAACACGTCGACGCGACGCACCTGGATCCCGCAGAACTGTAGCTATCGAGGATGGGTCTGGGATCCGTCGGACGCGATATCTTTGGCTTCCTAGTCGTCGAGCTTGTCGACGCGCGCGGCTCGCTGGAGCCCGGTCCTTGGAGCTTGGGCGACGACGCGCTGCGCGTGAACCATTTCGTCGGTTTGCTGAAGAACTGTGTGATGCCGGACGGGGAAGTTGACCTCGGGAAGCTAACAGACGCCGACGCGGATGGCGACAGAGCCGGCTGCGCCTCTGAGGGCAGCTGCGGGAGCGGCGCAGCGCGTCGCTTGCCGCTCATTACATCCAAAAATCACCAAAAATCGACGGAAAATCGGGGTCGGCTCGCGATACGTGTTGCTGGTGGAGAGTGAGGAAGAGGAGGTGCTGAGGCAGCAGCTACGAACCTCTGAGCGATGTTCTTATGAGGAGGGCATGAGGGTCAAGAGCAAGCAATGCGCCGATCACCATCACCGCGCTAACCCTTCGCCATCATCTCGCACGTCGACAGATCCAAAAGTGCACAGAAAGCAAGTGACTCGTGCGGCAAAACTCAGGTATGAACGGGTTCGTTTACTCCCTACATTATACACGACCTCTCATCGACAGCGTTCTCCGCTATCACCGTGGCGCGATCAAGTCAACAAGAGGCACGTTGCATGTACCAGTCACCAACAATGCCCATCACTGAGAAGCCAGAGCTTTGCATGATGCACTATGAGAGTAGACTGGATACTCGTAGGGTGATCCCTTGTCTAGGTACTTGTAGTACCTCCATAATCGCCTCGAAACACTGCCAGAATGTTCACGTCAGTCGTGAGCTCACGAATGAGGCTCAAGCCTGCCGATACATTCACTAGGGCACTATCAGCGCCATGTCAGGGATACTTCGCTTGATCACAATACAAGATATGCTGTAAGCGCATGATGAGCATGTTTGTTCAAGCCAACTCTGATGAAAGACAGCACAACGACTTCCTCTTGCGCACAGCCTGAATGATACTTTAGCACAAGCTGCCTAGTCAACGCTGCAGTCATTCTGCTACGTTCACATCATGTCTTTACTGCTCTGATTATGCCCTCAAGGTTCGGCCACGTCGAATGGACCGAAGTTGAACTTAGATACACGTGACCTCGGCAGAGACCGAGATGAACTTCGGAGAATCCCGCGCTTCTCCGTAGCACCGCGAAATTGCAGTGGTATCAACTTGGACCGTCCAATCACTCATGAGGTGCTCTTCCCGCTGAGGACACATACGTACGACGGATTCTCCTTCCTAGAAGTCTGGTAGGCTGGGAAAATGCACAAAATCCTCGATTTCTATCACCACCGAGCTGAAAACCTTGCTGGATTCTAAGAGTACCCCTACCGTCTACGGTTTACCAGCGAGCGTCGACACCCTATGTCCCATGACTAGGAAGCACGGTTCCCTATGTCCGGCGAGAACGAAACGCTACAGATAGGCGATGCGGCAGAGGACGTTTGCGTCCTCTGCGTGCGATCCCATGAGGCCGGCGCTGCAGGGCTGTGACATATAGCATCGCATATTCGTGATTTAGGTGGAGCCCTGCGCAGCTCATGGAGCTCGCCTCTGCTTTCCTTCCAACCCCCACCATCTCCCTCCGCCCACTATGGCGCCCACGTTGCTCGCGCGCGAAGAACAGCAGGGAACAGACAAGTCCGCCCAGGCCGCCACCATCGCGATCATTGTGATCATCGTTGTTCTCGTAGTCGCGACTGGCGTCGGCCTTTTCGTGACGCGCGAGAAGCGCAAGGTGAAAGAACACGCCGCCGGGACCTCTGAGGAGTATGTCAAGGAGGAGGGTAGACACTACCTGCGCCGCAAGTCGTATGATCCCGAGACCGGGCGCCCGACGCGCCCCGTGTCGGGTATGGCGTCTACGCGGCCAGCGTCGTCGATCACGTACGCCCAGGTGCCGCTGCACGAGGGCGAGTACGAGGACCCGTGGAAGGAACAGGCGAAAGGGAACGTCAGCGTCTCCGAGCACGACTTCACTGCCGTCCCGCTCATGCACGCCACACACCTCCCCTCCATCCCGTCTACCGTCACGCTCGTCTCCGCTAGCCCCACGAAGAAGCGCGACTCCTCTCCACCCACGCTCCCGCCTCTGCACATCCCGCAGCCTCTGCTCGCCGGCACGCGCCCGCTCGACGCCGATCGCCGCTCATCAGACTCGCGCCCAGCGGACCGGGAGATCGACGAGGACGATATTCCCACACCCTCGTCCTCTCCTTCACTGTACTCCCAACCATCGCTGTATTCTCGCAACTCGGTGAAACGCCACCATCGATACGACTCCGAGCCCCCGCCGCCTGTGCCAGCCCTGCCCGCGGAGCACCGCCTCCAGGCTGCGTCGTACATCCCGCGCGAGCCCTCCCCGCTCGAGCGCGGCAACACGAAAAAGGTCGCCATGCTCCTCAAGGGCCGCGCGCGGGGCGGCGAGGACCCTTCGCGCAACGACACGATGGTCTCCCAGATCGAGCGCCAGGACTCCATCATGTCGGCGCCAACGCCCCCGCCCGATAAGCAGGGCTTCCGCTTCGCAAGTGGTCGGCCACTGAACATGGATCTCATGACTTCCGTGTCGGAGGAGCCAGAGTCACCTCGGTGGAATCCGTACGAGAGTCCGGAGGAGCACCATGGGCGGCGCGGATCGCTCACTGACGCGTTCGACTCTGCTACGTCTCCGCCAAGGACTCGACCGCCCTCCGAGTACAGCGCGTCGACGGTCGGTCTATCGAGGGACGCATCTATGCACGTTGCATCGTCCTTCGAGCCCTTCGTGAACTCGAAGCGACTGTCCGCCGTCAAGGACTCACCGCTGGATTCGCCCTACGGTGATGATCTGCATCCCCAGACACGGATAGGAGACGCAAGTGCAGACGAGCACGTCGCGCAGAAGCGCTGGAGCGCCCGGATGAAGTCCGTCCGCGCCATCGTCAACGAATAGTTTGGACATGCACATATTTATTGCTTCACGAACTGCACGATATTTATCTTACTGACATACAGTACTCGTACTTACTCACCCGCCGCGACACCTCACTAGCATTTCACGGTACATTATTACCCTCCGACTGCATCTCACCACCACACGCCTACGCTTTCAGTAGCTTGTACCATAGGCACGGACGCTCTCGCGACAGAACACTAGCAGGATATAATGCACATAGTCATACCAAATACATGACATGAGCCTACAACACAGCATCTCATTCCTCGTCGCAAGCAACCTCCTACTCATCGTCGTCGTACTCCTCCGACTCGACCTTGATGACAAGCCTGGCACCAGCCTCGATGCCGCACTTCTGCATCGTATCCTCTGGATCGCACTCGACCTCATCCTCCAGCATGTCTCCATTGTCGTCCTCGTACTGAATGATATGATACAAACGCGCTCTGGATGTGGAGTCAGTAAGAGGAGACACAGGATGCTAGAGAATAACTCACTCATCCACGTCTATTCCAAAGTTCTGACACGCGCCGGCGAGCACCTTCTTCACCAAATGCCCACCCCGCGTCTTGAACTCCGCCTCCTGGTCAGGATACTGGCCAGAGATGTGCACCGTGAACCTTTCCTCCGATGGCTTCGACTTCCCCGATGAGGGCTTCGCAGCCACTGTCTTCGCGGAGGGCTTCCGGGACTGAGACGAAGATGACGCCGGCTTTGACGAAGTGGGAATGCCGGACTTCTGCGCCGCGGCAGGTCGGAACTTAGAAGGGGAGGGCTGGGATCGCGGGGGTGGTGTTGGCTCTTCGGGCTCGTCATCGTCGAACAGGTTCGCGGGCGAGGAGGCTGCCGCGGTCTCTGCCTTGACGGTCTTCACTGATGAGGATTGTACCTCGACTTCGGCCTCGACGACGACTGCAGGACAGTCAGCAAGGGGATGGAAAGCTCGGTGTGACGGGACGCACCAGCTGATGAGGGAGGGACCTCAACCCATTGTTGACTCGAACCACGAGACGAGCTCTGTTCCTTCACGCGAGGCTCCGGTACAGGGAACGCGGGCTCCGCGTCCACAACATCTGGCTCAGCCGCCGCGGGGGGTATATCTTCATCAACCGCAGGCGCCTCATCCTCATCGTCGTCCTCAAACACCGATCGCTCCCGAGAAGCAGATGCGCTCTTGCCCGCCGTAATGGTCCCCTTTGGCAACGAGACCTTCTTCTCGGTCGCCTTCGCCGTCGTCACAGATCCTGTTGCGCTGGTTAGTGGGATGGGGGAACGCCTGGGCAGGCCTATTGCAACGCACGTGGGCTAGGCTGCGGTGGCGGCAGCGCAGAAGAGTCGACCACGGTCACCACGATCTCGTCCAGGAAGCTCGACATCGTCTCATATACATCTTCGTCTATGAAGACGGGGGCACCGCGGCAGATGTCGAGGGTACTCGTAGTGAACTCGAGCGCCGCGACAGAGTCGAGGTGAAACTTCTTGCGAACAGCAGCCTCCATCGTCTACACGGCTCAAGTCAGCGAGAGCATCGGACGCATAGGCATGCCACACACCACAAAGTTTGTCGGTCTTGGCATGAACAAGCGTTTACCATTGCACGCGAAGAGCGTCACTGGCACGTCCTTCGAGGACTTGGTCTCCGAATTGATAGTGGATTTGAAGTACATGGTCGCGTAGAGGTATTCCCAAAATTTTCCGGCAGTCAAGGGTATGTGATATTCAAAAGCATAGGAAGCGCGAGAAAACCCGCCGTATGAACTCGAATACTGTGGTCGATGGGAACAAGGGAAGACCGTCACAAGCGTGACAGAGCCCGGCGGGTTCACGTGATCGTGTATGCACGAGGCGTCACGGTTTTGAATTGTGACCCTGCTCCAGACACACAAGTTCAGAAGGATATTCTCATAGTCTATTTTCGACCTCTTTGCGAGTATCTATTGATGCTCTTGAGAGAGAGATTCGCGCCGTACGACATCATAGAGGGGTCGTAGAGTTTGACCAATCGAAGGTAGTAGAGGTGGATAAAGGTGGACTCTGTGTATGGTCGTGCACGAATCAAGGACCACTATCTTTCAGTTATGTTAAGTTATGTTAAGAAGGTATTCAAAGCATGACGTAAACGCGATTGAGCTGCTCTCAAGGCCGAGTATGCGATTGTCGATGTTATGCCGCGTCCGGAAGCCTTGCTGCTAGTAATAGCAGGGTATATCGTACGAGAGACGATGATAGTCCAAAGTATGAACAAAGTTGCAAAAAGAAGCCAGGAAAGGTTTTCTCCACCGAAAGACGAAGAGGATGATGATGGAAGCCGAGCAAACCTTCCAAAGGGGGATATTCCAGCCGTTCGACTCCGTCCTCTCAGCTCTGACATTACTCCTCGACACTGACAAGACGTGTAGCGAACTCCTTTCTGGACTGCCGCTTGAGTCTCAAGTGATCTCTCAAAGGCCTCATTCTCAGAGACTGCCCGTGAACAGACAAGCCGCGGCATAACGGGATGGCCTATCAGACTTACACGGACTCAAATTATCACCTTCCAGCTCCTCGTGCGTGGCTCGATGTCCCATGTTGTATGCTATACTAACACACAACATTTCACAGCTGAAACCTGTTCTCCTTTGTATATTTAGCTACATACAGCTCACGACAGTCGATCGCGGGTTCGACGATCGGCGGCAGAGTATACGCCTCTAGTCCGTCCATCCTACAAATCCATCCCTCCAATTCCTCTCGCTGTGAGACCCAACAAGCTCTGTCTGAATATACAGCGCCATGATCCTGGGCAAGGACACCCGCGGCCTCTTCATATCAACCGGGTCCCCGGCTCACCCTGCCCGTCCCGAACTGGCTCGACGAACCCTTCGTCTCCAGGCAAGACGTCCCTCGCACTGCCCTCTCTGTGAGCTTGGGCGCCTTCTGGTGGGCCATCGTGCGCGCTGGACTGGGGCAAGGAGACTCGCGGTCTCTTCGCCTCAATGGCGTCCTCCGTATCCTCCGTCGCTCTACGCTTCCGCACGTTCGGTGACTCCTTGACTTCTGGAAGGAGGTCACCCTCTGACTCAGCCTTCGCTTTCTGTCCTTCAGGCGCAGGATCGACCTTGGCCCCTGGTGCTGCAGGCCTGGGCGGTCTCCACCTCGGCATTGTCAGCTCACCGACGTTGACGATGACCTCTCCCTCCTTGATCCCTGCGACCACGTCAATGTCGACCCGGTCGATCCTCAGTAGCCCCTTCTTGCCCTCGTAGTACTCGCTGATGCGGCGGAAGACCTCCTCGAATCGGTGATACACGTCCGTGTCAAAATTCTCCTTCGCGAGTCGCTTGTGTCGGACCTGGGCCGCAGGCAATCCTGCCCCGAGCTCCTCGTCGATGTCTCTTGCCTGCACCATGCGGTGCGCGTCGCCCATCATATGAATCAGGTTATGCAGCCGGACCATGGGCGTGTCCGGGCCGTATGCTCGGCTGAGCAGTTGCCAGAGAGTACGGCACTCCTTTGCGTCGCCCAACATCAGTTCACGACGCACTTCTGAGCCAGGCGCATCGTGTACAAAGAGTCTCTCTCTGCGACAGCGCTGCAACAACAGCCAAGCGGCAGTAGCGGGGTCGCGCCTGAAACTCGTAGGGTCGCGCTTTCTGCGCAAGGCGACTCTCTCGTCGACGTGCTCCAAGGCGTACTGAAGCGCGATCCAGAGTACGGACTCTACGTCGTGGCAGAAGTTGACGTTGAAGTGATTTGCAGCGAGGAGGGAGTCGGGTGCGTTCTCCGGCAAGAACATATGCTTGCCTGCCTCTATCTCGATGGCCATGTAGGGTCTAGTGCCCTGTGTGATATGTGAGTCAATCTAATGTGCCACTGGGGACTACGTCTGCTCACCGTTCGTCTGGCCCAGGGCTCGAGCGCTTCGTAACGTTTCGTGAATTCGAAGTCGATGACCTTGACCACCCAGTCCAAGGTCAGGGGGTCCCAGTATAGCATGATATTTCCCGGACTGATGTCGTGATGGACGCGTCCAACGCGGAACAGGAATTTCAGGACTACACAAAAGCCGTCAGCAAAGCTTGACGGGAAAGCTGCGAAGAACTCACAGATCATGACCTCAGCTAGCGCTCGATGGAACAGCACCGGATCGTCGACTTCATACAAATCGTGGCAGCGCTCGGCATACACTGTCATCCACCTCTGCCGGTAGATCTTCTTCGGCCACGTGAAACTCGGTGACCTCCGCTGGACATTGTACTTCGCTGGCATGTCCGACGCGATCTTCACGAAGAACTTCTTCATCCGCTCGGTCTCCTCGGTCCCGGCGATCGCGTTCATAGCCGAGATCAGCTCGCGCTGCATCTCCGACTCCCTTGGGTCGCAAGGCAGGAGGTGCGTATCGCGGAGTACATGCTCCTGCGCTTCTGAGCGGATAGATAATCCATCTCCGAGACGGTCTGCGGGCTTGGCTGTGTAGACGGAACGCCCCTTGCCGTATAGACCACCCGAGAGTGAGCACGCAGCCAGGATGCCCGTCGTCTGATAGACGACAACTTTGTTGCTTAGAATGTTCTTCGGTACGCTGAACTGGTATTGAAGCGAGTCGCTTGCGTCGACGACACGCGCAATACCGGGGTCGAGGCCAAGGTGGCACTTTGCGTAAGTGGCGAAGAGGACGAACTGGATGAAGTCGGTGCATCGCTGCAATGTAGGTGAGCAAGCGCTTTCAGACCTCTTTCCTGGGTGCGCACCTTGTTGATGTCGAATTCATGCGTCACGGCAGAGTAGGAGCGCGTGTGGTACCAGATGCGGGCAGTGGTGTCCTCGATGGTAATGGCGATGTGGGCGACGCGACGACAGTCGCTGTACAGGATCTGGTTTGCAACGCCGATGGACTGCTCCTCATTCTGTGCGAGACGTCAGTTCTGCTACCGATCACAACTGAATGGTTCACGCACCTCAGCCGCATCGTCGCCGTCTGACCAGAGTACAGACACCCCAATGTCGGCCATCCACTCCCCTATCCACTCAGGGTCGTTCTCGTTGAGGATGACGCTCTCGATTGCGGAGCCCGCGAAGGCCCCGTGGGCGCTCTTGTCCTTCAGTACGGTATAGCCATCGAGGCGGAACGACTCGACGCCTTTGTGTACGAATGTCTTGCTCTGGCGATTACACTGAAAGGTCGCCGTCCTCGCGTCCGGGTGGAACCTCTCTGGCAGCACCTGCTCGGCAGCATCCACGATATCTGCGAACAGCTGCGCTATCCCTTCCCAGATCTCGTCGAGGGACGTATCTTTTGAATGATTGCTGGAGCCGGGAAACGCGCGGAAAACGTTTTCCGGATAGCCCAGCGTCGCGTCAGAGAGCATCTTTTTGAAGATGGGTTCCATGCCGTCGTCGCCAACAAACTCCCATCCGCACGCGTACAGACTGTAGAACTCTCCCGGCGAGCAGGTGACGATGTTCTGCGCAGACGTGGTCATCGTTGCAACGTTAGGCTTTGGCGCGGTAGCGAGTTATCGATGAGGAGTGCAGGCCTTGCCCAGTCGCAGATATTAGAAAATGCTGAATGAGCTCCCTGACGAAAGGCGGAGGCGAGGATCAATGGCGTCCGAATCCAAAATGTCAAGGGGCGGCGAGGCTCAGCCCTAGTCACGTGACTGCCGCATGGCAGTCACATGTCGCAAGCCTTTCAACATCCGGTCGCACCTCAAACTCACAGCACGCTAACGATGTACGACACATCCTTGAGTGCTCAGTGCGACAAACTCATGCTTAATTACTAGAAATGGAACGACTCTTACATCTAGTAGTAGGTAAACGAGTGACAGGAGCGTCACAATTAAGTACCTTGCCTTGCAAGATCTCTCCCGCCCTTGATCGATTCCAGTTCCTCATGCTGAGTGTCCATGTCTGATCACTTTCAAGGACATGTGTGTTGCTCGACTCACCAGGATAATTCCCTATTTCCCGCACATAGGGCATCGCGCAGTCATGAGCTGTACTGTCCCCGGCCAAAGGCCGTGCTTTCATAGCAAGCGCTAGACGGCAAGGAATTCTTGCGCGAGACAGCCCCCTGCTTCATATTCGACGCCCAAAAATTGCAATCGAGCTTTGTGCCCATGCTTAACTGCGAGGGAGGTGCAGGAGTAATAGACTGAGCAGGGTATACTTCCCTGTCATAAATAGATCCAATTACACACACAGAACAGGAAAGGGTAACAAAACACTGAAAGTAACGAAGACAGCACTGTACGTCCACCGAGATAGCGTATGAACAATAAGTACCATCGAGAAATAAGTACTGTTCCGTCCATGACGGCGTGCAACAAACGCAGGGAGTATGGTATAGCACTCTCAACAGTGACGAACTTATGCGCTCGCAGCAACCACAGGCGCCGGATACGCCATCGCCTGCTTCTGCTGCCCCTGCTGCCCTTGTCCGACCTGCCCCTGCTCCCCCGGCTTCTTCCTCTTCCAATTCCCGCTCCCAATCCCCATATTCTTCCGCTTCTTCGGCGCCGGCCCCTCCTCGCCGTCGCTCTTCCGCTTCTTCCCTGCACCTCCTTCCCCTGCGCCGCCACCACCAGCACCAGCACCAGCACTACCGCTCTTCGCGGCCTTCTCGGCGCGCTTCGCGGCGGCGACCTCGGCCTTCTTGGGCGGCGCGTTGCGCGTGATCTGCCCGAGGGGGCCGATCTTGGTCTGTGCGAGGCTGGGCGGGTCGTCGGGGAGGACGACGGGGTGGGTAGGGGACGGGGGAGGCAGGTCGGGTCGGGCGGTGGGCGTGGGTAGCAGGGAGATGGAGGTAGGTAAAGTGTTGGGCAGGGCGGAAGAGCCAGCGATGGGTGGGGGAAGAGGGACCGGGGCGGCCACGGGCGGTATAGGCGCTGGAGGGGCAGGCGGACGCATCGACGGTCCCGGAAGAGCTGGTACAGCAGCCGCTGCCGGAGGCGGCGCGCGCAGTGTACGGATACGGTCCTCGTAGAACGGCTTGAGCAGCCCGATCTGATCCTCGACCGTATTCGAGTCCAGCGGCACGAACGGCGGCGGCGGCGCGTGCGGGTTATCCTCCTCCTGCACGCGCGCCTGCGCGGCGACCACAGGGCGCGCCCTCTTTCCGCGCATAAGCCGGCTGGGCACGGTGAGGCTTGTGACGCCGAGGTCGGCGGCGATGCCGGAGGAGATGAGGCCGAGGTAGTCGTCCTCGTCGCCCAAGAAGTTGGCGAGGTCGCCGCGCGCGAGCGGGTCGAGCTCTTCCTCGTCTTCATCCTCGTCGAAGAGGCCCTCGTCAACGACAACTCCATCTGGAGCAGTAACCTGGGCGAGAGCGTGAGCAATACACCATGACACCGCGGCCGTACACCTACCCGCTCGCGATACGCCCTGACGAGCTTCGCCTCATTGTCGGCGAGCCGCGCGCCGTATCTCTCCACGTCGTCCGCAATATACCTCTCCAAATCCTGCACCTCCGACACACCACTCTCAAACAACGTATGGAGGATAATTTCCTGCACGGCCTCGTTAGCCAACCACATTCCTTATCCCTCACAGAACTACACCCCACTCACCTCCGGCGTCATCTTCTTCCCAAACTTGTCCGACAAGAACCTCAGCGTGCGCCCGACGTTCAGCAGATACCCCGCCGCCACGTCCGACAGCATGTCCAGCGCATTCTTCGACGCGCCCTGGAAGCCCGTGTGCTCCAGCGTCTTGCGCGTCATCCATGTCATGCACGCCGCCGCATTCTCCTGCCCCAGCTCGAGGCCGCCGACGCGTCGGCCGCCACCGCGAGTGGGTACGCGCCAGGGCTGCTCGGACGCGAGCGCCCGCGCCTCCTCTGCCTCGGGCGACAGCGCGGGTGTAGGATCGCCCTCGCCGTCGAGCGCCGCGAGCTTCGCATTTACCGTGCGCACGCGGCGCATGGTGGCGATGTTGCTGTTCATCAGGGAGAGCAGGGACTTGGGGTTCGCCGTGGCTGGCGGCGGTGCTGGTGGCCGCCTCCTCTTCTTGGGCCTGCGTGCCGGGATGGAGGTAGCATAGGTGATGGGTGGGAGCCCGTTGCCGAGCAGGAGATCGGATTTCTGGTTTGCCTGCCACCAGAGATTGTGCAGCTCGCGCTGCTCCTGGTCATAGAGTTCCTGATCGGTCAGGCCCTCTCGAGGGCGCTTGCCTGGCGGTGAGTCCACATTCGCCTCGTCGCTGAGCTTGCGCTTCGTGGCGGTTGAAAGGCTGAGGCCGGGGATAGGTGTGGCACCGCGCGCGAGCTCGCGCAGCCGCTCCGCCATCGCTGACGACGATCCGGGCTTGCCTTCAATCGCGGAGTCAAGCGCCGCAAGCTGCTCGTCCAGGCGCTTAAACTCGGACATGCCGTCCATCGTGCGCGGCACGGCGGGCTCGTTGGGGAAGTCTTCGGGGTTGCCGCCACGCTTGGAGGGGTCTCCCCCGCGCTTGGAAGGGCCTGCGGCGAGACGGGAGCCGGCGCCTGGGGTGTGGCGCCGCGCGACGGGCACAGGTGTGCGACTGTGGGCGGTGTGGCTGCGACCGGCGGCGCCATGGCCGTTGACGCCGTTCGTCTTCGCTGGGGTATATACGAGTTCAGGGGGTATGACGGGATCGCCGCGCTCCTTGCGATCTGTGAGATTCTGAAGAAGGACCTCGGCCTTCGCCCTGAGGCGGGCGGCGCACTTGCGGAGTGGGTGGTTCTGCAGACCATGAACACGGCGGTCAGGATGAGCGGGGTGGGGGACGCACCTCGGCGGCATTGTACTGGAAGCAATTGTCCCAGATGCGATCAAGATCATCCTTGAATTCGCGCTTGCTCTTGTAAATCTTGTTGCGTACTTTCTTGACCATCGTCCCCAGGTCCATCGGTTCCTGGATGACTGCTGCCATTAGACGAGTGGCTAGGTGGTAGGGCAGGAGACACACCTTCGTAGTAGTCTGGCGCTTCCGTCTTCCCGACGGGTTTGAGAAACGCCTCCGCGTCGCGGTTATCCTGAGAACAATAGCATGAGAACAATGGCAGGTCCAAGCAACGGGGAACGCACCATGGTCATCGTTCGCAGCTCTGTGAGGACTCCATCCAGTGCTTCATAGAAGGGATCCGCGAGCTTGCCCGTATCATTAGCTTGCTGTGGGGACATCAGACTCGCGAACAGTAAACAGACATCGGGCACGCACGCGCTCAGCCTTGACGTCGGCTAGCACTCGTTTGAGGTCGGTGTTGCTGTACCCATTCTGCCTCTCCCTCTCTCGTATTGTCCGTAGAAGATTCTGCCGCTCGGGTTAGCGACCGGGCGCGATGCGGCGAAGACGACTTACATTCATCGCGGCATTGAGTGACGGATTCAGACAAGAGCTTGTTTGTCAAAGTTTGCAAACGCGGAGGACGCACACGTGGGAATTCGGCCCGACCATCCGCTAGTGATCCGCTGGCGGATCTCCGTTCCCCGCTCCCTTCCACCGTCGACACAGCGAGTACAAGCACATATATTCGCCTACAGATACATCGGGATACGCGTATTCAAGTCGGTTTCGTACAGAAGCTGTAGACACGACGAATATATAGGAAGATGATCACTCGATTCACGCAGCAGCGGTCGCAACTCCGATGCTTTGAAGGTACCCGATGCGATGTTCATTCTTCTCCGTCTCTGGCGACCTGTTGATTGCTATCCACTTCGGGGCATCCTGGGGATGGCGATGAGACTTCAATACGAGGAGCGACCACTGTTAGCATACCTGGAACAGCCGTAAGGCCTGAATATCGTCCTTGACGTCTGTAGTGAAGCGGTGGTAGATGCCGGCCGGGATGATGAGCAGATCGCCCGGCTCGACTGCGAGACGAATCCAATTGTCACTTGGGCTCTCTGCGCAGGATAGTGAGGAGACGAGGGCGAAGGGCAGTGCGGGCGGGAACATACCTCGCACGTCGAAGAATCCTGCGCCGGACAAAATGTACCGGATCTCCTCGTCTTCGTGCAAGTGTCTAGCAGCGTGACGATCAGCTAAGCAGTAGCACAGCACCATCCCTCACTCACTCGTCGAAAAATGCTTTGATCTTCGCCTCGTATACCTACAAATCCGCCCATTAGTCACGTTCGTAATACCCATTGGCTGCCACCGTGCTCACCTCCCCCAACCCCTCCTTCGACACATGGATCTTATCCATATTCTTGTACCCACGCTCAGCCATGATCTTTGGTATCTCCCTCTCGTGCTCGGAGACGGGTATCCTCTTGTAGTAGACGTTCAGCTCCTTCAGTCGCTCCGGGGATACGGGCGTGGAGGGCGGGCTATCGTGTAGGAGACGCTGGTCGCCCTCAAGGTTGTCGTAGTAGTAGGCACGCATGGCGTGGATACGTGCGGTAGTTTGGAGTGAGTGAGTGAAGGAGGAGTAAGAGGCCTAGGGAATGAGTAGGATGATGGGGGAACTGGACAAGGGTACGGCCGTTCTCCCATGATCGCCCGGCCCGGGGCGGACCTCACCACGTGCGAGGCAGACCATCATCGCCGAGCGTGAATGTTGCTCGTCAGGTCATGAGCAGAAGTCTGGCCGCCAAACAACCATCAGGTCATCTATGAATACTCTACAGTTCGTAAGCTTCTATAGTCTGAGCTATACGTTCTCGCCTGCTTGTAGACCTAGTAGAGCTCCGCTCCCAACGCCGCAGCCAGCTTCCTCGCTGCGCGCTTCACTTCCCCGCGCTCGCCCATCACGGTGAGCTTCACCCCCGGCCCCGCGACAGACGTCGGCACCAGATCGTACCTCCCAAACGCCCAGTTCAGGATATGCGGTCCTTTGTCTTGTAAGTCAACAAATCCCTTGACGCGCCAGACGGATTCGCGAGAGAGCGCCCCGAGTGCAGAGGTGAGGGTTCCTTCGGATATGGGTTTCGGCGCGATGACGGATGGGGTCGATCCCTCATGTGAGCCCACGGAAGGAGGCGAGCCAGCTGCACCACATTTGCAGGAGCCGGCGTCGCTCGCGCAGCGACACGCCCCTGCGCTCCTGCACTGACACTTTTCCGGGGAATGCTCGTGCCCGTGCTCATGGCGATGCTCTGGCGGCGCCGACGCCACCGTTACCGTCTCCACCTCGTCATTGTGCGCCGCGTCGCCAAAGCTCTCCGCCCCGTCCTTGAACAGCTGCGTGTCGAGCCCAAAAATGAGCGAGGGGTCGACGCCGGCGCGGCCCTTGCAGCGGATTTTGGGCGTCAGGTCGTTCAGCGTGTGCAGGTGGTCGTAGACGATGTCGAGATCGCGCTCGGAGACGTGCTCCCATTTGTTCTGTGGGTAGGATGTTAGCGGACGTGCGATGGACTTTAGTAAACGGAAAAAAGAACAAGAAACGACGGAGGAAAACTACCCACAATAAGAATCACATCCGAATAACTCGCCTGCATCTTCGCAGTTGGCGACGTATCCTCGTAGCCCACAAAGTTCTCCGCATCGATGACCGTGATAATCGCATCCAGCTTCAAATCGCCCCCCGTCTGCCGCTCGAGCTCGCGGATCTGGAACGCAAGCGTGGCGGGGAATGCCGAGCCGCTGCACTCGATGAATATGCGGTCCGGCCTGTACTTGTCTGGGATGGTGAGATGTTGGGAGTTAGGTTTGAGAAGGCAAGCTCACCTCTAATTTCTAGCAATGCGTTCTGCATCTGGCCGACAAGGACGCAGCACCTGGATGGTGTTTAGCGAGGGTTAAGGTGGGGCACCGTGTGGCAATTTACATGCATCCATTCAGGATCTCGCTGACAGCAGTCAAGCTAGACTGTTGTGCAAGCTTACTGTCGACCTCCACATCGCCGTATTCGTTCTTAAGCAGTGCAGCGCGGTAACCTTTGGGCAGATGCTCAAGGAGGGAGAGAATGATGGATGTCTTCCCGGCGCCAAGAAATCCAGTGAAAACAGTGATGGGAATGGGTTTCTGGTTTGTCATGGGGGTAGCCGATATAGGTGGCAGAGAAATACGGAGGAAGGAAGATGAAGACGATGAGCGTAGGACGCAAGATGCTCTCGGTCCCGGCCCAGCGCCTAGATCAACCGTGAGAATCGGACCCTTCTTGAAAGGTCTGCCGCTTCCAGTTCGACTCCCGACCACGGACAGGTTCAAGAAAGCAGAACAGCGCGCTGGAGTGTCATACTGTATAGAACAATTATAAGTAGGTATAGTGTAGGTATAAGAGATGTACACCAAGATAAGGCACCTCAGAGCGCAGGACAGAAGTAACTTACAGGATACGAGAATGGCATCTTCCGCCTGACCTTTGTCCTCCCGATGTAAAAGATAGCCTCCGCAGAGACGTGTCCGCGAATGATATCATGATCATTGACATGCCTTTTCATGTCTAGGGCGCGCGCGATCACACTATGGTGCGGGTTCGGCATCATCTGGGCGTAGTCGCAGACAATGATGAGGCCTTCGAGGGGTCGGGGTTCCTTCTTGCATTGCTCGAAGTATTTGTAAATGTAGCCGCCTAGGGTGGCCTTGACGGACATGATGTGCGCGCGGACGACGCAGTAGAAGAAGGCGACATCGACGATGGAGATTGCGCCTATATTGAGGGTTATTGATTGGCGTGTTCATGGGTAATTCTGTAAGTCGTACCTCGCAGACCCCACGGACCATCTGCGGCGCAGCATTCGTAGCGGTGCACTTTATCCCAAGCCATTCGTTGGCAGCTCCCTGAGCAGTAAAACGCTTCACCGCACGCGCAGAGTCGCACATGCTCGGTGTGTGGGCCTTCCTAGGAGTTGGTCTCAGCTGCGAATTGCCATCATTCAAGAACTATTAGCTCACACCAGAAGAATTCGAGCAAGCCATGGAGAACCTCCAGCTCCGCCGCTTACTATGGTCGTTGTACAAATTTTGCTGTACCATATATGTGAGCATCACGGTGCGCCAGGTCCGCGTATTCCCCTTCGGCTGGTCGACCTCCGAGGGCGGCATAAAATCCAGCTTTTTGCGAAAGGCGCGCAGAACTTTGGCGTGCGCCAGCCCCTTGCACAGGCACATCACCAGCCGCGTCGCGTCCACCCTCTCGGACACGCTGTCCAAGTCGTAAACTATGCCAAAAACGCCCTCCTCGATGGCCTCCACCAGCGGCCGATTATCGCGGGCGACCTCGCAGACGATGGCAATGTAGCGCAGCACGATGCACGCGGCCAGATTCTCCCTCTTGTCGAGGCAGAAGTCGGCCGCGGCGACGGCGGACGCGACGACCTCGCGAGGGATCCTCGAAGGGGCAAAATCGGGGAGCTGGATCAGGGCGGTGAGCCACTGAATGTGGTTCTTCCAGGTGGAGAGGGCGATTACGGGGTCGAGGTACAGGTCACAGAGCGTGCGGGTTTGCGGCCCGATGGCGTGCCACAGAGAGCGCTTGGTGATTCTCGCATCGCGCAGCGCGTCGAGGAACAAGGCCATATCGTCGTCGCTCGGCGACTTATTTGCATCCGCGAGCACCTCATACAAGTGATATGCCGCCGTGGCGATCACATAGGCTGCGCGCCCACCGATATCGTCTGTTTTGCCAGGCAGCGCCGCATACTGCGTGAAGTTGACCCACATCTCGAGGACTTGGGCGAGCAGATCCGGATGCGCGTGCAGGAACGCCTTTGCATTCTCCGTATCCGACTCGAGGATGGCGAGGTACACCTGCGAGATGTGGATGACGTCCGACTGGACATCGCGCTGGTGAGCGCGAGCAAGGCGACGGCGGGCGGGATGGGCGACGGCGGTCCACTTCAGCATGTATGAGGATAGGTTACGAAGCAGGGGAGCGAGGGCTGCGCCTTCCGGATGCGCGGCAGCGCCCCAGAGCATCGAAAACGCTGTGAAACCGACGAAGACGACATCGAGGAAGCCAGGGTGATAAGGAAGGATCCCCGGAGGTTTGAGTTGTATGTAGGCACTGAAGGAGTTATTGAAGAGAGCCACGGCCCGTGCGAACTTGGATTTACGCGAGCGCTGCGGTTCGTCGTGAGCGCTTTCAAGGTTGTCGTCAGGGCCATCCTTTTGTAATTCGAGTGCGAGGTTATGCAGCTCCTGTAGATCTGTGTATCCCCGTTGGAATACAAGGACCATGGCGTTCATAGCAAAGCTGTTCATGGCGGTGAAAATTGTGCGTATGGAGGTAGAGGAGTGCGACAGGTTCGTCCCCTGAGCGTGAGGTGATGGCCGTAAAGAAGAACGAACATTTGATCGCGTCGCTCAAAGTTCGTGACCGCGTAGCGCGTGGCTCGTTGGCAACCACCACGTCTTTCAAAAGGCAGTCTATCTGTGCGGATTTGTGCGGAAATCTACCTTGTCAAGTTGACTTCTATGATATCATAAGTAGTAGACACAACACGAGTTATTACACATTTCTACAATACTCGTAACCAAATTGTGATTCGAAAGCACATTCCCCACCACCACCACCACCACCACGCCAACCGACCTACTCACGCCGCAATGATCCCCGCACCCTGCAGTCTCGCAATCAACTCCCCAAGACTCTCATTCTCCCTCTTCATCCGCTCCCTCTCCTCCTTCCCCGCCTGCAGCCTCTGCGACCAGCGCGCCTTCTCCTCATTCCAAGTCGCGGTGCGCGCGTCTATCTGTGCTTGAGTTCTCGCCTCGTGCTGGCGGTAGTGGTGGCGGGCGAAGGCGTATATTTCACGCTTCGAAAGCACATCAAGCTGAGCTCAATCCCGTAGCAATGGATAAGAACGTACTGAGATCTTGCCTTCCAGCTCGATGACCTGGGTCGCCTTCTTCTCAAGCATGGCTTTGTCAATGTTGAGGACACCCTCGAGCATTCGGCCTCGAGGTATTTTTTCGAGGGCGGCGAGGACTCTGTATCGTCGTCAGGGCGCGTTGCATGAGCCACGGTCGGCGAACATACCTATACAACCTTTCCACATACCGCGCATACCTCGCCGCAATCTCATCTCCTCTGTCGGACGGCTCCAGCAGCCGCACCCTCGAGAACGAGATCATGAGGGAGTCGAGTCGCATGAGTGACTCTAAGATGTTCAAAGTGGCCTTGCGCCAGGGATCGAGCTGGGGCGCGTGCTTTTTGGCGATGTGCTTGGGAAGGACCTGCATATTCTATTAGCGTCTATATCCTATGCATCACAAATGGCTAATACTGAGTTCTCACCTGCCACACATCCGCGTACATCCGCATCTGTATACCATCTAACGTCAGCGCGTCGCGCTTCAGGGGAAGTGAGAGCCTTTCTGCGACACCCGAGCCCGTGGATGACATGTCGGATTGTGAGGGTGGGTACGAGGCCGAAGACTCTTCAATGTCACCAGCATCACCAAGAGGTTCGGGGATGACTCTCCTCTCCAAGGGAGTACTCTGCATGGGCGATGGGTACAGATGCGTAGGGGGCGGATGCAGGATGGCTGCCCTCGGGAAGCGGGAAGGACCAGCTTGAGCAGGAGTTCCATGCGAGTGGGCATCGGGAAACACGGCCGGCGATCCATCGTATTGACTCTGGACTGGGATCTCAAGCGTCGAGTTGTAATTGATGAAAGTAGGTTCGTCGGGCGCCACATTGTGGGCAGGATGCTCGTCTCGGTTGTGAGGCGCCGTCGCCCGTGCGGGGTGTCCAGAGCTGGATGCGCGAGAGCGCGCAGGCGCCCTGCTTGGCTCGCGTGAAGTGCGATTCGTGGCGCGGGCGGGTTCAGGTGCAGCGGGTGCGCGCCTCGTGTCGTGTTCGCGCCGAGCGTTGGCGTCCAGCGACTCCAGCGACGAGCTTGTACGTAAGATAGACATCTTGACGAATGGAGGGGCAGTTCTGTGGCGGCCGGCAAGAAAAGGTGGAGGCTGCACGAAATGTGGCGTAGTCGTTGACGCAAGGCCGCTCGTGGGTGCGTGCACTCAAGGCAGTCAGGGCGCTCTCCGGGAGCTATAGGGTACGAGTCAAAAGAAGACTCTGAAGCGCGACAGCTGGACGGCGAGGGAGTCAGTTCGAAGAGACGCAGGGATGAGGCAGGACGGAAGATTGTGAGATATGCGCGATGTGCTCACACATATATCCGACTTCGAATGTGGGCGCACAATAACGTGGGAGCCGGCGACGGTCGCTCAGACGACCACAAGCCTTCCCATACGGGGTACCGTCTCCCGATACTAGCGGCCGGGGGCTACCTCTACGCTGTCGAGCGCCGTCTATACTCGGGTTTACTCCGGGCCTCGTAATGATAGGTGTTGTAATTTGTGCGTCAAAGAAGGTTCAGATATCCATCATGAAATCGGGAAGCGAGACGGGCGTCAGAGGTGCTGTGGTACGCCGTACAACTTGAACCAGGGCGAAGACAAGAAGCATCGATAACCATTGTTCCGTTACGGGCAGTACGTGCAGCGCAAGCACAACCACACATAAAGGTGGCCTTTCCTGCTACTCGCCGCGTCACATGTATATATGAGCGCGGGGATTTGAGCTTTGGCGAGAAGTTTGTGTAACGCATGGAATATAGGCGTGGCAATAGCCATGATCAATTTGATCGATGCTGGATTGGGCAGGTCCAGCACCCCTACTCGCGCCTGGTCATCCTGTTGTAAGTGGACGACTGTATGAGCTTCGGAAGGGTTCTGCGGAGGTCGAGGAAGGGAGTCCATCAAATCAAGATGAGCGTGGGGAGAGGGGTTGGTTATCCTAGGTGTGGTGTCGGCTTGCGCCGGAGGCGACCGGACCGGCAAGGACTGCCTAATTTGGCCACAAGCGCACGGCCAGGACTCGGAAGCTTGAATCTGGAAAAGCCATTCCCGGTCTCAATGTAATTGAATCAAACCCTCAAGCTGAGGGCGGCGGGTAAGAGAGCAGAAAAGAATCGAATTGAGTCCTCCCCGAGGAGCCATGGCCGTAGGCACCGTTCAGTGGAACAAAGCATCCTCAGGCCAGATCCGAATTTTGAGGGGTGGCTACAAAGTTGCCGCATCTCGATTCAATGTGACTCATTGTTTTCTGGGCAAGTTTAGCTCCCTGTGTTCAGTCACCCAGACGACGAGGCGGAAACCAGGAAAGAGCACCGTCATGATCGTATTTACGCAGCACGTGAGCGGGTACTGCCCGAAGCGGAACAATGGTGACCGATGCATCTTGTCTTCGCCCTGATTGTACGGCATTCAGACCGCATCCAGCAGTGCCTCTGACACCCGTCTTGCTTCTCGATTTCATGATGGATATCTGGACCTTCTTTGACGCACAAATTTCAACATCACCCTGCACTCCTTGCTTGATTATTACGAGGCCCTGGGTACAATTGAGGCCGACACCGGCCGTGCGCCACACTTGTAAAAACCAATCTCTCCCCCCACGCTCATCTCAATTTGATAGATCTGCTTTTTCGACCTCCGTAGAACCCTTCCGATGCCCATTCACTCTTCTACTCATGGCAGGAGGAGCATGCACGCGCAGGAAGCCGATGCTGGACCTTAGCGCTTCATGTACGGATTGGGCGCTAGACAATGTCTTCGCCGCGTGGACGGCGTCCGGAATGTCGTTTTTCAGAGAGCGTGAAGGGTCTCATCGGTACTTAAAGGCGGCAAATCCTCCCTCGGAGTCAGCAACGATACCTAGTTCCCTCAGCTCCCCCAACTCGCTCGTAGATCATCGTCATGGACTTTAGCCCCGGCGCTGCACCGTCACCCACGTCTCGCCCTCCTTCCTTGCGCCGGTCGTCGGGACGTGTTTTCGTGGATCGGACGCCGTCGACACAGCTTGATGGCCCTGTCCTTCCATCCAACGACGCGTCGCCGGGCCCCTCTACCTCGACGGCGAACGGTATCTCCACCTCGGTCGTGAACTGTGTACCGACATCGACGGAGATTCATCCTGATTCCACCGCAGTCCTCAGCACGTCCCCGCCTGCAAGTCGGTTGTCGTGGCAGACGACGCTCGAGCAGCCCCGGATTGGATCTGGGATCAGCGCGCCGCCCGAGCATCTCGCGGCTCGTATCCAGTCCATTGAAGCAGATGCGAGGTTCCTGCACAGCGAGCCTGCTATCCTGCATGCCGCGAGGGCGATCCTTCACAGAGACGGCGCGGCTCTTCATGGCGAGCGTGCGACTCTTCACGCGGCGGGGGAAACTGTCGTCGAGGTCGACGAAGATATCCTCATCGACATGAGCGACGTCTCGACCTACACCGAGGGCCCGGAGCTGAACGTGCCCTACACCGACGGCGAGGAGCAGGACGATGCGGACGACGACACGGAAGACGAGACTTTCTTCGATGCGCTCGAGGAGCTTGCGTCCCTCGCTGACTACCCGGCCTTCGCCGAGAGCAGTTCCTTCAGCGCTGATAGTAATACCTCGCCGCCGCGGCGCCCCGCGGAACGCCCCTCCACCATCCCATCCTATTTGCTGCACGCTATGGCCGATCCGTCTGCGACTCTTCTTCAGGAGTCGACATCCTATCCCGCACGCGCGTCTTTCAGCGGGCTCGCAGCATCACAAGCTCAGTCAAACGCATCGCTCCCCGCAGGGCATGCCCACGCCGCCCACCGACCGCGGAAGCCTCGGAGCGGAGGAGGTGCCGCCTCAGCCTGCGCCCCCACCGAGGAGCCCTCAATCCGCGGGTCGCTCCCGTCCCCAACCTGCGGAGGGCGCCCTCCCCCAACCCGGGGGTCGCTCCCTTCGTCCCTCCGTGGTCAGTTCCCTCCACCGCCCCCAGCCCCCCCGCCTCGCAAGCCTCGAGCACCTCCTGACGCCACGCAACTCGATCGCGCACATGCGCGCCGCCGGGCGGCCCGCGCTGGAGCCGCTGCGAGAGGCATACGAGTTCCACTTGAGGACCGTCCCCGCGGGGACGAAGCAGGCGCTGCATGATGTACAGTATGGGGCGCCGGATGTGGCCGAGAGGGCGAAGTTGAGGTATGAGGTGAGTTCGTGGGTGTGTGTGTGTGTGGGTGATCTTGAAGGCTAAGAGGCTGCTGGTCAGGTTCACGACGCGGATTATCTTGCGAGCAATGACTGGGCCATGAAGGAAAAGCAGCTGGAGGATATCGGAGGTCTTGTGCACTCGACACGCACGGTGCTGCACAGGTACCGGTACATTACGTTGACTGTCGACACAGACGCGAAGCGCAAGGACACCGCGGAGTGGCTCGATTGGGTCCGGTTGGTGAAGAGGTGCGTCCCATGCTCGTGGTCCGACGCGTCGCTACTCACGCACATTCAGCACCTGCGACGAGCTCAAGCGCAAGTTCAGAGACTGCGAGAACATGCACCTGTGGGCCCCCGACTATCTCGGCAAACGCAAGGAGCGACTCGCTCGATATGAGCTGCAGATTATCGTACGCCCTAGCCTCAGACGTCTCCTTCCAGTGTTGCTTGACCTATTCCAACCAGAAAACGACCGAGGCCATCATCAAGCATAAGCAGCGCGAACACAACAGCGCATTCGAGGAGGCCCGTGCTGTCTGGCACGAGCAGAAGCGACTCTTCAGCGAGAATACGCGCGCGTTGAAGGAGGACCATGAAGAGTTTAGGATGATGAGGCATATCTTGAGCGAGGAAGCAGAGCGAGCTCCAGGTCGGAGAAGCTTGTGGTGAACGAGAAAGAAAGGATGACCTTACGGCACGTATTGCTACGCCTTGACGACAATGCTTGACTACTATTGTACTCACGATCCAGTCAGGTATTCGAGAATGTGATGATAGTGCACTCCCCCCTTTCCAGATGGGAGAGTGCAACCAGGACTGATTGTATTTGTTGATGCTTGTTATGACCAAGCAGCGCCAGCGATGAAAAGTCCAAGAAACTCAATCTCGTGAAGAAAGGACGAGTTGAAGATATCATATCGTCAGCGCGGCATGGTGGGAGACGCAGAGATCGGCGCGATACAGTATGTGCGCGGCAGCACTGGCGGTGACAACTCGCGGGACTCCCGCAGCACATGCGCGGGGATTTCACAGGATCTCGTGACGACGATGGGATCAGATGCGCGCTTTGACCCGCAACGCGGCTTGGATTTGAACGCCTACTTGCCCCTTTACACGCTAGACTTTATTACTTTGCATCATGCCCGCAGACCGCTCCTCATTCAAGATCGACTATGAACGACACCCGCGCAGCTCGCTCAAGGAGTGGCTGAAGCAGCATCCGGACAATGAACGGCACCCGCGCAGTTCGCTCAAAGAGTGGCTAAAGCAGCATCCGGACTACAAGGCCCCTCCGCCCCGACGGCCCCCTCCCAAGAACGCTCCACCTCCGCTCCTATCCCCCGAAGAACTCGAAATCTCTCTGTCTCATTTCACCCCCGAGTTTCGCGCGCGGTGGTTGGCGGCGTGCGCGCGAATGAAGCAGGCGATGGAAGGCACTCTCCCGCCTGACGCGCCACCCGTCTACTACTCCAAGGTGTACAGCTACTTGCCCCCGCAGGCCGCCATCCCGGAGAACACGCCGTACGAGAAGCAGCCCGTGCGCATGACGCACAGCGGGATGTGGATGAATCGCCTCTCGGACGAACTCATGGACCTCGTCCTCGAGTTCAAGCACGGGAGCGTCGAGGCTGGGCTGAAGTGTGTGAAGGATGGCCAGGCGCGCGTCGTCGATGTGATCGGGGTGAGTCATGCATGCTTCGCCCTTAGCGTTTCTCTGACACGGCTTAGGGACGCCCCGAGCCGGACGATCCATCTGTCCAGGAAATTGACCTCCCGGGCCAAAGCTACTTCGTTCGCCTCTGGACCGGACACATGGATTACAATCGAACTGTTTGCTGGAACGTCGTGGATCGCAAGACGGGCAAGGTCCTCCGGAAGCCGCGTTTTCTCAAGATGTTCGCAACGGACGACAAAGAACTCTACCGCCACGAGATCTTCTCGTTGGAGAGGAACCGTGGTGTTGAAAAACCTGCTGCGGAGACCTTTATCGCGCACGACGGCGAGCGCGTCGAGTTTCACGTTCGCAAGAAGTTGGTGAAGACGATCCGGCTTCCGCAGCGCGCAAGTGAGCAACTGCTTGTAGAGCAGAAGCCGCTGGAAGTGCTTTTCGAGCTTAGCCTTGATTAGGTACGCTTGTCCGTAAATATTCCTTGTTACGAGTGTTGATTTTGAGTAGATCTGGCTCGTGAGACTGGCGTGTACATTGTACTATGTATTTGAGGTGGTATAGTAGAGTAGGTCTGCTCCATAATTTATTACAATCCATTAAGATCTTTCCATAAGTTCTTTGGCTCGGTGCATAATTTATCCATCATCCTAGTAATGTCTTTCGGTGACCTGAGGAGTTGGACAGGGTCTAGCGCGCCTGCGCTCGCCCAAAATCCCTACTCCAACTCCTCAGCCTCATAATATTCTTGAGCTTTCTCAAATTCTACTCATATCTTTCGTCGGAAACATCATGTCACCTACGGACTAGACCGTACATAAATTACTGAGCAGACCTACTCTAGTGTATCAAATAAGAATATCTACTGTATTTTGCATGTTCACAATGTCATACTATACTATTGGTTAGTCGGAAAATTATCTACCCGGGCACGGTTGTAGCCAAGTCGTAGCTGTAACGGTGAGAGGGTCCACGTCGAGAAGGTGGGTGCGTGCGATGAAGGCGCTGAGTTGCTTGCGCCGCTATATCTCCTGCACTATCTTGCAAGGTCTCTCCCGCCCTGAGTTAGTAATCCTCCCAGTTGGGACGGTGCTCCCAGACAACGAATGAAAAGTCACGCGCACCACACACGCGCCCAGTCCAGAATCTTACGGTGCATCAAGTTCAACCTTCGCATCGCTCGCTGCAGGGCATGCACACACCGCCTACCGATAAAAAAAGAGTCCAAAGCTATTGTTCCGCTCTCGCAGTATGCGTTCCCCACGGCCCCAAGTCCTATCGCGTTTTGCGACTTTCGCGGCGGTATTGTCGAATGTCGGTCACTTTCAGCTAGAGCCATCGAGTCGTATATCGTCTGCAGATTGCCATTATATGGTATCGTACTGGATCGGGATGTAGCAGTTCGTATCGTGTCGTAAGTAGATAAAAGTCATCCTTATTCGTCGTGGCGTGCACCCATAACAGGGTCAGTAATAATCCTGCCGAACATAACGCCGCGCTGCTTCCACTCCACACCAGTGCCGCATCTCCCTCAGAGCGTCGTAGTCAACCTCCATCGCGCGGATGTTGGCGAAGACGAAGTTCTTCCGCTCATTATACATTCTGATGAGGACTTCGTATTCACGCCGCTTGTCCGCGATGATGTCCTTCGTGGCTTTCTATACGACGACAGTCAGATATGAGATAGGCGGGTGCAGAGAGACAGACGCACTAGTAGTTGCGTCAGATAGCGAGTTAGCCTTTGCCTTCGCCTGCTAAGCCACTCGTCGTCGCGCGCGTTCGCGGGGTCCCGCAACTTCTGCAGGATCTCTTCGCAGATACTGCACAATCAAAGGTCAGCAACGAACATCAGGTCCCCGAGCAAAAGGACGTACCTCTTGATCAGCTGCACCCCGTCCGTCCACGAAGTAGTGTGCCTCCGCTTCGCCTCCGTGTCGACGACCACCGTGATGTGCCGGTACTTCGTCAGCACCCGGCGCGTCGCGTGCACCTGCGTCGCGATAACCTGCAACGTCTCGCCCCCGCCGAGCGCGCGTGCCCGATGCTCCGCCTCGCGCAGCACGTCCTGCGTCCCCGCGGGCACCTCCGAGAGCTTGAACTCGGGCGGCGTCAGCGGGGTATCGAGCAGGGGAGAGCGAGGGTAGAAAGTCATGGCAATTGAGCTGCGCGGCGACTCCACGATTTCCATCGCCCCAGGGCCAGGAGGCTGGGGTCGCTGGAGGATGGGCTCCTCGACTTGGCGGGCAGGTTGCGGTGGCGAAGGCTGCGGAAGCGGAGGCTGGGGGCGGGCGGACTCGGCCATGCGCCGCGTCGCCTGGGCTTGCGCGGCACCGAAGGTCATAGCAGGCACCCTCGGGGTCTCGTCTTCGTCGGTCCATTCATCATCTGCACCTCCTTCGTCACCATCTTCTATAACCTCCTCTCCCTCATCCCCGACCCTGTGCTGACCAGTGGGCAGCGTCGCTGACCCCGGCATATAGCGGGTGGCGTGCGTCGTGGCACGACTCCGGCGACTCGGCTCCCACGCGCGTACAGACGACCTGGGTTCATGCGAGCGCCCATGCTCTTCCACGCGCTCCCGTAAAGCCTCAAGCTCCGCTGCAACGAGTTCCCTGATGGGCGCCATACTCGGATGATCCAACACGACCCTCGGCGCAGAGGCATTCTGCTGCGGGTCGGGCGTCGTCTGCCCCGTTGACCCAGGAGGCGGCGTGCTGAACATCGCCGTGGGGTCTGAGCGGTTCACCGTCGACGTCGAGGGGCCTGGCTGCACATGGCTGACATGGAGAGCGTCGTTGTGACCACGAGACGGACCGCTTGTGTTCGGCGGCGGGCTGTTGCGCTGACTTCTAGGAGCCAAGGGCGGTCCAGGAGAGGAGCCCTCGCGCACGACTGCCGGTGTCTGGGAGGTCCGCTCCTGCAGAATGCGCCCTGACGATCGGCGCAGAGAATGTTGCGGGGAAACTTGTGGCGAGGCGCTCCTGGGGCGGGGCGAAGCGCTGCTGGGTCGTGGGGGAGCATCTGGAGGGTTCGCGGGAGGCGGTGTTGCGCTGCGAGGACGCTGAGTGCTGCTGGGACGTTGAGGCACGGGCATACTAGTGTGCCGCGAATGCGCATTCGTGGGCTGGGCGCGAGGTGCCAGGTGCCAAGGCGACGGCGCGCTGCTTGGACGCTGACGCGCAGACGTCGAAGGCGCAGGGAGAGTGGCTTCGGTGCGGGAGGGGCCTGTCGTCGGCTGGAGAGCACTAGATGACGCCCAACGACCACTCGTTGACGCCTGGGGACCACCCGACGCCTGCTGGTCTGAGTCCCTCCAGGTCACACGCTGGTTCATCTCGGCCAGGGTCCTGTCCACTCTGAGCTGCGGGCCATACCTCTGCGAAGGGGGGCGGGAATCAACAGAGAAGGTGATATGGGTGTTCGCAGACGCCCTCGTCGCCCTCGGTGTGGGGGGAAGGCTCTTGTCTCGGCGGATCGGGTGCGAGCTATGGGGAAGCGCGTTGGTGGGGTGCGACGCGTGCGTCTGCGAGGTGCGCGAGTGCGCGACGGTGGGGTGCTCGTCTCGAGAAGGGCCCGTGATCGGGGCACCAGCGGCGTGCTCATCCTCTTCTTGGGGAAAGATCAGCTCCGGTCCGTCGATCTCTCTGATGCGCGACGAGTGGAACGCAGAGATCACGGTGTCGTTGGAGATATGCCTGCGCTTCTTAGTGAAGCGACGAAAGAGCTTGCGGACAATGCACTTCCTGCGCGAGGCGATGTGCCTAGGATACGCAGGGGGCGGTGAGCGGCGCCAGAAACGACGGAACCATTTGCGGCGCCTGTTCGTTCCCGAGGATAGCGAGACCGAGGGGCCTGCAGCGTGGGCAGCAGTACCAGTGTCCATGGTAGAGTGTATGTTCGAGCGGGGAAGGACGATCTACGGGGGATCCGAGGGAACTCCGTGAGATTTCTGTATGTCGAAGGATAGGCGCCGCGCTTAAATACACATGAGTACAATAGCCGCGCGCGCCTAACGACCACGCACCCCCGCGCGCCTTCTCAAAGATGACATTCCGAACGCCGCTCGCGTGGTGAGGTTATTGTCAAGTACCGGGGGTTCCTGTCGAGCGCGCGCACGGCTGTGCTCTTCCTGCCGAATGTGGACGACCGAATGCCATAACTGGCGAGTGAATGGGCTTTCGAAGGGCTGAATCCATCAGATCGAGATGAGCGCGGGAAGGAAAAGATTTGTTATCCGGAAAAGTGTGGCGGGAAGAGAGAAATGTGGCGGACGCCGGTGAGGCAACCGGCCCGACAAGGACTGCCAAATTTGGCCACAAGGACATCGCAACGGCCTTCAGTCCTCTTTCAGCCTGAATGACCACGGAGATTGAATAGAAGATAGATCCAGACGGAATTTCCCAGCCGAGCTAGCTCTCGGTGAGGGAAGGCTGAGAAGCACCACCGGACAGTGACACACTCCTTTACTTTGACTTGCGTCGTCTCGTTGATGGCTGCGTAAGGAGTATCCTGCTCTAACTTTGACCATCACAGTTATATCGGGACTTCAGAGGTCAGAAGCCTGCGCTGCGCTCGCGTTCATGGGAATCCTGCGGGAAGTGAGCACCGTTTTGGAGCAACAAAGCCTTCCTAATCTGGAGAAAACGAGCTCCGTGACGTCACACTTGCTAACTGGCAAGGAACGAGCCACAAAACTGAATATACACACTAGCGCGTACTATACACAAATTGATACAGTTTACGAGCGGTCATACATATACAGGCTATCTGTGAGAAGCAGTTCGGGGCCTATCGACCCAAGGGCTACCAGCTTTACGGCAAGCTCAGCACGGTCTCCATAAACTGGTCGTAGTTGATCTGAATCCACCCATCGCGGTCACTGTCCAGGCGCGAGAACGACTCGGTGAGCTGCTTGATCACGACGCACGCGCGCACGAAGCGGTCGAAGGAGATGCCCGGGGGCGGACCGTGAGCCGCGGCAGCGGTGGCGGCTTCAGGGACTCCCCGGGGAGGACGAGTAAGCGATCCGGTGGAGAGGTAACAAAGAAAGCGAAGGTAGCTTACCGTACTTGCGCTGAAGGAGGTCGAGCAGCTGGGGGGAGAGGCGGTAGCTGGGAGGGTGGTCAGCGGCGAGGTGGTGTGGGCGGGAGGGCAAGAGGGGCGCACCCGAACTGAGCCAGCGCTTGATTGAGCTCGGCGCCGTCGATGGAGCCGGAGCGGTCGCGGTCAAAGTGACGGAAGACGTTCTGCCAGTCCTTGATGTACTTCCACAGGCCGGCGAACTGGGGGATGGGAGGTGAAAACATGTGTTTAGCGCGCGCTTGCGAGACGCACCTCGTTGAAGCCGATCGTGCCGCTGCGGTCGGTATCCTGGTGGGTAATTAGCGTAAGGATAGCGCTGAGTAGACACGGGACGCACGAAGATGCTCATCAACATCTTGACGGTGTCGAGATCGAACGCTGAGGGATGGGGGGTCGGTGCCGCGCCACATTGTACATTCACTCCGTTACTCACGAGACCAGTCGCCGTTGATGAGGGCACGCTCTGTTTGGAGGTCAGCACCGTTGGAAAACAGGATGGATTACGCCACGCACGAAGTTCAGGCGCGGAGATGTGGCCAGACCTGTCCGAATCGACAGCGCTGAACCAGTTCCACAATCTAGGGGCATTCAGCATCCGTAATCCCCCGCACAACTTGTCGCCACGCACTGAGGATCGGCACCAGGAGGAGGTCCCGGAGGAGGTGCAAAGCCACCAGGTGCGCCGTAGCCGCCACCGTACCCCGGAGGGCCGCCAGGAGGAGGTGCGTATCCCTGTCCGTCGATGAGCTCAGATCGCGCGCCCCACCCAATGGCCACGCACGCCGTAAGACATGTTCAGTTCACGAAACAAATGGGAGGTGAAGAGATGGGAGACGCAGCCAACAGCTCGCTCGCACTTAAAAGGGGCACTGGGCCTCGGAGCACAGGAAAGCGGTGATGCGAGATCCCGATGTAGTCTCCAGCCATACCCGGCGTCAGAGCCTCGGAGTTTAAAATCCAAGGTGCCGATGACATGCCGGGCGCGGCAGCGCGGGACAGCCGCGCATTGAGGGCAAGGGGCCAGTATTTCGAGGAGTAGGAGGCGACTGATTACTGGATGTGAGGTGCGATTCGAACGCAGGCTGCAGGCTACCCGCGACGGGTACGGCGTAGTAGGGCGACGTATTCGAGAGTGTTCCGGGATGAGGCGGAGGATAAAGCGCATACGGATGAGGAGTGTGCGCAGGATGCCAAGGAGCGTAGGGAGAGACGGGAGATGGTGGTGAGTATTCATGATAGCCATAGGGAGCTGTATGCACGGTGACGGCTCGCTTCAGTGAATATTTGCTGGCTGTTTACATACCTTGAGGCGAAATTGGGACGTTGCTGTGGTGGACATATGAGACATGAGGTTCAGGTTGATCGATTTCAAATTCTTTATAGTTCGTAACTTGGTCTTGGTCCGACATGAGTGCAGGAGTCGAGCACGACGCAACCCGAATGTATTCGACAACCATAACTGCTCAAAAAGGCAATCCGGAGACAGCCGGCCGTGACGCGGCACGTCAGATTACAAACTCCGCGGCTACGCTCTAACCTACTTACCCGCCATACCGCTCCAGACTCTAGTAATATGGAGGCTGGTTCACGAGACTAAATCCCGATGATGGCATCGCCGCTTCCCGAGGCGGTACACGTACCCTTTGTCCGCTTCTCCCGCCGGCGCACAGTCTCAGATCAGCGAGCGGGGGCTGCGCGCCGTAATAGCAGGCCGCAGCTGCCCATCTATCCACAAAGGTGTGCGGGTGCGGTGCAATAGATACGTCAGTACAATAGTAAATAGTTAAGTAAGGAAAGGGATGGGAAAGGGCCGGCCTATTATGAGGTTTAATAGTGCTTCTTGTACATCGCCCGCGTCGCCTTCGACTGGTCCAAACGCTGTTGCAGCACCTCGACCGAGTCCGCGTGCGCCACACTCATTTCGTTCGCGCACAGCTTGTTCATCGTCTCGCTGTGGTACTTGTCCTTGCGCTCCTTCCGCGCTTCCTCGCTCAGCGGGATCTCGACATGCAGGCGCGCTTCCTCCTCTTCGTGCTCCTTCATCCGGATCTGGCGCCTGAGGGCGAACTCCTCGGCGATGGAGACCCATTTCTGCGAGACAAGGCGAGTTAGCAGCGTCGGGGTGGTGAGGGAAGCGCACGCACGAAGATCTTCTTGTCAATGTCGACGATCTTGGCGTGCAGTTCCTGAAGGACCTCGCGGATGCGGTAGTCTGACGTGAAGGGCTCGGTCAAGATATGCGAGTGCTCGACGAGGGTATGCAGTGGAGCCCTGATGGCGTGGTGGACGCTAGTAGGCGGTGCACAGACCAGAATCAGTTTCCGGTCTTGAGCGGTCGATGAACGAGCAATCTCACCGATTGAGGGAGAACATGAAATGAAGCAAGTGGCGGTCCGACCGCTTAAACTCAGGGCGCCCCCAGTATAACTTCTTCTCGTCTTTCAGCTTGAAGATCTTGGAGAACTGAGCGGTGATGTTGTCGAAGAGCCTAGCGCTCCAGTAGATATACGCCGAGTAGGATTGGACGACGGGGTGCTCCGGGGTGTAGGCTTCCATGATCTGTCGGTACACGTTAGGGTCAGCCTGTGAAGAGTCGCAAAGAACGCACCGGCCGCAATTGAGAATCGATATAATGGTTGATGATCTCGCTGTTCTGCACGAGAACATAGATATCATTCAAAACGTAGCCCAAGGGCGGCAAATCTGGCATGTCGACGAAGTCCTGCATCACTGGATCGGGCAAGTCGACGTAGACGCTGATCTCATCGAAGAGTATGATTCGAGGCGGCTGTGGCAAGGGTTTGTTCAGTTGCTGGTAGCCGAGGGATGCCATGATGCGTGTAGAAACTTGGAGTGGCGTGGACGGGGCGAAGAGAATGAGAAGAGTGAGTGATTGATCACAAGCATCGGCGATGGACCTCCATATATAGGCGAAGGTGGCATGGCAAAAGAGCGAGCAAACATGTGCGCAGCGAGCGAAAGAGCAAAAGTCGGTGTTAGGGCCAGCATTGTGATTGACCTGTTTGTGACGGAACCATTCATAACGAGGGTCCGCGTAGCGACCGTGTTTGTCGTCGCAATAAGTTAGCAACGTTGACCTTGTCTGGAGCGCTGTGGGTGAAGCTTGTGTACTATCGTTGCTGAGCCCGCGCTCTGGGAGACCGGAGAAGTCGAAGGGATGATGAGCACTCAGGGTCGGCCTCGCGCAAGCCAAGCATCAGCTACTCCCTACCACCAAGGTGAGCAATACCTTTCCAGCGTGAGATATCTACCGGCAAGCTGCAAACAAACAAACCCTTCGATAACTGCCGTGATGATAAGTAGACGATGGCAAAAGAGCAACAAAACGTTCCTGGTATGGGCAGTCACACGCCAACGCGTCTGTCACACTCACGTTACAATTTACAAGCGTCGGACATAGAAGTTTTCAAAAAGTGGATACCAAGCACTCAAGGCTGCTATTCACGGTCGGAGTTTCTACGTACAGAGCCTTGCTTGCTAGAAGATTATGACAGAGACGGCAGGCCATCTTCACGAGCAAGGCTGCAGGGAGCGCGCGGAGGGGCACTGTGTCCGCGGGAGCAAAGGCGCAAGTTGCGCGTGTTTGTGCACTCGCCGACGCACGACCCGCCCCCACATGAACCTACTCTGCCACGCGCACAACCCCAGGCCACGCGGGGCGATCGTTGGGCGGAGAAGGGGCAGAGCGCCTGTCCCGAACGCTCGCGGTCGTCACCCTCGCCGCCGTTGCCGCGGCCGCATCCTCAGCGTTTCGAACTCGATCTAGCGATTACTGGCACTGCTCCTCCGCTCTACAAGCAGAGGCAACGGTCGAGCGCGCTGCAGTAGGCGGGGGAACATGACGGCGAGCTGACCATTGACAACGGTGCGCGACTGTTTATCTGTATTTGGCGCACTTACTTAGCGCGTTTGTTTGTTTAGTCTAGTGCTGCACAGCTATTGCTGCAAGTCGGTACAGCCATCGCCAATGGTATATATACGGGGGAGCTCATTCCCCAATCCCCATCTTCCCCTCCTTCACATCCCTCCTCCTTCTCAGCGGACGACGGCCCTCGACTTCAGCATTCCAGCGAGCGGCATACGGGGTTCAGGCCCACTCGTGCCAGACGCGCCCTGGTCCGCACCTAATCCTGACTGATCAGCCAGGGAAAGCGCTGGTGTTGGTGAATCACCTGCTCCGCTCGGTCTCGCTCGCTGGACGACGGCCCCGGCGGCCTGCGCCTGCGACTTCGACACCGACACCGGCATAGTTCGCGAGCGTCGTCCGGGTTCAGGACCACAGCGATAACGTCCTCCCCGGTCCGCATGTCCTCAGATGTGTTGGTCAGCCGGGATGAGCACTGCGCTGTGGAGTCAGCCTGCTCGCACGGATACCTCGTGGACTCGACACCGACAACGGCTTCGATGGCGACTGCGACTCCGACTCCGACAACGACACCGTCCGCAATCGTCGTCCGGGTTCAGGACCACAGCGACAATATCCTCCCCGGTCCGTATGCCTTCGGGTGTGTCGTCAGCCGGGATGAGCACTGCGCTGTGGAGTCAACCTGCTCGCACGGACACCTTGCGGACTCGACCTCGATATTGATGCGCCCGACTTCGCCCCACTCCTGGATCCTCCCCATCTCCCCTCCCGGCACGGTGGCTCAGTCGGGAGCCCTTGCGCGTTCGAAACGCGGCCCTGTCTTTTCATATTGTCGGACTGGCGTTGCTAGGCCCTGGCTTCTCTAGCAATCTACTTCTGTTTTCTTCGGCGCTCTTGCTCTCGCTACCATGTTCCAAAAAGGGCCTCTTCCTAAATAATGTGCTAAGGATTACTGTAGTCGAAGTAGTTAGGGGAGTGATGAGCAACTGTCTATAGACTGTAAATCTTGATGTCCATTGATAAACACACGAAAAAGCGATTCTTGCCTGACTCGCTTGTAGTCTATCTAGCATTATGGTGTTCTGGCGCATATGGATGACAAGTATATTCACAATCATGTACACATACACGGGGTTGAAACTTCATACAAGTACAGGCAAAGGGAGGAGACAGAAGACTTCGAAATGGTGGAAGCGACTCGACATGCATTGGACATTATAGCGGAAATAGGGATCGCGCCTTACAGCAACATGAGCACGGTCTCCATGAACTGGTCGCTGTTGACCTGGATCCAGTCGTCGTGGTCGGTGTCGAGCTGCGCGAAGGCGCCCTTGAGGTGCTTGATCAGCACGCACATGCGCGCGAAGCGGTCGAAGGTGATGCCCGGGGGAGGCCCGCCGGGGACCATGGAGGCGCTCTCGGGGACTAGAGGCGGAAGGCGGGTCAGCAATCCGGCGGAGAAGAACAAGGGAGGACGACAACGCACGGTACTTGCGCTCGAGGTGGTTGAGCATGCGGAGGGAGAAGCGGACGCTGGGGCGCGGTCAGAGGAGCAGGAGGGGCGGTGAGGGAGGTGGCGCACCCGAAATGGCAGAGCGCCTGGTTGAGCTCGGCGCTGTCGATAGTGCCCGAGCGGTCGCGGTCAAAGTCGCAGAAGGCCTTGTACCAGCCATCGATGTCCTTCCAGAGGGCGGCGAACTGGGAAGGGGGGTCAGCATGCACATCCGGCACGATCGACGGCGGGATGGACCTCATCGAAGTTCATCGTGCCGTTGTTGTCGGTGTCCTGCGATGGTCAGAGTGAGCACGAAGCACGAGCGGTGGGATGAGAAGCCGTACGAAGATGGTCATCAACACCTTCACGGTCTCGAGGTCGAACGCTGGAGGGTGAGACGTTAGCATTGCAAGAGTCAGCCACATTCAATGCGCAACCCACTCCAGGCGCCTTTGTTGAGGGCGCGCTCTGCAATTGCATCAGTCTGAGTTCGTGGGCTCGCGGTGGTACGTTGCACTCACGCAGCTCGAGCGCAGTGATATGCCCCGACCTGTTAGTGTCAACCTCGTGGAACCACGTCCACATCCTGCAGACAGACGATGAGCAACCGGGCTCGCCGGCTCGATTCAACTGGTACGCACTGAGGATCAGCCCCTGCAGGAGCAGGAGGCGGCCAAGAGCTCAAGCGAGGCGGCGAGTACGAGCGAGGCGGCGGGCCATAACGCGAGATAGGAGGGCCAGCGCCCGGCATAGGGTAGGGCTGAAAGCAGAAAGAATGAGCCCCGAATTGGACGAGCGAGAAGCCACCGACACCAACATTGTAGACGGCAGCCATCACGATTGCAGTTCAGTTATGGGGCAGCGGAGGAGGCGAGGGGATGAGGTGCCTGCCAGTTGCAGTCGCCTTATATATGCGAGGATTTCTAGGAACTAGTACATGCGTCATGGGCGCCCCGCAGAACGACATCTCCACGGCGGGATTCGGCGCGACTTCGCGAGGCAGGGAATCGTGGAACTTTGCCTGCGTCGATGTCGACTGGAAGCTGTCCTGCGTGGTTTGCGCATGTATCGATCCAAGTATCGTCTTAATCGGAGCGATAGAGCTCTTCTGCGCACTCATAGACGTACCCGGAGGCTAGTATGACCCGTCACTGGCAGGCTTCGGGAGGAGAGCAATGACGACTTGCTTCATTTGGGCCTATAACACTGTTCCGGTGTCGTTCACCTGGCCCTGGTTCTGTACTTGGATATCAGTCACTAGACGCTCGAGGTATGAAAGGTACTTGCCTGGCTCCGACCGAAGCCTCGACATGACATCGATGCAGTGGCGCATCCGACCGCGCAATCACCAGCTCGAGGCTAGTACGCTGCACGCGATGGTCACTCGCAAGCCATTGCGTCCGAGGAGCTTCAACATTCTACAATGCATGGCATCAGAGCGCAGGTGGCAAGTCGGGTGGCGAGCTGGTGTCAGTTCTTTCGGGACGCGTGCACTATATCGACCGTGGCATCACGTATTCGCGTACTTGCCCTACGTCCAGCGCTGGTATAGTTCAGCTTGAGTGACATGCAAAGTCGTTAGCTAGGGCACGATTGACTATCCTCAAGCTTGCGGAAAGGTATCAGCTGCGTACAACCCATGCAATGGCAAATACTTACCATTCATCACCCAGTACCCGCGGCGTCTAACTTGCCGTTCAGTTCTTCCGGCCTGTCATCTGAGCCTACCTGATCGACGCGTAAGTCCTTCTCTCCCAGACTCTCCACGCGCTCGACCTTCAAACAACATGATGGGGATATATTGTTGACCACAGAAGCGGATGCGATGAACGACGACAGACGGTACAGGACAAGAGGAAACAGACAACAAACGGTAACTTGAAGTACAGCAGACGGGCTTCCAAAGTCCAGGATCCATTACAGAGCGTACAAGTCGCTTGATACAATGCCTAGAAAGCATTTTCCCCCTCGTTAGAAGGGGGGAGAAGCAGCTCGTGAAGAGGGAGGGTGCAAGAAGAACACGCTGGCAAGACTTGACGAGTCAGCGCTAGAGTGAGTTGACGCTTGTCCCTGAGTCGGTCAGCATCACTGGCTGGAGAGGCAGACGAATCAACGCACTTACAATCTGAGTGATATGCATATGATGAATATATGTAGCTCATTCCTTGGTGAAGACCACCTCCAGAGGACGCGCTTCCCGGGCTTCGACGGTAGTGGCCGCTGGCGTTGACGAGTTACCTGACAGTTGAGTAGGCAAGCCCGCCATGACCGGCGGTGACGGGCCCGTATACGCCCGCGACGGCAGCCGCACTGTCTTCACGAGTTCCCCACTGACGAAGAATTCGATCAAGTCCCCATCGTGCGCCTGGAAGTTCTCCACCTCGACCTCTGCGTCCGGACCGAGCATATAGTACTCCACCGGCTGCATCTCGCACCGTTCACCCGACGAGTGCCAGTGCGCATCTTCGGCCTCGTCGATCCAGATGGTGAGCTCCGGCGGCCTGCGGGTGGGCGCGTCGGTAGCGGCGTCCATGATGTGGAAGCAGACGGTACGCGAGTTGTCCATCATGCCGGTCCAGAGGCGCATGTAGAAGGGGATGCCGGGTATGTCAACGCGCTGGACGGTCGTATCGCCAGGAGGGGGTTCGTTCTGCGGCGGGGGGAGGGGAGTAGGTCAGATTTGTGTCGCCGAGAGGAGCAACCGCAACACGCACCCCGATATAATCCACGTTCGCATACATTTGCTTCATCGCCGCCATACCCGCCTCCACGCTCCCGTAGTCCTGCTCGAGCATGAGGTTCACAACGTCCTCCGAGAATAGGTTTCCGTGGAAGGTCCCCGGGTGGGCCTCTGCCGATCCCATGCCCGTGTACGGTGTACCCGCGGGGATGTTGAGATGCGCGGGCATAAAGCTATAGATGGAGGAGACCATCACTGGCGCCTCGTCGGGGGAAAGCGTCCCCTCTGCGGCAGCCTGCGCGCGGCGCGCCGCCTCTCCCCACCGTCGCTGCAAGCTCGCGCTCGAGGGCGGATCATTCGGACCTCGCGTCTTGTGCTTGTGAATGCGAGGGTGACCACGCCGGCGCTTGTGTGACTGAGGGGGCATGGGGGATGGTGGTTGTGGTCGAAGGTGAGGACGTAACCTGCCATTGTTCTTCTTGTGGTCGAGAGTCCGGCAATTGCCGGTTACAAATCTGCTTCCGCTGTCCAAGCGGGTGGCGTCGATATGACCCTGTGAGTCACCCCATCGCGGACTTGGTCCGCACGTCCGAGCTGCCTAGTTCGTAGCGCTCGCCTGATATCAGACTAGCTCTTCGTAATTACTGAGACTCGGCGATATGAGTGTTCAGGACAAGCCTCAAGTGCGCGTCGGCGTCGGCGTCTTCGTCACCAATCAGTCTGGCCAATTTATTATCGGAAAGCGCAAGGGTAGCCATGGGGCCGGTACGCTCTCCCTCAACGCAATCCTTGCACCATCACCGATAGTAATTCCTTTACCCATAATGATTCAACATAGGCACATACGCGCTTCCTGGAGGCCATCTCGAGTACGGGGAATCCTTCGAGGCCTGCGGCACCCGCGAAGTCCTTGAGGAGACGGGTCTCGAGATCGCCGACATCACCTTCCTGACGGCAACCAACGACATCATGGCTTCAGAGAACAAACATTATGTCACCGTCTTTGTGCGTGGACAAGTCGCGGGCGAACGGACAGAGCCCCAAGTTCGTTGGTTCATCTCGTCGTGAAAAGCATAACGAACACTGCCCACAGGTCCTCGAGCCGGAAAAGTGCGAAGGGTGGGAATGGGTAGCCTGGGACCAACTAAGAGACTGGATCTCTCAGTCGGAGAACCCTGCTGACAGTCGCGCGTTCTTCCTCCCTCTCCGCAACCTCGTCGCGCAACACCCAGACTTCACACCCGTCTGATACGGTGAAATTTCGAGAAATTGGTACAATGAATCGCATGGAAGTAGTACAATGAGTGCATAGTCGTCGTCCGTGTATACATGAAAGTCATCCAATTCCGTACCCTGGTATCGTACACATCAACTAGATCGTCAGCGCTCGAGTCCCGCCTCACACCGCGAATGCCTTGTACCCCTCCACCAGACCGTCCGCAAACTTCGAGGCGACGGCCCATGAGGGTAGAAATGTTAGCACTTCCTCGTACGCTGGGATCCGCGTCCGCGTCTCTACCCCGAGACTCCCGCTTGCGTACTCTGACCACTCACAGGCGACGCGACCGGTGAGGGCGCTTCCCTCCCTGCTCACCGTCATCGTCGGCGAACCGGAAAGCGCTACCTGGCTTCCATCTTTCCCACCATCCCCGCCCTCCTTCTCACCCTCCCACTCCACATCGACCACCCACGTCCGGTCCCACGTCCGACTCCATAGCCTCAGCTCGCGCACGCCTTCCTCGGGGATCTCAAAGCCCTTCTGCACCCCCTCCGTCCCGCCATGCACCTGGAACCGCGTCACCGCCTGGTCGAAATACACCCTGCACGCCCGCGTATCCGTCTCCGCGATCTCGAAGCGCGCCTGGTTCTGCCCCTCGCTTCGCGACACGTTGAAGTCCAGTGCGATCACGCTGGGCTCGAGTGCCGGGGGCGGCGTCCACCCGCAGGTCTGCAGACCCGCTTTCGCGTCGTCCGCCGTGCAGTTGAGTGGGGCGCCGCCTGCGGAGGGAAGAGCGGCGATGGCCTGGCGGAGGTAGGCTGGGTGGCCCGTGATGCGGGTCTCGGTGATGTTCGCGTCGAGGTCGACCTGCTGCTGGAAGAAGACCTTCAAGGGCGCGCGCTCCGAGAAGGGGAACACCAGCCACGCGTACGCGGTACTCGCGATGAGTACCACGAGCGCTACATACGCGACCCGCCGGTGCAGCTTGCACGCGAAAGGCGCTAGCGGGAGGATCGCCAGCACGGACATCAACGACGCGCCCCCGTACACTATCGTCACGTTAGTGACATGCACTCCGCAGCGCACGCACCCACTCACCCGTCACAGCCGGACTCCCATCCGCCAGCGTCTGCTCCGTCGCCGCGAGCATCAGCAGCGCCAGCTGGCTCACCAGGATCACCACCGCAGGCACGCTCAGCACGAACTGCACGAACCACCACCCGATGGCGCCCGACACCTCCTCGCCCTCCTTCCCCCCGGGCGCCACAACCGTGATTGGCTGCGCGATCAGCGGCGTCACCTCCGTCGGCGCCGTCTCCGACTCGACGCCCTCCTCCTCGCCCTCGCGGTCGTACCGCACGCCGCGGATGCGCCGGCGCGAGCCGTAGCTCGCGTCACCCTCGACGGTGTGACTGGAAAGGAGGCCGGCAATGCTTCCGATGGCGCAGGCGGCGAACAAGACGGCATTCCAGAGGGACAGAATGTAGAAGGAGCCGACGCTGAGCTTTGCGCCGACGACAGTGGCGGCGAGCAGGAGGATCCAGGTGAAGAAGTAGAGCTGGAAGAGCGCGGCCTGCTTCTGCTGCTCGGGGAGGTGGGAGCCGTAAGTGTCGGTCGGCGAGGGGATGTTGTGCACGAGGTAGGTCGAGAGGTAGGCAAGCGAGAGGAAGGACAAAAGGACAATGTGCGATGAGGAGTATGCGATCTGACAGAACAGTTAGAGGATGCGAGGAAGTCTCATTGAGCTGTTGGACATACCAGAGGGTTGATGTACAAGTACCCCACACACAGGAGAACTTGCAAGCCGACAGTGACCGCCAACGCGACCCAGAACTTGGCGTGTTTCCAGAACCCGCCAACCCAGCGGAAAGACTTGAAGGACGTCCACGCACGTGCGAAGAAGCCTTGCTCCTCATATCCACCTCCGATCATCTCCTGCCTTCGGTGGCGCGCTACGATGTCGAAGGTCACGAGCAGTGCAAGCATAATGGGCCCAACGACGAGAAAGACGATGTTAAAAGTGATCATCGCGCTCAGGGGGAAGACGATGAGGGCTTGGCCAAATACTACGCGCGTTATAAGCGTCGTCCATAGGACTGCGCGTGCAACTCACAGTCAAAGTATACTGGCGCGCCACCCTTGTCTCCATGGACAGCTTCCGAGCTCAACAACGCGCCGCTCACGCCCTGCGCGGCCTCCATCATGGCCCACAACGACCGCACGCCACCATCCGTGTACTGTACCGCGTCGTACCTGGTGTGGTAGCGGCTCCTGCCCTTGTAGAACGCCAGGTCCGCGCCGTCCATCCCGCGGCCATCGACATACACCGAGTAGTCCGTCCCCGAGCGCACCACACCCCGCGCGAAGGCGTCCGAAGAGAGAACATTTCCGTGCGGATGCGTCACGTATTTCTCGCGGAAGGCGCGGACGGGGGCCGTGGCGGTGGCGCGGAAGAGGAGTGGGCGGCCGCCAGACGAGGCGCCCTCGAGGTTCAGGAAGGTGTCGGTAAGGTTGGACCATGGGTGCTCGAGGAAGCTGAGGAGGTCATAAGTCAAAGGAGCACATGGAACTGTGGTGTACGCACGCGTGAGCGCCGTTAAGCCAGTCCTCCTCACCATTGTTGATGTTGAAGACAGCGGTGCGTTGGGGCCGATGCTTCACGTAGTACTCGACGAGTTGCAGTAATGTCGCGACACCCATTCCATCGTCCGTCGCACCTGGTGCAGTGGATACGGAGTCATAGTGCGCGGAGAAAAGTGCCCCAGATTTGTCCGCATCGTGTCCGTCGACCTTGACGAGGATGTTGGTGCCCTCAAAGTACACCGAGTTGTTGCGCGAGCTCCATGAGCCGTTCGAGACCTTGTCGTCGAAGACGTGCGCGTAATCGTAGCCTGCCGTGGCATCCTGAAGGCGAGTGAGGATGAAGTCGTGCACGACATCGTTTGCATGCGAGTTATAGGGGTGAGGGCGCGCCGCGATCTGTGCGTTGCCCGTCAGCTCCTAGCAGTTGCGCGTCGCGGATGACGCACCTGGCGGAGATCGCTGTACGCCTGCGTCAGATTTAGCCCCCTCTGGTCCTTCGGTGTTGCTGGCAGCTCATCGGTGATGAGCACGCTGATGAATATCGCTAGGTACACGAGGACCGCGACGAACGTCGTTGGCAACGTCCTGAAGCTAACGGCCGCGACGAGATAGTCCACAATGCCCATCCTTGGGAGTCAAAGATGCAGGATGGGTCTGCGATGCCTTCAGATGAGGACAGACTGCACGAGCCTCAGGCAGTCGTCGGTGTCGGCAACGAGCAAGCGAGCCAATGACCGTCGATGATGAAATGACGTTGTTGAGGCATGAACTGCGTGATGACCGTATTCGGCAAAACCTGAGTTGATCGTGCTGCAAGCTCGCGCCGCCCTTCAGGAATGAGAAGGATCTTCACCTTCATGCCGAAGGTACGACGGCAAGAAGGAAGGTCTCTGTATTCAATAGCGATCCGGGCGTCGAAGTCACGGTTCACATTCGGCATTTGCCGTCTCTTCGACGGAACCCTTCATTCATCTTTAGACCTTCCCGTTGGCTCTCAACGGTGGCGTCTGAAAGACGAAGGTGCGCCCTGAATGAGCTGGACGCATGGTTCCCCTTTCCTCAAAGCTAGACAATGAACACTGTCCTTCTCGGCAATTACCGATTGATGGCTGGACCAGCGCCTAACTTCGATAAATACTCACGACCTTTGACCAGAACCACATACTTCCCACTGACACATCTACTTCTTCCACATCCTTAACTCAGTACCGGATTCTCTGAAGCCCTGTCATTCAGCTATCTGCTCTAACGCACTCCTTCCTCTGACAGCTTTTAACATCTCGGCACTTATTCCCCTCACCCGCACCCCGACCTTCGTACAGCCATGCCGAAGCGCGAGAAGACGCCCGATACGGAGCCTGACTCCAAGTTCCTCGCCATCTACCAGACCTACCCCGCGAATGCGGACATGGAGCTCGAGGACGACCAGATCCGCCTCGCGCGCTGGATCGCGTCCATCATCCCGTCGGACTACCTCGTCGCGATCCACTACAAGCCCAAGGTGCGTGGCGACCAGCGCGCTCGAAGTTCATGCTCACCATAACGCAGGCCCGCGGCATGACCCTCATTGAGATCCTGAACGAGTGCCGGGATATCGGAAAGCTCCTGCTGGGGGAGCACCGCTGGTCGGAGATGCTGCGCGAGCCGACGGAGGATGAGAAGGAGCGGACTTCGAGAATCTACTATTCCATATACTCCACGACGCGCGAGGCGCAGAAGGACGGTGCGTGGTCCATTGTTCATTGTGACGCCACGCTCACATCGCTCGCAGGCTGGAAGCAGATCAGCGTGCTCTCGAGGTGGTTCGACGAACGATGCTTCAGGCCCGATGAGTGCGTCTCGCACCCAGCTTTCACCACGTTCTGCCTGACCTGCACATTCCAGGATCTGCACCCAACCCTACCCGACCCCGTACTATTGCGGATTGCCGCCGGAGGATAAGACGAACAAGCCCATTTGCCGACCGCTGCCTGTCGCCGAGAAGCCGCGTCCTGTCCAGCCTGCACCGCGCATTGGTACTTCGTCAGCTCCTCACCCCTGCGCGCGCTCATTGTTGCCTTAGTCCCGGGCTCCATCCAATACATCGAGCAGAGCAATGCACCTACGAGCAAGAACGCCCGCCGCAAGAAGAAGAAGGGCGCCGCGTCGCAGAAGTCGCTGCCCGTAGGCGCATCTTCAACTTGTGCGTGACACACGTGTACCGCTCTTCCCCCGCATTGACGTGTTCGCGCAGGGGACAAGCCGATTGTGGAGAACAGGCCCAAGGCAGAGCAGATCCGTAACCAGCTCTGGAGCGTTGGGGCGGGTCCCAAGGCGTCTAACATCATCGCCACGGATCCCGACGACCTCGTTGACCGGATGCACGGCATCACTGTCAGCGACAGCGCGGCCCATGCCACGCAGGCTTTGCTACAAGGCGACGACGACGACGACGACCAGGAGCCGGGCTACACCTTCCACGGGTCCTCTTCAATGCCCGACGACGCCGCGTCCCCGGACCAGGATGCGAGCGGCTGGCAGGCCGTGGGCGAGACGCAGATTAAGCGCGTCGTGAAGAATTCCTGCCCAGAGCACGCGCACTGCAGCCCCGGCGTCTGCGAGGTCGCCAAGCAGTACAAGAGGGAGATGCAGCGAAAGCAGGAAGAGGCAGAGCGCGCGGCGGCGAGGAAGGAGCGGGGGCGCCGCCCGCGCGGGGAGGACGGCGGGCATCGCTCGGCGTTCAGCTCGAACGCGACGTCGCCGGTGCGGCACTACGGCTCGAGCGGGGACACCGAAGGGAGCGATAACGGCGGTGAGGGGTCGAGTGCTGTAGACGACCTGTGGAGGCAGCCGAAGGGCCTGGCGAAGCCGGCGCAGAACAACCGCGGTGGCCGTGGACGGGCTCCTGGACGTGGCCGGGGCCAGGGTCGGAGCAATGGTGTCAAGGGCGGCGCGGGCGGGGGCGATGGTGCTGCTCACGGTAGCGCCTGGGCTGACCCTGGCTCCAAGAAAGACTGGGCTGCCCAAGGCCACAAGCCTCGCCGTCATTGATGTGCGCGGGACATCGTCATCCCTCCTAAGAAGCCATAAGATCTGCGGCGCCGATGTCGCTGGCGACCCGGCTCTTTCTGTGTTTTGTTTGTGGACAGCTAGCGCTCATGTGTACTATTGCTATCTCTCGTGCTTGTGTTGAAAGCTCCCTGTAGCACTTTCTTGGCATGGATTCTGATGGAATCCGTATACTACTCTTGCTCTCGTTGTATCGCTTATTTGTTGCCCACTCATGTTGTCCTTTTAATGACTTTACGATATGTATGAATGATTCTTGGTGCTTTGCAGTGGTCTGCAGTGATGTGTGCTTACCCGAACCGCTATTCCCTCAAACTGGTTGTCGACGCGTCGCGGAACCAAACGCGGTCACGCAGCTTCCACGTGACTTGCATGCTCATTCATCCCAAAACGGAAACAACACCTTCTGCCTTCGTCCATTCCGCCCCGGTTGCGTACATGCCGCTCCGAAGTCCACCCTCGAGGCTCAGGGACTTGGAAACGAATCTGATGTCTTCAGGCTGGTTGCTGCGCGCTCAATTTTGGTTGCCGCCACGCTGCCTCCGCCTCGCTCTAGGGAATTCATCAAGAATCCATTTCGGCGCCCTTGTTTCGCTTCGGCGGGCCTATGCGCCGCGGAGGTCTTGTTGCCTTTTGAGGCCGTAAAGGACGCCATTTAGGCCGTATTTGGCCACAAGGGCATGCGAAAATGATAAGAGTCCCCGGCGTTTGGGGGATGATCTGCGTGGTCTGAGTTGTCTCTTTCCGCACTCCCAAGTTGTCTCTTCGCGAAGGTGAGTCTCGCTTGCTTTGCTTCCCTCGTCTGCGAAACTTGGTAGTCTGTGAGCTAACGTATCTGGTTCTCGTCGCGTTGTTGTACTCCGCTGCGCTTACTTCCCCTGCCTATAGCCATCCAGCACTTTCCTCAAGATCAAGATGTCGAACCCTTCTTTGAGCATGTGGCACAAGACCCCGCAGGAGTGGGCGGAGGAGACGCGCGACTTGCAGATCTATACGCGTGGTATGGCGACGTTCCCGCTGTTGAAGACGGAGGCGTACTTGCGGTGCGTCGTGGTGCCCATCTTCCCGGCCGTGCTTGCTGACTAGACCTTTCCAGTACCATCGTCGTGCACTTTTATCTGGACCCGCAGCGGTACAAGCTCGGGCTCGATCCGGACATGGAGGCGCTCTTCGAGCTGGACGACGATCAATGCCTGGATCTGACGAGGATCGCGCAGAGGTGGGGGCTGGAGACGTGTGTGGTGCGTGTATCTGCTGCACATACATGGGGGCGACGCTCATTGGCCTGCGCAGGCCATCGACCCCCGTCGTTGGATCTTCTTCGAGGGCGCTCGGGAGGACAAGCTCAGCGGCTTCGCCGTTCAGACCCTCTTCGACAAGGATGGGGCGATCACCGTCGTCGGTACGATATTTTGCCTTACTACTCCCCCTCCGTTTACTCTCTTACACCTACCCTCAGAGCGCCCGGCATCTCCCCACGCCCTCGCCATCCGCGCCCGTCGCCGCGCCGTCCTCGCTGTCTACAACCCCATCGCCTCCGCCGTCATCGCCATCCTCACCTTCCTCGACGCCCTCACGAACACGCTGTACAGACCCATCGAGTATGCCCTCGCCCCTGTCGGCCGCGCGTACGACAGCTGGCACAAGTCGTACGAGGAGTGGTACGCGGAGGGGTTCGCGCCGGACTCGTGGGAGGAGGAGGGCCTGCATGGGATCATTCGCCTGTGCAAGCGCATCCTGTGGCTCTGCCTGTTTGCGTTCCTGGGATGGGTGGCGTGGCAGCTGCGCCGGGATGCGTATTGCAACCGGACGTACATGTGCGATGCGAAGATATGGTAAAGGGCGCGTCGTCTTGCATTGCTTTCGGACTCCATCTTCAGCTTCGACTTCGCCCTCAGCAACATCGACTTGGACTCCAACAACCAATTGTACTTGTACCGTGTCTTATCACGCTCTCTCAGCTATGCCCTCTCCGTCCCCTCCTCTATGCCCCTCTTCCTTACCTACTATGCCTTTCATTTTATCATCACAGACTTGGGACTTTGCACGGACTACTTCATCCTATGCCTTCCCGTTCTACTATGTACATACCTCTATGCGCTCCTCTTTTCTCTGTACATACTACATATGCACTCCTCTTCTATCTGTACATATGCCCTATGCCATCTATGCCTGCCCTTCTGTCGAATATCGATATTCGACGGTTGAGGCGACCCCAATCGCGGTGTGATGCTGGAGATTCGAAAGCATGACCGGCAGTGCGGGACGGACCAACGATCTCTGATCCGCATCTCTGTTCTGGCCCTCACCAGGTTCATCATTCGTCTTCTTGCGGTGGCTCCCTGGGCCGTCCAGTTATCCTCGAGGTCAATCTCGGACGACGCCGCATCTTGCCCCACCCTGATCCCCAGGCCCACCCCGATCCCCCGGCCCATCCCCGATCCATAGACAATGCAAGCGCATACACCTCCCTCCCCAACGATCGACGTGCTCACCCCTCCTAGGACCGCCCCCTTCGAACTTCCCGACGAGGTCTGCATCCTCCTCACCGACGAGCTCGCCTCCCCGGCCGACTTCTACCTCTACTCGACCGCTTTTCAGAGGTTGAAGGGCGGGCGCCGCGTTCTCGTTGTGTCAGCGGCGGACGATCTGGCGCGGTGGAAGGCTGTTGCGGGGAAATCGGTGCGTGGTGCTCAAACTCGGTTTGAGTGCGAAGGACTGACAAGATTGATAGGGTGTGAATTCTGCGCAGCAGGTAGTGAACAAGGCGTTTGAGTACTATGATGTTTCTGCCGAGCTCGATCGGGTTCTCGAGAGCGTAGATCAGGATGGCGCGCCTCCTCTTCGCGCGCTGTACGACACCATCGTCGACCGCTTAGCGCAACAGGAGGCACCGTCCCTCATCATACTCGACGCGCTGCCGGAGATGCTATGGTTAGGTCTGCCGGAGAAGGACGTGCGACTGTTTTGTAGGGCCCTGCGTGCGCTTTGTCTGAAGGTACGCCGCTTGCTCAGGAGCGGCGCGTAGTCCTAATTCCCGCGACAGAACCACACGGGCCTCCTCATCCGCTTTCACACGACGGCAGACGGCGAACACGACGAGCTGCTCGCCTTCTTGACGCAGCTCTGTCAGTTCCGCGTGGACGTATGCCCGCTCGCGAGTGGGCGGAGTGGGCTGGTCAGCGGGGAGGTGCGTGCTGTAATCTAATCTATCTGCCGTTCATATCTTATATACCATGGTTTCGTCTCCTATGCACTACGCTTTTCTCCCTTATACAACATGACTTCGTCTCCGTCAACGATCTCATTGACAAGCTATTCGATACAGATCGTCCTCCGTCGTGGCGCATCGTGCTTCGTGCAGCATATGAACGTCAAGACTATCCCAAGGAGCAGCGCCCTTCAGTATAGACTATCAGACTACAGTGTCATGTACTTCGAGAAGGGCACGGATAGAGCTGTTTTGTGACTTGCTGCTGACGAGGTCATATGCTCAAGCGTACGCTTGAGAGTTGGCCGAAGATGGAAGTGGAAGCGGTCTAGCCCGTGAGTACTGAGGCGATTATTTTCTTTCATTCGTGATACAGTAAGTGAGTATCCCTTGCTACTGCCTTAACCCCCATTTCCCGAACGCCTATATGTTTCCACGTTCCGAACCTGCCTGACACTCCTCCCATTTGAAGAACTCATATGCCGCCGGGTGCTCGCGCCGGGCTGCAAAGGCACCTAAGCAGCTTGGAGCATGCACGACACGAAGTACATACCTGCGACTGGCCCCCGACGAGTTCCCTCGGCGGACCTCGTCTTATTCCATACAAAAGCCGGAAGCTCCCTGACGAACCGAGCCTTTGCCGCCCTCGCCTCCTCGAAAAACGCCTCCCTCTCCGCCGGGGACATGGCACGCCAGGCGTTGGCCGCCTGATGGAGGGCAAGCCGGCGATCGCTGGCGGAGTTGTGGGTGACGTCGTTGATGAGTGTGGGGGCGATGTCGCTCGTGGTAGGTGAGCTGCTGCTGAGGACCTGCTGGGGGTCGCGCCGGGCCTGTTCTGCGGCCTCTCGTGCTCGCAGTCCCTTGAGGTAGTGCGTGCGGAAGAGTATGAAAGCGTTTTGGGGGCGACGAAGAGTGGCCCTCGAGGGGCGCGCGCCAGGCGCCGTGGACGTCTCTCGGGGCGTCAATGGACTAGACGTGACCGACGTGGGCGGCGGCGACAAGACCGACAGGGGAGGGTCAGATGTGACGCATTCCTTCCGCAAGACGTTGCGCTCTGCGTGGGATCCAATGGTCAGTACGATACAGGACGGGCCAAGACACGGAGAAAGCATACCTGGGTAGCGGACGTTGGGGCGGTTTGCGCCGTGCGTGGCGCCTTCCTCGACGGTGCGAGGGTGACGCTCTTGGGCGAGGAAAGGGACGCTGACAGAGGAAGCAGTGAAATCGAGGCTGAACGCGAAGGTGATGGAATGAGACATAGTGGAAAGCTCAGGAGAGTCGACAGTCGAAGATGGTAGTCGCTTTTGGTGAGAGCGCCGAGTCTGCTGGGGATTGCGGAGTAGCCTATCTGCTTATATACCCCAGAGGATGGGCGCTCATGACGCAGAAGCTCTGCTTCCTCAAAGAGATGCCTAACCCGCGCTCGTGAAAGCGATGCCGCCGCATGTCCATTCTAGAAGCTAAAGCTCGCGTTTGTCAAAGGAAAGTCGTGTGTGCGTTCGTGAAAGAAACATCGTGCGTGCGGTCTCGGGTCTTGATAACATCGTCAAAGACGAGATGGCAGGTGACATGTACTTCCCGAGCCTCATGTTGGGAGGCTCAAAGGGAGCGCAGTGATCAAGAGTGATCAGCGTGCTGATAGCCTCTTGTTTCATCCGGATATGGGTGCGAGGTTGGAAATGCTCAGGAAAAGGCTGACAGAAGGTTTGGAGGCCCGCTCGCGCTCCGGAGATGATCGAATGGCAAGGTACTCCGTCAACCTCGAAAGAGCGAACACTGCGACAACCAGACTCGGCGCGAGTAGCTAGCAGGCCTGAGCATCCAGGATTGATATCTTGCTTGGACTCCCATGACAGGTTTAGGACATAATGCGCACCGCGGTACCGGAAGAAGCCAGATACATGTTGATCGCGAACAAGAATGTCAGAGACAATAGGAAACCCAAATGGGGGAGATAGCAAGCAAGGCCAAGCAATTGCAACGTTCGATATACAGTATTCTATTTTACATCGAAAAATACTATCGGCCAAGAAGGACAAGGAGGAACTATAGCCGATGTAGACAGTTATCCACATTGTAGGTGTATTACATAGGCTGGAAGCATGGGACTGCGGTGGACGTGTGTCCCATCTGCATGATGAACGTCTGGGAAGGGTCCGCCGCCTGGTCGTGATACATCTTTTCCTCCCCAGACATGGGTCGCCATATCTTCCTCGCATCGCGCGAAACCTCAAGTGCGCGTTTGGACGAGGCACTGGTACTATCAGTCGCTTTAGCGCACGGATCGTCGCCCGTGGGGATCTGCGCATCGTCCGCCTCCTTAATGCCTTGCTCGTCCTCGCGCTGGGCTTGCGCTCCGGCATCATAAGCTCGCCGTAAGCTGATTAAGAGCGAGCGGTAATAATGAAAGGCGTTCTGTGGATGAAGTGGGTCCTGCCACGGCCCGCGAGCCCTGCGGGATGCAGTAGCGGTCGGAGGCGCGAGCGATGCAGACGGACTCGACAGGTTCTGCACGGAATCATCCGGGGTAGACGGCACAGGTGAGTCCGACGTGCCAGACGGGTGGTGGCTCGATGTGGATGTGCTCGCGGCTAGACTATCCAACCCATCGAGCGAGGCCTGCGTCAACACACTGGTATTTGATTCTGCAGAAGAGATGTCAATAGTCAGAACGACGTTGGACGAGGATTCATGAGATGTACCCACCTGCGATGCGCATGAGCGCGTCCGCGCAGGACAGCACGTCGTCCTCATCTGCCGCGGAACGAAGCTCAGCCGAAGAGGTAGCGTCACTGATAGACAGCGCGGTGACGTTGTGCTCAAGAGCGGAAATAGTAAGTTGGGACATGGCGAGACGATCTAGGAGAGGATAGGACGAGGCTCGGGGGTCGCTAACTTGGTCGAGTAAGAGGGTAGTTGGCGGTGAAGGCGTGGCGGCCAATGCAGGATCAACTGAGCGCCTTATATACCCTCACGGTGTGGGCACTGATGAAAAAGACGTTCAAGCGTCGAAGGGACGCTCATGCTCGTCAAAGATTAGCCTCATGGCTTTCGCAGAGAATCTAGTCGTCAAAGAGCGTTCGGGCCTGAGTAAATCGTCAAAGGCAAGAAGACATGGCTTATCCTGCGCAAGCCTCGTGCTAAGAGCTCAAAGAGTTGACAATGATCTCATGGGAAAATGGCGCCCATGAGGCCGACGAGGCGCTTTGTAGACTGTCCTGATGAGGGTCAAGTCCAAGGTCAAGTGGTGCCCTCGAAGTGGCGCGTGGCTGCCGCCCGCCACGCGTCGTGTCTTTCCTATTTCGGGGCCCATTGTTCTTCGTTCCCGACCGTCATCTGTTCAGCAATAACATCTCCCTCTCTCTCCAATTCGTTACGCGACTGGGTCAATACCAAGGTGATACCTCGACTATAGTACTCCTGCACACGTCCTCAAATATAGACAACAGTTTCGCGCGACGGCAGATCGTATTCACTCCCGTTCTTCCCGTTCTTTCTCTTGCTGCGAGAGACATGGCTCTCTTCACGAGCAGATAGACCTCTTTGTTGGCTAGAAACTCGAAGGGAATGGAGCATCACAGTCGCTGCTGATTCTGCTCGGCGCGCAGGGCCTTGACGGAGATCGGTTTGGTGCGTAGCGAAGTCTTCGCCCTGCACGCAACAGCTGACCTTGGATAGATAGTTGAGACCTTCTAATACGCTACTCATCGATGAACAGACTGGGAAGGATGCCTTTCGTTTGGCATCCGGGTCCCCGGGACAACTTGCCGAGGCGTCAAGCCCTCCTGTCGCACGCCCAATGGAGCCGTCGCCTGCCTCCAGCAACAAAGCCTCTTATCTCTTTGACGCATACAGGAGAGCCACGGGTGACTCATCGAACAGTCAAACAGTGGGGATGACATTTCGCTCGCATGCGCGCCAGTCGCTCAACGCGTGTACCGGTGAGCCATCCTGCCCTCAAAGTGGTTCTCGACTTGATCTTCTCGGCCAGGCTCAGCTTGCAAGACCCGACCCTTCTTGTCCCATCCCCTTCCCAAGCGCCGTCCGTCATCATGGTCAGGGCGCTTCGGGACAACACTGCGAGGACTACATGGAAGTCGAGGTCTTTCAACCGGTGCGTCCGACCCGTCTTCTCGACCCTTGCTGTCTGCTTACAGTCCTTTATTAGTTTTATGATCGTCTGGTCAGTTCTAACTTTCGCGTTCGACTGGTCTCGCGCTCCACGGACATAACCCTGCATTCGGTTTGGATACATGGCGTGTCCCCACCATCCACCGACGACCTTACGTGCCGCGTTCTTTTCGATCTCGCACTTCTCGGTCAATGTCTGCGAGCGCCATAAGCCGCATGCAAAATTTCGACCTGCGCCATGACTCCCATCGTGTTCACGAACGTCGACTACATTAGCATCGGTTCACCGCAACCGACGCATAGCCCGCGCAACTCACCTTCACCATCCGCCCAGAAGGCCGTCGCTACGAGTACTCGACGAGGATACACAGACCGACCTCATGCTGGCCTACAGAGCCTTCATGCCATGCGTCCTGTACCGTATCTCGGATTGTTGCAATGATATTGTGGTCTCTGATCTTTTTGTGTCGGTGTTTCGTTCGGGAAGAGGTCAATGATGTCGACTTCGAAGTCATCGGAGCCTCATGTACGGGACCCGCAGGCGTATAGGTATGTCACTGCCGACGAAGGTCAGTGCTACACCACCGTACTTCCGGACTCGTTCTCTTAGTCGCATTCGCGCCGGACGGTGGGGACTGTCAACACCGGTAGACTTCCACCAGATGAGGCTGCCCGTAGCTCTTGCGGTTGTCGGCGCGTACTATCCAGAGTCGAGAAACACCGCGAAGGGTGCGTATGGCACGGGGCTCCCGGCGCTTATCGATCCTGGCTATGCGTGCGAGCTGATGTTGTATAGCCCTCCGACCTTCTCAGGATGCTATACAGCTCACGGCTGACCTGCTGTTATCCTCGAGTGAGCGTCCTCGTCCTTCCTTCCGACCGTCATCATCGACACTGAACTACCAGCAGCGATGTCCGGCTCTCCTTCCCCGCCGCCGTCGTCGTCCGCGGGGACCCGCCCTCTGCGCTATCGATTGCTGCCCTCGTGGTTCGCACGCTATCTCTTGCGAAGTCGCGCCTCACCCCCGGCGCCTAGAGCCTGTGCCGCGGCCGCCTTCTCGAGCTCGATGCCCGCCTCCTCGAGCTCAACGACTGGCGTCGATGCCTCTCCGGATGGTGATCCTACGCCTCCTTCGTCACCGTCAATTCCCGCGACCTGTGCTGCTGCAGCTGTGTCGCCGTCGGCCGACGGGCGTCATGGCCTATTCCAGCGGCTCTCGCTTCCGTACATTTTTCGCCGTTTGTCGCGAAACCCTGGCCCTTCGTCGGGCGGCTCGCCCACTGTTTCTGTGCGTCCGACGCCCCCCGCACCAGAGTCGGATATCCTTCGGACGCCGCCAACGTTGGCTGTGGATGACTCGAACCTCGCTCCCGTAGCAGACTCCGTCTCCCGGTCCCTTGTCGCTGATCTTCCGGAGATTGGCACCGCATCAGTAGACGTCGTAGGCACACCTACCAGCGACTTGGATGCGACCGACGATGTCCCGGCCACGCTCAACGACAACCCCGGCGCACTCACCGACGTCGATGACGCGCCAGCTGACGACCCGATGACCGAGATGTGGAACGAGGCGGTGGCGGAATGGCAGCGGAAGACTGACGTTGACCTGACCGCTCCCGATTCTATGCTATTCAGCTCCAAGGACGCGATAGTGAGCTACATCGCGGAGATGGAGGAAGAGGAGGAAGAGTCCAAGCAGGGTCGCTGGCGGAAACTGCACGACCATCTATTGCCGCTGGCACGAATATTCGAAAGGCTATGCGCCCCCATTGGTGAAACTCTGAGCACGACTGTAAGTGTACATGTTGATGGGTGCGGTCAACGTCACGTTTAGCTTGTCCGCGGCAGGCTTTCCCGCCTAGTAAGGTCATCTTCTCGGCAGTGGGCATGATCATCCATGTAAGCTGTTCCGCCATATCTCATTGCTTGCTTTTCTAACCGTAGGCCCAGGTATACATTCGGACGCACGAGGAGCATGAGCAGATCGTTGACGCTTTCGATGAGATCCGCAATCATTTGCAGATCATCGAAGCCGTTGGCGCAAATTCCAGGCAATGCCTACATGGCGCAAACGTCAAGTTGCTTGCGCAGATCCTGAATGTCCTTGGGGTCATTGTGAGATTGAGGCGCAATAATTACGGGGGTACGTTGAGGCTTGCATGTCTAAACGCGTGCTCAAACGTTCGGCCACAGGCCGACTTTTACAAAGACTGATTGATATGCGACCACTGACCGAGGCGTTAGAAGACTTAAGGAGGATCAGTACGCACCACCACGAAGTAGTAGTGATGGCCACATTCGAATCAGTCACTAACATTATGGGCATTGTCGCTGGTAGCTTCATCTTGTCGTGGAAATTTTCTTGCGCTTACAGGATTCAGAGGAGCGGAAGAACACGAGCGAGATGGAATACTGCTTCAAGCATGTGCTGCAGGTTGCGCGCGACATCCAGGGTAGGCCCAGATATTTGCGCATACCGAAGCGCCACATCTTATTTACGCTGCAGACAACAACACCTCGAACCTGGCGATCCTGAGAAGCATGGAACATATGTTCCTCTGTCAGGTGGAAACTTTGAGAGGACCTTTCAGTACGTCAACATGTTCAGGCTTTTTACGACTTTGCATTCACGATTCATGAGTAGTCTCTGCAGAAATGGAGAGAAATAATGCATGGCTCGGCTTTCAGGATCCATCGCCCAGAATGAGCAAATTGCTCAATGATCGCGCGGCGAGTACCGGGCTGTGGCTCTTCGAGAGCGAAGTCTTTGCGGCGTTCAAGGAGAGAAGGATCCAGGTACTTATGCTCTACGGGAGTGGTGCGTTTCACCCATGCTCGCCGCCACCCTATATCACTCATTCATCAATAGCTGGTTGCGGTAAAAGTACCATAATGTGGGTTGTAATTTATTCAGGGAATTATCTGTCTGATGATCTTATCTACCAGCGCCGCCGCGGTTCGAGAGCTGAAGGCCTATTGCGCATCTCGTGGCCCCAACTTCGTTACCCTCATCCACTTCTTTGATGCGACCGACAATGCGCGACCGAGAGACCTAACGGCCCTGCTCTCGTCGATTCTCTGTCAACTCTCTATCAACAGCCCATCTTGCATGAAGATTCTCTCTGAAGCACGCGCGGTTTCGAGGACGAGCAGCTATTTCACGCACGAAGATATGCTGAAATGTTGGCGAACCATGCTCGCGAGCGGATTGCATGTCTTTCTTGTCGTCGACGCGCTGGATGAGGCTCTGGACGAGAAGGTTATCGCTGTTCTCGAAACTCTTCGCTTGCTTCCGAGAGTCTCCATCCTCTTCTCGAATCGTATTTGCGTCAGTAAAGGGGTCCTCTACGACCACTGCATTCAGATAGATCAGGAACAATCCAACACGGATATCTGCACTGCCCTTGACATCGCATTCTCCGAGGACGGACCATTATCAGAAATTCCGGAGCCTGACACGATGCGACGGGAGTTGGCGTTGAAAGCGGGGAAAAAGTTCGTTGTTGACATGTTGTTCCATGTTTTCGAACTCACTGTATGTTTAGCATGCGATGGACCGTGCTCGTCATCAACCAGCTTCGGAGTGTCGTACATCTTCCACACAAAGTCTGGGCATTATTTCACAGACTCCCTCCTTCTTTGGAAAAGCTGTACGCGCGATGTCTCGCCGATGTACATGCTGATGATCGCGAGGAAGTCCGTCGCTTGCTCATATGGATCCTTCACTGGGATAAACCACCGTCTTTCCGAGTAACAGTCGACTTGCTCTCGATCCTGCTAGCCTTTGACTATAGTGGTCGCATGCCGGTATACATACCTTGTTGGACACCCACAACAACGGAGGCCGTCTATCGTCTCGTTGACTCTATGTTCATCTCGATCTCGGGGTATGACATCCATATCGCTCATGCCTCTGTTCGGGACTTCCTCGTCTCTCTGCCCGAATCTTCACCATTCCATGTCTGCAGTGTCGATGCCTACTGTCTCATGGTTCGCACGAGCCTTGCCTACTTCATAGCTAGCACGAAGGACGGCTCACAGATGCTCGATGACTGGAACATCGAATTAGCTGGGCTGTGGGTGCAGTGCATAGCACGGCATGGGGACAACACTCTCTACTCCGCCGTAGAGCAGGATCTCCATTATGCTCTATCTAAGGTATGGCAGATGCCTAGCGCACAGCCTGTGCTCTATGACGCGCTGCGTTATGGGATCAGGGCCCGCCACATGAGACTAGTCCGAAAGCTTTTGGAGGGCGGGGGTGCGACCAACTACTTCGGAGTCAATGGTGGCGAGCTATCACGATACCTCCACCCTGTGGGCGCAAGCAGACATGATGCTGGTATCCTTCGCTTGCTTCTCAGCTATGGCGCGCATATCGGTACAATAATTCCAAGCCGTCGTCGCCCATGGATGGATGCAAGGATTCCGCTCATCATGATCAAATATGGACATCTCGACATTGTTAGGATGCTTCTTGAGAATGGCACCGATGTCAATGTCCGGGATGAACGTGGTAGTACGCTGCTACTCATGGCTGCTTTCTATAATCGGCCAGACATCACCCAATTGCTGCTCGACCATGAGGCATGCATTGATGACCAGGATAATCAGCAGACGACGGCTCTGCACTGGGCAGTCATACGCAACAGCCTCAGCAGTGCCAATCTGCTCATCGAACGGGGTGCCCTCATCGATACTCCCGACCAGAACGGCCACACGCCCCTCCATCTGGCTGTGATCCGCAATGATCCCCATATGATCAATTGCCTCGTACATCGAGGGGCATCTCTCGAGGCGAGAAACGAGGACGGATGGACGCCATTGTTTCTTGCGGTTATATACAGCAGGGAGCGTGCTGTGGCGATGCTGCTGACTACGGGAGCCGACCCAAAGACACGCGCAAATGATGGGGTGACACTGTTGGGTGCGGTTGGCAGAAGTCTCTCCGAGAGACTGAAACGAGGAAGGGAGATCGCGGGGGAGGTTGAAAGGGACAGTCGCATTCGGATCTCGCTTGTACGAGCAGGCTCGACAGAGGGAACTGGAAGAAATCCGTCGGGCGGTGCGTTATTCGGCCGGAAATGCAGCGATAGATGACTCACGCGTCTGTAGATGCATGGCTTTCGCGTTCCCTACCGAATGCACTATGCCCAGGCTTCTGATAATTTGGTAGAGTCAACATATGGTCCGCGTGAGAAGCCTGTCACTCGCCTTGTTTACAGCCAGTTCGCCATCGCATTCTCGATCTTCTCGACCTGCGCATCCATCGTATTCCCCGGGAAGAAAGGAAAACGTAGAAGGAGAGAAAGATATGCGAAAGGGGTCCAAAATTCATATACAAGCGCCGTTTTACAGTTGTCATCAGCAAGGGGACCTGAAGAATAGATATGTAAACTTTGGCGGTATATACCAGTGTGTCACTGGGTAATCGGGCTCTTATCGAGAACGGCCCGTGGGTTTTCTGCATCATCGGCGGACGAGGAGTGCGTCACGATCCAGCTGTGACAGGTACACCGTCAGAACGACGAAGGTGAAAACTGCGTCGCGCAAGCGCAGGCCAGACCGGAAAGTCAGAATGCAAACCAGATGTATGGTCATGGTGAACGGGGGATGAATCGCACCGAGGGAGGGAACGAAGTCGTGGAGGAGAGCAAGTATGGTCGCAGCAGCAGGGTGGCAGTCTGACACACAACTGGAAGTTGACGGGCGACGGTAGACTCGGGCGACCGCAGACATCGCCAGGTCGATAGGCGTCAACGAAAGGATCCAACAAACCATCCCGGGTCCGACAGCAACACATCTGACAGTTGCCGATGAGCAGCGAGTTCCATAATTGGGAGTGCATCTGCTATACCTAACGAGTGAGACGCGGGATCGTAAGCGCTCTCATGGTTGCCACTAAGCCTGCATCCTCTAGTCCCCTCCACCTTCCATCTTCTCATTCTCCCGGACATCATGCTTCCCGCATCCCCTGCCGTCTCGTTAGCGCATCTGTCATTCCATTGATGCAAGACACCTACTCATGGAGCGCTCGCGCTCGAGTTCACGCGTACCAGCGCAGCTGATCACACTGATGAGACCGACACGACTATGAAATTATTATTCGTGCATTGCCGCAGCGCCCCATCCCATCCTCCTTCTGTTCCTTCCCGTCCGTTCGGGGTCCAGAGGCGTCCTCAACGCGCGTCTGCTCCACCGACACTATCAATCGTGCTCCCTTGGGCGAAAACCTCGAAAAATCAGAAGAACAGCCCACCGTCCTCTGGAGGGTGCGTTGTGAATCAGATCCATGAGGCAGGGCGTGCTTTGGTTTCGAGATACTCACTCCGCCTTCGTCCTGTCGTGACCCATGCATAACCGCGTCCAAAATTCCGACTCCTCGATGCGGCTTTCCACGCTCGACGAGGAGCGGTGCGGTCGGCGAAAAGTAGCGGGTCATCCGCGCTATCGAGGCCCGCGAATGTCAATGGTGCTTCTCCATCCGGACGTAGGCAGCCGTGCACAGGGTCCCTCTTCTCTTTGCCCTACGGGCTATACACGTGTCGAGGTAGCGCCCGCGCGCATCGGGCTGGGGGAAGAACGAGGCGCTGGGACATCGCGCTAGCGCCCGAGCGCATCGATCCGGCATCCCAGCACACCGAGCGGGCGTCCCACAGACCGAGCAAGCGGCCAGAGCACCGAGCAGGACGTTACGCGCAGCAAGCACGTCCATGTGCCGGCTGCCGAGTGCATCAAGCCGGTCACCGATAGCAAGCTGGGCACAGAGCTGGCCGCAGAGCGCCCGACTCGTTAAATTCTTCAGAGACTTTAGACGTGCGACGCGCGTCCTTTCGGCGCAGCGAGCGCGTCTCTGGCCCGACGCTTAGACAAGGCTGTCCGCCGTTCGCCGATCACGGCCGCCTTCGTAACGCGTTCCTCGTCGTTCTGCGCCGTGGTTGGAGGAATGCGTTGAAAAGGGGGGAGCTGGGGGGCGATGAGGACGGACATGCGACGAGCGCGGCGTGTGGGTAGCGATAGGTTGCTTGCGAGGAAGTACGCCGCGCATCGCAAGGGGTAGTCAACCTCGACTAGTGCGACGATAGGAACATCGACCGCCCCGAGGACGTCGGACTCGTGCGGAGCGCACCAGCCGTCATCGTTCTCTGGGTCGAGAGGGGATCGAGACGCGCGGCGCGCGACGGGCGCTGAGAGGAGGCGCCGAGCGATCGCAGTGTAACAAGGACGCGCAGGAGACGTATGGGTCACGGCCGACGCGCTCATTGACAGCGCGTGGCCTGCGCACGACCGCTCCGGATCGCTGTGCGCGTCAGTCTTGGGGACGCGGGTCGGAATCGTTGTGAGCCTTTTGTGCAGGACCGCTTGATTCGGGCTGGCGGAAGAAGTGATACAGAGGGCTTGAGGATGGGCGGTCCCGAGGACAGAGCGATACCTGCCGAGCAGGCTCATCTTGCGGTGCGACCTGCGCTCAAGTGAGCGATAGTTCGAAGCACCAGTGCATACTTCACGTACTTCATTTTCAAGTCATACTGTTCGCTCTTGGACGCGCGAACTTCTGCAACGCGCACTCATCCGAACAGCCCGTTAGAGCAAGATGCCGGATATGGCCAGACCATGTGTGAGGGAGCCGGGGCCCCAGATGCTTGGCGAGGACTCGCAGCTCACGAGGGAGGTGATTGCCCTCGGTCATCTTCGTCTGCTTCCCGATGATCTGCATTCCTTGTAAGCTCTTGACCCCTTCCGGAAATGAGGGCAGCACGCACTCAGTCAGAGCATAGCACACTCCATCTTGCTGAGCATGCTTAGCTAGGAACTTCAAGCTCCAGCGTGTCGCTTCAGAAGACTATGAGTACAGCTGCTCTGTTGGTATAGGACGACCCAAGCCGATGGCGGTGTAATTAACCAAGTCATTCGAGAGAAGCGAGGCTGAGACTGGTACAAGACAATGGGTACGAGGGAAGGGCCTGAGAGATACGTAGAGGACGGACGTCGGGAGAGGGGAACAGCCAGTGACCGTGACAGTGGACCGATCTGTCACGTTCCTGTTTGGGAATTTCCCATTGTTCCTGTTCCTTCTTGTTCTCGACCGTCATGCACTTGTGTTGTAATCCTCTCCACCATCGCCACCCTTTGATACAAACAATATCGAGGAGACTACCGGCTCTCTTTATACTGTTGTCCATTTTTTCTGTGTGTTCTTCTATTCCGCACAATTGTCGACACGAGACGGCAAGACTGCAGCTGCAACCTGAGCGAACGAAGACATTGAAAGCCTTGCGCGACCATGTGGTGCGAAGAATGAGCTGGCTGCTTTGAGGGGGACGCATGGTCGCTAACACTGCGGTTACACCTATGCTCTGGCGATCGCTATGGTGCGTCGGTGCATCTCCCACCGTGCAGTTACTGACCGCTTGATAGTCAATGTATTTTGAGTCAAGGTCGGGGCAGGAGAGAACTCGACTGCGAGTTACTTTCTTTATGAGTATCTGCAGGGGGAGAATCGCGCTAGCCTGCCCTACCCGAACCGCTTCAGCGACAGGCGACAAGCGACCGACACGAGGGCCGGCACCCCGCTACGTTCGCGACGAGTGCATGTGAGAGATCGGTCAATCGACTATTAGGGAGGATCTGGAACGGGGGAGAGTGTGCGGACCAACGAGAGCTTAAGAACATGGCTAGCTTCCACCTCCACGCGAATTGGGTGAGCTTTCATTAACTCTCAGTGACCCTTCGATCAAACAATGCAAAGGCTCTGCATACGTTCCCCGAAACTTCATTGGACGGGCAAGCTTAACGACCGATGCGCGATGCAATAGCGCCTCAGGAAGAAGATGCCCGCGAAAGTCACTCGGCGCGCAATTCGGTAAGCCTAAGCCCGTCTTCCTCGCGCCCTCCGTCTTCTGACGATGATTCTATTAGGCGCTTACGTTCCTTCACTATCTCAAACGCCTTCAAGGCCCAACGTTCGTTCGGCGGGTGAGGATTCAACTTCGGTACGGTTTCAGGGCGTCCATCTTTGAAGTCCATTACGCACCTCCTCCAGCGCTACCTAGGCCGCGCTCGCGCATCCCTGAGTTGGAGAAGGACCCCCTCGACCGACATGCAAAGTTACAGCCCGCCAGACAATCTTCCTAGACCTCGGCAACAACGTGAACGCCGGGATCATCCCCCGGATACGCCGTCAATGCACGCGAGCACGACACTCGACCCCCAAGCGTATACCTCGATACGAGGGTAGCTCTGATGGCGTTGCGTGCTGGTCAGCGCGCCGGTGACGCCTCTCAGGCGCCGACCAGTACCACCGCCCAGTGACTTGCGTATAACGAGAACACCAGCGATTCTTTCCTATATCCATTGCATGTTATATCCCGTCCTCTCGCGAGCCTGCATGCCCAGTCCATCATTGCCAGGATGCACACACCCCTCGAGGCTGGCCGTAATTGCGACTGACGCGGCTGATGGGCGGCTCGGCACTAAGTACGCCATCCCCGCCTCTCTTAATCCTTGTATATTTTGATGGTCGTCCTGCAGGACTAGAATATCTCTATACACCCTAACCGCTCGCAAGGCTCGTATGCAAGTCTGGACGATTTTTCAACGTCGTCTTCGTCGAACCCGACGTGTCTTCAAGTTCATCATACGCGTCGTGGGGAGCTCCTTTGCCCGCGGTCGGACATGCCTAGGCTCGAGGAGGATACAGTCGAACTTCCTGCGAAAGCGTAACCTTGGCGAATAGCGCTGTCGTCCTCGGCAACTTCGACAACGGCGGCATTGATTCATTGGTACGTGCTGAATATTCTCAAGGATCCAATAACTGACTCTATCATATCAGGTCAACATGCTAGAGGTATATAGAGGTATCGATCACTCGCCCGCGTGCAGGCGACGGTCATCATGCACCAACGGTGTCGGCGCCCTCGCGCCCGTTGCGACATGCGCATCTGCCGGGCTCGTCGAAAGTCAAGGGCACACATGCCTCAGCCCTCATTCGCGCGTTCTCTATAGCACTACGGTACTGCAACGCCGTGCGTGTATGTTGTACCTCTTCTCCATTATCATAGAATGATGATTGGATCCTTGTTTTCAGCACGTCGCTCTGCTCCAGGCGAGAAGGCCGTAGACGGCGGCTTCTGGTAATGACCTCTTCCCGGTCTCATCTTGATATCTACAGATACGATCAGCCACGAGCACAGCTAGGGGCTGATCCATGGACCACCCTTGGGCTGCGCTCAGCTGGATACGAGTGGGGAGAGGTACCATCGACACGTCGTCGCATCGAGACCGCGAGTTGCATAGCTCTTGCGGTGCTTAGCGTCTGTCGAGGCTTGAGAGTGCACAGCGTAGGGTTCCTTCCGTCGGCGCTTATCGATGGGTGCTATGCGTGCGAGTTGATGTTCCATCGCCCTCGTCCTGCTCGCGAAGCTGTACAGTCACGCGGGTGACGTGCTGTTGTATACCAGGTGGGCGGTCCGCCTCTTCCTTCCGACCCTCATCGTCAACACTGAACGTGGACCCTGCAGCCGCAATGCCTGATTCCTCGATCTCGCCGTCATCGTCCGCCGGGCGCCGTCCTCTGCGCGATCGGCTACTGCCATCGTGGCTCGTCAGCTACTTCTCGCGAGGCCGTGCTTCATCATCGGCGCCTATCGCAAGCGCTGTGATCGCGTCCTCGGTGACAGCGCCTGGCGACGACGCCGACCCTCCAGTTGGTCCTCGCCTTCATTCCCATTCATCATCGTCCACCGCGGCGGCCTCTCCTTCTGCCTCGCCGTCGCCGTCGCCGGCCGAACCACCCAGTTTGCGCCATCGACTATCGCTTTCGTCCCTGATGAGCCGTCTGTCGCGGGCTTTCGCTTCTTCGGGCAGAGGGTCTCCTCCGGCCCCCGTGTCCTCGCCGTCTCCCGAGCATGCCTCGGACGCGCTTCATATATCGCCGTCGCCCTCGGCAGATGGTACGAACGATACGGGTCCCGAGCCTCTTGCCGGCGTACTCTCACCGCCGCGCGCCATCGAGGCGTCCGAGACGACTACGTCCGTCGCTGGCTTCTCAACGTCAGACGCAATCACCAGCGTCTCAATCGCTTCCATCGACGTCCCAGCCGCGGCCAGCGACGACTCGATGACACAGATGTGGTCTCAGGCAGTGGCGCAATGGCAGAGGAAGATGGGCGTCGACTTGGCCTCTTCGGAAGCTATGCTGTTCAGTTCCAAGGACGCCGTGATAGGCTACATTGCGAGAATGGAGGAGGAAGAGCAGGAAGCGTTCGCGAATGGCCGATGGAAACGCGTCCGCAACAGCTTCATCCCGTTAGCCTGCATCTTCGAGAAGCTCTGCGTTCCTATCTGTGACACCCTCTGTTCGACGGCGAGTGGTCTACCCTCGGATTATACGCCTAATATTGACACACTTGATAACAGGCCTTTCCTCCGAGCCAGATCTTATTCTCAACCTTGGGGATGATCGTCAGCGTGAGTGCCTCTATCACTCATCTCCTTCTGTCGCTCCTGATCGCGGACCCAGGCATCTGTAAAGACCCTCGAGGAACACGACCAGATTGCGAGCGCATTCGACGAGATCAGGACACAATTGCAAGTAGTCGAAGCTGTCTCTATGCAAGCCGAAGACTTGCTCCGCGACGCGTCTATCCGACTGTTAATTCAGTCGATCACAGTTCTTCAGGTCATTGTGAAGATGAAGCGTTCAGGCCGCCTCCGTGAGCGCTACTGTATTCATCTGTCCGGCGTAACCACAACGGCGCTCTCTAGGTTTATGGCTGAAGAGTCTCATCGACATGCGGCCTCTGTCTGAAGCATTGCAAGACCTCGGTCGCCTTGCTAATCGGCACCATGAAGTGATAGCAGGAGTCACATACGAAAAGGTGACGCAAATGATGTCAAGCCTTGCTGGTAGGTCTTTTCCTCGCGTGAGTCCTTCCTGCTCACTGTCTTACAGACGAAAGAGTGTCTCAAAATTGGGTGAACCAGAGTATCCTGGACTTATTGCAACTCGTGCGTCGCATTCAAGGTGCGTAAAGATCCCATGCTTGTTCAGTCAGGCTGACTCGTAAGTCAGAGAACGCACTTTCGACGAAGGAAGACATTCTTGCACACCGTGCCGTTCTACGCCGCCTCGAGCTTTCGCTCTACCTGCAGACGAACGACCTGAAGCAAATAAAGAGTCGGTCGCTTAGTCGCTCACTGCGACGTCCATACTGACTTGCCTCAGCATCTGTCGAGCTCGACAAGATCGGGCAGTGGCTCGGGTATTCGAACTGCTCGTCCAAACTCAGCAAGCTCCTGGATGACCGTGCAGAGGGTACCGGCTCATGGTTCCTCGATGGTGACGTTTTCGCCGCATTCAGAGAAGGGAGTATCAGATCCGTACTGCTTAACGGAAAGGGTGAGTCTCGCTCTGTACTTTACGCACTGGCGCTCATCGGCCGCTAGCTGGCTGTGGTAAAAGTACGATGATGTATGTTTATTTTCACGATCCGCTTTTCACCAATAACGTCTGGTTCCAGCGCCGCTGCTGCTCAAGTCCTGCAGGCGCGCTGCGTAGCGCTTACTCCTCAGCCCCTCGTGCTCGTCCATCTCTTCGACACTACCGACGGCTCCCATGTGCGCGATTTACGCACCCTCCTTTCCGCCCTAGTATATCAAGTGGCACTAAAATGTCCTCAATCTGCTCTTACCATATTCGAGGCCCGCAAGAGGGCCATCGAGAATGGATTCGCAACGAAGACCGACAAGGAACGCTTGCTCATGAGCTTACTTCGTGCTGTTTCATCCCGGGTTTTTATCGTCATTGATGCATTGGATGAGGCCGAGCAGACCGATGTCCTTCCTTTTCTACACCGTCTGAAGGGGATATCTACCGTCTCACTACTCGCCTCTCGTCGCACACCAGTGAATGTAGCTCATTTGTTCGACATCATGGTTGCTGTCGGTGACAATGACACGGATAGCGATATCGGAGCAGTACTCGACATATCATTATCCTCTGGTGGTGTGCTGGAAAGCATCAGAGACCGCGACGGAGTGAGACAGGCGCTGCTAGCGGGGGCAGAGGGAAAGTCAGTCGGTTCATTTCCTGCCGTGGCAGATTAGTACTCACACAAGCGCGGCGCAGTTTTCGCTGGACGACGTTGGTCATCCAGGAGCTCAGGAGTATCGCAGGATTACCGGGCAAGGTTCGCCAGCGCTTGAAAGTCCTTCCCGAATCGCTGGAAGTCCTTTACAAAGGATGCCTGGATGCGATCGATCCTGCGGATCGAGCTGATGTGCGACGCTTACTTCTATGGCTCGTCCGCACGGTGCAACCTATGTCATTGGACGACTTTGCAAATCTCATGTCTTTTGACTATACCGATGATAAGCCGGTCTACGAGGCGTCTCTACGGCCCGTACCCGAGTCTGTGATCAGCATGGTCGGGTCGATGCTCGTATCCGTCAATGGAAGGATTGTCCAGCTGGCTCATGCCTCAGTTCGCGACTACATCCTCAGTCTCCCTTCAAACTCGCCATTCTTTGTCCATGATGAAGATGCTTACGCTCTAATGGCTCGTACATGCCTTGCATACCTTGCTGGAACTGACGACCCGGCACATTCCTGGAATGTTAACTCGCATTTGACCTGGTCCTGGGTCGAATACATTAGCAAGGCAGGTAGTGGGGTCTATGACAAGCTAGAAGAGGAGATGACAGCGGCCCTTGTAATTCTGGCTACAAAATCCGACAGCACAATTGTACTCGACAACTCGCTCTGGTCTGCTATAGACGTAGGTCACCAGCAACTTGTTGCTGTGCTGATAGACAAGGGAGCGGAAATCGAGGCTGGAACTACGAAAGGCAAATGGAAAGCTCTTCATCACGCAGTGAAACATGGCAACCTTGCCATCACCGTCCTACTCCTCAGGCGGGGTGCCTCCATCGCGGCGAGGTCGGTTCAGCAAGTCACACCGCTGGTCTTGGCAGCTCTAAGCGGTCACGAAGCCATTGTTTCTCTGCTCCTCGACAATGGGGCGCATATTGAGGAATGTACTGAAGAAGGCTGGACCTCGCTTCACTATGCAGCGTATCATGGACATCTCAGCATTGCCCGCCTACTACTGGAGCGAGGTGCTGCTATCGCTGCACGAACGATACACCAGTTCACGCCGCTGATACTAGCCAATCAAAGTTCCGAGGAAATGGTTCGCCTTCTCCTTGATAAGGGGGCCCATGTTGGGGAGTGTCAGAAGGCTGGCTGGACCACTCTTCACTATGCTGCCAGCGACGGACACTTCGGAATTGGCACCCTGCTACTCGAGCGAGGCGCCTCGGTTGTCGCACGAAACAATCAGCAGGACACGCCACTGACAATAGCCGCTCGATGCGGGAAAGAGGACATCGTTCGCCTGCTTCTCGAAGGGGGGGCGTGCGTCAATGCTTGTAACGTTGATGGCTGGACTTCCCTGCACTGGATCGCTAAAGAAGGGCATCTCGATATTGCCCGCTCGCTCCTTGCGCGAGGTGCCTGTGTAGACTCGCGAGACAATCAGCAAAACACGCCACTGACAGTAGCGGTAGAGCACGGTCGGGAGGATATTGCTCGCTTGCTTCTCGACCAGAGCGCGCCTGTCGGGGCCTGTAACAACGCTGGCTGGACTGCCCTGCACTTTGCGTCCAGAGAGGGATATCTAGGCATTGCTCGCCTGCTCCTCGAGCGCGGCGCATCCGTCAGCGCGCGAACCAAGCAGCAGGCCACGCCGCTCACGGTAGCAGCCAGTCACGGGCGAGAAGACGTCATTCGCCTGCTTCTTGACAAGGGAGCGCATACCGAGGAGTACAGCTGGACAGGTTGGACTTCACTTCACCTCGCAGCTAGAGATGGATCTCTCCGTATCGCCACCCTGCTCCTCGAGCGAGGCGCCTCCATGGCCCTGCGAACTAGTCAGCAGGACACCCCGCTGACAATAGCGGCTTACAACGGTCGAGAGGATATCGTTCGCCTGCTCCTCGAAAGGGGGGCATGCGTAGAGGATTGTAACGGTGATGGCTGGGCATCCCTGCACTGGGAGGCTAGAGAAGGACATCTCGATACTGTCAACCTACTCCTCGCGTGTGGTGCCTCCATCTCCGCGCGTACCAAGCATGATGGCACACCGCTAACGATAGCGGCCCGCAACGGACAGGAAGCCGTCGTTCGTCTGCTCCTCGACAAGGGAGCGCATACCGAGGAGTCCGACTGGAAAGATTGGACTTCCCTGCACTGGGCAGCTGCAGGGGGACACCTAGGTACCGCTCGTCTGCTCCTCGCGCGAGGCGCCTCCGTCGTTGCGCGAAGCAATCAGCAGGTCACGCCGCTGATGGTAGCTGCCTATCATGGTCGGGAGAACGTCGTCAATCTGCTACTCAAGAAGGGGGCACAAATAGAGGAATGCTATGATGAAGACTGGACTTCACTTCACCTCGTAGCTCAGCAAGGACATCTCAGCATCGCTCGGCTGCTCCTCGAGAACAGCGCCTCCATCACCGCGCGAACCAATCGACACGCCACGCCGTTGATAGTAGCGGCCGACAACGGTCGAGAGGACACTGTTCGCCTGCTCCTCGATGCGGGAGCGGATATTGGGGAGTCTGATGGCTGGAGTCTGACTTCCCTCCACTTAGCAGCTGCAGAGGGACACCTAGGTACCGCTCGTCTGCTCCTCGAACGAGGTGCCCACGTCTCTGCGCGAGCTAAGGCAGAGAGCACACCGCTAACAACAGCAGCCAGTCGCGGTCGAGAGGATGTCGTCCGTCTGCTTCTTGACAAGGGCGCCCAGGTTGAGGAGTGTGAAGAGATGGGCTGGACTTCCCTTCACCTCGCAGCTTTCAGGAGTCATCTTGGCATCGCTCACCTGCTCCTCATGCGAGGTGCCTGTGTTGACGCGCGAAATGATGAGCAGAGCACGCCGCTGATGGTAGCGGCAGAGTACGGTCGAGAGGACATTGCTCGCTTGCTCCTCGACAAGGGCGCGCGTGTTGAGGATCCTAACAAAGCCGGCTGGACCGCTCTGCACTTGGCGACTAAAGCAGGACATCTCGGTACTGCCCGCTTGCTCCTGGAGTACGGCGCATCCGTCAGCGCGCGAAGCAACGTGCAAGACACGCCGCTGACGGTAGCGGCACAGTACGGATGGGAGAACATCGCTCGTCTGCTCCTCGACGAGGGCGCGCACATCGAGGAGAGTGAGGAGAACAATTATACTTCCCTTCATTTCGCCGCCAGAGAGGGACACCTCGGCGTCGTCACCTTGCTTCTTGCGCGGGGCATCGCCATCTCCGCTCGAACCAAAGGGAGGTATACACCACTGACATTAGCGGTCTACAGCGGTCGAGAGGACATTACTCGCCTGCTCTTGGACCAGGGAGCGGATATCGAGGAGTCTGAAGAGCATAGCTGGACGTCCCTCCACATTGCAGCTCAGCAGGGTTTTCTCGGCGTCGTTAACCTACTCCTCGAACGAGGCGCCTCCATTTCCGCGCGAACCAATGACCATTTGACACCGCTGATGATTTCAGCTGACAATGGTCGAGAGGACGTCGTATCCGTTCTCCTCGACAGGGGGGCGCACATTGAAGATTCTAGCGCGACTGGCTGGACTGGCTGGACTGCACTGCACTTTGCGGCCGAAAAGGGATATCTGGGCGTCGCTCGCCTGCTCCTCGAGCGCGGCGCATCCGTCAGCGCGCGGACCTGGGAGAAGGACACGCCACTGATGATAGCTGCCCGTACGGGTCGAGAGGACGTCGTTCGCCTGCTTTTGGATCGGGGAGCGGATACAGCGGCATGTGATGAGGCAGGCTGGACTTCCCTCCACTGTGCAGCTCGTCAAGGATTCCTCGGCGTCACCACCGTTCTCCTCGAGCGAGGCGCCCCCGTCTCGGTGCGGACCAAGTATCACATCACGCCGCTGATGATGTTCGCTGGCACAGGTCGAGAGGACGCCGTCACCGTTTTCCTCGACAGAGGGGCACACATCGAAGAATCCGACAACGGGGGCCAAAATTCCCTGAACTGGGCGGCGTGGTTTGGGCAACTCGGTACTGCTCGCGTACTCCTTGAGCGAGGCGCCAATATCCATACCTTTGACATCGTAGGACAGGGCCCTCTGCATTGTGTCGCGCAGCAGGGTCACGTCGAGCTCCTCAAGTTTTTCGTCCAGAAAGGCGCCGCACTCGAAGTCCGTGACAAGAAAGGGCAGACTCCGCTATATATCGCCGTTAGATACAGCCAAGAAAGCGCTACAGAGCTTCTGCTGAGCTTAGGCGGCGACCCGCGAACACGCGCAGATGACGGGACGACTCTTTGGGACGCTGTTGGCCAAGGGCCACCATTGTCGGAAGACGCCGAGCGAGATGCGCGCATCCGCGAGCTGCTTATGCAAGCGGGGTACACGGAGGAGACGGAAAGCACACGGCTGGGGGATGGGTCACTGCCAAAGGAGGTCGGAGAGTGAGGCGCGAGTTGGTGAGGTGAGTCGTTGAACAGCTTGTTACATGTGGCGGGGTGTTGACCGATTACAAGGATTGCGGGCTGACGGCGATGATCATGTGTAGAAGACATGTCTGTCGAAGGAAGGAACCCGCAAGGGGGAGGGCTTGAGGGGGTACGGTGGTGGACTGGGTTTGGATTGTTGCTTCGCATGTCATGCTAGGAGAAGCATTGTCAATTCCTTTTGTCTCCGCAGGAGCAAATTGTTTATTTCGTCGTACGACTGGATCATATACTGTGGATACTCGTCAGGGCCTACAACTACGAACGATGCCTGAAACATACCCATATATCGCATTCACCCCAGATTTGCAATCGCGCGTTCAATCCCAGGTCTCCTCGACCCTCAGCACATACGTCGTCCCCGCCCCACCCATCTCCCCTCCCAGCTCCTTCACCGCACCGACGTGCATACGAAGTAGATCTCCTTCGAGAAGCGGGTTACTTTCCTTCTCGCGCACCTCCTACCCCTCAGCTCGCGTTCTCTAGACGGTAAACCTGCGCAGTTTTCCGACTTCATTTCGCTCTCGCGCCGTCTTGAAAAGCCTCCTCTTCGCTGACTCTCCACCACTCCCCCCTCCCCCCACTTCTCCGCCTCACCCCGTCCCTCATTATCGTGTCCTTCACGTCGCTGCTCTCCACGCCCCATTCCTTCCCCATCCCCCATCCACACCGTTCCTTCTCCCCCTCACAACCCGTTCCCTCCCCCGCCACCCCGCTTCGCGCAACGCGAAGGGCGCACCCCATCTTCCTCCTTCTCAAGATCTCTGGCTACTCCATCTCCACGTCCCCTCCGCCCACCCCCACACCCCCTTCAACGATCTCCATACACCCTTCATTCATCCACATATCCCCCCCCCCATCCTCAAGACGAAGCCGGAGAAGCGCTCTCCTACCCATTTGCGCGCCGCGGCCCGCTCTTGTCCTCTTCGCCTACCGGTTCTCAGGATACACATACGCCCTTTCGTCTTCTTTCAGCCTCCTTCCTTCCCCAATCCCATGTCGCCTCCCCTCCGCCCACGCAGCGCCCGACGTCTTCTCCTGCTCCACCTCCTTCCCTCGACACTTAGCGTCGGACGATCTCATCCACTAAAGGACCGCGCCCACATCCCGGGAAGTTTTTGCGTATCCCAGTCAAGGGCGACCTTGCGGCACGGAGGAGGGGGATAAGATTGAGGGAAGGTGCGAGGGAAGGATATGGGAAAGAGAAGTGGCGGAGGGCGAATGAAGAGGAAGGGAGGGGGTCGGAAGAGGAGAGACGAGAGCAAAGGGAGGGAAGGGATGAGAGGAAGGGAGGGGAGAGGGGGAGGTGGCGCGTAGGGGATGGGATAGGGGGGAAACACGGGAAGGGTCATGGGAGAGAACGCAACACACGTCCATTATCACCCGTCGTGCGTGCGTGACATGGGTTCTTCCTTCCCCCACCCTTTCCCCTTCCCCATCCCCACATGCCTTCCCAATCGGCGCTTCCGTCCGTCGTCTTCAGCGCTATCTCCCACACCCTGCGCTTCCACCCTCACCCTTCGCGTTTCTCCTCCCCGTACGCTTCCCCCCTCCTTCTAGGCTTTCCCCCTCTACTAGCCACGACGTGCTCCCCCGCACATCGCGCATGAGGACTTCGCCACACAACAGCCCGCCCACGCTTCTATCCACAACAGCCCCGCCCACCGCCGCTTCCGGAGCTGGCTTACTCCAGCTCCCTCTCCCGTCCCTGCCATCTTGGCTCATCCCACCGCCCCCGCCTATCCAGCTCGCCCCCACGCCCCGGCCTCTCCGGCCCACCCCACGCCCCCTCCTCTCCGGCTCGCCCCACCGCTCCCCCCTCGTTAACGTCTCGCATTCGACGCGCGCGCTCCCCCATCCTCGTCTTCTCCTCCTCCCCTAATATCTATTATCTCCCCCTCACCCTCGTCCTTTCCTCTTCCCCTCCCATTCTCGTCCCTTCCTGCTCCCATTCTCGTAACTTACCTTCCTCCTCCCCTCCTCGTACCTTCCTCCTCCCCTCCTCGTACCTTCCTCCTCCCCTCCCCGTCCTTCCCACCCCCCCCCCCCCGGCCCCTTCGCGTCCTTTTTTCCTTCACCCTCCACCCGCCATCCAGCCCATCCATCGCACCCCCAACTTGCCCTAATCACCGAGCGCGCCGATTCCACCCTCGCCGTTCTTATCCCATTCTTCTCCCCCCATCACTCATCTTCCTCTCCTTGCGTCCCTCAGCCATCCCCCCGCGTCCCTCGCCACCTACGCTCCGACCGACGCTTTTTCCCTTCCGCCCTCCGAACCACTTCTTGTTCCCACCGCTTCGCTTCACTCATCCCTTCTCCGCTTCGCCCTACCCCTTCTCAGCTTCACTCAACCCTTCTCCGCTTCGCTGCGCCCACCCCTTCTTCGCCCACTCCTTCACGAACGAAACCACCCCTTCTCCGCTTCGCTTCACACACCTCTTTCGCTTCGCTCCCCCACTCCTTCACGAACGCACCCAGCGCACGTCCATCGGCACGCCTGCCTTCTCCCGCCCTCCGCCTCCTCGCTCCGCCCCCTCTGCCCTTCCCTTCTCTCCCCTCCTTCGCCTTGTCGTTCGCCCATTCTCCTTCGCTTTGTCCCTAGTCCATTCTCCGCATCACCTCCCTTACCCTCCCCGCATCAGCACCCTTCCCCTCCCCCGCTCCGCATCACCTCGCTCCCCATCCCCCTCCACCTTCTCCCGCGCTCCCCCTTGAGCGCTCTCCTGCCCTCCCGGGACCTCTCCATCCACGTCCCCTTCGACGCGTACCACCCTCGGCACATCCTATCCTAGCGCATTCTCTTCAACACGCCCCGCCCCACGCCGCCCGCGCCGCGTACCGTATCATCGGGACGAACGGCATCGTTACCCAAACCGCATCGCGGGACGAGCTCTTCTGCTTCCTTTGCTCAACGCCTCAGTTCCTCAGGGCGTATCTCGGGGGAGGGGGAGGGAGGAGAAGGAGGGAAGGGGGAGGGGAATGCGAGGAATGAGCGATGGGGGGACGTATCTAGGTGGGGGTTGGGGAAGGAAGGGGGAAAGGATGGAAGGGAGGGAGGGGATGGAAGGGATGGAAGGGAGGGAGGATCGACGGGGAAGGGGAATAGGATGTGAAGGGAAAAGAGGACATGGATGCATCGTGCTATAAGCGCCGTCAGCAGAGGAAGCGTTAGGAGTGGAGAAGGCGTACCTCAGCCCTTCGATGAGCAGTGCAGTTGAGCCCCAGGGCAGGATCCGCCGCCAGGTGCAAGCATAGAAAGCGCGATCGTCAGGCCTGGGTTCAAGGAGTTGCGGGTGCGTGGGATAAGAGCAGAATCACAGAGACAAAGCCGGAGAGAGGTGACATTTGTAGAGGTATACAGCTGCATGTGCGAAGATAGACGGCTGGGAGGCGTACGACTGCGATCGCGACCACCAATGCCTACGTTCGCGGCTGCCAAGGCACGGCCTTGAACCTGCCGCCGCCTTCTTCAGCTCCTACGTCCGCATGCCCGGGACAGCGTGCAGCTGATTGCAGTCGTGAAGGAGAGGTTAACGTTCGGTGTCGAGCCAGCGGACTGGCGGCGGCTCCGTGCTTACGCGTATTTGGCTCCTTCCCGTTTGGGCTTTCCCATTGTTTTTGCTCCTCTTGTTCCCGACCATCATCATGCATCGTAATCCATCCTACCTCGGCGTCCCCCTCTCCTGGAACAATCTAAGACGTTTTTACTCTAACATGAATCTTCAATCTATCTTTCGGCCTCTTTGCGCGCGAGCGTCGAAGCGGGACAGTCATCGTACAGTCGCGGTCCGAATGAGTGAAGATAACTACTACCTCGCGCTCCCCTGTCCGATGTGGACAAGGACTAGGCCCTCGTTCATGGAAGACACTTTTTGCGGACTGTCCGTTGAGCTCACGAATCGGCTGGGTGCGTGGCGTTTCAGGAGGTGGTGGGCGCAGAGCTTGGTGCGTCTTAGCCCGTATTCTCGATTCCCTTAACCTTCTGACGGGTCTTCCGCCGGTTGAGAACGTCTTCTCACTTCTCACACTACCTCCGAGAATTGTTGCTCACTGCATCGACGAAGATTTCGACATTCTCGTTCGAGTCTCGACGTTTTCTCCGCGTTCACCATGCACCTCATGCGGGGCTCCCCCGACCGCGCTCGCACTTCCCCGAGTTGGAGGAGGGCGCTCTCGACCGTTATGCGAACCTACATCCCGTCAGACGACTGTGCTCGACCTCGGCAACAACGTGAATGACGCGCCCATCTTCCGAAAACGACTTCCAAGAACGCCAACACGACACTCGCCCCCCTCAGCGTATTTCTCAATGCATCGTGGTTATACGAACCTGTTTATCTATTCGCGCGCCGGCGACGCCCCTCCCCAGGCAACGATCATATCACAGCCTGGAGCTCGCTCATAACGAGGATACGGAACATTTTGTGCTATGAACCTAGTATCTGCTATTCCGCCCTCTCTCAGTTTTGCCCGCTCAGTTAGTCTCTTCATGGAACCACGCCTCCTCGAGACCGACCAAGTCTGCGATTGACGCGGTACGGGGATGCGATGTGCGGCTGGGCATCTGGTACGCCGTCCTCGGTCTTGCCCGATCCTTTTGTACCCTGACGGATCCTCTATCGCAATCCGAATATCTTTCATCACCCAAACCGCATACAAGGCTCCTATGCAGGTCGAACCCGACGTATTTCCAATCCATCGTACGCGTCGTGGAGCGCTCCTTCTCCCGCGATTGGACTTCCGTAGGCTGCAGAGGGATACACGTGAGCTCCCTGCGTAACTTTGACCTTGACGAGCAGCACTGTCATCCTCGGCAACTTCGATAACGACGGCATCATCTTTGGTAAGAATTGCGTATCCGTAAGGATTCAGCGACTGACCCTTTCGCATTAGGTCCCTGCCAGTGAGCGAGAACCGCACAGAGGTATCGACCACTCAACCGCGTGTATGCGACGGTCATCATCTACCCAGGACGTCGTCGGCGGCTTCGCGCCCGTTGTGATATGCACATCCGCCGGGCTCATCGAATGTATTGGGTACACAGACACTGCCCTCCTTTGCACTGCGCTATAGTGCTACGGTACTTCAACTTCGTGCGTGTACGCTCTACCTTAGGTTACAGAATATAGCATTGAATCTGCATTTTTATCGCAGCGCTCTGGCCTGTGCAACGAGGAAACTCATAGCGGCCTTCGGCAAGTACCGTCTTTTTCGGCTCATCGTGATGTCCGCAGATACGACCAGCCACAAACGACGCTTGGCGTTAGTTCTTGTACTACCCTTGGGCCGCGCTCACAGGAATACGAGAGACGAGGGGCAGGATGGCGTCGTTGCGACGAAACCGCGAGATACACAGCCCTTGCAGTGCTCGGCGCGTGCTCGAGACTCGGGGAGCATATGTAGGAGCGTACGGCGCAGCGATTATCCCGTCGGCGCTTATCGATGGGTGCTATGCGTGCGAGTTGATGGTGTATTGCCCTCGTCCTTCTCGAGATGCTGCACAGTCACGCGGGTGACATGCTGTTGTACACCAGGTGGGCGATCCGCCTCTTCCTTCCGACCTTCATCATCAACACTGAACGTGGGCCCTGCAATGCCTGATTCCTCGATCTCGCCGTCATCGTCCGCTGGGCGCCGTCCTCTGCGCGATCGGCTACTGCCATCGTGGGTCGTCAGCTTCTTCTCGCGAGGCCGCGCAGCGTCATCGGCACCTATCGCAAGTTCTGCGATCGCGTCCTCGGTGCCAGCGCCTGGCGACGACGCCGACCCTCCAGATGGTCCTCGGCCTCATTTCCATTCATCATCATCCACCGCGGCGTCCTCTCCTTCTGGCTCGCCGTCGCAGTCGCCGGCCGAACCACCCAGTTTGCGCCATCGACTATCGCTTTCGTCCAGGATGAGTCGCCTATCGCGGGCTTTCGGTTCTTCGGGCAGAGGGTCGCCTCCGGCCTCCGTGTCCTCGCCGTATCCTGATTATGCCTCGGACGCGCTTCAGGTACCGCCATCACCCTCGGCAGACGGTACGAACGGTACGGGCCCCGAGTCTCTTACCGGTGTACTCTCACCGCCGCGCGCCGTCGAGGCGTCCGAGACGACTGCGTCCGCCGCTGGCCTCTCAAGTTCTGACGTCTCAACCGCTTCCATCGACGTCCCAGCCGCGGCCAGCGACGACTCAATGACCGAGATGTGGACCGAGGCGGTGACGGACTGGCAGCGGAAGACGGGCCTTGACCTGACTGTTCCCGACGATATTCCTCTCCGCTCTAAGGCAGCCGTGATGAATTACATGGCGAAGATGGAGAAGGAGGAGAGTGAATGCGAGAAAGGCGAGTGGGAGACGTTGCGCGAGCGTGTCGACCCGCTGGCGCGCATCCTCGAGAAACTATGCAACCCGATCGGGGATACGATCTCGGCGGTTCGTTTTCGTCTGAGATACCGTTGGACTTGATGCTGACGCTTGTTCTCCTCAGGCCTTCCCCCCGAGCAACATCATCTTCGCGGCCGTAGGATTGATTCTTAGCGTAAGCGCTGTTGTCAACCTCAAGATCTGCACGCGACTGACTGAATGACAAGGCGTATATCAGAACACGCGAGGACTTCGCTCAGATTGGTGATGCCTTCAACGAGATGCGGTTCCATCTGCAAGTCATCGAGACTGTCGTAGGCCCGCATCCCTGTGATGTACTGCGTACCGCATGCGTCCTGCTTCTCACCAAGGTCCTCTCTGTTCTTGGAGTCATCGCAGAGATGCGACGCGAAGGATATCTACGCAAGCCCCTTCCTCTTCCTACCTCGAGGCTGTGCTTACTGTGCGCGACAGGGCAATGGCTCAGTCGAATTTCGAGTCAGACGCGGCCACTGTCCGAAGCGCTCCAGAACCTACGCCTGCTTGCCACCAATCAGCAACAAGCAATGGCTGCTGTCACTCTCAACAAAGTGACGCAGTTGATGGAGAGCATCGCCAGTACGTCTTTTGATGCATGCACTATCATTGACTGAACGTTTCTCAGACGACAAAGTCAGCCAGGAATGGATACGCGGGTGCCTCGTTGACGTACTGCGTGCCACCCGAGAACTCCATGGTATGCTTTTGGTGCCGCACGTACCGCACGAGCTCACCACGTACGGCAGACCTAGGCTCATCGACGCAGGCAGAAGTCATCGCCCATCGCACCGCTCTCCGGCGCATGGAGTTGGTGCTGTACAATCAGTCGGATAAGCTGAGGAAAATCGAGAGTACGTGATCCGCACGATAAGTCGGCACACGGTTTATGAATCTTCACGTAGTGTTCGCGGAGTGCGAACAGATTAAGGGATGGCTTCAATACGTAGATCCATCTTACAGGCTCAGAAAGCTACTGGACGACCGTGCGGAAGGCACCGGCTCATGGTTCCTCGACGGCGACGAGTTTGCCGCACTGAAGGAGGGTAAAACCAAGGCGGTACTTCTCAGTGGAAGAGGTGAGTTTCTCTGCTGTTACTGTGTGCATCAACTGAGATAACTTCAGCCGGCAGTGGCAAAAGTACGATCATGTACGTTATCATGACATGTACCAGATCGCCGATTTGCTGACCCTCATCTTTCCAGCGCTGCCGCAGTCGAAGCGTTGCGTGCCTACCATGCTTGCGACCCTCATTCACTCGTCCTCGCCCATGTCTTCGATTCCACAAACGCGAGCGCTAGTCAGCGGGATCTACATGCACTCCTCTCGACACTGCTCTGTCAGCTCGCATTCAACAACACTCACTGCGCGTCCATCATTTCGGAGTCTCGCAAGGCAATCGTAGCAAACGGGTTGCCAACAAAGGCTAGGTTGGAGAAATTGTTTATGGAGACTCTTCGAGCTACATCGCTGCACATCACTGTTGTTGTTGACGCCCTGGACGAATCCAGCGACGAGGACGGGATTATCTCCTTTATCCGTCGACTTCAGGCAATCTCGGCCATATCTGTGCTTGCCTCACGCCGTCCCGTCATAGACTCGTCTCAGGTCTTTGGTGCTGTGGTTTGTATGGATAGTCACGGCGAAAACAATGACATCGAGCTATTCTTGGATCTTGCTATGGCTCAGGGAGGTGATCTCGAAAAAGTGCGACTGGACCGCGAGGGTGTGCGCGTGAAATTGCTGGCGGGGGCCGAGGGCAAGTGAGTCACTGGAATTTCGAGTGTATGGAGTATGCGACAACTTATGGGTTACACTAGTTTTCGGTGGGTCGCACTTGTCTCTCAGGAACTCAAGGAGGTCGCTGGAATTCCGACAATGGTGCTCCGCCGCTTGCAGTCTCTGCCATCATCACTACGAGCGCTATATCAGCAGCGCTTAGATTCTATTCATGATGATGCTCGCGACGATTTCCGCCGCCTGCTACTATGGCTTGTTCGCTCCGAGGTGCCTCTATCATTGCACGACTTTGCGGAGATTATGGCTTTCGATTACTCTCACGACACGCCCATCTACTGCCCGTCGCATCGCCCTTTGCCCGAGGCCGTGATCAGCATGGTCGGCTCGATGTTTATCTCCGTTGACGGGAATACTGTGCGGCTTGCGCATGCCTCTGTTCGCGATTTCCTTCTCGGCCTTGCACCTGAATCCCCTTTCTTCATCTGCAAACACACAGATTACGCCCTGATGGCCCGTACTGTTCTCGCATATCTTTCTGCCATCAATCAATTCTCCTCTCTTGATCCCGACTCCCCTCTCACCCACACATGGGTCTACTACGTGCAGAGGGCAGGCAGAGAATCATACAACGATCTCTTAAAGGAAGTAGCTCCAGTAATCAGCAAGGTGGCCGCGCACCCCATTGGCACAGCTACGCTCCACCATTCGCTCGTGATTGCTGCTATGATCCACCTCCATCTGACTGCAGCGCCTGTCGACGATGGCGGAGTCGAGGTCGAGAGTGCAGACATCTACGGTCAGACACCTCTCCATCTAGCCCTCGACCAAGGGGCAGCTCAGGAAGGACATCTCGGCATTGTCAAGCTGCTCCTGGCGCATGTCGCTTCCATCCGCGCGCAAACCAATTGCCAAAGCACCCCACTGACAATAGCGGCCGAAAACGGTCGAGGGGATGTCGTTCTCCTGCTTCTCGAAAGCGGGGCGTGCGCCGAGGATTGCACCAATGGTGGCTGGGCTGCCTTGCACTATGCGGCTAGAGCAGGGCATCTAGGTATTTCCCGCTTGCTCCTGGAGCACGGTGCATCCGTGAACGCGCGAACTAAGCAGCAGTATACGCCGTTAACGATAGCGGCATACTACAGTCGAGAGAATATTGTCCGCCTGCTCCTTAACAAGGGCGCACAGGTCGAGGATCGTGATGACATGGACTGGACTTCCCTTCACTTCGCAGCAGAGAAGGGATATCTCAGTATCGCCAGTTTGCTTCTGGCGCATGGTGCATCTGTCGACGCGCGAACCAAGCAGCAGACTACGCCGTTGATCATAGCGACATGTAATGGTCGGGAGGACATTATCCGCCTGCTCCTTGACAAGGGGGCACAGGCCGAGGACTGCGATGAGTACGGCAGCACTTCCCTGCACGTCGCGGCCTATAACGGCCGTCTGACTATCGTCAGCACGCTCCTCGAGCGAGGTGCCTCCGTCGCCGCGCGAACCAAAGAGGAGCGCACACCGCTCATGATAGCAGCCAACCAGGATCGAGAGGATGTTGTTCGCCTCCTCCTCGACAAGGGCGCCTATATCGAGGATCGTGATGAGAACGACTGCACTGCCCTTCACTTCGCAGCAGAGAAGGGACATCTCGGTATAACTCTCCTGCTCCTCGACAAGGGGGCACAGGTCGAGGGTCGCGATGAGGACGGCGATACTTCCCTGCACGGCGCGACCTGGCACGGCCATTTCGATATCGTCAGGACGCTCCTAGAGAGAGGTGCGGATGCCAACGCGATCAACAACATACACCACACACCTCTGCATTATGCCGCGCAGAACGGCCATGCCCAAATTGCCAAACTTCTCGTTGATCGAGGTGCCGTGCTCGAAGCCCGTGACATAGACGGATGGACACCGCTTTACCTTGCCGTTTGGAACTGCCAAGAAAACGTTATAGCGCTTCTGCTGAGCCTAGGCAGTGACTTGCGAACACGCGCCGATGACGGAACAACTCTACTGGACGCCGTGGGTCGAGACCCATTGTTGCTGGAAGACACTGAGCGACATACGCGCGTCTGCGAATTGCTCATGCGAGCGGGGTGCACAGAGGAGATGGGAGGAATACCGTGGGACGACGGGGTATTGCCAGAGAGCGCCAGAGCCGCGAGCTCGTGAGGTACGCCGCTGAGTGACTGTTTGCATGTGGCGAGTTACTCACCAGTTATACATTCATCAGTTAATATGGGAGAACCGTAGACTGGTAGCGAACTTCACGCGGAAGATGCGTCGCTGCCGATGCAAGGATCTCGAGGGGGAGCGCTTGATGAGATACGGTAGTGGACTGCGTTGGTTTGGATTGTGTCTTCGCTCGCTACTCGTTACTTCAGGAGAAGCACGTTCGAATCTCATTGCCTACGCATGAACAGATTCGTTACTTTTTATGCAACCGACTCATACACTGTAGATACTCGTCAGAGCCTATTATCACGAATGATGCATTGAGCGTAGCGCCATATCGCATACATATCAGGCTGCCCTTTGCAGCGTCTCTCATCGCAGCCCGCAACCGCGTGTTCCGTCCTTTGACCTCTGGCCCTGGGTCCCGCCCCCTCGCCCCCTTCCTCCGCTCACCGCACTTCCGCTCGTTCCACCCACGTCCGCTCCTCTCGCCTTCACCTCCACCCTAGCGCACCCCTTCCTCCCTCGCCGCCTCCTTCTCAGTCGCTTCCGCCGCGTCCCTTCAGCCTCCGCATCCCTCTCAGAGTCTAAGTCGCCTCCGCCTGCTCGCCACCCGACCGCGCCCTGGCACCACATGGACGTTTCATGTCTCGCTCGCACATCCTCCCTCCTCCTCTCTCATCGACGCTCTCCCTCCGCCGCTTCTCTTCTCCTTTCCATCCACCACGCCACGCCACCCTCGCCTTCTCCTCCTCCATCCACTCGACACCCTCAGGTCGCGCTGTCCCTCGTCGACACCCTGCACGTCCCGCCATCGCTCCGCGCTCTGGCGGTCACCATCGTTCCGCGCTCTGGCGGTCGCCATCGTTCCGCGCTCTGGCGGTCGCCATCGTTCTGTGCTCTCGAGGTCGTCACCGTTCTGTGCTCTCGTCATCGCTACGGAACGGGGTTGAGAAGTGCGAGAGGATGGAGAGGAAAAGTGCGAGGGGATGGGGACTCAATGTGGAGGCGAGAACTTAGGGGCGTGGACAAGGTGGAGGGTGGGAGAGAGGAGCAAGGATGGAGTGGGGGGTGAGTGGTTAGGAGCGGTGGAGGGTGGAGGGGAAGCGGGGGTGAGGGGAAAAGCGAAGGTGGGTAGGGGCGTGAAAAAGGTGGAGGGCAGAATAAGGGGTGATCGGTTCAGGAAAACGCGGGTGGAGATAAGTAATGATGAGGGGGTATAAAGTAGCAGATAGGTTCTCAAATTTAAGAATTCGAGTCAGTGCGCCGTACCTCCCAAATGTGTGGGAGATTCGCACCAGCGTGTCTGTGGGAAATTCGCTCCGACAGGTATGTGGGAGATCCACTCCGACACGTCCTCAGAGAAACATTCCTTCGAGTGCGCGTCTTCGAAATTCCGCCGCGTCCTCGAAATGCGAGCCCTCCTTCTCCTCCCCCGCCCCGCTCCCCACTCCCCGCTCCCCGCTCCCCGCTCCACGCCCACTCCCCGCTCCCCGCTCCCCGCTCCACGCCCACTCCCCGCTCCCCGCTCCCCGCTCCACGCCCACTCCCCCTGCCCATCCCCCCGCCCAACCTCATGCCGCACCGCCCACGCTCACTCGTCCCCCCACTCGCAGCACCGCCGACGCCTCTCGTTCCCATAGCTTCTCCTCCCCTCGCCCGCCCATCCCCCTCGTCCGCCATTGCCTCCCTTCGTTCCTTCGCCCGCCGTCTCCCTCCGTCGCTCCTTCGCTAGGCCTGCTCCCCCCCTCTAGCGCTCATCCGTCTCGCGTTCGCCAGCTTCCTCGACGGCGCCTGCCCCCTACTACTCTTCCGTACCCTCCTCTGCGCGCATGCCTTACTCTCCGCCTCGTTCTCCATTCCTTCCCCTCTCCCTTCGCCCCTCTCTTCTCCTCGCCCCTCGCTGCTCGCAAGCGTAGTGACACCGCCTCCGCCCTCCGCCCTTCGCATTCTCCCAAGTACACGCTCTGCCGCGCTCCTTCATACGTCTCACAATCGAGTATGGGTTGGGTTTGGGAAGGCGGATGAGGAAGGGAGGGAGGGAAGAGGATAAGAAAGGGACTGATGGGGTGGGGAGAAGGGAGGGGATGATGTGATTAATGCAAAAGGAGAGGGAGGGGGCAGAGAAGGGAGGGAAGGGAAGAGAGGGAAATGTCAAAGCGCACGTCGCTATATGCCTTCAGATTCCGCGGAGCGATATCAGTCCTGGGAAAGGAGTCTCGAGGCTCCTTGCTCGGTAAGAATCTGACGCTCAGTACAATTGAGCTTACGCATCAGTTGGGGCACGTAGGGTCGGAGCGGGTGCAAATGAGGGCGGAAAAGGGAGATGTGGGGAGGAAGGGGTTATAGGAAAGGGAGGATAGTAGGAGTCGGCAGGGTGGGCAGACGAGGTGGAAGTAGGGTCCGGGTTTTGGTCGTGGGCGACGATACGAGAAATAGCGGACGTCGAAGGAGCTGACATAGGATGGGAGTGCCTTATCAGGAGAGTACCAACCTCTTGCACCGCAACCGCCACCGTCGCCGCATGGGGCGCAAGGCAGTCAAGATGAGAGTCGGCGGATGGTAATAGCGAGAAGGGTTAGGAAAGCGAGCGGATGATGATGGCGCGGCGAGGGAAGGATGGTGGTCGACGCGAAGCGAGAGTATATACGAGATGCGACGCGACGATGATGGACGGAGGAGACCCGGCATCCGGCCCGATTGCGCATGTCTGTACTTATTTACTTCCCGATTTGGATCATCCATTGTTCTCATTTTCCTTCTTCTCGACCATCATGTCGTCGGCCGCCTTTGCTTCTACGGCGTCCTCTTGTTGTACCCTATCCACAAATGCAACACCTTTCTGTTCCTAGGAGGCGTGATTCCGATATATGACTTGCTATTTGCGCGATCGTTCGAAGCAGGACGCCCAAAATGCACCCCACCTCCCAGCTCGAGCTGCAAGAAATGGAAAGAACGCGGGTCGCAAGCGCAGCCTGATGAATGAAAGCAGCCTCAGTGGCTCTGTCTTGAGCGCACATGACGCTCGGGGAGGTGCGTTGTGGCCCGCTTTTGTGCGCACAACCGTTGACGGTCGGACAGATTGCCCCGCGAACTGCTCAGCGTGAAGAAAAAAGCTCATGAGTGAAGTGGACTCTCTCTATGCAGAAGCATGACGGGAGCAGCGACGATCGACACAAGTCACGCTCCTCGCGCATATGAGAACTCGAAGCCAGCCATACCCGTCGTGCTTCGTCAACGGGACTCCGTCGGTCCCCCTTCATGTTCCGCACAACATGGCCGTATCAATTGCTCACTGAACCCCAACAGCTCATCTGACGGGCCTTCCGCGCTGCCCGCGTCCGCGTTGCTCGATCATCGTGTAAGGCGTCATTCCCTCCCGACCGCTCGACGACCTGACCTTGTTAAAGTTTTCCGACAGACCGACATCACCATCTTTACTGCGGGCGCTCTCTCAAGCAGAAGGACAAGCCCCGCTGAGCGACCATTCAAAAGCCGGGGACGCGATTCAACGTTGGTGCTGGACTTCTGAGGCGCGTCTTGCTCATGGTTTCGCTGCGCCACGCATTCTGATGGGTCTTTGGCAGAGCTTGGTGGCATCTAAGTCTTCTCCTATGCTGTCAATAACAACTTGCTCGTTGGACGACCTTTCTATATCGTCACTGCGAAACCCGACGTTCACTCAAAGTCCATCATCTGCCTCATGCGGCGCGTCCTCGCCCATGCTTCCACTTCCCTGAGCTCAAGAAACATCTCCCGAAATTCATGTGCAGTCTCAGCCCGTGCGGAAGTCGTCGTCGTCCTCGCCATCGTCGGGAAGATGGCCATGTATCGTGGGAATCAAAATTGATTCCCACCCCTTGCGTATCCTGCCGTGCATGGCGGCGCTGACGGCTTTCTTGTGCTCGGTGGGCATGGCATGCGAAACGAAGATCGTTCATGGAAGATGTTCACCATCGTCGCTTGCATGCGTTCAACACGAGCATGCGGGGTATCGTTGACTATGAACAAGGTATCTTCAATCCCGATTGCTTGACAAAGTCTGCATGCTCACAGTCTGCCTCGCCAGATACGCGAGCATACGCCTGGTCCAGTACGCGAGTAGTCATCAAGCTCTCGCCCAAGGTTCGCCATATATCGCTCCGGTGCGACACATGCCATCTTAAGTCCCTCCCCCCCTCTGACGGTATGTCATTGGTTTAGATATCCAAAATGCTCTTGGAACTAGCCAGACGAGAATACAGTCCATTTCGTCAACTGCACGACTTCACAACGTCCACTATACGCGCCCTCGCGCACCCTCGCCCGCGCCCGGGACTTCTTTAAGTTGCAGGAGGATACCCTCAACCATCGTGGGCAGTCTCAGCTCGTACGGGCGGCGTCGCCGTCGTCCTCGGCAACATCATGAAGGCGCCATCGAATCACGCGACCGACTTCGATATCTCCGAGAACACATCGTCCGGTTTTCTTGCGGGAAGCGCTCATGCGTGTCAACCACTGACCCGCCCAGAGGTGCAATCCCTCCTCACGTTCTGCCGTACATGGCTGCAATCTGTGCTCGCCTTGAGCCGACAGGTCTTCGTACGCCGTTCTTGATTATCGCGCAAGGCGGTGAGACGCCATTGATCATCGACCGTGCAACGACACAACCTTGCCGCGATCCTCCGAAGGGCATTCTCATCGCTCTTTGAGCGTGGCTCTTCCAGGAAGAAGCACTAGACCCGTCGGATGAGTGCTGCCTGTGCTGGACCTCGAGGTACGTCTCACTCATGTTTCCGCCTTGTTTCGCATCCTGCCGGTGTGTCTTCAGCGCTTGGAGACTTTTCGGTCACTGACTCCACCCTCGGCACCGGTCTATCGCTTAGCCAAGGACGGTTCGACAATTTATGTCGAAATTCAACGTGTCCTTGAAGTCCGTCATCCACCTCATCCGGCACGCCCTTGCCCCCGCCCGGACTTCCCGAAGCTCAAGAAGGGTCCTCTTAATCTTTACGTGAAGTCTCATTCCGCACGGTGGTCAACATCGTCCTCGCCAACCTCGGGAAGATCGCTACGTACCGTGGGAATAATCTGTCGATGAACGTGCACTCGATAGTCGACCTTCTTGCAGGCACCCAAGATGCGGCGAGGCTGGCGGCTCGGTGCTTACCTGGCGGAAACAGGGCAAATACCACTGCAAGTTCCACTATCGTCAATCGGTCATGCTCAACCTGAGCATACGCTGGCACGTCGGCCTTCGACCAGGAATGTATCACTCGCTCTCTTGCCTGAGTCTGCATGCTGACAGTTTGCTTAGTCGAGGACGCTCGGTCCGTCTGGTCAAGTGCGCGAGCATCCACCGATACTAGCTCGCAAGTACTCCTCAGAATGTCACTCGATGTATGCCGTCTATCGCTCGCGGTGCGCCCCGCTCTGTGTTACCCCTTCTCCTCGTCTTTCTGTGGCCCTTCTGCGGAAGCGGAACTGAACGTCGCTCCAGTACTGCTTTCTATCTTTTCAGCGCCGGCAGGCTGCTCTGTCGACAAGTAGACGACCTCATTTCATGAAATCGGGCGTATGCTCGACTGTTCTCGTTGTACGCCTCGGGGGACGCGCCCTCGTCCGTCCGCACTCGGATTTTTCCGAGATGGGCGGATCCCCTTGACCGAAGCGTAAAGCCTCAGCGCACGCGGCCGCGGGCGTAGTCCTTGGCATGTTCGACAAGGGGCATCGGCGAGTGGGTATGACCTGAGTGTCATCGTGGATACAGAGGCTGACTCTTTCGCGTCAGGTTGCTGCACGCATCATGGTTCAGACGTTATATCAGTGCACGTCAAGGCGTCGACCGTCCGTGATCGTCAGCATCGGCGGCGCCTGCTTCGGGTACACATACCTGGAGGCCTCCTTCGTAGACGGTCCCCTGCGCGGCGGGCTCTTGAAGTCGTACGTGTATACTAAATGTTAGGCTATGGGAATGGATATCTCGTTTCTTTGTTTTGATCCTCGGCATGAACTTGTCCATGGTGAGGGAGTGACTCATGTCATCGACTCGGCGTATGTATCCTCTTCCTGGGCCTTCATTAACGTTCACAGCTATGACGAAGTGCGAGCTCCGCTTGAGGCTGCGCTAACGGCTGCCACAAATTCCCTACGGCGCTCGCTGGCATAACATGCTGGGCAGGCGGGTCGATGCAGACACCTCACGTATCTTCCGACCCACTCGAGGCTTCGGAGCAGGGACGTACGGCGCAGGGATCCTTCCCTCGGCGCTTATCGATGGGTGCTATGCTGTGCAGCCACGAGGCTGGCGAGCTGGCGTACACCAGGTGGGCTGTTCTCTCCTCCATTCTAACCATCATCGTCGATGCTGAACTTGGACCCTTTGGTTACAATGCCTGATTCGCCTATCTCGTCTGCGGGGCATCGTCCTTTGCGTGATCGGCTTGGTTTTTTCGATGCGCCCGCGATCAAGGCCCCGCATGAGAGTTCAAAATAGTATATAGGCGATAGGCTGTGCTACTGAACGCAGCGCATGAAGCGCTGGGAGCGAAGTGCCCCTGAGGGAAGCTTCTTGGTAGTCTCGCTCCGAGCGCGGAGGTCTCTCTGCTGCTGTACGTCCTCATCCTGATCCACGCTCAATCCAGGCGCTAAACGAAGGACTGTACTAGGGTCTGGGCGTGAATTCTGTAGCGCCCTTCATATCTGGCCCTGCGCAGTCCTGGCGAAGATAATCGACGCATTGTAGGACCGCCAGGCTCTTCGCGAGCAAGGAACGTCTCCATCTATAGATCCATCAGCTTCTATTGAATCTACGACCTGCGATTTTGGACATAACTTTGCCAGTGGCAGTGCGTCGCTTCCTTTCCTAGTATCCCACCAACCGCGCGGCGCGCCATCCTGCTTTCCCGAAAAGCTGTGCTACACCGTGTTCCAGCAGCCGACATGCTGTTTCCCATGAGGTCACGGTCTTCCGCTCTTCGTTTTCCCCAGTCACCATCGCCGCGGCTCCGCAGGCGACGATGCCCAGCTCTCCTGCCACGTCGCCCTCATTACCTCGCGATCGCTCACGCCTACGCGACAGGCTTGGGCTTTCCTCTGTATTCCGCCGGCTTTCGAGGAGCCGAAACCCCTCCTTGCGGTGCAATACGCCGCCTCCACCGCAATCCTCGATCTCGGCTGCGTCGGTCACCTCTCTGGCGACCCAGTCTATCACGGACACTGGTTTCTCCATTCCACCCGCTCGATCCTCCAGCAGCGTTCCGAGCGAACCTGCCGAGGATCCCAAGACAAAGCGGTGGGACGCGGCGATGGCCGAGTGTCAGCGTCGGATGGGCGTCGACTTCCTCGGACCAGAGACCAAAAACCTCCGCTCAGAAGAGGCCGTGATGGATTACATCACGGGCAGAGGGGACACGGCTCCTGACGGCCAGTGCAAGAATCGATGGGAGGGCCTGAGAGCCAGTCTCATTCCGCTGGCTCGCGTAACCAAGATTTTCTGTGACCCCATCGCGGACGCCATCTCTGACGTGAGAGAGCGGTATCATCAGAGGCCTTCAGACGATTCTGATGCTTCGTGCGACAGTCGTTCCCCCCTAGCAAAATCATCTTCGCAACCGTGGGCCTGATCATCACCGTGTGTTTTCTTGCTGCGTCTTTCCACCGCAGGTCCGCTCACTCGCCATCAATCATGGCAGGCGTCGATCCAAGCTCACGAGGAATTTGAGCAGATCACTGATGCGCTTGAAGCGATCAAGGTCCACCTGCAGGTCATCGAGATGCTCGACGGGCATCATGGGCAGCTCCTGGGCGACACCGCCTTCGAGCTTCTCGTGCACATCATCATTGTCCTCAGTGTCATTGCGAAGATGCGGCGCGAGAGGTTTACCGGTGCGTCCACGTGTCCTTTGCGGGCGAGCGCGTGTCTGAACAGCGCTGCAAGGTCGTTTTCTGAAGGCCGTGGCGGAGATACGACCGCTCTCCGATGCGCTGGAGGACCTCGAGCGGATCACGTCCTATTACAAGGAAGCAATCATCGCAGGCACGCTCGACGTGGTCACGAACATCAAGACCTCGGACGAGATGGAGAGAATCATGGCTTGGCTCAAGTACGACTCTGTGGATTCTTCCCAGAGGATCAGCTCTCTCCTCAACGATCGCATGAAAGGGACGGGATTATGGCTCTTCGAGCATCGTGCCTTCGTAGACTTCATGGAGGCGCAAACAAGAGTACTAGTCATTCAAGGGAAAGGTATGGCTCTCACCAGGCTGAAGACGCTTGAACTCATGACCTTGCTAGCTGGCAGCGGGAAGAGTACGATCCTGTGTGTCTGATGGCACATCTACAGCAGGGATGAGATTACTCATAAACACTGCAGCGCTGCAGCAAATCGCCATCTCCGGGCTTACTGCTCATCCCGCGGATGTGACCATATCGTTGCCACTCATTTCTTCGACGCGTCCAACAGCTCTGTGCGGGGAGACTTGGATTCCGTCCTGTCGTCATTCCTCTGTCAACTCGCCCTTGGGAATCAACATTGCATGGACGAGCTTGCAAAAGCCCGTCAGAAGTCGATAGTCAATGGCGGCCTCACGCGCGAGGAGAAGCTCGATATTCTGATCGGTATGCTCAGCAATCGGCTACGAGTCTTCTTTGTTATCGATGCGTTGGATGAAGCTCTCGAGAAGGAGCATGCAAGGATTCTTGACGCACTCCGTAGGCTGCGCTTGAGCACGAATATCTCGATCATAGTCTCCACCCGCGTCTTCCTCAGCGACGATGATCTCCAGAGCACAACCCTGTCGATCGATCAGGTGGAGGATAACACGGACATACGTACCACTCTCGACATTGAATTCAGTGAGGGCGGGCGACTGGCGGGCATCGCAAACGCGGCAATGGTGCGCGATGAGCTGTTGCTTCGGGCGGAGGGAAAGTACGTTCTTGACATCCTCCATTCATCCTTCTTCGTTCACGATGCCGCCAGTATGCGCTGGACCACGCTTGTGATTGAGCAGCTTCGGGGCTACGCGAGCGCACCGCACAAATTGGAAAAGCTTTTGCACGATCTGCCTCCCACGCTCCATGGGCTGTACGCCGAGAGGCTCGCCGCCGTTCCGTCTGGTGATGTCGAGGATGTGCGCACGCTGTTCGCATGGATACTGAACCCGACCTTGGAATTCATCCTAACGATCGAGCGACTGGCTCTTGTCCTTGCCTTCGACTATAGCCAGGACATGCCAGAGTACAGGCCTGACTGGCTGTCCTCGCACCCGGGTGGCCTGATAGCGAAGCTCTTGGACTCGACCTTCGTCACGATTGTCCACGGTGTCGTCCGCATCGCACATGCGTCTGTCCGTGAGTTCCTTGTCGCCCTCGGTCCGTCGTCTCGGTTCCATATATCCAGTGACGATGCGCTCCGTCTCAAGGCTAGCACAAGTCTTGCCTACCTTCGCGCTGTAGCTGAGGGGAATGCTCCTGAAGATTATGATGGCCATCTCGTCCAGGTCTGGCACTGGCTCCTTCTCAGCCCGAGTGCGAACACGCATTATGCGAGCCTTGAAAGGGTTATCACTGACGTCTTAGGCGCAGTCCACGCCTCGTCTCCTCCCAGCGGCATTCTTTCGCCTGCGCTGTACACCGCGGCCATCCAAGGGAACGCAGAGCTGGTCTCTTTGCTCCTTCGGAGTGGGGCGGATAGCGACGCGCCACTGGAGGCCAGTCAAGCACGCTTCTCTCACTACCGCAACGCGGTCGAACAATGGGATATAGCGAACGGGGGTACTACGTCCCTTCACATCGCAGCCTACAGGGGCTTTTTCCAGGTCGCTCGCCTGCTTCTCGCGCACGGTGCCTCGGTCTCTGCGAGAGACGGGTTGCGGGACACGCCTCTGATGGTCGCGGCCCGGCGGGGGCACGAAAGCATCGCCTGCCTGCTCCTCGACGCGGGGGCGCAGATCGAGGAGCGCGGCGCACAGGGCTGGACGGCACTGCACAGGGCAGCGGGAGAGGGCCACCTTGGTCTCACCAGCCTCCTCCTCGACCAGGACGCGGACCTGGACGCGGCCGACGAGCTGCGTCAAACACCGCTCCATCACGCCGCTGCTCAAGGTCACACTAAAATCGTCAGGTACCTCGCTATCCTGGGGGCCGCGCTTGAGGCCCGTGATTTGCTTGGGCAGACACCGCTGTATGTCGCGGCGTACACGGCTGGACGGCGTGTGCAAATTTTCCGCTGAAATAGGGATCGCAAAATATCCTGCAGAAGTTGCAGGATTCGTCGTTGCACGATGACTGCAGGAACGTCTGCAAGGGCCCTGTTTGCGAACTGTTTGCAAGTGATCGGCCCCGCCGCCGCGCGTCAGCGCGACCATTCCCATGACATCACAGCCTATACGTGGCAGGTTTTTCCCACACCATCAGGCCTCACCTCTCTTGCTCGGGCTCGGGCTCTTCACTCGTTGGACAGATGTAGAAAGCAAAGGACTACTAGATTTCATTAAAGGACGGTGTAACGAACTACTAGGCAGCATAATATGAGACAGAAGCGAACTATTATGGCTGGATAGAGTACGACTAGTCACGACCGAGGCTCGACAAAATCTAAAGCTCAGTTGAACTGAATAACGTGAGTTAGCAGGGAACGGATAGTGCCGGAATGGAAAGACATACATGGAAGCCCGACGTACCGTGCTGGATAGGTGTACCAGCACCACTGTTGCTGTTGGAAGGAAGGTTGAAGTTGCCCTGCGTCGCTGGGCCGTATGACATTGGCTGACCAAAGAACGAAGTTGGTTGTTGAGGCGAGTTGAGGAGGTTGGGTATCGACCCAGCAGACGCGCGAGGAAGGGCCGGCAAGGGTGAGCCATGGGCATGGTCCGGCATCGGCGGGCTGAAGCTGCTTGGGGTCGCTGTACCGCCAGTGCCATGTGAGCGCTGCGAGTTCGTCGGCACTGAAGTAGAGCCGTGTTGTGTGGCATGCTGCATGGACAGGAGGGCTTGACGAGCGGCGGCGACATTGGTAGATGGGTCAGCTGGCGGATCGGGGTGGTCGTGTGGCTTGACAGTCGGTATCAGAGCAAGCTCATCGTCGGGGAACTCGGACTTCTCCTTCGCGTAGAGCTGTTGCAGATACCTGTAGATTGTCAGTAATGCCTCAACTGCCGGCCATGACACGTGCCTGTGCCACTGCGGCGTCCGCCCAATGGTCCTGCCCAGCTCCTTGCGACGCTTCGTGATGAACTTCGTCAGTAGACCAAAGAAATCCTGCCCATTCTCCCGCCGGGGAGATGACCGCCGGCGCTTCGCAGGTCGTTCACCATCTTCCTCGTACTCCTCGTCGCTGAAATCTTCGTCGAGTTCCTCGTTGGACTGGATGCGGGCAGCGAGAATGGAGCGATGCTCCCGCATGAAGTCACGCTGACAGGGACCGGTCAGTAGCCTGACCCGCACTAATCACGGTATACATACATGTATAAGGACCGTTAGTGCGAATGGCATGCTGACTTCGTCAATCTCGAGCTTGCTCTTGAGGGCCATGCACGTCTCCGTATGACTGAGCAGGGTCTTGCCAAAGAACGCGAGCATGTACTACATATGATGATGAGAAAGCGCTTCTGGACGAAGCCTCAGTCTTACCACACCCCGCACAAGGCTACGACTGTACGTGCTTGCACGCCGAGCATACGAGTTGACGAGATCGATACCAGCCCTGTTGTTAAGGTGTTGTTCAAGGCCGTACTGGGAGGAGTTGCGCCTGAGTTCGCTCTGGAAAGGCATATCGTTATCAAGGAATGACGAATGAGACCGAAGACGCACCATGACCTCGCCCCGGTGGTCGAAACCGATTCGGTAAGGCGTAGCAAGAATGAGTTTGGCGACAAGACGTATTGAGTGCTGCGCCACGATGAACCTCAGCGTAGACTTCATATATGTAGCACGTACCAGGTGTCTGTCAGAGAGCTCTTGCGCAGCGTTCTCCTCCAGACGCTTCCGAAGCGCAGCCACCTCCTCCTTCAGCGCTTGTATCATCCGTTCATAATCCGCATCCCTTTGGTGCGTCGCAAGTAGCTCGGCATACATGAACGCGAACATCTCGTAGCCGGGCTGCGCATAGAAAACCTAGAACGACGTATCAGCAGGCATGTTGTGGTGTACTTGGCGCTGCGTGTTACGGACATCTTGAAAGTCGCGAAGACTGCGCCTCGCAGCGGCGTTCAGACCCTTCAAGGTCGCGACCTGTTCCGTGAAGGTCTGAACGGTTGGAGGAGGAGCAGGAATCGTGTCGATGGGGCCCGCGGCCGGAGTTACTTGGGGACCAGCACTTCCGACGTGACTGGCACCTCCATTGGCAGCGGGAGGCGGAAAGGTGAACGTGAATGATGAGGAGGAGGTGTTGTTGGGCATAAATAGGGGAAGAAACGAGGGTGAGGGTGAAGGCGAGAGAGCAAAAGAACGAGAACGAGACTGCGGAAACGAGGTTGCAACGCAGCGCCGGAGTCGCTTTTTTCGGTCATGTGACAGTAGTTACACGGTCACGAGACTGTGGTTCAACTCGAGCACGTACAGACAAACATTCCTTCCAGACATTTTGACCCGTAGATACAAGCATGTGAGAGGTCCGACAAGTCCCCCAAATTACCATCCTCTAGAATAATCAAGGACGGGCTGACAAGTCCCCCAAATTACCATCCTCATTGATATCCTGGTATGCTTAGTATACAGTCATGGAGTAGACAAATCAAGAGCTCTCATAGTCTATACAGACCCTCTCAGCATACAGGTCAGTCTTTGACTGATTGATCCCCAGTCCTTCAAAAAAGAGGGCTGCATAGTCGAGTCGGTGGCGCATGTCACAGTCGTGACAAGTGTCACTCCCAATTGGCGCAACTTCTCCGCAGGGAGATGGGCACTCGGGGCCTCCGCACAGGCATGACACGGTACAGTGCATGGCAGCCTTACCATAGAATATAGTTTTGAGAACCAAATGTACTGACGGGTGCGTACAGGGTGTCGGCTTTTGACCCTACGAGTTCTTGAGGTTTTGCCTGTACTCAAAGGTAAGCTGGCCCAATCGGTCCGACAAGTCCCCCAAATTACCATCCTAGTTCGTATCGCTTGAGTGGCCAGCAATTCCCCAAATTATCATCCTCATATGCCGCACTAGAAAGTCTCCCAAATCTAAATCACTGTTCAACACGCACTCATTGAGCTTCTGCAGTCGCTATAGGCTACGAAGAGAAGCGGAGGTTACTGCTCGTGTGTGGGTGGTAGGAGCCGGGGTAATCATAGTGGGTGTAGGATTCTCTGAATGTACCGGGTCGCGAGGAAGAATTTGAATCAGAATATTGATGAGGGACAGTAGAGGAGCGGTAGGGGAGGGCTGTAGAAGTACCGACACTGATAAAATGGGGCGGATACAAGGCGGTATAGGGGTGAGAGGTTGGAGAAGCGAGCAATCCTTGACGTTGTGAATGCCAGGTATCGTTTCTGCTCATGTTTTCGTGGAGCATGAGCTCAGAGCGGTATAACGACTCGGCTTGCGTGAATGAGCCGCGAGAAGCTAAGATATGTCCATCAGAAGCGATTCAGGCAGATATGATTGAAGATGTAGTAGCTCACGGCAGCGATGTACCGACGGCGTTGTGGCTTCGGGCAGAGATTGCTCTGAGACGAGGTTGGAATCTCGTGAATCAGACTGCGTGGAGCGTGTCGTTGAGATAGGATTGGTAGGCGGTATCCTCTCCTGGGACTGTGGCACTACGGGTGGCTCTCGAGGTGGCAGCGCTTTCTTGCGCTTCTTCTTTTCCAGAAGCTTGGTAGCCGCGGCGACGACAATCGACTGCCGATCCAGTGACGGGGCAGGGGCCGCAAGCTTCCCCACCACTTTGGAACTCCGCATCTGACCCGTGTTGAGGATGAGATCATCTATGTTGTGGTGCACGACACGCCTAGCACGTTGCTGCGTATGCTCGGATTCTTGACGAACAATGTGCGTGGAAGATAGAGGACATTGATTATCCTTGCAATTGTGCACGACGGAGACGGGGCAGCGGATATCCTACGAAAGCGTAAGAGGAAACACATGCAATGAAAGCTTGAGCGTACCTCTCCAGATATCACTCGAAGTGACGGCTTCGGGTGAACCGTTGGCATTTCGTAGTAGGGGTGTACCCCGCCGACGGTGTAATCATGGACGAGGATGACATGCGACTTGCCATGTTGATAAACAATTTCCCGTATACGCGCTAGTTGGGGAGTGTCTGTATCACGCCGCGCTATCAGAACCCAGTCTCCACGCGTACAATTGACCGATGGAAGGCCGATTTTCTGTGGCGTGTACACTGCCTGAGCTCTCGCATACGTCGGTACCGGTCCCTGAACTTCGTGCGCATGCTTGAACATCTCCGTACGCTCCCAGCACTTGGGCTTTCCGAGATCCTTATGCAAGCCTTCGAGACCCATCAGTACGAGCCTTCTCATGAGCTTCAGCACGCTCAAACGCACCTGCAATGCTCGTCCCTTCGTCCTCGTTGATTATTCCAAGGAACTTCTTTGTGAACGACTGGCTATTGATCAAGTCGAGGGGCTGCTTCCCAATGGCTCGCCAGTGCGTTTTTGGCAAGATCGGGCTCACTGAGTCCATCCAGGGCGAAAGTAGTGTGTGGGATGCCGACGATGCGAGTCCGCCAGATGGATTGACGTCCCGAGGGATGCGGAAGAAGCCCCCGCTGACAAGATGGCGAATGCGATTACTTTGGGCCATAGAGCGCGCAATGTCGCGCGACGGTGCATGCCGGTTGCTGTGAATACTGCGTGCACGGATGATGGCATTGAAAGACTCGAACCCTTCTGTTGCGAAGAGCATAGCGGGTCCGAACCGTCTGATATGCTCGGGGAGATGCACAAGCATATGGAATTTCGGTTTGTTGAACCATTGTGCGTCGAATCTACAGGTGCAGTCGAGGAGATACCTGATAGAGCGGGATAGTCGAGGCTGGGGACATCAGTCAATATGCCAGTCCCGGCCGAGAGACTCCATTTTGCTTACCAGGTATAGTGTCATGTCCTCTATCTCGGGCTGCCAAACGAGGGGGACGACCTTACTCAAAGCCATCCAGACGCGGAGGATGTCGTCATGAACCCCGAGGTCATGTAGTACAAATGGGGCGACTTGAGCGATAGCTCGAAAGTCACGCCCCACAAGAGAGCCGGCATAGCTAACGAGGGTCTCGCCCGAGAGCGGAGGGATGTTCAGCGCGCTGGTATCGAAGGAACTGAGCCGCGCTTTCAATATTTCCTTCTCCGGTGCCTTCAGGCGACTGATAATGTCGCGCCAGAAGTACTTCACGATACCAAGCAAGACGACGTGAAGAACCTCGACGGGCGTATCAGCGTGCGCGTCAAGCTCTAATAAATTGATAAGCATGCGACTCTTTGAGTGCACGCAGTGCGAGACGTACCATCCAGTTTGAAAAGCGGGTTGATGAGCTCGGGCGGGGCGGGCAATTTTGCAAGTAGCGCAGAGACGTCAGCCGTCTTCTGGACTTTCGTGCGAGATTTCTTGGTCGTCAGGTCCGTAAGCGCCTCGAGAAAGCGTGCTTGGTACGAGTCCCTAATGCCTGTCTCTGTACGCCTGTTGTTCATCGCAGTTTTGCCGCCGACCCTCTTCGCATGCACAAACTGCTCCATCAGGACACCAAGTGTCTCTGCCTTCGTGCGAATGCGTTCGCTGATCTATACGATGGCAAATTCAGAAAGAACACACAAGGGGAGAGGCTCGTACTTACCGACATAAAGCATCCTATTCGAGCTGATGCCTCCTCGAGTGTCTCGGTCTTGCGCGTTTTTGCACCCGATGTGGAGCCCAGCGTTGATTCCGGTGCGGGTGAGGCCTCGCGCGACAAGGGGAGATTGGTGTCCCCACCATCTGGGGCTTTGATGACATTGCTATCATCGTCCATGTCGCTGCCTTCCACCCAGCAGACACGACAGAAATGGTTGGCAGCAAGCCCGCTATGACAGCATAGCTCGCTTTGCATCGGGTTGTCCCCGAGCAGAGCGAAAACAGATGGAATAACAAGGACATAGTCGCGCTCTTCCGCGTCCCATGCCCACACGCCGTGCTCTTGAGCTTGCCTGAAGGTATAATCAACATTATAGTCAACGATATATCAGATGAGGACGTACTTGATCTGCGCGACTATGCCTTCGGCCATTTCGAGAGGTGAGGCGATGTTTGAGGTGGACACAAAATGTATGTTATATTCTTGATGAACCAGACGACGCGGAAGGCCAGCGGCGGTGAATAGGAACGAGTTGTGCTTGTTCCACTTCTTCGATGTATTGCCCGAGGTATCGTCGCAGTATAGCCATAAGGGAAACGAGACGACGCGATGCCCCTTCGCGCGCTTCCTCCACTTATTGCCAGCTCGAGGGTCTGTTCGTGTCCAGGGAAGGATGGGCGCGCGAGGACTACTCTCGCAACGAGAGCCTATATAACAGTCAGTTTCCTCGTGCAGGTCTGATGAAATTGACGAACCTATAATACTCTGCGGTGAGGGGACCTGATATATCGCATGTCGCTCATGGAAAAGCGGGAGCGAGAGGTCCAGATCATCCTCACAAACGACGACTGGAGTATGCTCTTCTACTATCCATCCACGGCGTTGCGGATCTAGGGACATGTACCACCCTTTGGCGTATGTGGATTTTCCTTCGATAAACCAGCGAGTGGGCATGAAAGCGAGCCTGTTCTTGAGAAGCGCTGGCTCGAACACAAAGAAGTCCTGTGTCTTGTCGTCCTTCTTGCGTATGCACTGCGTTAGGAAGGCGGGGTCGAGCTCATCGAGCCATCGCGCAGCCTGCCACGCTTCGGAGATACTGCCACTCGTCTTCTCGGGCAAGAAGTGGAGGTGACGGCGGACCCGAGGATTCGCCATTTCCTGGAGCGTGTTCGCATAAGCACATCTGAAGGGGCAAGAGACGTCGAGCACTCACCTGAGCTATCAAAGCCGCAATGTCATTGGTGTAGTATATATTCGAGAACGCACTAACAAAGCGGAGACTTTGAACACCGCAGATTGACTGTAGTTTCTTGTCGACATCCTTCATTGTCCGCTCGGTAGGCACGTCGTGAATTCCCAGGACGGACATGGCCCAGTGTATGACTTGGTTCTGCTTCGTCGAAAACGCGCACCGCGGGACGTGTCGAAGGACATCAACAATGCACGTCTGGAGGGCAAGTTAACAGAGACCAATCGTCGAACGGGTACACCCTTACCTCCTTGTCTGGCCAGGGATACCACGGATTGTTGGTGTCGTCGAAGACGCGCCGATGTCGCCGCCCGGTTGAAGGCGTGGCTGATGGAATATGCATCGCTAAACGAGATAGTTAGCAATCGATCTGTCCCGAAGAAGGTGTATGGCGCTACTTACAGTCACTATCGGCGGAATGGGCGACACCTTCGTCCTCATTGTCCTCCTCCCCCTCATTGTCCTCGTCCTCGTCCTCGTCCTCGTCCTCGCCTTCGTCCGGCTCGTCCCTTTCGTCCTCCTCATCATCCGAATCCTGCACGAGATCTGGCAGCTCATCGGTCGCGTCATCGGAGTCGCGCTCAAGATGCGCAAGCAGATCTGCCGCCAAGGCACCGACTTCTTGTTCGTCGTACGGGACATACGTGCCTGCATCTCCGGGCAGCGTGTTCGCCGTCCAATCAATGTCCATTGTCCCCCTGTCCCGGTTGACCTCCCACCCGCCGGTTTGCGCCTCGCGAGAGCGGTCGAAGAGAAGCTGCTGCAAGGATTTGTGCACAGCCTGCTTTAGCTCTTCTCGCGCGTAAGGCTCCGCAGCCTCGCGCATGCTGTCTGTTACTTGAATGGGACCCGTTTCCTTTGCCCCCATGGTTGTGTACTTGTGACGGATGGCGCGTTTATGCGCCTCGCTCGACTCGTGGGCTGTGACGCTCCTGGTCCCAATTTCCTTGTCGCATACAGTGCAGTGCCACCTATCAAACGAGACGACTTGCCAGACTGTCGTGCGCGCGTCAGAACTGTGCTCAATCAACGCGAAGAATACGTACTGCGCGGATCCTGCGACCTGAACTGGTGGCGCGGTTGGAATCCTATGGGGTCGTAGCGCCGGCCTTGCCTAGACGACGATGCGCTGGAGTCTGTAGCAATTGAGTATGAGCGCTCTCTCATAGAAATCAACAGAAACTGACCAGATGGCGCGCCCCCGGGTGTACAGTAGCGTACGTGCAGTGTACAGTTGTTTTCCAGTTGGACAGCTTCCTGCTCTTGCTTCTCGACGAGGAGCTTGGTGCACACGCCAGAGGCAAATGTGTACACCGCGGGTTTGATCTTGTCGAGGTCCGCGATGAGATGCATCTTGCGCAGCTGCTCAATTCCTTGACGAGCGCTCGAGCCCGCGGGCAGCTCTATAATGATATTAGCACAATTGATGATCCCCAAACAGACGCGATACGTACTGAGGACTATACCGGGCTTCCTCCCATTCAGTCCCGTCGAGGAGACAGCTACTCCCTTGACGAAAACATTGATTTTTGCACAGTGTACAGTTTGAGTACCACGGATCGTGTCCTCAATCTGCCAGTCTGTGGTGCCGTCAAGTCCACTGATCTGCTAGGAAGACCATAAATGTATGTCTTACCTGGGTGGTAGACATAAACCAAAGCCACTGCCGTAGCAGACGAAGTGATAGACAGGACGAGCGCTCGCGCGCAATGAAATAAAGGAGGATAATCCCCAGGAGCAAATGGGGGCTGCATTGCGATGTGTAGAGCTGCTAGTGATACGATAAGGAATAAGAGAGCAAGCTCGTACAGTGCCCAGCGCATGCAGAGGTCCGGGAATGTCATTAAAATCCCGTCTTCCGCACCCGACGCGTCTTCATTGACAACGCGTCGGTGTGCTTGCAACTGGCGTTGGCGGCGCTCAAAGCGCTTATATAAGGTGCCTATAAGTAATTGGCGAGGGAGCCCGTGCCCCATGAAGACTCGCGCGAAGAGCAAGAGCTGAGAGCAAGGACGGTGGGCGGCGACGGCTGAAGGTCCAAGTCAACGCTGATTGATGGCGCTTGGGACCCATATCACGTGAGGGTGACGTCGCGTGAGGACACGTCATTGCTTCCGACGACCACGCGCCTGAAACGCAGCATGGCGCGGAATCCACCCGCAAACTTTCGGAGAACGGGCATTCGTACTAAAATCGGCGTCATTCTCGCAAAACTTGTCTTTACGGGAGCTCAGACATTTTGACAGTCAAGTTCGTCAAGAAACTTTGCAATCAGCGTCCAGCCGTGTACCACAGCGAGGCGCAGGCCGTCGAAGAGCTAATAGCAGCTGGTAGCGACCCGACGACACGCGCGGATGACGGGACGACCGTCCTTGATGCTGTGGGCGGATTCTCGACAGGGTGGACAGATGAGGAGAGCGACACACGCATCCGAGCACTGCTCGCACAAGCGGGTGCACCGAACCATGAGACAGAGCCCCGAGTCTGACTTGCATTGTTGGGTGCCTGACGAACATGGACGGAGTGCCAAAAGTGAGTCCCGCAACAGTTTTCAGGCTTGCACACATGCTGACAGGTCGGCGCGTAGAAGAAGGATAGCTCTGAAGGGCGAGGGTGTAAGTCCGGAGATCTGATCGAATGGAAGGAGGGGGAAGACGGAGAGTGATGGCGTAGTCATTACAGGCGGTTGGGGCTTGTGAAGCCGTACTTTGCAGCGCGCTCGAGCCTCTGCCTCGGTTTGGGCCTCTGCCTCGTTTGGATACCGTACCAAATATAAGGTCATTTGGCAAGGACTAGCATAGGATGTTGTCGTAAAAGTGATCGTTAGTTGCGTTTTGTGGAGGGTGTCAGAAGATCGATCAAGTTACGTGACGCACTTGCAAGAGGTACTCATGCGGGATGGAGTGACGGGGATGGGTAAGAGGCCGACTGATGTACAGTACCTATGAGGGGTGATGCCGGGGAGACAGACATCATTACCCACAGTGCGTCACGAAGCGACATAGGCTTGATATTTGCTGAACGTCGGAAAGGTCGATCGCATTCGTCAGGCTGGAGGATCTATATCACATTCCGATACAGGGCAAACGAAGGATATTGATGCCTTGCGTGGCGGATCACGACTTCATTTCTCGGTTTACAAGAAATCTTATCTCGAGGTTTTGTCTCGTACCGCGCTATCATACGAACGACCAGACCCTATATAACGACACGGACACACCTGCCTACATGTAGTCAGAAACACATCAAAGAGGGGAAAAGGAGTCGGACGTACCAATTGAACTGAGCTCACACGCGAAGTCATTGCACCGGCCTGAGGTCGATAGTCATGTTTGTCCGGGGATACCGAGAGCTAGATTCGCGCACTGAAACGACTTTCACCTATCCATGCCGACCATGTTCAGTACGCAGCATCGTATGCGTGAAGCATGGTCTCTCTCGCTAGCTGCTTGAGTGAGATGGTGGAGCCGCTTTGGAGGCATGGACAATGGTAGGCGGACGAAGGACGATGGGAAGAATGGGAGAGTAAAGCACCGGTCTCGTCCATCGTTATGTCACAATCGTCCTCCGGAGCAATGCCCACCTCTGCGCCGCGGAGCAAGTCAGAGCGAGGAAGAGGAGAGTGCCTTCGGCTGATGTCGCTGAGTCTGTGACGACCGCGCGTGACCTAGCTTCCCCAAGTCACATCGCTGGCCACAGGCCACATCTTCGCCGCTTGCTATCGTTCCCCATCACGGCCAGAGCACCCTTTCAAGTAGTGTATCTTCTTCCTGAACGCACCACCGCGCCACAAACGTCCGCTCCGCCCCGCGTCGGCGTGCTCGACGATGCGAGCCAGAATCTCAAGTCGAGCGTGCGCAAGCAGCCCCAGCGCAGGCGCCGATCACACCTACTCAGGATGCCTCTGGAGATCACCAGCATGGTACACCGCCTCCCAATGCTCCCCTCCTAGAATGCATCGATCCCAACCGTCTCACTGACATCTCCGCAGATTCTCGCTTGCCTTCCTCCTCAAGATTTGCTCAGCATGTCCAGGCTGTCTCGCGCGTTTCGCGGCGTCCTCCTCTATCGCCCCACGGCACTCCCTCTGTGGCGCAGCGCGCTGCACATCAAGCCGGGCTCCTCTCGTATCCCGACGAGCATGAACGAGGTCCAACTCGCGCACCTCGTGTTCGGCTCCGATTGCCAGGTCGGTCCTACTCGGCGATGGCTTCCCTCCTGTTGACCGGTAGGTAGTTCTGCGGCAGCAGGCGCCACGTTGTGGCCTGCTACGCTGCTCACGTGCGCTTATGCGGCAAGTGCGTCAGGAACCGGTCAGTAGGGGCGCACAATCCACCGCTCACCGCCGTCTCTCAAATCGCTTTTCCAGCTTCATGCCCTCCAGAAACCTGCCGACATCTCTGAAGTGGATACTACCCAGCCTCTCTGGGAGGTCCGGTATCCTCCCGTATGTAGAGGATGCCGTGTCAGGTGTGTCGCTCTTCCGTGATTGGGAATCTGCGCAGCTGAGGCTGCGTCTTACGCACCAGGAGAGACGCTGTTCTGCAAGCCGACGGTAGATGAGTACGCGCAGAAGCTGGATGCCATCGCGCAGACCAACATCGCGCCACCGGCTGATTGGGTCAGAACAAAGAGGCGCAAGTTTCTTTCTGACCTCGAGGTGTGTGCGCTATGCTGCCATCTCCGTACTGATGACCCGAAATGATACTCCCAGTTCACGAACTATTGCAATGCTGCGCGGATCCGCGGCCTGGCTGAAAGTTTCAAAATCAGCGCAAGAGACAACAGTACAGGAAGGCAGAGTACGTCCGATGCTCGTGCCGTTCCTGGTGGGCGCTCTGATTGCCTCCCAGGATCCTCAGACGCATGGAGGAAGAGGGTTGGCAAGAGGAAGTGTCCAAAAACCCTAACGTCCTGTCCGGCGCTTCCTTCTTGCGCAACAAGGCCGTGAGGACCATGAAGCCTCTCTCTGAGAAACGTACGTACCGGCACGATCCTCCCCGCGCATGGATATCGCTCACCCCGTCTTCGCGGAGTGGACAAGGCTGCGCGGGATCGCTGTCGCGCATATGACAAACGCCAAAACTGCCCGCCTCGAGCGAGAGCGAGTCGCCGTCATCGAGGCGCTCAACGAAAGCCTCACTAGCGTCCACGCCGACTTCCGCCGCGCGCAGCCCTTCCGCGCGCTGGTGCCCACCGCCGGGGACATGGCCAAGGCACCCGTCGTCAGGCGCCTGTACGAGCAGCTATCCGGCGCCCCGCCTCCCGCAGATGCTATACGGCCGCACTCGCGTCGGTCTCCCCCACGTTCGCCGACCGCTGGCGCGCGCACTGCGAGGACCTCCTCCTGGACATCATGCGCGCGCAGGGCGAACTCGCCCCGGTGCGCGCGGCGCTCGGCCTCGCGACGACCGTCTTCGCGCTCTGCGGCACCGACACGCTGCTCACATACCCGCACATTCTCTGCGAGCCCGCGCTGGACATGCAGCTGGGCCTGCGCCGAGGTGCGAGCGCGTGGGACCCGCGCGGGCTCGTCGCGTGAGCGGACGTGGTGCGCCGGATGGTCGCGCTCGCCGGGCGGGACCCGCACGCGACAGGCGCGGTCGCGATGGACGCGCTCGACCCGTGGTGATACTACCCGGACGAGGACAGCGCCGGGCGGCGGCGCGCGTACACGTGGCGCGGCATGGTGCGTGCGTTGGTCCTATCACACTTCTGTCTTTGCTGACAGTGCCCATTCCTGTAGCTGAAGCTCGGCGCGCGCTGGTGGGGGCGGCCCTTTGCGGTGCTCGGGCCCTGGGAGACGGGGGCGGCGCGCGGGCGGGCGGGCGTTGCGTTGTTCAGCGGCGGCGATGCGCTCTGCGCGCGGTGCGGGGCGCGATTTTCCGCGTCTGCGGCGTTGCGCGCGCACCTGTACCAAGCGTGAGTCGGGCTCACATGTCGGATCACGGGCTGGGCTGATCAAACTTGCGCAGGCACAGTGTCTTGAGGCCGACCAGCGCGGACGTCGTTCTCGATTATGGCCTGTCCGACGATGGGCGTCCTGCTCACGCTCCTCGTCGATAGCTTGTGAAGCTCCTCGTCGCCAGCCTGGGAAGGCGTTGCGGGGCGTACACGTGCGCTCGAAGGCCGTGAGCTTTTATCATCGGCGAGAGCAGGTGCACCAGACGACGGCACCGAGGGCGAATGTCAGGCGGGTAGCACCGAGGACGAACGGCGGGCGCATAGGTGGCGCGGCGCGCGACTCTTGGACACCTGCAAGCGCCCGATCCTGGATAGCTGACTCGCTGATGGAGAGGAGTTGCCAACTCGCTGTCTCAGACGAGTCGCCGACTCGCTGTCGAAAAGGAGTCGTCGACTCGCCGATGGAGAGGAGGTTGTCAAGACGGGAAAACGTGCCTCTAACTCCTGTAGCCGACGGTAATCTCTGGCGAGCTCGGAGGACTCCCAGGGCAGTCCGGAGCCGAACCTGGCGGGCTGGAAGGCTGGCGGGCTGGAAGGCGGGCGGGCTGGCAGGCTAGCAGACTGGCGGGCTGGCAGGCTGGCAGACTGGCGGGCTAGCAGGCTAGCAGACTGGCGGGCGGGTGGAGTCTGGACGGACGGATGGGCGGACTGGCGGCTTGGTGTCAAAGCTTGTGTACTAGTAGGCGTGTCTGCTCTTGTCTATGTGCCAATACACCGCCGTGCTTGGCGATGCGAATGCCCCGTTGTTCCTCCGCCAGCTCGCGCGCGCGTGCACGAGAACCGATTGCGCCGCGACCTCAAGGACCAGTTGCGCCGCGTCCTCGAGAACCGATTGCGCCGTGTGCTCGAGAATCGCTTGCGCCGTGTTCTCGCGAAACGATGAGCACGCGCGTTGGTCCACGAGCGGCTGGCAAGGGAGACTAGGCGCTCTCGGAAACCGATTGGCACCGCGCTCTCGAAGACCGATTGAATCGTGTGCTCGGGAGCCTATTGGCACCGTATTCCGCACCGCGTGGCGCGTGCTCGAGAGCCTCCCCCTTTCTCTTCCAATACCCCTTCGCCCCCTCTCCCCTCCCTTTCTCCCCTGCCCCTCCGTCCATCGCGCACCCTTTCGCCGCCCCCGTCGGGCAGAATTCCACCGGCGCGTACTGCGCGCCCACCACCCCGCTCGTCCCACTCCCCCTCGCCCGCTTTTTTTTTTTCTAAGATCTAGAGCGCCCTTCTCGCCCTCCCTCTCCGCGCCTTCCGCCCCTGCTCTCGCCCCCCTCTCAGACAACGCGAGGATGGCGGGGAGGGAGGAATGGAACAGGGGACGGCGGGGGGAAGAGATGACAGCAAGCTCAGATAAAGGAGTCGGGAGAGCGATGGAGAAGGACGAGAGAGCGATGGAGAAGGAAGGGGGAACGATGGAGAAGGGGGAACTATGGAAAAGGACGAGAGAGCGATGAAAAAGGAAGGGAGAGCGATAAAAACTTTGGTAAGACGGTCAAATGAGAGATGAGGCGAGTGGACATGAGACTCAAAAGCGAGGCAAGTGGACACGAGACTCAGAGACGAGGCAAGTGGACACGAGACTCAGAGACGAGGCAGGTGGCAAGTGGGGCCGAGAGCCGAGAGACGGTCAAATGAGAGACGAGGAGAGTGGCAAGTGCGAAGGGGAGACGAGAGCCCGACGGCCGGCTAAGGGGGTGGGGGTATCGAGGTGGGTGGGGGGATTGAGGGGGGGGGGGGGTTGGGGGGGAAAGTGGGGTGAGATGGAGGTGGAGGTGGAAGTGGAGGTGAAGGACGAGATGGAGGTGGAGATGAAGGGAGGGTATAAGGCGAGATATAATCCGCGCGGTTCGATCCCGCGTGTTCCTCTGTTCCACCCTCCTCATCGCTTCCCATCCTCTGCTTCCCCTCATCGCTTTATGTCCTCTGCCCCCCCCTTCTCAAGCCAGGCCCAGCACATAGCGTCCCACGGAGCGCGCGTGACGTCCAGCGCTCCACGAAGCGCGCACGTCCAACGAGCCGACGTGTTCTCGGGATCGCCCCTGCGCCCCTCTCCTCGCCACCTTCAGGCGGCCGCACCTGCGCTGCACCTCTCGCCTCCGCCTCCGCCTCCGCCTCCGCCTCCTCAACCTCCCCCTTTTCTCCCTCCCCCTTTTCACCCTCCCCCTTTTCACCCTCCCCTTTCTCTCCCCCCCCTCTTTCGCAACCCCCCTGCGCCGCCCGCCCCCTCCGTCAGAGCTGTCTCCTTCCGCCGCTGTACCCATCTCATTCCGCCGCTGTGCCCATCTCCTCTCCCCATCCTCCCACCTCTCCCGCATTGTCCACTCCCTCCCCCCCTCTCGCTTTCCTCATCCCCCCTCACGCTTTTCTCCTTCCCCCCTCCTCGCTTTCCTCCTTCCCCCCTCTCGTTTTCCTCTTTCACCCCTCACCCCCCTCCCGTGCTGAAAAGCGCCCACAGGTGTGCTAAAAGGCGCCCTCAGGCGTCAGTGCTCGAAGACGGACCGTACCGCAGCGTCCTCAAGACGCGCACTGTACCGCCTTTTCTCGAGAGCACCGTACCGCCGCGTCCCCGAGACGCGCACCGCTGTGAGAAGCGCGCCGCCCTTCCTCGCCCCTTTAGCCCCGCTCCCCTCGCCCCGGGAGCCACCCCAGCCGTCTCGCCTTCCCTGCGGTCCCGCAGCCGTCTCACCTTCCCTGGCGGCCGCCCCAGCCATCTTGCCTTCTCACCGTCGCCCCGCTCCTTCAGCGCCGGCCTCGAGACCTGGCCTTCAGCGCCGGCCTCTAGACCTGTCCCTCCGGGCTCCCACACCCCGGACGCAAGGGCGCACCACCCGCGCCCCGGACGCAAGGGCGGCCCCACCCCACCTGCGCCTCGGATTCCAGGGCGAACCACCCGCGCCCCGGACGCAATAATCGGCTCTGCCTCTCATCCCCCACGCCCCCGCGTCCTCGACACATTCCTCCTCCCGCGTCCACGACATATTCCACCCCCCCCCCAACCCTCCCCTGAACATATTGCGGCCCCAACCCTTCTCCGAGCAGTGCGCACCGCCTTTCTCGCCCCCCCCCCCTCCCTCAAAGCGGTGCGCCTTTCTCGCACCCTGAAGCGCTGCACCTTTCTCGCACCCCGCACTCCCGGACGCGCGTCCGCTCCTCTGCGTCCCTCCCTCCCACACTCCTCCCTTCCCCTCCCCCTCCCCCTCCTCCCGCACGCGCGTCCTCGCGGCGCGCACCTTCCCTGCGCCCTTGGTAGTGCGGAAAGCCATTCGTTGGCCAAGGAGCACGCGGTATTCGCGACTCGAGACACACGCCGCCTTCGCTCCCTCGAGATCGCGGTGCATGCGGTCGTCGGAAGTGCGACGCCTGTCGTTCTTCAAGAGCGCGACGCACTGGCGTTCGCAACCGGTGAGCGCGCCTCATCTGTCACGACGCATGCGCCCCTCGAGCGCGCGGGGTATTCGCTCCTTGAAAGAATCCGCTGCATGCACTCCTTGGAAGCATAAGTTCTATGTGCTTCTAAAAGCGTGGAAGGGGAGGTACTTGGAGGAGAGTGGAAGGAGGGAGGGGGAGAGGGGGGAGAGGGGGGAGAGGGGGGAGAGAGGTGGAGAGGTGGATGGGAAGAGGTGGAGTGAGGAGACTGGAGAGGGAAGATGCGACGAGGGCGATGGAGGGGGAGAGGAGGAGATGGTAGCCAGGGTGGGTGCATTTTGAAAAAGGACGAGGACAGGCGTGATCAAAGACGGATGGAGCATGAGAGATAGATGACGGAGGAGGACACGGGCGATGGAGAGCACACGAATACACGAGCGACAGAGGACGGACGGAGGATGTGAGAACGTTTAGTGTTGGCTTGCAAAGCTCTGGTCTAGTCGCGTTCATGGCGGCCATAACAATTGTTGCGTGAGGCAAGCTGAGAGGCAGGCGAGGGTTTGGGATGGGAGCGAGCTCGTAGTGCGTCAATCCGACAGCCGTCGATGGGCGGAAAACGGTGGACTGAATGGGGGTAGAGGTCGGCTTCTGATGTTGGGCAGAGAGCACCAACGAGAGAAGACGAACGGAAGTCAGTCGAGTAGCACGAGCAGAGCAGCAGTTGTCGAAGAAGGTCGGTTGTCGGAGGGGAAGGGAGTCGCGCCCGATCACTGTTGACGTCACACGCGTCGATCCCGGACCGAGGATGCGGTGGTTGTGCTCCTGCGTCCATGATCGTGGCGCGCGCTGCGTGCCCGGTTTGGGTGGCTGGTCCCCCGTACGCAGACATTCGATCCATGTAGCCGTCACTCCATCGCCGCCGATCCGACTCCCGCTGCAATCGTGGCCGTCTACCTGCGCGTCTGCGAACAAAACGCCAGCCCTGCCTCACATTCCTCTCTTGCTCGTCCTCCATGCCTGCGCCAACCCCGCACTTGCCTCCAAGTTACCAACTATCGCGCTTCCGTGGATTGTCCTCTATGCACGCACCCGGTCGTCCTCGGCTGATCTGCGGCGCGCGAGAATACCTGCACTGCTGACCGACACACGCCCCGCGACAGACACCTGAGGGCGAAGGCGCGCGAGTTGGGGGCGCGGTGGTCGACAAAGACGCGGAGGGTCGACGAGGGGGCGCGGGGAGTGCGGTCCCCGAGGACGGGAGCGGCGAGGGGGAACCCCGACGACGACGACGCGGCGTGTGGGCATCGACAGCGCAGCGCGCGGACCTCCGACGAACGGTCGATCTTGAGAACGCGTCAGAATCCTCTAGAGGATGCTGAAGGGGGGGGGGGGGATCAGGCAAAGGAGGGAAGAAGAGGGGGCGAGGGGAATGATGGAGAGCGGAGGGTCGAGCTCAACGAGGGCACGCCGAGGGGGTGAGAATGAGGGGTGAGGGGTGAGGGGTTCGGAGGGCGAGAGGGGGTTGAGGGCGAGAGGGCGGCGAGGGCGTTGACCTCGACGCTGGGGCCGAGGGGTGAGCTCGACAACGCAGGACGCGTCGGGGCCGAGGGGGTGAGGGCTCGGATAGCGAGGACGACAGAGCTCGTCGATCTCGAGGACGCGGCGCGGCGGTGCACCCAGAGGGCGTGTCGAGGGTCGACCCCGAGCTCGACTACGGCGAGGTTCGATCTAGAGGACGCGTCGAGGGGCTCTAGTACACGCGGCGAGGGGGGGGGGGTTGAGCTCGAGCACGGCGCGGTGAGGGTCGAGCTCGAGCACGCCGAGAGGCGACCTCCCAGCCATCCGACCGTGCTTGCGCTCGACGGCGTGCCGAGGCTCGCGCTCGAGGTTGTCGAGGGTCAACCTCCAGGACGCCCGGACCGACGTCGAGCTCGACGCCGAAGGAGAGGGGGGTCGCCCTCGATAATGCGTCGGGGGTCGAGCTCGAGAGCATGGCGGAGGACGCACTTCTCGAGAACACGCCCGAGAGGTCGACCTCGAGGACGCGGAGGGTCGATCTCGATGCGCAGGACGCGGCGGCGGGCGATGTCGAGGACGCCGAGGGGCGTCGATCCAGAGGACGGCGAGGGGGACGCGGAGGGTCGATCTGGAGGACACCGTGGGGCGATCTCGAGGACGCGTCGTGGGGTCTACAAAGACGCGGAGGGTTGACGAGGGGGTCGATCTCGAGCACTTTGGGGAGTGAGTCGACCTCGACCTCGAGGACGTGGAGGAGCGAGTTTGACGACGCGCCGAGGGGCACAGAGGACGGAGGCGATCAGGAGGACGCGTCGGGAAGCGATCAGGAAGACGCGTCGGGGAGAGGGAGGACAGGACGCGGCGAGGGGAGAAGAATCGGGCGAACGAGGGGAGAAGAAACCGACGAGCGGGCGGGCGGCGTGCGGGGAGGCAGAGAACCGGCGAGGGGGGAAGCTGAGCACGAGAGAGGGGAAAGAAACGCGGGGTCAGGGCGCGCGAAGGAACAAAAGGAAGCGATTGTGGCGGAGGAGGGACGGGAGCGGCGAGGGGGACCCCGACGACGACGATGCGGCGTGTGGGCATCGACGACGGCGACGACGACGCGGCGTGTGGGTATCGACAGCGCAGCGCGTGCAGTACTCGACGACGCAGCACGTCGACCTCGAGGACGGCGAGGGGTTCGTCTTGAGGACACGGCGAGGGTGTCAATCTCGAGGCCACTGAGATGGCGTAGACCTCGACGAGGGTGAGAATGAGCGGCGAGGGGGGTGAGGGGGCGAGGGGTTCGGAGGGCGAGAAGGGGCTGGGGGAGTGAGGGAGGAGGGGAGGGTCGATCTCGAGAGCCTTGGGCGGGCGAGCAGGGAGAGGGGGAGCGAGCAGGGAGAGGGGAGGGTTGAGCTCGAGAACGCGCGAGTGGCGCGCATGGGTGATGAAGTGCGCTTGGGTGATGAGGTGCGTCTGGCGGGATGAGGTGCGTCTGGCGGATGCCCTCCGAGAAAGAGGAGAGCGAGGGATAAGTGAGAAGTGGAGAGCGAGGGATAAGTAAGAAGTGGAGAGCGAGGGCGAGGAGGGGAAGCGATCAGGAGGACGAGCGAGGGGAGAAGAAACGGACGAACGAGGGGGGAAGAATCGGACGAACGAGGGGGGAAGAATCGGACGAGCGGGCGGGCGGCGTGGGGGGAGGCGGAGAACGAGCGAGTTTGACGACGCGCCGAGGGGGACAGAGGACGGGAAGCGATCAGGAGGACGAGCGAGGGGAGAAGAAACGGACGAACGAGGGGGGAAGAATCGGACGAACGAGGGGGGAAGAATCGGACGAGCGGGCGGGCGGCGTGGGGGGAGGCGGAGCACGAGCGAGGGGCGATCTCGACAACGCAGGACGCGTCGGGGCCGAGGCGGAGAACGAGCGAGGGGAAAGAAACGGGGGTGAGGGCGCGGGCGAAGGGGAGGGGGAGTCATGAGAAGGAGAGGCGGGAGCGGTCCTGCGAGTGAGGGGGGAACGAGTGGGAGTGAGGGAGCAACGAGTGGGAGTGAGGGGGAACGAGTGGGAGTGGGGGGCGCGGCGGGAGGTCGGGCGGTGAGAGGGAGTGGGGAGCGGGGCAGAGTGGGGGAGCGGCGCGGCGGGAGGTCGAGCGGTGAGAGGGAGTGGGGAGCGGGGCGGGGGAGCGGGGAGCGGAGTGAGGAGCGGAAGGGAGGAGGAGAAGGAGGGTCCGCATTTCGAAGATGGGCACTTGAAGGAATGTGCTTGGAGGACATGTCGGAGCGGATCTCGAACGCACTTGGGTGGTGCGGCGCACTGACATGGAGGTACGGCGCACATGCATGGAAGTCCGGCGCAACTGACATGGAGCTGCGGCGCACTGAATCGAATATACTCGTATAATCCCGAGGATCTTGTATCTCCTACTTATATCTCCCCCCTCTCCTCTCCCACCCTCGCTCTTCCCTCAATCATCCACCTTCGCTCTTCCCCTCTCTCCTCTATCTCCACCAGCGTTTCCTTTTACCCTTCGCTCACCCCCGCTTCCTGCAAATCAGTCACCCCCACTCCCTCCTATCGCTCTCATCTCCCATCTTCGCTCTCCTCTCTCACCTTCCCTCCCTTCCCTCCCTTCCCTCCCTTCCCTCCCTTCCCTCCCTTCCCTCCCTTCCCTCCCTTCCCTCCCTTCCCTCCCTTCCCTCCCTTCCCTCCCTTCCCTCCCTTCCCTCCCTTCCCTCCCTTCCCTCCCTTCCCTCCTTGCCTCCATCCCTTCCGCCCCCCTCCGCACCCTACCCGGGTCTACTTTGGTGTTGTTGTCGGACGGAGGAGCGGTGCTGTTGGCGGGCGGAGGAGCGGTGCGATCTGGTGCTGTTGGCGCGATGCGATTCGGTGCTGTTGGCGCGATGTGTCTGCAGGGCGAGGGGAGGGGGCGGGTGCACGGCGAGGGGAGGAGTGGGTGCACGGCGAGGGGAGGAGCGGTGCTGTCGGCGGGGGGCGAGAGGGAGGGGGCGAAAGGCGAGAGGGGTGAGGGGAGAGGGGCGAGGGGAGGGGCGAGGGGAGGGGGGAGGGGGAGCGAGCAGGGAGAGGAGAGGGTCCGGCGCGGTGAGAGGGAGAGGGGGATCTGGAGGACCCCGGGGGGTGCGTCTCGAGGAGCACGCCGAGGAGGCGTGCGTCTCGACGTTGAGGATGGCGAGGATGCGTATATCTCGACGTCGAGGGGGGCGGGGGTTAGGGGGGGTCGACCTCGAAAACGCGCGTCGGGGGCGGGGGGAGGACGCGCTTGGGTGGCGAGATGTGTCTGGCGGATGCCCTGCGAGAAGGAGGAGAGCGAGGGGGAGGAGGTGAGGAGAGCGAGGGGGAGGAGGTGAGGAAAGCGAGGGGGAGGAGGTGAGGAGAGCGAGGACGAGGAGGTGAGGAAAGCGAGGGAGATGAAGTGAGGAGAGCGAGGGGAGAGGAGGACCGGGAGTGGCGAGTTCGAGGACACGGAGAAGACACGAGTGGGGAGCGGTGAGGAGACGCCCGGGGACATGGTGAGGAGGTTGTTCGGCTGGGGCGGGGGACGGAGTGCGAGGTCACCGCTGAGAGAGCGCGAGTCGACCGCTGGGAGCGCGAGAAGGATGGGGGGGGGGGGGAGGGGGGAGGGGAAAGGGGAAGAAAGAGATTTGCGCGAGTGATGATCTCCGTCGTCAGGCATCTGCCCACTACCTTCATCATATATGCGGTGGACGTTTTGCCTCTTGCATGGACTTCGGCTTTCTCAATGCATTTGTTTTGAGCCTCTTCCTCATCGACCATCGCTGGCTCTGGTCCTCGCCTGCTCGTTCGACGTTGGTCGTTCTTCGAGCACATACCGGTCTTCGTACACCCTGCTGCTCGTATACCACTCGTTGCGGCCTCATCGTCAATCAGAGTACCGCGCCTCGCTCGCGACTGAACCATCTCCCGCCCGAATTCAACCTCTTCATTCAATAGAGAGGATGATCACAGCCGAAATTCACGCCCCAAAATCCGTTATCATACTACCTAAATTCAATGTATCCTCCGCTTCTCAAGACATGCCGACGTACTTTTGAGGCCATCGAGTAGGATAGCCTGATGTAATGTCAGCATGCCACTCGACATCTGCCAAGCTGCTGCTGTTCCCAAATTATTCGAGATTTGAGCACAATAGGAACTTCCGTGATGACTGCCTCGTGCCCCCTGCCAACGAGTTGACCTGCTCTCAAGCTACTCACGAAGCTGTACATGAGGGGCGGCCATATTAGGGGGGGGTATAGACCTAGTGGCTGGTCCTAGAAGTCGCGAGCCGTGGAGAGGTTGTACCAAAATATAGATATTTTGCTATTCTTTTCCTTCTTTAGACATAACTGGGGCTCGCCTACAATGCAGCTCAGGCATGGGGAACACAGAGGCGTAGAAGGCCGACGAAAGGCGTCGGGGGAGTGACTCCCGGCGCGGAATCTTCCGGCGAGGCGACCGCCGTCTTTTGTGGCGTCGCGTCTTTTTTGCGCGTGAGATGAGTTACTCGTCCGTCCTAACTAATTTACCTCCTGACAGCGGCGTGCCAAGACACCCTCCTACCGCGTGCGTGTGCACACCATCGTGCCTCCGAGTCGTCCTCGTCCTATGCGCCAGATGGTTATTCATGTCAACAGAACGTTGTCAGACTTGCCTCAAACCCCCGATCGTCTTCGTCCTGGTGCTCCCGCACGAATGCTTCGGAACCTTGCCTGTCTCCACGGGGCATCCCGCTTGCCTGAGCAACTCTCGGATGCGCGCATTCCTTTGACTCTGAGTATTTCTTTCAGCGTCCCCCACTTCCGGGTGTCCGCCTACATCCCGAAGGATCGTCCCGTCATCTGCGCGTGCTCGCGGGTTGCCACCTAAGCTCAGTAGTAGGTTGATGGTATGGTATGTGCCGCCGTAGTAGATGGCCAGTAACAGAGGAGATCGCCCATCGTTGTCACGGGCTTCGAGCGCGGCGTCCCGGTCGACGAGGAGCCTGATGACCGCGGTATTATGGTTCTCACACTGCGCAGCGAGATGAAGGGGCGTGCGGTGCAAGCTGTTGAGCGCGTTGACATTGGCACCGCGCTCGAGGAGCAGGCGCGCAGTATGAATACACCCCTCCCGAGCCGCGAAGTGAAGTGCAGTCCATCCCTCGTTATTGCACTCCTCGATATGCACCCCTTTGTCGAGGAGAAGGCGAACAACATCTTGCTGATCACGACAGGCCGCCTTCATCAGCGGCGTATTCTGGTCCCAGCATCTCGCAGCGTATGAGGCCCCGCGCTCGATGAGGATGCTGATGACACCCAGATGTCCTTGGTGAGCTGCGTAATGAAGCGCAGTACTTCCATTGCCATCGCGCTCCTCGATATGCGCCCCCGTGTCGAGCAGAAAGCGAACGATATCTTCGTGACCGCTACGAGCTGCCAACATCAACAATGTGTACCGGTCTTTCGCAGCGGTAGAGGCCCCGCGCTCCAGGAGGAGATGGAAAACACGAAGGGACCCAGAAGAAACTGCAATCCGAAGTGCGCTTTCTTTATTTTCGCCGCATTCATCGACATGTGCTCCCTTGTCGAGTAGTAGGCGAACAATTTCCTCCCGGTCGCGCCGTGTCGCCACAATCATTGGCGTGTCCTGCGCCGTGCTCCGCACAGCCGGGGAAGCGCCCCATTCGAGAAGTAAGCTAGTCGACCTGAGAGTACCATTATTCGCTGCCAAGTGTAGGGCTGTCCAGGCATGTACGCAATGGCCGTATTGCTCTTTCGGTGAGAATCGCCATTTATTGGCTTCCAGTGGCATGTTGCCGTCAGCCCCACTGCGAAGCAGCAACAAGACTAGGCCGTCGTGCTGCCCGGCAACTGCACTGTGCAAAGCGGGAGTGAGGATGCCACTGGGGGCAGATAGGTTCTTGATCTCGCCCAGAGTGTCGATGATATGCCGCTCGAGGGTTGCATAGTGATTGTGCTCGCCGAAGATGATGTGCTCATGCCAGAGCTGGACAAGGTCGTCGTAGAAGGTGGGAATAGCAACGCGTTTAGAGACAGCAAGAAGATAGGCAAGACTCGTGCGGCCCATGAGACACTGAGCGTCTTCGCTGGATGTATAAAATCGGGAAGACGGTGGAAGAGCGGTGAGGAACTCCCGGACGGAAGCATGCGTTATGCGGACAAAGCCTTGATCCACCTGGAAGAACATTGAATGCAAGAGCGTTCGTAGGACGTCCCTTGGGTTTGGAGACAGCCAATCATGCCTGTACTGTGGCACTTCCGAGCTGTAGTCGAAGGCAAGGATAACGCCCAGTCGCTGGACCCGTACATCATAGAGGTGCACTGAGTTGAGAATCCACACGACTAGCCGGCGCACATCGTCGACATCCTCTTCGCGAACGTCCTCGAGGCAGTTGGAGTACAGCCCTTGGAGTGTCAGAGGCAGCTCCTCTAAGACCCTAGCAAGTCGATGGGGGGCGTTTGCATACCTCCTGAGCTGCTCGACGACAAGTACTGTCCAGCGCATACTGGTAGCATTATCAACACAAGCGGCATCACTTACGAACGCGGAAGACGTACTTTCTGTCAGCTCGATCCATCAGCCTGTTGCGCACCATCTCGGTGTTTGCAATGCCCGCTAATCGTCCACCATCCCTGAACTCGATATCGAGCGCAGTTTCGATGTCGGTGTTGGCCTTCACCTGATCGATCGACAGCACAGCGTCCTGGAGATCCTCGGCGTGCAGGGGCAAGCGCGTGGAGACGAGGATGGAACTACAGCTGCACGAGCGCAGCTTTCTGAGAGCGGCGAGGATCTTTGGACGCTCGCTTTCGAGAGCTTCGTCCAACGCGTCGATGACAAGGAAGACTCGTAGCCGAGTGCCCAGCATACCCATCAGAATATCGAGCTTCTCGTCGCGGGTGAGGCCGCCATCGACCATCGACTTCTGACGAGCTTTCTCAAGCTTGTCCATGCAATGTTGATCTCCAAGTGCGAGTTGGCAGAGGAACGACGACAGGACGGAATCCAAGTCTCCACGGCCCGAGCTGTTAGCCGTGTCGAAGAAATATGGAAGAATGGTGTGCGTGGATCCGTGGGATGTGCAATAAGCTCGGAGATGCCGGATTGCTGTAGCGCTGACAAACATGATGAGCAAGATGGTGGTGCGTGTAGTACGCCACAACATACATGATCGTACTCTTCCCGCAGCCAGCTGTTGAAAGCGTAAGCAAACGTTCGTCTGACCATCCGTGCGTCGCACCTTTGCCTTGGATAGTTAGCACCTTTGTTTGCCCCTCCAGAAAGTTCACAAAGGTCCGATTATCGAAGAACCACAAGCCCGTCCCTTCCGCGCGATCGTTGAGCAAAGAGCTCATTCTCTTGGACGAATCCACGGAGTCGAAACCAAGCCACTTCAGGATCCTCTCCAGCTCGTCGGATATCTTGCCTTTTGTGACCACCTCCAGCGTGCCAGCAACGATCGCTTCCTTGTAACGCGAGGTGATACGCCGCAAGCCTTGCATGGAATCGGCGAGCGGACGTATCTCACCTAGGGCTCTGAGCACTCGACCTGTTTTGCACGGTCAGGCGCGGGAAGTGGGCAAGGACGTCGACGCCTGACCTGCGTAACTCTCATGCCTCAGTTTCATCATGACTCCCAGGACGTTGAGGACCTGGACGAGGAGCTCGATGGAGGTTTCGTATAGCAGCGTGCCGGGATGCGCGGCGACGATCTCCACGACTTGAAGATGCACCCTGATCTCATCGAACGCGTCGGTCATCAACTTGAACTCCTCGTGAGCCTGAACAGTTGCCTGTCGTGGTGATGGTTCATCATCTGTAGACCGAAGGAGAGATGACGAATAAACGCACGCTGATTATCAGTCCAATAGCCGAAAACATCACTTTGCTGGGAGGGAAGACCTGCCATCGGACACGTCAGCGCGATGCGAGTTCCGCGAGGGTGAATCACTCACCGTCGAGCTGAGCGTATCACCGATAGGCCCGCACAACTTCGCTACGATGCGGGCCAAAGGAAGGAGAGTATTGCGGAGGCGTCCCCATCTGTTCATCTCAGTGCCATCTTGCGATTCCGCCTCCATCTTGGCGACGTAGCTCGCCAGGGCCTCCTTAGAGCTGAACAATGCTGCTTCGGGGGCGGTCAGATCGACGCCCGCCTTTTGCTTCCACTCCGCCACTGCCTCGGTCCACATCATGGTCATGGGGTCAACGACGGGCTCGTCGGCGACGTCGATGGTTGCGGTCGATATATGGACAATCGCTTCCTCGACGTAACCCGAGGGCGTGTTCTCTTCCACAGCCGTGGCGGTGGGCGATGGAGGATCGGGGTCCATACCATCCGTTGACGACGATGGCGGCACCTGAAGCGCGTCCGAAATGACTTCGGGAACGGCAGTGGGGATGCGCTGTGTGCCGCGCGACGAGGGAGCGAGCGCCCGCGACAGACGGCGGTATAGCTTCAAGATCGATAGTCGCTCGCGCGGCCCTGAGCGTTTGCCGGGAGACGGCGAGGCAGAAGGAGAGGTCGCAACAGTGGACACTGACGAACGAAGATGAGGCTGAGGGCCATCCGAGTCGTCGCCAGGCGCCGTGGTCGACGAGGCGATCGCAGAGCTTGCGACAGGCGCCGATGACGAAGCGCGGCCTCGCGCGAAGTAGCGGATGATCCACGAGGGTAAAAGGCGATCGCGCAGAGGACGATGCCCCGCAGACAAGGTAGGAGAATCAGACATTGGGACTGAGGATTCAACGTTCAGTATCGACGATGAGGGTCGGAAGGAAGGAGAGGCTCGCCCACCTGGTGTATACCAGCTCACCGGCCTCGTGTCAGCACAGCATCTCGAGAAGGACGAGGGGCAATACAACATCAGGTCGCACGCATAGCACCCATCGATAAGCGCCGAGGGAAGGATCCCTGCGCCGTACGTCTCTGCTCCGAAGCCTTAACTGGGTCGGAAGATACGCGAGGCGCATCTGCATCGACCCGCCTGCCCGGCATGATATGCTAGGTAGCGCCGCAGGGAACTTGTAGTAGTCGATAGCGCAGCCCTAGCGGTCCTCGTACTTCGTCATATCTGTGTGCGTTAAGAAAGGCCCAGAAAGGGAAACCATATGCCGAGTCGACATTAGTTACCTCCTCACCATGGACAAGTTCATGCCGAGAATAAAAGTAAAGAAACGAGAGTTTCATTTGCGTTACCTAAGATATAGTATACACGCCCAACCTCGAGAGCCTGAGGCGCTGGGGACCATCTGCGAATGAGGCCCAGGTATGTGCGACGGCGCGGATGGAGGCGCATTCGAACACGAAAGTCGGCGCCGCTGATACTGTCGGCAACAGACGGTCGACACCTTGAGGCGCATCGATAAACATCTCAACGATGTTACGTACAGAGACCTGACGCGAAGGAGTCAGCCGCTGAATCTTCGAAGATACTTGGGTCACCCCTCGACGATGTTGCCGAGGACGAAGACACCGCCCGCACGAGCTGAGACTGCCCACGATGGTCAAAGGTATTTTGCTCCAACTCAAGGAAGTCCAAGTGCGGACGAGGGTGTACTGTACGAGGCGTACGATGCGCGTTGAGCATTCGCCCGGTTTACGGAGATGTTCGCGTCTTCTCGTCGACCGAGGGACCCGCCGGTGCTGAGAGCGAAGTCAGCAATGGGGACGCATCCGAGCTCTGTAGAAAGACAGTCAGAAGGCGGAGGGTGTCGGGAGAACGTGGCAAGACGCACCGCAAGCGAGCTAGACTCTACTCTGAGGGGAATCTGCTTACTTGACAGAGCGCATGTACGCGTACTTGCCTGAGCAGATGTTGGCATACTTGGCTAGGACGCTCGCGCACGGGGCCAAGCAAATTTTCGCAAAAATGACTCGGCAGGCTGTGAGCATGATGGCTTAAGCGAGAGAACGGGATAGCAAATACCTCGACCATGCCCGGTGATCCCTCCACGCTCTCCCGACGATAGTGCACGCCGTCGAAGGGCAGTCTTAGATTTGCATACATCAAGCATACAGAGACGCCTCCGCCGGCGGATATCGCAGGATACGCAGGTGGATTCGACGGTCAGATCCTCGTTCGTCGGGGCCGTTCCTACGATTCCTGGCCGTATTCCCGAAGTTGGCGAGGTCGACAACGCTCACCGCGCGGGCTGAGATTCCGCATGAAGCTCAAGGATATCCTTCTTGAGCTCAGTGAGGTCTGAGCGCGGGACAGGGTGCGTCGGATGAGATGGGTGATGGACTTGAAGAGTGCGTTGCGTACGACTGTAAGCGTGTCGAACTCTGCAATCATCGAGTGAGGCCTTGATGTGGAGAGTACGACGTTCGGCTGAGAGGCTTTCAATCGCTGTAGATGACGCGTTAGAATACCGAGCGAGGCCGAAAGTTAAGTGAGACGTACCTGGAAGTCCAGCACCAGTGATTGCTCGCCTCCCTCGCTTCAGATGGCCATTCCGCGCCTCTTGTGCTTCTGTTTGGAGGAGACACGCTCGAAGAGGGCCATATGTGTTTGGCGTAGAGCTTCAACAAGGTTAATCATCGGATGGTCGAGAGGGAACGGCACCTCACCGCCTTCCGCGATGATCGAGCGACTCGTACGCGGTGAAGCTGCCGGACGCGCTACTGAATTCAGAAGATCAGGTGATACAGCTATATAGAGAGGACGAGGGGGAGGGGGATTGCGAAAGTTCTGCGTGATCAAGGCACGAAGGGTACCGCTGGCTTCGAGTTCTTGTATGCGTGGAGGTGATTGGTATGAGTCGTCGTTTCTCTCTCCATGTTGCTTAGCACACAAGTGCAGGTTCACTCAAAGGGCTACCCCCTCAGGCCAAACATCGCGAGAAATAATCTGTCCGAACGTCAGCGATTGCGCGCATGAACAGCAAGACGCACCGTCCTGATCGCCAGGGGCAAGCAGCACTCAGCACTCAGCACAAGAGAAGTAATCCGACCCCTTATTACCCCTGCTATTTGTGCCGACACGAAGGCACTAACGGTAGGCGTTCTTGTCAATGTCATTCCATCCTGCCTCAGAAGGAGCGATCCTTTCGTCGGTCGCGCCAAAAGCCAGTCATATATCAGGATCCAGGATATGCCTTCTGTGGAAGAAGAGGCGTGTATATTTGCCGAGAGAGTATAACAAGGAAGAGATAGGGTCGAAGGCGGCCGACGACATGATGGTCGGGAAGGACAATGGACAATCCAAATCGGGAAAGACGAACAAACACGCGCGATCGGGCCGGGGATGCCGGGCCTCTTCCGTCTTGCCTTCATCCAAGAATCGTCGCTATGCGTCGACTCTGCCGTCCTCCCCGAGTCGTGCTTTTGGGCCTGTGTAATCGTCTGACTGCGCCTAATACAAGGCCCCGTAGACTGCCTGGACCTCTTACATCGATGCAACGACGATGGCGGCCTTGGAAGAAGAGGTCGGTGCTTCCGTCCGTCCCTTGTCCGCTCACTACTGCTTGCGCCGTCGCCTGCTGCCCTCGCCCCAGATCCGAACTCTACCTCCACCTCATTCCGCCCACCTTCTCGACTAACCCTCCCATTATCTTCCCTCCCATCTACGCCCCTTCCTCCTCCCCACATGTCACCTTCTGCCTCCTCATACGTCCCCCCATTGCACCCACTCCCACCTAACCTGCCCTACCGCCCGCCCAGCTCAATTGGACAGAGCATCAGACTCTTTTCGAGCGCGGAGTCCTCGAGACTCCTTTCCCAGGACTGCTGTCGCTAGGCGGAAGCTGAAGGATGCGAATTCGCGGTGGGATATATATGCATACACTGACGTTCCCTTTAATCATCCCCTTTCTTTCCATCCCTTCTCTTCCCTCCCTCCCTTTTTGTATTACCCGGCCTTGGCCCCTCCCTTACAACGCTCCCTTCGCCCTCCCTTCCCCACTCATTTCGTCCTCCCTTGTTCAGTCCCTTCTCCTTAACGCTTCCCTCCCTCCCTCCCTCATCCACCTTGCCAAATCAAAGTCATACCCGATTGTGAGACGTATGAAGGAGCGCAGCAGAGCATGAGCTTGTGAGAACGCGAGGGACGGATGACGGAGGCGGAGTACGCTCGCGAGGGGCGAGGGGACGTACGCTTCGAGAAGCGAGGGGACGTACGCTCGCGATTAGCGAGGGGAAGCACACTTGCGGGGTGCGAAGAGCGACGTACGCTTGCGGGGTGCGACGAGCGACGTACGCCTGCGAGGGGCGAGGAAGGCGCGCCGCTCGGAGCGGGGAGGAGAGAGGGGCGAAGGGGGAGGAAAGAGGGGCGAAGGGGGAGGAGAGGGCGGTGCGTGGACGGAAGGGCAGATGGGCACGCGGGCGGAGGAGGGTGCGGGGTCCTGAGAGCGAGGAGGGGGTGGGGTCCTGAGAGCGAGGACGGGGAGGGAGGAGAGAGCGGCGAGGGGAGCGTGCGATGGGAAGGCGGGGCTGCGAGTGAGGGGTGCGGCGGGAGGTCGGGCATGGGGGATGGATTGGGGGCGAGGGCGGGGGAGGAGAAGGAGGGCTCGCAACTCGAGGATGTGGCGGAATTTCGAAGACGCTCACCCAGAAGGAATCTTTCTCTGAGGATGTGTCGGAGCGGAGATCTCATAGACCTGTCGGAGCGAATCTCCCACAGACCTGTCGGGGCGAATTTTCCACAACATGTCGGAGCGAATCTCTCACACACTTGGGAAGTACGGCGCACTGACTCGAATTTTCAAATTTGAGAATCTATCTGCTACTATATATCCCCCCCTCTCGATTTTCCCCTTCACTCACTCCGTTTCCTTGAACCAATCACCCCTTACTCTGCCCTCCACCTTTTTGACGCCCCTACCCGCCTTCGCTCTTCCCCTCCACCCCCACATCCTTTCCAGCCCCGCTTCCCCTCCACCCCTTTGAACCCACCACACCCACGCCACCCTTGCTCCCCTCTCCCACCCTCTACCTTGTCCACGCCCCTAAGTACTCACCTTGCCCACGCCCCTAAGTACTCACCTTGTTTCACGCCCCTAAGTACTCGCCTCCGCACCCCATCCTCTCGCACTTTTCCTCTCCATCTTCTCGCACTTCCCCCCCCCCCCCCCCCCCCACTATCCACCTTGTCCGCTCGCCATCTTCTCGCGTTTTGCCTCTCCATCTTCTCGCGTTTTTCCTCCCCATTCCGTAGCGATGGCGACCGCCACAGCACGGGAGGTGCAGGGTGTCGACGAGGGAGGATGAAGGGTGCGTGTCGAGTGGGAGGAGGAGGGAGGGCGTTGAGCGGGAGGAGGGAGGGTGCGTGGCTGGGTGGATGAAAAGTCGATGTGGCTCCAGGGCGCGGTCGGTAAGGGTAGCGGCGGAGGCGACTGAGAGGGAGGCGGCGGAGTGGGAGGCAGCGGAGGAGGCCTAGGAAGGGAGGAGTGGACGCAACTAAGAAGGAGGCGGCGGCGATTGAGACTCCCAGAGGAAGGCGGAGGCGATTGAGACTCTCATAGGGAGGCGGCGAGGGCGACTGAGAGGGAAGCGGCCTGTGAGGGTCAGGGTCCTCGGACTCACGGTCTTTCTACTTATATCGCACGGCCTTTCGTATTTACTCGTTTTCCGTTGTATTGTGCGCAAGCGCAGGTCGCGCGTCGCGCCTCGCCGCTGCGCGTCTCGCGTTGTGTATACTTGTTTACCAGCAGCCCTTCGTACCTACTTGGACTCGCATCCCGTATTTACCCTTTTCCTCGTCGAATCAACACCAGTGCTCGCCTCGAACCTCGTCCCGTCTCGCTTCCCTCGCCTTGACCGTCACAGTTTGATTCGACCACCCTCATCAACACGTTGAGCTCACGCTGTTGATCTCGCGAACCCCGGTAACGTCCTCGATCCCACGCACAAACTTCGAATTCCACGCCTTTGGGCCCTTTTGCACTAATCCATGTACGGCGAAGACAATAGCGCCAACGAGTGGGCCAACTCGGCTTCCCACATCGACCCCAACATGTCGACAGGGTCCGCGACGCCGACGCAGGCGACTACCGACGCGTCGATCGGCCAAGCTCCCCCGGCAGCCCCCGGTTGGGCCGAGTTCAACAACACCGTCGCCGCCCTCGTGACACTTCAAGACCACCAGCGTAACCTCGGCCAGGCGATATTCAACCTCACCGAGAAGATTGACGCGATTGCCGTGGCTCAAGCACGGTCTCCGGCCGCTGCGGCCGACCCCGCAGTGCCCGCGCAGACCGAACCACCGTCCGACGCCCCTCGAGGAACCGCGCGCTTCCACGAGCCGAAGGTCTTCGATGGAAAGGCCACCTCCGTCACCTCCTTCATCGCGGACATCAAGAGCGCCGTCTTCCTCTCCAGCTCGACACTCCCTACCAACTATCACAAGTCCCTCTACCTCGGCACGTACCTAGGTCCCGGCATGCCGAAGATGTGGTTCAACAACATCTCGAGGACGGAGGAGCACGTGCTCCACGACTTCGACGAACTACTCCGCCGGCTCGAATCCCGCTTCGACGAGGCCGACCTGACCAACGCCATGCTCGACAAGATCGAGGCCCTGTGGCAGACCGGCTCAGCCGCGAACTACATCCAGGCCTACGACGAGCTCGCCAAGCACGTCGACTTCTCTGACATGACCAAAAAGGCAACCCTCTACAAGCACCTCAAGCCCGAGCTCAAGGACCTCCTCCTCAGCGTCCGCGGCTTCAAGATGCTCCCCTACTCGGAGTACACCGCCACCATTATCGAGGTCGACAACGACATGCACCGTCGTGCTCAAGAGCGCCAACAGGAGGCCAAGAAGAAGACCGCTAAGTCCAACCCATCCTCCTCTGCACCGTCCTTTGTTCCCCAACCTACTCCTCCTTTTGTTCCTGCTCCTGCTCCTGTTCCTCGTTCGTCTCACACCGCTTTGCCTGCGGGTGAACCCATGGAGATTGATGCTACCAAAACGGGCTCAAGGCCTCGTGCTCCGCTCACCCAGGCCGAGAAGGACCGACGCCGCCGCGAAGGTCTTTGCTCGTACTGCTGTATCAGCGCACGCCGTTGATGATAGCGGCGCATAACAATCTAGAGTACATGACTCGCCTACTCCTCCACAAGGGGGCACACGTCGAGGATCACGATGTTGACGGATATACTTCCCTGCACACCGCGGCCTGCAAGGGCCACATCAACATCGTCAACATGCTCCTCGAGCGAGGCGCGGATGTCAACGCGATCAACACCAGGCATAACACACCTCTGCATCTCGCCACGCTTCAAGGCCACGACGACATCATCGGGCTTCTCGTTGACCGAGGCGCAGTGCTCGAGGCCCGCAACGAGGATGGATGGACTCCATTATACCTCGCGGTATACTACCGTCGCGCGTATCGGATAATCGAAGTGCTGCTCAAACTGGGCAGCGATCCGAGGACACGCGCAGACGACGATACGACTCTCTTGGATGCTTTGGGCGAAGCTGAGTCGTTGCCGGCGAGACTCGAGAACGTTTCGGGCATCCGAGAGTTGCTTCAGCGAGCGGGATGCACTGAGAAGACCGGCAGGTTTCCCATCAACTCTTTCAGGCGCCGGGCCGGAGAAGCAAAGGCGAGCACCTGAGGTAAGTTTCGCGACAATACGGTAACAATAAATCACCCATCGGCTTGCAGAAGATCAAATATCATTGATACAATTGTGCGTACGGTCAGAAAAATTTATGGAGCAATGGGCGGACGGACACGAGTGTGTTTCTTTCCCAGGGCACTGTCGACAATGTACTTGACACAAACCACGCGTAAGTTTGGGATTCCTGTATTATTTGTTAGCGAAGACGTTCTTTGGGTTCGAGTGACAGCGACAGTTTTGTATCCTTCTACATCCCTCTCAGTCGCATCGCTCGCCGTCGCGCGCGCCTCTCTCCATCCCTCGCGCCTCTCTATCCCTCGCGCCCCCTCGTCCCCTCGCGCTCTTCTCCCCCCACTCCCCTTGCCGCCTCCATACCTCCCTACCTCTTCACTTGCCCTTCTTCCGCGCTGTTGAACTCCCGTCACGTATCCCGCGTCCACTCCCGTCGTGTATCCCGCACCCACTCCCGCACCCGTCCCGTAGCTCCTCGTCCTTCAGACGTGTCTCGCCCCTCCAATCCCACCCCGCATTCTCCAAACACATCGCACCCCGCGTCCTCCCAGAATATCCCGTCCTGCATCCTCTAAGCATATCCCGCCATGCGTCCTCCAGACATATCCAGCCATGCGTCTTCCAAACAAACCCCGCCCCTCGTCCACCAGACATATCCCGTCATCCTCTGAACACACCGCTGAGCTGCTCTTTCACAACCGCTTCTCGAAAGCCGCTACTTGACAGCCGGTTCTCGAAAGTCGGCTCTCGAAAGCCGGTTCTCAAAAGTCGGCTCTCGAAGGCCGCTCCTTGAAAGGCAACCCACGAAAGACGCTCCTTGACAACCGCTCTTCCAGAGCCGCTCCTGCACAGCCGCTTCTGCACAGCCAGCCCTCGAGAGCCGCTCCGCGAAAGCCGGCTTTCGCTCCAAATGGCGCGCCCCACCTCTCGCGAGTGAAAATGCCCTCTCGCGAGTGAAAACGCCCCGCTTCTCGCGAGTGAAAACGCCCCGCCTCTCGCTCCAAATGGCACACTCCATCCTTCGCGACTGAAAGCGCGCTGAGATTCGCTCCCTCCCTCCTTCCCCTTCACCATTCTTCCCCTCCAGCCCCACCTCCGCTCGTTCCACCTTTGCCACCTTCCCCTCTAGCGCGCCACCTTCCTCCCAGCGCACCACCTTCCCCTCCAGCGCGCCACCCCCCCCCCCCCCTCCGCCCGTCGTCCCCTCCACCCTTCCTCCCCTCATCATCCCACCCCTACATCCCTCCCCCCTACCTCCACCGCTATCTTCTCCCTTTACCCGGGGCCTTGGATCGTGAGCGCGCCTCGCGCCGTCCTCCCCTCGGATGGCAAACGCGCCTCCGATGGCAAACGCGCCCCGGATGACGAACGCACCACACAAGGCGCGAGCCCGCGCCTCACAATCCCCGACCGAGCGCGCGCCTCGCAAGGTCCGCCGACGACGAACGAGAGGCGTATGGCGGTGTCCTTGGATCGAGCCCGCGCCTCGGATGGGAGTATGCCCGCGCCTCGGATGACGAACACGCCGCGCAAGGTCCGACAGACACGTATGACGGCGAACGCGACGCGTACCATGACTGCGAACGCGACGCGTATGACGGCGAACATAACGCGTATGACGGCGAACATAACGCGTACGACCGCGCCCACGACACGTACGACCGAGCCCACGACACGTACGACCCCGCAGGGTTGGTGGGGCGAAGAAAGAGGGAAGTCCGCAACCCAGGATTGGCCTGATTGATGCAAAGAATGATTTTTGGTGAGCAGGAGGGAGGGGAAGGGAGGAAAGGGGAAGAGAAGAGGGACAGGGGAAGGGAAGGGGGAAGGGAGGGAAAGGAGGGGAGGTAAAGGAATGAGGAAAGCGGAGGGAGGGAGGAAATTGGAGGAAAGGGAGGAAAGTGGAAGGGAGAGAAGGGAGAGAAGGGAAGGGAGGGAAGGGGGATGAAAAAAGTGGACAGGGCAAGGAAGGGAGAAATCCTCGCTCCTTTTTCCTTCTTCCGCACCATCTCCCCCTATCCACTCCCTTCGACGCCCCTATCCACTCCCTTCGACGCCCCGTCCACTCCCTTCGACGCCCCGTCCACACTCCATCGAGCGCCCGCACATCGTCCCCCATCCACCCCCTCCTCACCCCTACCTCTCGTCGCATCTCCCTGGGTCGCCCGTCCCCGCCGCCCCATCCGTCCACCCGCCGAGCTATTGCGCTCATGGGTGAGTTCGTCCCTCGACCCTTCGCCCCCCATCCACCGCGTCGCCCGTCATACCCTGAAGCGCCCGTCATACTCTTCGCCCCCGTCGCCGCCGCACCCTCAAGAGAACGAGCGGCCGCCACCTCCGTCCCTACCTCGTGCCCTGTTCTTGCCTCGTTCCCTGTCCTTGCCTCGTTCGCCCACCTCCCCTTGACCCCCACCTCCTTTAAAGCCCCCTCCTTTTAAGCCCCTCCTTCCCCTCGCCCTCCCCTTAACCCCCTCACCCTCCCCTCCCCCTACCACCGACCACGCACCGAAGGGCAGTGAAGGAGCGGAGTGCTGCTCGACCGCTCGCCACGACGCCCGTCTCCTCTCGCCACGACGCCCGTCTCCCCGCGCCATCTAGCTCCCCCTCCCTGTGTCGTCGGCGCCCGTCTCCCCGCGCCATCTACCTCCCCCTCCCCACGCGCCGTCGAGGTCGCGCTGACCATGCTCTCGACGACCTCCTCAGCGTCCTCTCCTCTCCTCTCCCCGTCGCCCCTGTTCTCCTCTCCCCATCGCCCCTCCTTTCCTCTTCCCTCCCCTCCTCCTCTCCTCTCCTCTCCCCGTCGCCCTCCTCGTCGCCCGCGCCGTATTGTCCGGCCCGGCACGCCGCCGCGTCCACATTTGAGAGACGCGCGCCGCCACGTCCGCATCCAAAGCTGAGAAGCGCACCGCCGCGTCCGCGGGTTATCGTCGACACTCCGCGTCAGCGAGTTGTCGTCGACACTCCGCGTCAGCGAGTTGTCGTCGACACTCCGCGACATCGAGTCGTCGTCGACACTCCGCGACATCGAGTTAGCTGACCTCGCGTCATCGAGTTGTCTGACCTCGCGTGCCCGCGTGATCCCCCCGCGTCCGCGTTCCTCGTCCCCTCAGCCCTGCTTCCCTCACCCTCGTCCGTCAGCCCTGTTTCCCTCATTCTCGTCCGTCAGCCCTGCTTCCCTCATTCTCGTCCGTCGGTCCTCCGTAGTCGCCCCTCCTCTCCTCTCCTCACCCGCGCGTCCTCGACACATTCCACCCCCTCTCCCTCGCACCCTGAGCACCCTGAAGCGCCTTTCTCGCACCCCTCGCGCCCCTCGCGCCCCTCCCATCCTCAAGCCCCTTCTCGCTCTTCCGCTCGTGTTTCTCCTCCCCCTCCTCCCTGCTCCTCCTCGCGCTCTCCCGCCCTTGTTTCTCCTCCCGCTCTCCCGCCCGTGTTCTTCCTCGCGCTCTTCCGCCCGCGCTTCTGCTCGCGGCGCGCACCGCCCCTCGCGCCCCCGAGGCGCACCCCTTCCCTGTACCATCGCGACGCGCCCCTTCCCTGTACCATCGCGAAGTACACCTTCCCTGCGTCCTCGCGGCGCACACCTCCGCTGCACCATCGCGACGCGCACCTCCGCTGCACCATGCTCTCGTCGACCCCCTTACCATGCTCTCGACGACCCCCGTCAGCGTCCCCCACAACGCGCTGCCGACGTTTTCACTGCCGCGTCGTCGGCGTACATCTCGTCGACGTCCGCCTCGTGCCCGTCCGTCTCGTGCACGTCCGTCTCGTCGAGCCGCCGACTTCCTATGGGGATAGGGTCTGTGCATCCGCGACGGATGGGGTCTGAACGATCTGAACATCCGCGTCTTATGGGGCTGGACATCTGCGACCTATGGGGTCTGGACATTCGCGCGCTTCGAGCGCACCCTCGCCCATCACCCGAGCGCGCCCTCGCTCTCTCCACCTCTGCGGCAGGGGAAGGGAGGAGTGGGTCGAAGGATCGGCGTATAACAAGTGTACGCGCGAAAGGCAGAAGAGCAGAGAAAAGCCATGAGTATTAAGCACATAAGTCGCCCACAACTCGGAGGGTCGAATTCGCGGTTTCAGAGCACGCTTGGCGAGCACTGCTTCGGACCTCGCTTGATGGCTCCAAGACAGCTGATTGCGCGGTAAGATCCTCGGGGGATGGTGCAGGCGGGAGGATGGGGCAGGGGGGAAAGGGATGTAGGGTGGGTGGGAGAGTGGGAGAGGATGGAGGAGGGCGATGGAAGGAGGGAGAAGGGCGATAAAAGAAGGGAGGAAGAGGGGGTGGGGACGAGGACAAGGAGGGAGTGGCAGCCAGGTCGGGTCCAAGTCGGGTCAGTCTTGACACAGGACGAGGGCAGGCGCGATAGAGGACGGACGGAGGTGAGCGATAGAGGACAGACGAGCGCACGAGCGATAAAAGACAGAAGGAGGATGAGAGAGCGTTCAGCGTCGGCCGTCCAAGCTCTAGTCCAGTCGCGTTCGTAGCGGGCACCACGACCGCTGCGTGAGGCGAGAGGCGAGGGTTTGGGATGGAAGCGAGGTATTGCGTCAATCCGACAGCCGTGGATGGGCGGTGGACTGAATGGGTGAAGGTCGGCTTCTGATGGAGGGCATAGAGCACCAAGACAGAAAGGCAGGAGCGTCGTCGAAGAAGGTCGGTAGTCGGCAACACGAAGGATGATCGACGCGTCCGATCACAATGACCTCATACGCGTCGAACCCGGACCGGGGATGCGGTGGTCGTGCTCCTGCGTCCATGATCGTGGTGACCCCCGTACCAACCCCGTACGCAGGCTGGGCGAATGGTCGCGAACGAAGCCATCAGTGTCCTCCATCACGTAGCTGTTCGTGACCTCCATCGCCGCCGTGCCCTAGCCTGGACGCCAGGCCCAAACCGCGACCTCAAAGTTCCTACGGGAAGAGCAAGACGTCACGTCTAGGTTCTGCTGCTTTGGAGGGTTAGGGATTCCGGTCTACTTCCGTACCCCCACATCGCCGTCGCTGCTATCAACTTTCAATGGGTCCAGCGTGGCTCTCGCCCCCTATTTATCCTCCCTCACCATCCCACCTCCACCCTCGTCCCCTTCCATCCCTTCTCCTCTCCCCTCTCTCTTCCCTCCTTTCCCCTTCTCCCGTCTCGCGTCTCCCCTCTCCCTTATGACTCCCCTTCTCCCATCTCACCCCTCCCTCCCATCCCCTTCTCCCATCTCACCCCTCCCTCCCATCCCCTCTCCCCTCTCCCCTCCATCGCTTCTTCCCTCCCCTCTCCCCTCCATTGCTTCTTCCCTCCCCTCTCCCCTCTCCCCTCCATCGCTTCTTCCCCCCCTCTCTCCCATTCAACTGAGATACTTCCGGAGGGGCGGCGTTGGGGGTGAACTGGCGTGCCTTGAGCGCAGGCGCGCGCTCGCTAGGACAGGGCAGGCGCGCGCTCGCTAGGACAGGGCAGGCGCGCAGCTCGCCATGACAGGGCAGGCGCGCGCTCGCCAGGATAGGGCGCGCATGTTGAGGACGGATCCGCATTTTGAGCACAGGTCGGGAAGGAGGGGAAGGAGCGAGAGGAAGGGAATGATCGCGAGGAGTGGGCGGCGTGGTGGAGGGGGCGAGAGGAGGGGAAGGAGCGAGAGGAGTGGGCGGCGTGGTGGAGGGGGCGGCGAGGGGGGTCGATCTCGATGAGGACGGCGTGGGGGCGACCTCGAGGACACGCAGGGGGTCAATCTCTATGAGGACGGCGTGGGGGCGACCTCGAGGACACGCAGGGGGTCAATCCGGAGGCGACGCCGGGGGTGACGTCGAGATGTCTATCTCGCAGGACGCCGGGGGTTGAGCTCGACGAGTACGCGGCGACGGGGTCGAGAATCGATCTGGAGGACAACGGCGAGGCCGTCGTCGAGGACGCTGGGGGGGCCGGTGTCGAGGATGCGGCGAGAGGTCGGCCTCGAGGACGCGGCGAGGTCCACGGAGCGGAGGGACGCCGAGGGCGGTCTGAATCGAGGTCGACGAGGACGCCGCGGAGCGCTCCTCGAGGACATCGGGCGACGTCGATCTGGATGACGGCGAGGAGCAGACCTCGACGAGGGCGATCTTGACAGTGCGTCGGGGTCGAGCACGAGGACACGGCGAGGGGTAGGGCGATCTCGCGAACAAGGCGAGGAGTCGACCTCGACAACACCGCGGGGCCGATCTCGAGGACGCCGAAGGGGTCGATCTCGACAGTCCGTCGGGGGCGATCTCGACAGTCCGTCGGGGGTCGATCTCGAGCACGTTGTGGAGCGAGTCGATCTCGACCTCGAGGACGTCAATCTCGACAAGAGCACGGCGCGAGTCGATCTTGACAGAACGGAGGGTGTCTATCTCGACGGCGCGTCGGGGGTCGATTTCGAGAGCTTGGCGATAGTCGAGCTCGAGGACTTAGCGAGGGTCTGTCTCGACAACACCGCGAGGCCGAGCTCGAAGACACGCCGAGGACGCCGGGGGCCGACGTCGAGCTCGAGGACGCTGAGGGGGTCGACCTCGAGCGCCGAGGGGGCCGACCTCGAGGACACGCAGGGGGTCAATCCGGAGGCGACGCCGGGGGCGACGTCGAGTGTCGATCTCGAGGACGGCGAGGGGGTGCCTTTGACGGCGCGTCGAGGACGTCGAGAGTCGATCTGGAGGACAACGGCGAGGCCGACGTCGAGGACGCGGCGAGGGGGGCGGTCGTCGGCCTGGAGGATGCGCCGGGGGCGAGGGGGGGAAGTGTGTGGTGCAGGCGAAGGGGCTGCGGTGTGGGCGAGATGGGATGGGAGAATGGGAGGGGCGAGCTCTGGTGGGACGCAGGGAACCGGGGCGCGACGGGGTGTGCGAAAGCGCTGCGGAGAAGTGAGCGAAGGGCAGCCGTTTGTTGGAGGCTCAACGAAGGGAAGCGGTGCACTGTGGACGGCGAAGGGCAGGAGCTCCCGTGCTTTCGCGGAGGCGAAGGCAACGTGGGGATGGAAGGGGGGGCGTGGGGATGGAAGAAGGGGGGATGGGGGAGGAGTACGCTCGAGAGGAAACGGGTCGTGGGATATATACGACGGGAGGTATTCTCCTCGAAGGCAGGGAAGATGTCCTCGAAGGCCAGGGAGGCATCCTCCTCGAAGGCAGGGAAGATGGCGGCGAGTGAGCAAAGAGGAGGCCGCTCAAGAAGGCACGGGAGCGTGCGGAAGAATGGGCGCAGGGGGAAGAATGGGCGCGGGGGGGAGAATAGGCGCAGGCGGAAGAAGTGCGAGTCGAGTGCGGGGGAAGGCGCATGAGTTGGAGGCGCGGGGCGGGGTGCGAGTTTACCGCTAAGAGAGCGCGAGTTGACCGCTGGGATCTCCTTAGTCCTCCCTCCCTTCCCTCCCTTCCCTCCCTTCCCTCCCTTCCCTCCCTTCCCTCCCTTCCCTCCCTTCCCTCCCTTCCCTCCCTTCCCTCCCTTCCCTCCCTCTTCGCATTCCCCTTCCTCTTCCTATTTCGCCCTCCTCTCCTCCCCTTCCCCACCCACCACTTGCTCCCCGAACTCTCTTCAGACGCAATCCTGCTCCGCCGGTGGGTGGGAGGGGTGAATGCGCCGTGCGCTTTCGAGGAACGAGGGCGACGTTTGCTTCTCAGGAACAAAGGCTCTGTACGCTTTCGAGGAACGAGGAGGGCGCCGTACGCTCTCGAGGAACGATGCGGCGTACGCTTTTGAGGAAGGCGCTGTACGCTTCCAGGAACGACTGCATCGTACGCTTTCGAGGAGCGAAGAAGGCGTACGCTTTCGAGGGAGCGAGTGCACCACGCGCTTTCGAGGAACGAGGGCGCCGTGCGCGTTCAGGAACGAGGTGGCGTTGCGCTCTTCGAGGGGCGAGGAAGGTGTACACTTTTGAGGGGCGAATGCGCCGTACGCTGTCGAGGAGCGAATGCGACGTTTGCTTTCGAGGGAGCGAGGGCGACGTTTGCTTCGAAGGAGCGAGGGCGTCGTCCGCTCTCGAGGAACGAGGAAGTCGTACGCTTGGGAGGGAGCGAGGGCGCCGTACGTCTTCGAGGAACGAGGTGGCGTACGCTTTCGAGGAACGAGGGCGTCGTACGCTTTTGAGGGAGAGGAAGGCGTATACTTTCGAGGATCGAGTGCGCAGGTGAGAAGGGAGGGGGGAGGCGTCCGCTTTCGAGGAACGAGGGCGCCTTACGCTCTTCGAAGAGCGAGGAAGGCGTACGCTGTCGAGGGAACGAGGATGGCGTACGCTTATTGTGGAACGATGAGGCGCCGTACGCTCTCGAGGAGCGAGGAAGGCGCCGTGTGCTTCCGGGGAAGCGAAGGCCGCGTACGCTTTCGAGGAGCGAAGGCCTCGTACGCTGTCGAGGAGAGAAGGCGCCTTACGCTCTCGAGGGAGCGAGGTGGCGTACGCTCTCGAGGAACGAGGTGGCGTACGCTTTCGGGAAGGACGACTGCATCGTACGCTTTCGAGGATCGAGGACGTCGTACGCTTTCGAGGAACGAGGGCCTCGTACACTTTCGAGGAACGAGGGCGTCGTACGCTTTCGAGGAACGAGGAAGGCGTACGCTGTCGAGGGAACGAGGAAGGCGATGTACGCTGTCGAGGAAGCGACGGCCTCGTACGCTTTCGAGGAAGCGACGGCCTCGTACGCTTTCGTCGACCGGGGCGTCGTACGCTGTCGAGGAACGAAGACCTCGTACGCATTCAAAGATCTCAGGCGTTTTCTTTCGAAGATCTCAGGCGTTGCGCTTTCGAGGAGCGAGTGCGCCATACGCTTTCGAGAAGAATCGAGGGCGCAATGCGCTCTCGAAAATCTCAGGCGTTGCGCTTTGGAGGACCGAGGAAGGCGTACGCTTATTGAGGAACGAGGAGGACGTCGTACGCAGGCGAGGATCGAAGGCGCCGTGCGCTTTCGAGGAGCCAGGGCGTACGCTCTGGAGGAACGAGTGCATCGTACGCTATCGAGGAACGAGGAAGGCGTCCGCTTTGGAGGAGCGAAGGCGCCGTACGCTTTCGAGGAACGAGGAGGGCGTCGTACGCTTTCCGAGGAGCGAGGGCGACGTTTGCTTCTAAGAGGGAAGGCGTACGCTATCGAGGAACGAGGAAGGCCTCGTACGCTTCGACGAGCCAGGGCCTCGTACGCTTTCGAGGAACGAGGAAGGCGCCGTTTGCTTTCGAAGATCTCAGGCGTTGCGCTGTCGAGGAACGACTGCGTCGTACGCTTCGAGAAGAACGAGGTGCCGTACGCTTTCGAGGAACGAGGAAGGCGCCGTACACTATCGAGAAGAACGAGGAAGGCGTACGCTTCCAGGAACGAAGGCTCCGTACGCTTTGGAGGAACGAAGACGCGCGCTTTGGAGGTGCAGAGCGCCGTACGCTTCGAGGAGCGAGGCCTCGTACGCTTATTGAGGAGCGAGGGCGGCGTACGCTTTCGAGGAGCGAGGTGGCGTACGCTTTCGAGGAGCGAGGCCTCATACGCTTTCGAGGAGGGAGGACGGCGTGCGCTTTTGAGGAACGAGGAGGGCGTCGTACGCTTCATGGAACGAGGTGGCGTACGCTTTCGAGGAACGAGGAAGGCATACGCGGTGGAGAAGGACGAGGAAGGCGCCGTACGCTTTCGAGGAACGAATGCGTCGCACGCTGTCGAGGAACGCCTGCATCGTGCGCTTATTGAGCAACGAGAAAGGCCTCGTACGCTTTCGGGAGAAGGGCACCGTACGCTCTCATGGAACGAGGTGGCGTACGCTTATCGAGGAGCGACGGCCCCGTACGCTTTCGAGCAACGAGGGAAGGCGCCGTGCGCTCTTGAGGACCGAGGAAGGCGCCGTACGCTTTCGAGGAACGAGTGCGCAGGTGAGAAGGGGGACGGCCACCGCGCACGCAGAACGGGGTGCGACACGACAGCGCACGCAGGATGGGGCGCGGCACCACAGTGGACGCAGGATGGGGCGCGAGAAGGGGAGGACCGACGGGCGAAGGGCGGGGGGAGCGGGCGAAGGGGATGAGTGCGGTCGGCGGCGAGAAGCGATCTCGACGACGCAGCGCAGCGCAGGCGTCGCGGGCGCAGCGCAGCGCAGGTGTCGCGGGCGCCGGGGGTCGATATGGAGGGCGCGATGCTTGCGGAGGTCGAGGACGCGATGATGGCGGAGGCCGAGGACGCGGCGCAGCGATGAGGAAGGCTCCGGCGACGCGGCGCAGCGTGCGGACCTCCGACGACGGCAGTGCGTGCGGACGGACCCTCGACAACGATTCCCTTGCTTTCGTCTCCCCCCCCCTCCGCCTCGTCTTAGTCTCCCCCTCGCCTCGTCTTAGTCTCCCCCCTCATCTAGTCTTAGTCTCCCCCCTCATCTGGTCTCCCCCCTCATTTGGTCTCCCCCCCCACCTGCCTCGCCGTCCCTTTTCATCGTTCCAGTCTTCGTCCCATCGTTCCAATCTTCCTCCCATCGTTCCAGTCTTCCTCCCCTCGTTCCAGTCTTCCTCCCCTTGTTTCAGTCTTCCTCCCCTTGCTTCAGTATGCCTCCCTTCATCCGATCTCTTTACCGGAGTCCTCCGATCTCTTCATCGGAGTCCTCGCGAGCACACGATTAGATCGGTGTGCGAGCATACGATTCAATCGGTTTGCGAGAACGCGCTAGTCTCCCTTAGCAGCCGCTTGTGGAACAACGCGCGTGCGAATCGGTTCTCGAGGACACGACGCAATCCGTTCTCGAGGACACCGCGCAATCGGATCTCAGAGGACGCGGCGCAATCGGATCTCGAGTCCGAACGCGCGAGCTGGCGAAGAAGCAACGGGGTATCCGCATCGGCAATAATAAACACGCATCGGCAAGCATGAACACGCCTCAGTACTGGTACAAACCACCCCACCGCCAATCCAGTGTATAACACTCAGCCGCCACTCTAGTGTATAAGCGCCCACCCGCCAGTCGAATAAACAAGCACTTAGACTCAGCCGCCAGTTCACGGCTCCGACACCGAACAAGCGGCTCTGACTGCCTTCCGAGCTACGACGGAGGCCGCTTCCGAGCGACGACAAAGCCGTGATAGATCACCGTCGGCTACAGGAGTCAGGAGCACGTCTTCCCGTCTTGACAACCACCTCTCCATCAGTGAGTCGGCGACTCCTCTTCAATAGCGAGTCAGCTATCCAGGATCGGGCGCTTGCAGGTGTCCAAGAGTCGCGCGCCGCGCCACCTACCCGCCCGCCGTTCGCCCTCGGTGTCGTCGTCTGGTGCACCTACTCTCGTCGATCATGAAACCTCACGGCCCTCGAGCGCACGTGTACGCCCCGCAACGCCTTCACAGGCTGTCGACGAGGAGCTTCACAAGCTGGCAACACGAGGAGCTTCACAAGCTATCGACGAGGAGCGTGAGCAGGACACCCCTCGTCGGAGCGCTGCTCATCAGGCCATAATCGAGAACGACGTCCGCCCCGGTTGGCCTCAAGACGCTGTGCCTGCGCAAGTTTGATCAGCCCAGCTCGCGATCCGACGTGCGAGCCCGACTCACGCTTGGTACAGGTGCGCGCACAGCGCGGCAGACGCGGAAAACCGCGCCCCGCACCGCGCGCAGAGCGCATCGCCGCCGCTGAACGACGCAACGCCCGCGCGCGCGCGCGCCGCCCCCGTCTCCCAGGGCCCGAGCATCGCAAAGGGCCGCCCCCACCAGCGCGCGCCGAGCTTCAGCTACAGGAATGGGCACTGTCAGCAAAGAGAGAAGTGTGATAGGACCAACGCGCACCATGCCGCGCCACGTGTACGCGCGCCGCCGCCCGGCGCTGTCCTCGTCCGGGTAGTAGTACCACGGGTCGAGCGCGTCCATCGCGAGCGCGCTCGTCGCGTGCGGGTCCCGCCCGGCGAGCGCGACCATCCGACGCACCACGTCCGCGCACGCGACGAGCGCGACGCGCCCGCGCGGGTCCCACCCGCCCGCACCTCGGCGCAGGCCCAGCGGCACGTCCAGCGCGGGCTCGCACAGGATGTGCGGGTAGGTGAGCAGCGTGTCGGTGCCGCAGAGCGCGAAGACGGTCGTCGCGAGGCCGAGCGTCGCGCGCGCCGGGGCGGGCCCGCCCTGCGCGCGCATGATGTCCAGGAGGAGTTCCTCGCAGTGCGCGCGCCAGCGGTCGGCGAATGTGGGGGAGACTGCCTCGAGCGCGGCGCGTATAGCATCTGGGGAAGGCGGGGCGGCGGATAGCTGCTCGTACAGGCGCCTGACGACGGGCGCCTTAGCCATGTCCCCGGCGGTGGGCACCAGCGCGCGGAAGGGCTGCGCGCGGCGGAACTCGGCGTGTACGCTAGTCAGGCTCTCGTTGAGCGCCTCGATGGCGGCGACCCGTTCTCGCTCGAGGCGGGCAGCTTTGGCTTTTTTGATATGCGCGACAGCGATCCCGCGCAGCCTTGTCCACTCTGCGAAGACGGGGTGAGCGATATCCATGCGCGAGGAGAATCGTGCCGGTACGTACGCTTCTCAGAGAGAGGCTTCATGGTTCTCACGGCCTTGTTGCGCAAGAAGGAAGCACCGGACAGGACGTTCGGGTTTTTGGACACTTCCTCTTGCCAACCTTCTTCCTCCAGGTGTCTGAGGATCCTGGGAGGCAATCAGAGCGCCCACCAGGAACGGCACGAGCATCGGACGTACTCTGCCTTCCTGTACTGTTGTCTCTTGCGCTGATTTTGAAACTCCTCAGCCAGGCCGCGGATTCGCGCAGCATTGCAATAGTTCGTGAACTGGGAGTATCATTTCGGGTCATCAGTACAGAGATGGCAGCGTAGCGCACACACCTCGAGGTCAGACAGAAATTTGCGCCTCTTTGTTCTGAACCAATCAGCCGGTGGCGCGATGTTGGTCTGCGCGATGGCATCCAGCTCCTGCGCGTACTCATCTACCGTCGGCTTGCAGAACAGCGTCTCTCCTGGTGCGTAAGACGCAGCCTCAGCTGCGCAGATTTCCAATCACGCAAGAGCGACACACCTGACAATGCATCCTCTACATACGGGAGGATACCGGACCTCCCAGAGAGGCTGGGTAGTATCCGCTTCAGAGACGTCGGCAGGTTTCTGGAGGGCATGAAGCTGGGAAAGCGATTTGAGAGACGGCGGTGAGCGGTGGATTATGCGCCCCTACTGACCGGTTCCTGACGCACTTGCCGCATAAGCGCACGTGAGCAGCGTAGCAGGCCACAACGTGGCGCCTGCTGCCGCAGAACTACCTACCGGTCAGCAGGAGGAAAGCCATCGCCGAGTAGAACCGACCTGGCAATCGTAGCCAAACACGAGGTGCGCGAGTTGGACCTCGTTCATGTCCGTCGGGATATGAGAGGAGCCCGGCTTGATGTGCAGCGCGCTGCGCCACAGAGGGAGTGCCGTGGGGCGATAGAGGAGGACGCCGCGAAACGCGCGAGACAGCCTGGACATGCTGAGCAAGTCTTGAGGAGGAAGGCAAGCGAGAATCTGCGGAGGAGATGTCAGTGAGACGGTTGGGATCGATGCATTATAGGAGGGGAGCATTGGGAGGCGGTGTACCATGCTGATGATCTCCAGAGGCATCCTGAGTAGGTGGGATCGGCGCCTGCGCCGGGGCCGCTTGCGCACGCTCGACTTGAGATTCTGGCTCGCATCGTCGAGCACGCCGACGCTGGGCGGAGCGGACGTTTGTGGCGCGGTGGTGCGTCCAGGAAGAAGACACGCGACTTGGAAGGGTGCTCTGGCCATGATGGCGAACGATAAATTAGCAGGCGGCGAAGATGCGGCCTGTGGCCAGCGATGTGATTTGGGGAAGCTAGGTCACGCGCGGTCGTCACAGACTCAGCGACACCAGCCGAACGTACACTCCTCTTCCTGATTCTGACTTACTCCACGGGGCAGAGCCGGGCTCGATTGGGGAGGTGGGCGATGCTCCGGAGGACGACTCTGACATAACGAAGGACGATACCGGTGCTTTACTCTCCCATTCTTCCCATCGTCGTCCGTCTGCCTACCATTGTGGCATTGTCCATGCCCCCAAGGCGGCTCCACCATTTCACTCAAGCAGCTAGCGAGCGAGACCATGCTTCACGCATGCGCTGCTGCGTTCTGAACATGGTCGGCATGGATGGATGAAAGTCGTTTCAGTGCGCGAATCTAGCTCTCGGTATCACCTGACGGACATGACTATCGACCTCAGGCCGGTCCAGGTACAATGACTTCGCGTGTGAGCTCAGTTCAATCAGTACGTCAGACACCTTTTTCCCTCTTCGATGCGTTTCTGACTACATTTAGGCAGGTGTGTCCGTGTCGTTATATAGGGTCTGGTCGTTCGTATGACAGCGGGGTACGAGACAAAACCTCGAGATAAGATTTCTTGTAAACCGAGAAATGAAGTCGTGATCCGCCACGCAAGGCATCGATGTCCTTCGTTTGCCCCGTATCGGAATGTGATATGGATACTCACAGCCAGACGAACGCGAGCGACCTTTCCGACGTTCAGAAAATATCAAGCCTATGTCGCTTCGTGACGCACCGTATGTATCGGTCTCTGTCTCCGCGGCATCCTCCCTCATAGGTACTGTACATCAATGGGCCTCCTCCCCGTCCTCGCCACTCCAGCCTGCATGAGTACTTCTTGCAAGCGATCCGCGTAACCTGATCGATCTTCTGACGCCCTCCACATAATGCAATCCAGAAGCGTCGTACGGTTCCTTGCGCGTGTGTCGCGGTCGCAACCTAGCTCAAACAGAAACTCAGCAGACCGCTCGTGCTTGTGACAGACTGCGTGGTACAAGGGAGTTCGTCCTTCGATGTCTCGTGCTTCCACCTCCGCGCCGTGCTCGACAAGGACTTGGATGACATCGGAGTGCCCCCGCTCAGACGCACGATGGAGAGGGGTGTACAGGAAGCGATCGCGCGCATTGACGAGAGCACCTCGCTCCAGGAGGAGACGCGCAGCTTCGGGATGCCCTTCATGGGCAGCGAAGTACAGCGCAGTGCGGCTCTTTCCATCGCATGCCTCGATATGACTACCTTTCTCTAGAAGCAGAAGAACTATCTCGTGGTTCCCTCCTGCAGCGGCCCATCTCAAAAGCACGTCGAGCACTTCTTGTGTATCAGGGTTGGTAATTCGTTCGAAAAGGAGTTGCACGAGATCGAGGTTCCCATTCTGTGCCGCATAACGTATGGGGGCGATGCTGCTGCTATCGACATCCCCTGTGGACGCGCCTTGATCTAGGAGGAGGCGAACAATGCGTTCATGGCGGAACTCGGCAGCTATCGATATGGGTGTAAAGTCTCGGATATCTCTTCGGTCAACGTCGGCACCTCGCTGAAGAAGCTGGTCGACAACATCGACGCGGCCATATCGAGCCGCTATATGGAGGGCGGTCCGGTCGGAGCCCTCGGTGTCGTCGATCGGCGAGCCGTGGTCGAGGAGCGAGCGAACGACGTGTGCGTGACCGGATCTGGCCGCTTCATACAATGGTGTCTCGCCACAACGACCTCGTCCCGCTATGTCGCCGCCTCGATCCAAAAGCAGGCTGACAGAGGCGACGCTCCCCTTTTCCGCCGCACGATGGAGTGCCGTATGACCTAAACAATCACGATCATCCACATTGGCGCCGTGATCGAAAAGGACGCGAAGGATATCGACGTGTCCCCCCTCTGCGGCCAGCATCAACGGTGTCCGCTTGTTTACATCCCGCGCAGCCACGGTCGCACCATGTTCCAACAGGAGATGAACGACATTCAGGTGTCCAATGCTAGCTGCACGATGGAGGGGAGTTTGGTGGTGGCTTCTATAACCATCACGGGAGGTCGGATGGGCTATGACACCATTGACGGCAGCACGGTGCTCGAGCAGCAGGCGTATCATTCCCAGGGAACCAACGTCGGCTGCAACATCAAGAGCCGTGAAGATGGCGTTGTAGAATCTTGTGAGTTGCCCTCGGCTACGAGACAGTTGCTTAGAGAGTAGAACCTCGGAACGGATAAATGTGCCATTCAGAGAGTGGGAGGAGAAGGGATTGTTAGGATTGGCACCACTGCGAAGGAGATGTCTGGCCAATTCCTCGTGCCCAATCACGACGGTGACTAGTAAAGCAGGATCAAGGAACTCGCTGGCACCCTCTTTGGGTATGCTGTCCAGGGCGGCAAGAATGTCTTCTAGGAGAGTAGAGTCGAGACTAGCGTGAGCAGTCATCCTGAATATACAGGCCACCCACTGGTGCGGTAGATGTTTGTCACGTTTGATGGTGGCATCATTGGTGATGGCGACGAGGTACGCAAGACTCGTTCGCGCCATCAGGCAGTAAGCGTCATGGGGGGACATATAGAACGGCGAATCTGTGGGAATATTGCGCAGATAATCTCGAACAGAGGCATGGGCAAAGCGAACGTCGTTCTCGTTGTCTGTGGAGATGAACATCGAGTCGATGTGCGCTCTGATAGCTGAGACAGGCCGATCTGTCAGCCAGCGAGGTCTGTACGTTGGCATGCGTTGGCTGAAATCGAAAGCCAAGACACGCGCCAGATGCCGCGCGTCCAACCTTTCTTCCGAGAAGAGGATCCACGCGAGGAGTCGGCGAGAACGCTCGAAGCCCTCAGATTGGGAGTGCATTGCAGCGAGGCGTTCCGCGTATAGCTTCTCCAGCGATCTCGGAAGTTTCTCCGCTATCTCCTCGAGCATATAAGGACAGTTGGCGTATTTCCGAAGTTGCTGTATAACGAGTGATGCCCACCGCATGCTGAAAGTGTTAATTTCCATACAAAGAAAGGAATGAGATCTCGATCACTCACTTGCCGTTTGCGCCCTGCATTAGCCTCTTTCGTAGTGCGTCGGTATCCGAGTTGCCTGCCAACAACCCGCCCTCACCGAATTCGTGGTCGACAGCAGTACAGATATCAGTATTGGCTTTGATCGTGTCGATGACGACGGAAGTGCAGCAGAAATTCCTGTCGTTCAAATATGTATGCCGGGCGGATATCAATAAAAACACGCCTTGCCACGATAGGAGCTGCTCCAAGACAGAGACGATCTTGGCACTCTCCTCCTCGAGAGCCTCGTCCAGCGCGTCAACGACAATGTACACAAGTATGTCTGGATTGTTCCCCAGCATCCCGCACAAAGATTCCATCATGTCGCTGTGTGTAAAGCACATCCCAGAAGAGCGAGAGCAAGCCTTGGCGAGAGTCTTCGCGTAGCTGTGATCAGCGAGGGCGAGTTGACAGAGAAATGACGAGAGAAGCGAGTTGAGGTCTCTGCCCCGCGAGCTGTCCGTCGCATCGAAGAAATGAGAGAGGACGATATGTTTGGACCCGCGGGATGAGCAGTAAGCCCGAAGGTGACGAGTTGTAGCGGCACTACTCGTTGTCAGCAACCGATGGTGCTCTTGCGCATTCACAACTCACATGAGCGTACTCTTTCCGCAGCCAGCTGGCAACTGCGTGAGGCCGTGTAACACTATCAATGGCTCGGAAGAGGCTCACCTTGGCCTTGAATAGATAAAATCTTCGTTCTACATTGAATGAAGTCCGCAAAATCATGGCCTTCCAGAAACCACAGACCCGTCATCGATGCACGATTGTTGAGCAGGTTGCTCATTCTGCGGGAGGAATCTGCAGAGTGAAAATCAAGCCACTTTTTCATTCTCTCCACTTCCTCAGTGGCCACGAAGTCTGTAACCATTTCATACGCGCCCACCACAATCGCTTCATGGTGTCGCAAGGTTACTCTCCGCAAGCGCTGTAAAGCGTCGGAGAGCGGTCGTGCATCGATCAGAGCTTTCCAAACCCGACCTACTTGCACGATCAGTGACACAATTCGGGAAGGGCTGACCTAGCGTGTACCTGCGAATTTCTCCCGCACTACCTCTATGACAACTCCGAGGACGGCGATGATCTGGATCAACAACTCGACGGATGTGTCGTGCAGAAGCGTCCCTGGGAGTGCAGCGACAATTTCCACGACTTTCAGGTGCATCATGATCTCGTCGAACACATCGGTGATACGCAAGAGCTCCTCGTGAGCTCGAATGGTCGCCTGAATTCATGTCAGATCATCAATTCAACTCGTGCAACGCCAACAAGAGGACACACGCTAAGGACTAGTCCCACTGCCGCGAAGATGGCTTTGCTCGGAGGGAAGGCCTGCCGTCGAACGCGCTGCTAAAATTCCAGTATCAAAGGCAGGTAAATCAGGCTCACCGTCGAACCAAGACCTTCACCTATAGGGATGCAGAGCTTCTCCAAGATGCGTGCGAACGAGATGAACTTGTCGCGGATGCAGCTCCATCGGCCGGTCGAGAGCAATCCTTGTACCTCACCCTCCATCTTCGCAATAAACATCACCAGGGCTTCCTTCGAGTCGAGAGGCACAGCGTCGGGGGCTGTCAGGTCAAGGCCCGTCTTCCGCTGCCACTCCACCACTGCCTCATTCCACATCTCGGTCAAAGGGTCGGCGGTGGACACATCGGGAACGTCGACGGATGCGCTCGAGGTGTTGATAGGCGCGTGCGAGACGTCAGTTGAGGATGCGATAACTTCCAAGGCGGGCGGTGGAATGAGCGAGCCAGTAGGAGGATTGGGGCTTGCACCATCCGTGGACGGCCCGGGTGATGGCGGCGCCTGAAGCGCGTCCGACGCAGGTCCGGGTTCGGGCAAGCACGGGATGTGCGAAGAGCCGCGCGATGAGGGAGAGAGCGCCCGCGACAGACGGCGGTATAGGTGCGAGATCGATACTCGCTCACGCAGCCCAGGGCGTTTGCCAGGCGATGGTGAGGTAGAAGGAGAGGTCGCGACAGTGGACGCTGGCGAACGAAGATGAGGCTGAGGGCCATCCAATTCGTCGCCAGCCGCCGTGGTCGACGAGGCGATCGCAGAGCTTGCGACAGGCGCCGATGACGAAGCACGGCCTCCCGCGAAGTAGCAGAAGATCCACGAGGGTAAAAGGCGATCGCGCAGGGGACGATGCCCCGCAGACGAGGTAGGAGAATCAGACATTGCGACTGAAGGACCCACGTTCAGTATCGACGATGAAGGTCAGAAAGAAGGAGAGGATCGCCCACCTGGTGTACGCCAGCTCGCCGGCCTCGTGCCAGCACAGCATCTCGAGAAGGACGATGGGCAATACAACATCAGGTCGCACGCATAGCACCCATCGATAAGCGCCGAGGGAAGGATCCCTGCGCCGTACGTCCCTGCTCCGAAGCCTTGACTGGGTCGGAAGATACGCGAGGCGCGTCTGCATCGACCCGCCTGCCCGGCATGATATGCTAGGTAGCGCCGCAGGGAACTTGTAGCAGTCGATAGCGCAGCCCCTAGCAGTGCTCGTACTTCGTCATACCTGTGTGCATTAATGAAGGCCCAGGAAGGGAAACCATATGCCGAGTCGACATTAGTTACCTCCTCACCATGGACAAGTTCATGCCGAGAATAAAAGCAAAGAAACGAGATTTTCATTTGCGTTACCTAAGATATAGTATACACGCCCAACCTCGAGAGCCTGAGGCGCTGGGGACCATCTGCGAATGAGGCCCACGTATGTGTGACGGCGCGCATTCGAACACGAAAGTCGGCGCCGCTGATACTGTCGGCAACAGACGGTCGACACCTTGAGGCGCATCGATAAACATCTCAACGATGTTACGTACAGAGACCTGACGCGAAGGAGTCAGCCGCTGAATCTTCGAAGATACTCGGGTCACCCCTCGACGATGTTGCCGCCGCCAGCACTAGCTTAGACTGCCCACGATGGTCGAGGGTAACGTTCTCTGGCTCTAGGAAAGCCGAGGGTGTTCTGCACGAGGCGTATTATGGACGAGGATTCGTGTAGTTGATGATACCAAGGTGATGTCCTCGTCCGGCTCGTCCTGAGAGCATAGTGAGCGCTTAGAAAGACTACTTTACTGGCACCAACCACAAGAAGGAGAGAGTATTGAAAGCAACCATCGCAAGGTGTGGAGACTAAGAATGGCGTGAGACACCGCGAGCGATATATGGCGAACCTTGGGCGAGCGCTTGATGAGTACTCGCGTGATTGACTGTTGGGCCGAGCATATGCTCGCGTACCGGACCAGGCGTATGCTCGCGTATGAACCAGGCGTATGCTCGCATATGAACCAGGCGTATGCTCGCGTGTCTGGCTGGGCAACCTGTGAGCGTGCGGAAATTTGGCAAGCAAAAGGAATAACAGATACCTAGTCCATAGACGGCATCCGCGTGTGATCGTCTCAAGCGCGCCCGACCGACGACGTTGTCGTCGATGAGCAATCATTTCTGTCATGTCCGCCAAGTATGCGAAGCTCCCCAGACCAGCGTATATCGCAAGATACGCAAGTCAGGTTCGACAGTCAAATCTTCTTTCATACATTGTTGTTCCCACGATTCTGGCCGTATTCCCGAAGTTGGCGAGGACGACAACGCTCACCGCGCGGGCTGAGACTCCGCATGAAGCTCTGGGATGTCCTTCTTGAGCTCAGTGAGGTCCAAGCGCGGGCGAGGGCGCGTCGGATGCGGTGGGTGATGGACCTGAAGTGACGTTGAATTTCGAGGACGACGTTCCAAATTTCCGTTCATTGGGCGAGGGATTGGTTCTAGATATGAGATGAGAGGATAAGAAGCCTTCTAGCGCTGCATGAAAACCATCAGAATGCGTAGCGAGGGGAAGGGCGAGGAAGACGTACCTGTAGGTCCAGCACCGATGATCGCTCGCCTCCTCCGCTTTGTGTGAACGTTCCGCGGGTCTTGTGCTTCTGTTTGGAAGAGCCGCAATCGAAGAGGGTCAGACATGACCGTCGGGGAACTTCGCAAAGTCAGTCATCGGATGGTCGAGAGGGAATGGCGCCTCACCGCCTTACGCGATGATCAAGCAACGCGAACGCGGACGAGAATGCGGAGGACATGCCAAATGCGCCACTGAGGTCTTATCAGCAGGTGTTGTAGCCATATAGAGATGACGAGGGGAAGGGAAGCTCGCGAGAGTCCCGCATATCGAGGCAGGAACGGTATTGCTCGCCTGGAAGTCTTGTATGCATGAGGGTGCTTTAGAGAGTGTGTTGCTCCTTCTGTCATGTTTCTGCGTAGGCAATGACCACTTCACTCGAGAGGTTACCCCCCTCAGGCGAAACATTGCGAGAGGTAATCTGTCCGAACGTCAGCGATTGCGCGCACGAACAGCAGGCCACGACGCACCGTCCCGATTACCAGGAGCGCTCAGCACTCATCACAGGGACAGTCAACCGGCCTCTTACGCTTCCCCTTGCTATTTGTGCCAATACGAAGGTACTGACTGTAGGCGTTCTTGTCATTCCATCCTGCCTCCGCAGGAGCGGTCATTTCGTCGGTCGCGCCAAAAGCCAGCCATAGATCAGAATCATGCCTCCCAGAGATAAAAAACGTTTATATTCGTCGAGAAAATATAACAAAAGGAAGACGTAGAGTCGAAGATGGCCGACGACGTGATGGTCGAGAAGAAGAATAATGGATAATCCAAATCGGGATCAACACGCGCAATCGGACCGGGGATGCCGGGCCTCCTCTTGCCTCCGCCCATTATCCTCGCGACGCGTCGACGCGTCGATTCTCCCCTCATGATCTTGCCTGAGCCGTGCTTTTGGGCGTCTGTGATCTTCTGAATGCGCCCAACTTAGCCGTCCGTAGACTGCCTGGACCTCTTGTCTCAACGCAACGACGATGGCGGCCTTGGAGGACGAGATCGGTGCTTTCCAGCCCGAGCACTCTTCCGTCCTCCGTCCGTCCCTCGTCCACTCACTACCACTTGTGCCGTCGCCTGCTGCCATCAGCCCAAATCCGAACGCCACCTGCGCATCTTCCCGAGTAACCCCCTACAACCTGCTTCCCCTTCCCCCTGGTCAAATGCCCCCTCACCTCCCTCTCCAAACGTCGCTTCATCGCATCCACTCCCAATTCCACGTGCCCCTAGTTCAATCTGGCCGCGCGTCAGATTCTTCCCATACCCACTCCCTTCGCCCTCCCTTCCCCCACCCTTTCTTCATCCTCTTCCCTCCCTTCCTTCCTCATCCACCTTCCCAAACCCAACTAATACTCGAATGTGAGACGTATAAAGGAGCGCAGCGAAGCGTATGCTTTTGAGGGCGCAAGGGAGGACGGAGGCTGTGAACGCTTGCGGAGGTGCGACGAGCGACGTACGCTTGCGGAGGTGCGACGAGCGACGTACGCTTGCGAGGAGCGAGGAAGGCGCGGCACTCGGAGCGGGGAGAGTGTTTTTGAACGGTGCGCGAGGGCGGGGAGGAGAGAGTGGCGAAAGGGGGGGCGCGAGGGGAAGAAAGAGGACGACGAGTGGGAGGGGAAGAGGGGGCGCGAGGGGTGTAGAGGCTCGTGCGCGATGCCGTGGGGTGCGGCTGAGAGGGATGTAGAAGGCCACAAAAGCGAGGGACGAAGAGGTGAGGGTCGTTGCGGCGAATGTAGAGGAGAGGAGGCGCAGGCGCAGACGGAGGTGAAGGCGCGGCGTGGGCCGACTCGGAGAGAGGGTTTCAACAGAAACCACGGGTGGGGTTGAGTATGAGAGGGTCTCAGGTGAGAAGGTGCGTGGTGCGTGGGAAGATGGAATGGATGCGTGGAGAGAAAGACGCGAGGGATGCGACGAAGGGGTCCGGGGTGAGGCGAAGAAGCGGGGGATGGGTGAGAGAAGGGAGGATGGATGGTGGTGCGCAGGGGAAGAGGAGGGGTTGGGGCGGGAGAACCGTGGAAGGAAGGGGGAACGAGTACGAGTCGAGTGCAGGAGAGAAGTGGGACTGGATGCGCATCACGAAGGAGATCCATTGCGTGTTCGCGTAGGTGCGGTAAAGGGGGTACGAGGGCGAGGGGGCGGGGCGAGGAAGTGAGAGGTCGAAGGACGGAACGCGCAATTTTGGATGCGCCAAGTGAGCACCGACATGGCAAAAGAAGAGGGCAAATACTGTAGGAAGGCATACCCGTCCCCAGGCTGCGGTGGGCCGGTCTAGGAGGCGAAGATGGACGGCGACGTATGAATGCGATATACCGGTACGCTCTATGCATCATCCGTGATTGTAGGCTCTGACGAGTATCTACAGTGTATGATTCATTAGCAAGACGAGATGAACAAACAAATCTGTACATGCAGACTTGCTCGTGCTTCTTCAGTAGCGAGCGGAGAGACAATCCAAGCAGTCCACTGCCTTATCTCATCAAACCCTCCCTCTTGAGATCCTTCCATCGGCAGCGACGCATCTTCCGCGTGAAATTCGCTACCAGTCATCGGTTCTCTCACAGTGACTGATGGGTGTATAACTGGTGAGTAACTCGTCATGCAAAAAAAATTGTTCAGCGGCGTACCTCACGAACTCGCGGCTCTGGCGCTCTCCGGCGATACCCCTTTAATCAACGGTACTCTTCCCGTCTCCTCTGTGCACCCCGCTCGCTTGAGCAATTCGCGGACGCGCGTACGTCGCTCAGTGTCTTCTGACAATGATGGACTCCGACCCACGGCGTCCAGTAGGGTCGTCTCGTCATCGGCGCGTGTTCGCAAGTCACTGCCTAGGCTCAGCAGAAGCGCTGTAGCGCTTTCTTGGCAGTCCCATACGGCAAGGTATAACGGTGTCCATCCAGACATGCTACGGGCTTCGAGCGCGGCACCTCGGTCAACGAGAAGCTTGGCAATCTCGGCATGACCCTTCTGCGCGGCATCATGCAGAGGTGTGTGGTGGTGTACGTCCGTCGCGTTGACATCCGCACCTCGCTCGAGGAGCATGCTGACAATGATGAGATGGCCGTGCCAGGCCGCGAAGTGCAAGGAAGTCCGGCCGCCCTGATCGCAATTGTCGACGCAGGCCCCCTTTTCGAGGAGCAACCGAACGACGTTATCCTGACCTTGCGTGGCTGCTAAGAAGAGCGGCGTGGCCTGCTGCTCGTATCGCGCGTCGACAGATGCACCATGCGCCAGAAGCAGACTGACGATGCCGAGGTGTCCCCCTTGAGCTGCGTAGTGAAGTGAGGTCCAGCGCTTCTCGAAGTAGTCCTCGACGCAGGCACCCTTGTCGAGGAGCAGATGAACAACGTCCTCTCGACCGTGTGCAGCCGCTATTGTCAGTGGTGTGCTTTGCTTGTTCGTTCGCGCGCTAACGGATGCACCGTGCTCCAGGAGCAAGCGCGAAATACCAAGATGTCCCCCTTTAGCCGCGTGGTGCAAGACAGCCGAGCCATCATCGGCGCAATCCTCGGCGCACGCCCCCTTTTCGAGGAGCAACCGAACGACGTTCTCCCGACCTTGCGAGGCTGCTACCAACAGCGGCGTAGCCTGCTGCTCGTTTCGCGCGTCGACAGATGCACCATGCTCCAGAAGCAGACTGGCGATGCCGAGGTGTCCCCCGTAAGATGCAATGTGAAGTGAGGTCCAGCTCTCCTCATCGCAGTCCTCGACGCAGGCCCTCTTGTCAAGGAGCAAACGAACGGCGTCCTCTCGACCGTGATTAGCTGCTACCAGCAGCGGCGTGTACTGCTTATCGGTTCTCGCGGAAATGGAGGCGTTCCGCACAAGGAGCAGAGTGACAATGTCGAGATGTCCTTCCTGAGCTGCTAGGTGTAGTGAGGTCCAGCTGTGCTCGTTGCAGTCCTCAATATGTGCCCCTTGGTCAAGGAGCAAGCGAGTAACATCCTCTGTAGCATAATAAGCTGCCATCATCAGGGGGGTGAACTGTTCGGCGTCTCGCGCAGTCACCGCAGCACCTCGATGGAGGAGTAGGCTAGCAACACCGAGGTGGCCACGTAAAGCGGCTATATGAAGAGGCGTCTGACCATCGATGTTTGTACACTCGACCTTGACTCCGCCGTCATCAATAAGCGCTGCAACCAGTTGGTGGTGGCCGATTATAGCAGCAACTAGGAGCGATTGGTTGAGCACAGCTGTCCCAATGGGGTGCACGGCTACCTTGCTAATCACTGGAGCTACTTCCTTCGAGAGATCGTTGTAGAATTTGCTGCCTGCCTTTTGCACGTAGCAGACCCACGTGTAGGTGAGAGGGGAGTTGGGATCAAGGAAGGCTATTTGATCGATGGCAGAAAGGTATGCGAGGACGGTACGAGCCATCAGGGCGTAATCTGTGTGTTTGCAGACGTAGAACGGTGAATCAGGTGCGAGGCCGAGAAGGAAGTCGCGAACAGAGGCATGCGCAAGCCGCACAGTACCCCCGTCGACAGAGACAAGCATCGAGCCGACCATGCTGATCACGGCTTCGGGCACGGGGCGATGCGACGGGCAGTAGATAGGTGTGTCATTAGAGTAATCGAAAGCCATGATCTCCGCAAAGTCGTGCAGTGATAGAGGCACCTCCGAGCGAACAAGCCATAATAGCAGGCGGCGGACATCATCGCGAGCATCATGATGAATAGAATCTAAGCGCTGCTGATATAGTGCTCGCAATGATGATGGTAGAGATCGTAAGCGGCGGAGTACCATCGTTGGAATTCCAGACACTTCCTTGAGTTCCTGAGTGACGAGCGCTGCCCATCGGAAACTAGCGTAATTCATCAGTTTTAGTGCAATCCATCCGTTCAGGAGTCCTATAACTCACTTTCCCTCAGCCCCCGCCAGCAGTTTTGCCCGCATGTCCTTGCGGTCCGACTGCATTTTTCCGAGATTGCTTCCCTGAGCCATGGCGAGATCCAGAAATAATCCAATGTCATTATTTTTGACATGATTATCCATGGAGATCACGACACCAAAGATCGGGGTCGATCCGATGACGGGACGGCGAGAAGCAAGCACTATTATGGCCGACATTGCCTCAAGTCGTCGGATAAAGGAGACAATGTCTTCCTCGTCACTGGATTCGTCCAGGGCATCAACGACAACAGTGATGTGCAGCGACGTAGCTCGAAGAGTCTCCATCAACAATCCCTCCATCCGAGTCTTCGTAGGCAGTCCATTGGCTACAATTTTCTTGTGAGCCTCCGAGATTATGGACGCGCAGTGAGTGTTGTTGAGTGCGAGCTGACAGAGCAGTGTCGATAGCAGTGCATGCAGGTCCCGCTGACCAGAGGTCGCGTTTGTGGAGTCGAAGACGTGGACGAGGACGAGTGAGTGAGGGTCACAAGCGTGGTAGGCACGCAGCGCTTCGACGGCGGCAGCGCTTGCACGGTAAGCGTCAGAAGATTGGTGATTTTTAATTTGTGTCGTGTAACGTACATGATTGTGCTTTTCCCGCTGCCAGCTGACAATATATCAGTCAATGCACAAAGCTATAGCAAAGAACCAGACCTTTTCCGCTGAGAAGTACGGCCTTGGTTTTACCCTCCTTCAGCGCGGCAAACTCATCGCCGTCAAGGAACCATGAGCCGGTCCCTTCCGCACGGTCGTCCAGTAGCTTTCTCAGCCTGTAAGATGGATCTACGTATTTGAGCCATCCCTTAATTTGTTCGCACTCCGCGGACACTAGGTACAATTTCATGCCCCGCGCGCGCAGTAATCGAGCGGAATAACGCACTATCAATTTTTCTCAGCTTTTCCGACTGATCGTACAGCACCAACTCCATGCGCCGGAGAGCGGTGCGATGGGCATTGACTTCTGCCTGCGTCGATGAACCAAGATCTGGCGTACATAGTGAGCTCATGCGGCAAGGGCGGCGACAGCAGCATACCATGACTTTCCCGAATGGCTCGCAGTACGTCGACGAGACACCCGCATATCCATTCCTGGCTAACTTTGTCACCTAGAAGAGTTCAGTCAATTTTCATACAATAATCAGTGCATCGCGAGACGTACTGGCGATGCTCTCCATTAACTGCGTCACTTTGTTGAGAGTGACCGCAGCCACCATTTGTTGTTGATTGGTGGCAAGCATGCGTAAGTTCTGCAGGGCTTCGGACAGTGGCCGCGTCTGGCTCGAGATTCGACTGAGCCATTGCCCTATCGCGCATGGTAAGCACAGCCTCGAGATAAGGAAGAGGAAGGGGCTTGCGTAGATATCCTTCGCGTCGCATTTCTGCGATGACTCCAAGGACAGAGAGGACCTTGATGAGGAGCAGGACGCATGCGGTACGCAGTACGTCACAGGGATGCGAGTCTGCAACAGTCTCGACGACTTGCAGATGGAATCGCATCTCATGGAAAGCATCACCGATCTGAGCGAAGTCCTCGCGTGTTCTAGTGTACGCCTGGATGTCCGATTAGTCGCAGCGCAGGACGGTAGGTCGCCGGCACCGCTCACGCTGACGATCAATCCGACGGCCGCGAAGATGATATTGCTCGGTGGGAAGGCCTGAGGAGAACAAGCGTCATGATGAAGTCCAACGGTATCTCAGACGAGAACGAACCGCCGAGATCGTATCCCCGATCGGGTTGCATAATTTCTCAAGGATGTGCGCCAGCGGGTCGACGCGCTCGCGCAGCGTCTCCCACTCGCCTTTCTCGAATCCATTCTCCTCCTCCATCTTCGCGATGTAATTCATCACGGCTTCCTTAGAGCGGAGAGGGATGGCGTCGGGAACAGCCAGGTCGAGGCCCGTCTTCAGCTGCCACTCTCCCACCGCCTCCGCCCACATCTCGGCCATAGGGTCGGCGACATCGATGCATGCGGTCGATGTGTGGATAATCGCGTCCTCGGCGTCCGTCGAAGGCGCGGTCACTTCCAAGGTCGTGGCGGTGGGCGATGGGAGCGAATTGGGAGGAGGACCGGGGTCCATATCATCCGTGGATGACGATGGCGGCAGCTGAAGCGCGTCCGGAACGACTTCGGGAACGGCAGAGCGCGTGGGGATGCGCTGTGAGCCGCGCGACGAGGGAGCGAGCACCCGCGACAGACGGCGGTATAGTTGTAAGATCGATAGTCGCTCGCGCAGCCCTGGGCGTTTGCCGGGCGACGGCGAGGCAGAAGGAGAGGTCACGAGAGTGGACGCTGGCGAACAAAGATGAGGCTGACGGCCACCCGAGTCGCCGCCAGGCGCCGTGTTCGACGAGGCGATCGCAGAGCTTGCGACAGGCGCCGATGACGAAGCGCGGCCTCGCGAGAAGTAGTTGATGATCCACGAGGGTAGAAACCGATCACGCGGAGGACGACCCCCCGCGTACGACTGCAGCGAGATCGAGGGATCAGGCATGGCGGCTGCAGGGTCCACGTTCGGTATTCTGGGCGTCTGTCGCAGTGTCGACGATGGCGGTCAGAAGGAAGAAGACAAGCTCCCACCTGGTGTACAACAGCACGTCACCCGCGTGACCGTACAGCTTCTTGAGACGGTCGAGGGGAATACAACATCAACTCGCACGCATAGCTGGCATCGATAAGCGCCGACGGAAGTATTCCTGCGCCGATCCCTCTTCTCAAGCCTTGACAGACGCCGAGCGCGGCAAGGGCTCCGCAATTCACGGTCTCGCCGCGACGACGCGTTGAGTCGTGCGCCTCGCTTTCCGTGTCGCGCCCAGGGAATCCGAAGGAGCAATACGCGGGCTAGCGCCTAGCTGCGCTCGTGGCAAGTAGTACTTGCGGACATCGAGATAAGCCCAGAGAGAGGTTACTCGCCGATGTTGATGGCTTCGTCGCCTGCGAAACTCGAGCCAATTCGCTTTTACGTTGGGGCAGAGCGATACATTGCTGAAAACGAGGACCCAGTTTCCATTCTGATCTGAGATACAGTGTACACGTACGGCGTCCAAAGATCGTTGCGCTATGGCACACGCGCAAGTGAGGGCTGACGTATGTGTGCTGAGTAGGTCCAACGGCACGGACAGATGCGCATGTTGGAACGGCCGCGAGGGCGCTGTCGATGCTGCTGGTAGATGATGGTCGTCGCATCCATTCGTTTGAGTGATTGGTACCTCTGTACGCTGCTCGCATACCCAGGCCGTGCTGCAGAAAAGTCAGTCGCTGCATCCATGACATTATGAAAGGATTGATGCCGTCGTTGTCGAAGTTGCCGAAAGCATAAGCGTTGCTCACCAGAGCTAAGCCTTGGGGGACAATTCGGAGATATATATCTCCAGCGCAGAGAGGTGAAAGCGCGGGCGAGAACGCGCTGCATGAGGTGTGTAGTGGACTTGAAGGATGGGCCTGTTTCGACGGTGAATGAGGTCGAATTCCCGCCTGCTGACCGAGCGGCGACGCCTGAAGCTAGAGCAACGACTGGAGATAGAGCGAGAGCTAGAAAGACATCGGAGACATACATTAAGCGCGTGAAAAGGTGGGGGGAGTGAGAAAGATGAAGAATATGTACCTGAATCTGGAACAGTAGTGAGCATCCTTCCGCGATCCCTGCTTCGAGTGTCATGTCGAGTAGCTCCGCCGTTGTATCGATCAGAGTCGCCCACGAGTAGATAACCTCGTTATGTAGGGCTGTACGAGGTCAGAGCGCAGAGCAATCGAGAGGGGAAAGACCGCTAGTCGCTTCACGCGCTATAGAGCCAGAAGGTAGAGCACGAGACCTGCTCTGATGATTCCAAAGGACCCGAAGGGATATGGACTGATCTCATGCCTGAGATATGCGGTGTTCAGATATAGGTTGAGAGAGGAGGTGCTGTGTGGCGAAGCCTGACAGGCATCGCAAGGGGGGCTGAAGAAAAGAGAGATATGGCACGGGGGAGTTTCCATTGTGATAGTTACAGCATAGCTAGCTTGCTCCGGGTGGTACTGACGGGAGGAAACGACTTCGATAGAGTGGTCAGAACTTGGTGGTGCATAACAAGAGGCGAGGGAACAAAGGGAAATCCCACCATCCGCATCCGGGAATATGTGGCGTCTACTTCTCCCTGTTCCACCAACAATCAACCCGCTCTGCACCAGACGAACGTCATGTCTCACCGCGCACGATTCACGGCAGCACTGTGCTCTCCTCACGATATGGCTATCGCGATGACATGGGGGGCGAATCAGACATGCGAAGGTGTCTTCAGACCACCGGATTCCCCCTAACCCTCTTCTCGACGACCTCACAACACGGGCGACGAGAATCTGAGCCGCCATCGATAATCTCTCTCCACCTCCCTGTCTGAGATATGGCTACTGCGCGCAACATCCCCACCGCGTTTCCCGAGCTAGATTACGGAGAACCTCCGAGGGATAAGGAGCCGCGAAGGAGTCGTAGCCGCAGTCTGCGCTCTGTCGCGAACTTGGTGCGTCCCGTGCTCCGTCGCTTCCAATGCTTCTCTGACATGGCTTCGTAGGTACTTGGCAAGCAGGCGACGAAGGCCTCGCCCAACGAGACCAACTCACCTGCCTCAACAACCCGTTGGCCCTCGATCTCGGCCCTTCGCCGCTCGCAGAAGAATGCACTACCTCCCCCTTCGGAAGTTACCACTACCTCTGCAGGCAATGGGAGCGCGAACGCGGAACTGTACACTCGCGATCGACGCTCTGCCGACATACCCAGGCGCCGCTTCTCCCTATCTCGCCCCATCCGACTCAGCCTGAACTTGGCGAGACCGACGAAGCGCGGCGCTCCCGAAGTAGAGTCTTTGATATCGGAGGTGCGTGTAACGTCCTACATCGATGCCTTGGGCGTCCTACACCAAGGAGTACGTTGGTTGACCACCCCGCAGGTCGCGCCGAGCGGACACGACGAAGGACGTCAGGACACCGATGCATACACCCACTCGCACGAACTCCGCCGCCGCCTCGAAGAACTCGAGGCAGATGGGGCGTCGACACAGGTGCTGGCTGGTGATGCGTCGTCGCGTGCAGCTGGCAGTGTCGAACTGTCGCTGCTCGAGGGCGACGGCGGCGAAGCGTCCTTGCTCGAGTCCGACGGAGGCGAAGCGTCCTCGCACGAGGTCGACGGCGGCGAAGCGTCTTCGCTCGAATTTGATGGAGATGGCCCTTCGCTGCTCGAACTCGACGGCGTCGAACCGTCGCTGCTCGAGCTGGACGCGGCGCCGAGCCAGCTTGAGGTCGAAGTCAGCTCGTCTGAGGTTGAGGGCGATATCGACTCAGTGCATGATGCGACCGGCCCCTCGCTCGTAGAAGCCCAGGATTCCCTCCTCAACATCGACGCCGCAGTCCTTGACATCGACGCCGCAGCTCCCGGCACCGACGCCGTGGTCTACGCAGCCGACGGCAAGCCTTCGCACGCATCGGCCTTCGAAGACGATATCGAGCAGGTCGGCAGCGCGAAGGGGCGATCGACCAGCCCGCACGTCGCCTTCGCCGAGGATGTCGTCGAGTATGGACCCGGCCTCCCGGAACTCGTTCATTCATGCTACAAGGACGGCGACTTTACCGACGTCTACGCCGACATCGACGAAGAAGCTTATCACGCCGGCGAGGACGGCTACCCCGGCGACGAGGACGGCTACCACGGCGACGACGAGCTGCTCTACAGCTCGGACGACGAGGATTTTTACGCGTACCCATCGAATGCCATCTTCGACGTGTCGAGCCATACGCCGAGCCCCGCTTCGGCAGATGCGTTGAACCACATTTCGACGTCTGCGCTCGCGTATGCGCCCACTCTTGAAGCCCCTGCTACCAACATTACAGCTGTGATGTCATTGACTTCCCGCCCAGTGGCGATCCCGTTCACTTCCCGCCCAGTGGCGATCCCATTCACCTCCCGCCCGGCTGCGATCCCATTCACCTCCCGCGCGCCTGCAGCCATTCTGCCTCCCGCCGCGCCTCCCGTCCCCGACGACGCGTACGAGACCCACACGCCGCAGTACGCGGCCTTCTTCTCCGAGTCGCCCTCTTCGTACGATGTCGCGATGGACTTCTTGCCGCTGAGCGATCTGGAGGGGACGCCGGTGGATGAGGCGGGGGCGTCGTTCGGGGAGAGCGCGTTATCCTGTGAGAGTGCGTTATTCGGTGAGAGCGCGGTGGACGGTAGCGACAGCGAGGGGCAGGCGGACCTTATCTTCCCCGACGAGGCGTCTTTCCCAGTGATCTATGAGACGCGAGAGGCGCGCAAGGAGGGCGGACAAGCGTGGGAGGAGGGAGAAATGACCCTCTGGAGCAGTGAGTTGTCGCTGGCGCCGTCGTTGGAGACGCCCTCGGACCCCGTGCTGGGGCCGTTGTTGAGCGAAGAGCGAGGGGTTTGGCGAGACGATGAAGCCACGCCGCTCCCGCCATTCCGGATGGATCGTCTGCCGTGGCTTGAGGAGTCGGACGAGGAAGAGTCACCGCTGTCGCCGATGGACGGGCAGGACTCGCTGCTTTCGCCGCCGAGCTTGTTGGGGGCAGAGCTGCCTATCCTCATGGCGGATTCGCTGCCTCTCGCAGCAGACAACGAAGAGGTCGATGGGGAAAGCAAGGACTCCGTGGCGGGTGGCGACGCGGACGAAAATGCCGACTTCGCGCTCTTCCCAACCGACCCTCGATCCCTCCCCTACCTCCTCCGTCTATCCGCCGAGTACGACGGGACGCCCGCATCTGAGCTCAATGGGTCGCCGTTCCCTTCGCCCATCCCTAGGACGCCTTTTGACGAGAACGTCCTCCCGTTCGCGAGTCTGTCGGCGCAGGAGATTGCCACTGGACATCAGCTGGTGCGGCGTGGGAGGGAGGGGGTTGTAGCGAGGAGGGTGATGGTCGAGCGTCAGCCGTCTCAAGCCCTGGTCGATACTACGGCGCAGGCCGAGAATACGACGCAGGTCGAGAGCATGGCGCAGATCGATCCCACGTTGCAGATTGACTTCACCGCGAGTTCGCCTCTGGATGCCTTTCTCCCTCAGGTCCACACACCTGCCTTCGCGCCTGAGCTCCTTGATCTCTTTCCTCCGCCTTCACCCCATATGGAGATGTCGGGTGGCATGCAGTTCTCGGAGAGCCGCGCATTGGTGCGTCGGCCGACGGAGGGCGACATGGCGGTGGTGAGGGCTGAGTCTTGTTGTAAGTCCTCTCCTATTTTCGTTCGCCATCTTGAGGCTGATGTCCTGGTAGCCAACTCCCTCTCCTCGATGACAGCCGAGCCCATCTCGTTCTCGACGATCCTCGAGAAGGCGTACGCATCGCCCTCGTCGGCGGGACTGCCTATCGATCGCCCCCGCCGGCCCACACTCACGGCGATGCAGTCGGCTCTTTTACCGCGGGTGGAGCCGTTGGTTCTGGACGTCCGGGATGCGAACAATATGGTGATGCCCTCCCCGTTCTTTTCTGTTCAGGGGGAACGTCGCCCGACGACATTGAACCAGTCGGCAGAGGTTGTCAATCGCTTCCCTGCGGATATGGTTCTCCATCAACCAATCGCGGCGCTCGCGCTTGATACGCCGCAGTTGGCGATGCTATACTCGCCGTTGGATACTGCGGTGTTGTACTCGCCATCTCCGCTGGGCACGGTCCCTTCGCCCTCTTACTTTGCCTCGCTTCGCTACCCGCTGGGTGCGGCGACTTCGCCCTTCGCCTCGCCGCTAGGCTCGATCGCTACGGACGTCGACCCCTTTGAACTCGCGGTAGCGGTGAGGGCGCCGAGAACGGTGGCGGTCATGATTAGGGATACCGCGCTGGAAGGCAGTGGTGAGTAAGGTCAGGATCGTCGGCCATCTCTGTGCTCATGCTCTTACAGATAGCGCGGCAGGCATAGAGCAGACCCCTCTACCTTTCACTGCTTTCCTTCCCGACGACTACGTGCTTCCGGAGGACGTCGACGAGGAACCGCTACCGTTCCCCGGTTTGCCCTCGTGGGAGCTTGCGGTACAGATGCAGGCGCATTACATCGAACCCAAGCTACCCCGGGCGTTGGAGGCGATGCTAGGTGATGACGATTCGGCCGACGGGGCTCATGCACTGGCTGCATCATCTCCTCCGTCTTATACGCTTCCTTCGGTTCCCTCGACACTTGAGGCGATGGTCTTGGGCACGGCGAAGGCGAGCTTGGTCTCCGTGCAGCCGCGCTCGTTGGTTTCGAACCTGATCGGACTCGGGAGCGGTGGAGGCATCTCGCCTGCGGTGGCACCCAAGTCTGTGAACTCGCAAGGGACAGATGTGGACCTTGCGGAAAAGCTCGCGGTTGACGCGCACGACATCGTATTCATTGACGCCGAGAGCGAGGACCCGCTCGCACCGTCGACAAGTGCGGCACACAGCGCAGATCCAGCCATAAAGCTAGACGGGCCTCTACATGAGACGAAGGGTTCACAGGGCAAGCAAGCCGCGTCGCCGCTGGGCGAATTGCCTCTGCCCGACATGGACTTTGCGTCGACGATGGTGTCGGCGGTGGAGGGGTTGTGGAATGGGGCTTGATGGGTACAGGACTCGTTTTTCTCCTTTGATCTATGTACGCTATGGTAAACATTTGTTGGCAATGGACAGGTAAAAGCTACGAAGCGGTCCTCTAGGAGAGCTGGAGCGTAGACGAGCGATCTCCTTGTGGCGCACAACTGCAAGTCTGCTTCGGTTCCATTGCGGTTGGCTTGCCTATTACTATTCCTTGCACGGAAGTGTCGTACACTTCTGACTTCCCTTTTGTATAATCAAGGAGCAGGTTCGTCGCGTACGGGAATCGCGTATGGCTTCGCTGCGAGCGAGGTGAAGCTTACCGCCTTCCACGCGTCGTACACGGGGTGTTCTCAGACTTCCTTGGGCCTTTCTTCCTGTGGTTCTGGCTCGTACATGCAACACAATCGGTCAACGTCAACCCCATTCCCAGTTGGGGTCTGCGAGTGACTCTGAATCCCGACCGAACTGGATCGGGGGCGAACGAGACCCGGATCAGTACACACACCCCTTGCCTCCTGCACCCATCATCGCAGGATTGTCGATTCTTCTCCGCTTATCTATCCGGCCTCCTCACCCTATTCAGCCACTTCAGTCTATTCCGAGGCCTATTCTACGTCCACGGACGCCATAACATTTCGCAAAACTTCATTCGGAATCCCACCGACCACCGCCCCCACCATGGTCGGCATTCTATCCTCAGTCGTCAAGTCCGTGAAGGGAGAGCGCAGCGCTAGGAAGCGCGCTGAGGAGCGCGAAGCCCGGCCGCCCGTGCAGCACCGCAAAAGCTGGATGCAGAGCCTGAACAATCTCGTGCGTTAGGCGCCGCTTCTCGCGTCCTGCATTCTGCTGACCACAGCCTCTCAGAGCCAAGTCTTCCACGCCGACGACCAGCTCCATCCGCCCCCTACAGACGGCACCTCGAGCTCCCCGAAGCGCGGCCGCTTCCCTTCGTTCGCCTCGTTCAGCAGCAAGGGGGAGTCGGTGCGGTCTAGGGGCGATACGTCGTCGTCCCCGGCCAAGGACAAGTCCCTTGCGGCCCGCGTCCGCCCCATCAGCGTCAGCCTCGGCTTTTCGGGGCACAAGCGCGGGAGCAGCAGCGCGACGGCGGGTAGCGGGCACGAGAGCTATACGCCCTCGCCCCTGCACGAGGGTGCCCCGCACGTTCCTCAGGCGCAAGCGCCGATGCTCCCCTCCCCTATTCAGGCGTCGCCGATGGTCACTCCGTCTGCGTCAACCGGTACCGCGCACGAGGAGAAGCCCGTCCGTCCGTCGACGGCCCCCGCCGGCGTGCGCAACGAGTCGCAGATGGAGACCTCGGCGCTTGCGGCACGCATGAACAAGCTCCGCGGGATGGAGGAGGACACGGCGGCGCGGGTGTCGAATGCGTCTGCGGCGACCTCGCAGTCAACGACGACGCCTAGCCATCTGTCCCGCCCCACCCCCCTCGATCGCACGCCGTCGTCGGACTCGGCGTCCGTGTACACGCAGTCGACGGCGCAGGACGATTATACGCCGTCGGCTAGTACGCCTGGGTCTCCTGCGACGGTGACGCCGACCACCAGCGTTGGACCCGCTCCGGCCCTGCCTCCCAAGACTCCGGCGAAGGCGGCAAGCCTCCGCGGCTTCGGCTCCGCTGCGAGGGGATATTTGTCCCCCAACGCGAAGCGCTCCATTGAAGCGACGGCGAATGGCTCTCAGGTGCCGGCGAACAACTCGCAGCCGCCAGCGAGCAGCCAGCAGTCGCCCACGCGCGACTTCCTGTCGATGTCGACGCAGGACTTCTTGTCGGCGCCACCGAGCGCGGGCAAGACGCGTGCGGCGACGCTCAATGGTGACCACGGCAAGGACTTCATCGCGGTCGACATCCCGATGGAGTCGCCGTTCGCGGGGTGGAAGTTCTGAGGGGGTTGTAGCGCAACATCCTCGTCAAGCCTTCGGATTTGTTGGGCTACGCTTCGTTGACCGCACATCCCGTCGTGTTTCTGCTCGCCGACCTTCGCCTCCTTCCCTTCGCTCGTCCTTCCTCTCCATCTACTTCCCCCACCTTTCCACCTATATCACCTTACCCTCTCTCATCGAACACTCCTTCTCCTGTACACGACCGGACTCAGTGCTTCATGTACTATATAGATATGCTTCATCTGGACTTTCATCTAGGACATCTTTCTCTGTATTTTCACTACCTACCTACCCTGGCTGTCGTGACGTGCGTGCATCCTTCCCGCCTGCCCACCTTCCTCCCACCCTCTGCTCCTCCCATTGCATCTCAAATTCTCGTCAACTTTTCCACCCAAACGAACCTTGCACCCCTTCATGCACCGCACGCCTTTCGTCACGCATCTCACACCTTCCGCCCTGCACCCACACCCACACCCGCGGACCTCTCGCATCACGCCCCTTCGTGTATATCATTGTCTCCACTCCACGTCGCCTTCGTGTACGACTAGTATTTGCTGTTTCTTGCTATTATTCTCGTGTTCGCTTCGTATCTCTTGCTATGCTATTCGGCGTTTTTTAATGCACGTCTGGTGTGAAGGCCTTCTCACTTCGCCTGAAGGAACACCGCAACGCAGGGTGTTGTCGGCGAAGGCCGCTAAGGATCTGCGTCGAAGCTATTCCTCTGAGTTCCTTCGACATCTTCGCTTGAGGCGTTCGGTTTCATGAGGAGGCTATTGCGGAGCATCGGATTAGAAGCATATATATGTGCTATAGAAAGGTGATCCATATTCCTAGGTGAATGTCCGAGGTGCCTTTGACCATATGTGCTCATTGACGCCTGCAGTGTGCTCCTGCAGCCCGCGATTTCGCAACACTACTTGTCCAAGAATGCTTGCATGCGTCTACGCACCGTCGACGGACATTGACAGCAAAACAGGTTTCCCGGGTGGATGTTCGACACCAAAACCAAGGATGAAGTCCTTCCTTGTAGGCGTGGCGATGCTGTGCCTGCGAATGGGCAGGTCAGCTTCAGATTTCGATCAAGGTGCAAGACAAGCCAAAAAAAACAATTGGCCAGATCGACTCACGCTTCGCAAAGGTGCGTGTATAACGCTGCCGACTCGAAGAACCGCGCCTGACAATGCGCGCAGAGCGAATCGCCATCGACAAACTTGACGTCGCACGCTCGCGCGTCTGCAATAGCGCGAGCCTCTGCCATCTGCTCTGGCCCGAGGATCTCAAAACGGCGGTCAGGCATGCACGCGCCCAAGTTCGTCTGTCTGATGGTCAGAAGCAATTGAACTTCGACGAGGGAGAGCACGCACCACGTAGCGCCACGAGAGTGCCCGCCGCTGCCCAGGCTTGTCGGCTTCCGGGTAGTAGTACCACGCGTCCAGCTCGTCCATCTCCAGCGCCGTCGTCGTCCACGGGTCGAGTCCCGCCAGCTCGACCAAGCGCCGGACGACCCCCGCACACTCCGCACGCACCGTGAGCTGCTTTGGGTCCCGGCCGCGCTCGCCGGGGTGCTGGGACGGGCGCATGTCGAGCGCGGGCGCGCGGACGACGTGCGGGTAGCTGAAGAGCGCGCCGGTCTTGGGGTTCATGAACACCGTGGAGGCGAGGCGCAGCGTGGCGTGGGTCAGGTTGCCCGGCGCGAACTCCGCCGCGGCGCAGGGGTCACTGAGGGCCCGCGAGTGGATGATCATGAGCAGGGTGTCCTCGCGCGCCGTGCGCCAGTCCTCGAAGAACGCGGGCGGCACCGCGGCGAGGGCGGCCTGCATGATGGCCGGCGTGGGCGTGGGCTGCTGGGGCGGTTGCGTTAGGAGGGCGCGGACGGAGGGCGCGTCCGCGATGTCCCCGACGGTGGGCACGAGCGCGCGGAACGGAAGCGAGCGGCGCAAGTCGGTGTACGTGTCGACGAGGACCTCGTGGCGCGCTGCGAGGGCCTTCGTCGTGTCTGACACGGTGCGGAAGCGGTACAGCTTCTTGAGCTCCGCGACAGCGACGCCGCGCATCCTGTTCCAATCTGCATCGCAGCGGGAGAAAGATCAGCTGCGTGTGCGCCAGTCGTGCTGCGCTGACTGACGTTTGTCGGACAGTGGCTTCGTGGACTTGGCTGCTTTGTTGCGCAGGTAGGACGCTTGTCGGAGTGCATCGGGATAAGTGGCGAGCTCTTTCTCGAATCCCAGAGCTTTCAGGCGGCGGATGACCCTAATCATACAGTCGTCGTGTCAATTAGACAAGTCCCAAAGCACGAAACCTACTCACTCCGCCTCTCGGGCCCTCCTCTGTCTATCCCGCTCTGCGTCTTCGTCTCGCGAGTGTTGAACTGCCACCTCTGCGAAGCGGAGTGCGAGCTGCAATGCGTCGAATTGTATGTCAGCCGTCACGGCTGACAGCAGCGTAGTACGCGATCCGCACCAAGTGGTTCTGCTGCTGCCGTTCATGCATTTCGTCTCTAGTCATTCTGCGTTTACTTGATCCTGTCGCCATGTCCATCACCTCTTGCGCGAGCCGCGCGGCGCTTCTGACGCAGAATAATTCCTGCCTTCTGCCTGATTCATCTGGTCAGGGCAGTGATTGCATGAGAACGAGGGGGCAGCATACCTCTGTTGATTCTCTGTATGTAGGGAATGTAGTTCACCATGTCTAGGCTGCCGGCAGGAAAGAAGCGTTTGAGGATGTGATACGTCGGGAGGTCCTCGTATTCCACGAAACTGGCCAGATCGTGTAAGCGGCAGTGTATAGCGATGTCCACGATCGTGCTCACCGCGTTTTCTCGCACTTGGGACAGAGGCGCATACGAGCGCTGAAGCATGCATCAACCTTGCGGCTGCTCCCGCAAAACTGCGTGTCGTGTCAGCGGCAGAACCGCGAGAACACGCATCGCGCTCGCCTGGCAGTTCGTGCCGTAGATAAGGTACACCAGCCGGGGCTCGCTCATGCCCTTCGGAGGCGGCAGCAGGCCGGGCACGCGAGCCAGCGCGTTGCGCCAGATGGCCTGGGCGGTAGCGCGGTCGAGGAGCATGCCGCGGAACGCCTTCGTGACCCTGGACATGCTGAGCAGGTCCTTGGGGGCAAGACGGGCGAGGATCTGAGGGTATAGAGATGAAGTGAGCGCTAAATTGACGGGTATGCATAAATAAGATGTACCTCGTAGATGATGTCCAACGGCATGCGAAGCAAGCGAGACGCGCGCTTACGCGTCCGTCGAGCGCGCGGGCTCGACGGCTGGTCCGGAGTCGCATTCAGGTCCTGCACTGGCATGGCGCGGGTCGTGGTCGTGGTCGAACGAGAGAACGGGAGGGTGCGTGCTATCCGAGCACTGAAAAAGCCTAGCTAGCCCAACGAGGTGATCCTCTGCGCGATGGCCTGGTGATAGCTCGGGATGAGATAGCGGCTGGGCTACACGTGTGTCTACGCGGCGGTATGGGCGTGTGGGTCGGGCCCACGGCCCGGGATCCCTATTCCAGCACTCCCCGCATCCGAGGGCTTGTATGTTCGACGAGCTCAGTGCGCAGCGCCCGCGCGCGTGAGTACTTGGGCGGTGCCGCATCCTCGACGAGCTCCAATCGCGCTCGACGCAGGTCACGGTCAGCCTACCACGTACTGTATCAGCTTCGCCCGATATATACTTACAGCGACATTCATAATGATGCGGAATTCGCGCGAGTTGCACGCGGCGTGCCATGTTTGGCCGCGCCCTCCCGGCAATTACCGCTGAGCGATTGTGGAACATTTGTGGGTTCGGGATGCACATTTCGAGGCCTTCTTTGTGTGATATTCACTCGGGATTACCCTTCCGTGCACCCTTACTTGCGGACGGAGGCTCGCTTGAGGAAAAGAACAAGACCGGCTGGGATCTCGGACTTTTCCGAGCGCCACGCGCGTACGGCGTGTGGGCACGGGGTCCTCCGAGAGAGGCATATATTATCCTTGTTCCGCCCAAAAACATAGGTGGATCTACCAATAGGACTCTGCCGTGAAATACAGAGGGCTTAAAGGGTACAAGAACTTGACAAAAACTTCAGAGAATAGTGCTTCCAGCCCTTCGCGGTCGTTGCCGGAGGGGCGCAGCCAAACATGACACGCCGCTCGCAATCCGCGCGAATTCCGCATCATTATGAATGTCGCTGTAATTTACGTCGCGACGTTCGAGCATCGAACTCACCGCAGTCCGACCCCAAATTCTGTGCATTCAGGGCGAAGAGTTCACGGAGAGGGCGAGGGGAAAGATGTCGAGGACGAGCGGGCGTAAGAGCAATGCACGGTCAAAGAAAGCTCGCGCTATGGAAAGCAGCGAATTTGAAGCACAGTTGAACGCAGGTTGAACGGAACCAAAGTGTCCGGATCAAGTTGCACGGCGATAGCCGATTTGCGTATGTTTGTGCAGGGGGACCCCATCACAGCGCATTGCAATCTGTCCTGCGCAACTTCAGGTCCTCGTTCCATCGAGCACCAGAAAGGCGAAATCCAGAAGTGGAAGGTAGCAAAGGAACTAAAGCATTGCGGTCTGATTTTGAATGACACAGTATGCGACGACAAAAGGTATTGTAAGTAACTACGATCGATCATCGACGGCTAGCATAACTGAAGGAAGGGGTCAGTCAACGTGTCAACCGGTGTACAGGACGAGGGTGAGAAGGGATAGGATCAGACATCCAAAGGAAGGTCATTGCGACCCGCACCGCGTCGACCCCCGCTTCCCGCCCAGCGCACCGGCGTCCGCGGCTTTACACCACGAACACCGGCGGCCCACGCTGCACCGACGCGGATGGGTTCTGCGCGGCGACAGGGGGAGTATGCACGTTCCGCATTGGGGGAGTACTCCGTTCTCGGAGGACGCTAGAGTGGAAACTGCGAATGTTTGGTAGGGTTCATCATAGAAGGCGATAGTAGGAACGAAGGTGAGAAGAGGAAAGGAGGACTTACCAAAAGTAGTATGAGGGATGGTTAGAAGGGGGAGTGCGAGGTGGAAGAAGACATGATTAGGGAGGAGAAGGTAGGGGGAGGAGGGGGATACGATACGATCAGGAAGAGAGATCTGAGGAAAAAGTCAGTACGACGATCGAAGATACGGCGATCATGGTGATTGGGTCAGACAAAATGGCACTGGCAAGTACACTGTGCGCCCCGTAGGACGCGGTGTCCGTTGCGAACGGACGGTCTCTGTTCCTCGGCATGGTCGTGTAGGACGGGGAAGAGAATAAAGTCATCATGTTGAGAAGAGGGAGCGAGCCTTACCTAGCAATGACGAGAAGCGGTAGGTAGAGAGGGGAAAAAAGAGGAGACAAAGAGGGGGGCGAAGAGGGAAAGGAGAGAAAGATGTGAGAGTCGGGAGCAAGACGCGTCTTTCTTCGATCGCGCCGCACGCTTTTTACGATCAGGACGGAAGATGCCGTCGCATTCCCACGCTTGCGGCGTTTTGTGGCGTAGCGTGGCGTTCCCGCTCGACGTCCGGACGTCCAAGGCCCCGGGTCAGGCTGATGTTCTTCCTTTCCTTCATCTCTCCACAGAACCTGTAGGCTGATACCATCTTAATCTCTGATGCTGACCTCTTGATACCCTCAAGGTCTCTGAGCTGAACTCTGTACTCATAGGTCCCCTCTCGCTCTGACACTCGCAACGATGCGGCCGCAATAGCCTTCCCCTCCTCATCGCGTCCCCACCTGCATACACCCCGCTCTTCGCATGCAGAGACGCCGTCGCTCCCGCACATGGGACCCCTGCTGCGCCCCGCGACCGGGGTACGGCCCGTATACGACGCTGCCTACCGAAAATACTGACCGCACGCCCGTGCGTGAAGACGCTCCACCTCGCCGTTGCGACGAGTAGCCCCCCCAACGCTCCCCGTCCGCCTCCCTGGCAACATCGCGTACAACGGGGTCTCGTCGCGCAATTGGCGCACGCATGAGGCGGCCCACTCTGCGAAGATACAAAAGGAGGGGCGTGATGGTGGACGATTTCCCAGATCCGCTTCTTCTTCCTATTCCTTGACAGACTCGAGCTTCACGGCCAGTCCGCGTCGCTTCCTTCGCTTGCTCCCGCCATTCGTTGCTCGTTTCTCTCTTCCTATCTCGTTCTTTCGCTTTGACCACCTTCACCTACGCACAGTCATCGCCACGATGCTTCCCCTGGCCATCCTCGCCGTCCTCGCCCCGCTCGCGGCGGCGCACATGGAGATGACCGCGCCGCCTCCGCTGCGCTCGAAGCACAACGAGCACGCGGACCAGGCGCAGGTGGACTACTCGATGACGAGCCCGCTCGAGGCGTCCGGGTCGAACTTCCCATGCAAGGGATACCTCAAGGACACGACCGGGAAGGATAGTGTGGCGTCTTGGCAGGCGGGGTCGAGCCAGCAGGTGACGTGAGTATCCTGCTTCCTTTACGACTCCTCATCGGGGTTGATATACGTTTGTGCTGGATGCTGATTCACACTGGCTCGCAGCCTCGAGGGCTCCGCGATCCACGAGGGCGGCTCCTGCCAGCTGTCCATCTCCGAGGACGAGGGCGCGACGTTCAAGGTCATCAAGTCCTTTATTGGTAACTGCCCCTCGAGCACGGGCCCCGTCACGCTCGACGTCGACATCCCGAAGGACGTCAAGGACGGCGACGTCGTCTTCGCGTGGACCTGGAACAACCGCGTCGGCAACCGCGAGTTCTACATGAACTGGTGTGTTCGCAAGCCTATATTTCTCTCTCATGAACCAGATAGCTGACACCTTCCAGCGCCATCGTCACCATTGAGGGCGGCGGCGCTGGCCTCTCGTCCTACCCCGACATGTTCGTCGCCCAGCTCTCGGACATCAACTCCTGCACCGTGCCCGAAGGCGTCGACGTCGACTACCCGGCCCCGGGCGACCAGGTCGAGCGCGCGGATGGCGACGATGCCATCGGCGCGCCCGCGGGCGACTGTGGCGCCGCGGGTGGTAGCGGTGGCAGCACGTCGGCGACGTCCGCATCTGCGCCTGCGACGTCCGCATCTGCGCCAGCGACGTCCGTGTCTGCACCTGCTGGCTCGGCGTCGGCGTCTGTCTCTGCGTCGATCTCGGTGTCCGCGCCGATTTCTGGCTCGGAGCCCGCGTCGACGTCCGCCGCCGCGACCTCTGCCCCTGCGTCGGGATCCGCCCCTGCCTCAGGGTCAGCATCCGCCACTGGGTCAGCGCCAGCTTCCGGGTCTGCCTCTGCTACCTCTGCGCCTGTGTCAGGCTCTGCATCTGCCACAGACTCTGCCCCCGCCTCCTCTTCCGCCACCGCGTCTGGCTCTGCGTCCTCCTCATCCTCCGCCCCCACCTCTGCCCCCGCCTCAGGCTCTGCCACGGCCTCCGCCCCCGCGTCCTCCTCCTCCGCCCCCTCCGGCGGCGACTCCTGCACCGAGGGCGCAATCCGCTGCGACTCTGCGAGCACGTGGTCGCAGTGCGGGTCGGGCGCGTGGCAGAGCGAGGGCGCGGTGCCCGGGGGCATGACGTGCAAGGACGGCGCGATCGTGCCCGCGGGGTCGCGCAGGCGCGCGGTGAGCGCGCACAGGCGGCACTGGGGGAGCCGGGGGCAGCTGTGAGCGCCTTCCTCCTCTTACAGCTTTTGAAGGAGAAACCTGAAGCATGGCGAGATACGAAGAAAAGAGAAGCCCAGTAACGACTCTGTCAGCAGATTCGCCACTCGCTCGCTACCTATTTATTGCTACTTATTCTCTATTGCATCCTGAGGATGTACTCGTGCTGCGATAGTTCGTGTCTGTGTTGAACTTGTATATATCGGTGCTGCACTTGTGTATATCGGTGTTGCGATCGTATATATTGGTGCTGCGATCGTATTCATCGGTGCTGCGAACGTCATTGTCCACGTCCGTTTTGTTCGAGGTCTTGTTTAGATTGTTATGGAAGTGATCGAATGCATACGTTGAATGCTGGGCCCTTGCATAGAATTATAAGGTCCTTTCATTGTCGTGAGTGCGGTGTCGTTGTTGACCAGGGTCCAGCGCAGGTCTTCTGTCTGGACCGAGCACGTTTGTGGAGGATATAAAGTTGCAGCCTGCTTGATCCAGTCCCCTCGTCTTCTGGATCTTCGTCCCAAACTTTGAGAAAGCTCTTCGGAGGCTGTCGTATCATCCGGGACCATCCGACAGGGTAAGTAGACGGTCCGCAACTGTTCGTGAAGTCGAACCGCCCTCACGTGGGTCCACGTGCAATCTATACCGCGCCGCCACCGCGCGGCGCGCTTGATGTCGACTCCCAAGCACGCTCTCTCGCACGTACATACCTTATCACTCCTCAAGCCGCTCCTTCGTCTCCCGATATTCCTCTCTTCGCCCGCGATGTTCATCTTCGGTCGTCCGCCACCGCCCGGGCCCCCGCGCCTCGCCATTCCTGAGCTGCTCTTCGAGATCTTCCGCGACGCGCGCCTGAGCAGGCGAGATCTGTCGCATGCGGCGCTGGTGTGCAGGGCGTGGCACGCTGTCGCGGATGTGGTGCTCTGGGAGGACATGCCGGGTCTCGCGCCGCTCCTGATGCTCATGCCTGCGGATGCCTGGACGATGGTGAGTCTGGCAGTGTGCGCGTCGGGATGAGGACTGACGCGAGCGATTAGACCCCGTCGAAGAGGAGGGTGGAGAAACAGACATTCGTACGTGGGTACTCCGACCTCATCATCAGTCTCTAAACCCTCCAGACCTTCCGCCGTGCACTGCGCGCCTCCGACTGGGCGAATGTCGCCACTCGATCGTGCTCCGTTCGGCGGCTTACCCTATTCGGCGCCCCACCAAATTGTGTCCAGCGCGCCATCGTTGTCTGCCCACCACCCGCAAACCTGCTTCCCAAGCTGCAGACGCTCACCCTCACCCAGCTCGTCGCCCGGCCCGGGAGCGGGGACGCCTTCGCCACCGCGCTTGCCTGCGCCTTCCTCCACATGCTCCTCAGCAGCAGCGCGGGCGGCCCCTGCTCCTCGCCCCGCCACCTGCGCCTCCGCGACTGCGCGCCTGACCTCGCCCGGCACGTCCTCGCGCACCCGCTCGCCGCCCGCCTCGAGGACGCCACGCTCGACGTGCGCCTCGCCGACCTCGCGCGCCTCCCCGCGCCGCCCACCCTCCGCCGCCTTCGCGTGCACGCGCTCGACGACGCGCGCCGCGCCCTCCCGCTCCCGCCGCGCACCCTCCGCGACATCCTCCCCGCCCACCGCGCGCTCGCCCGCCTCGCGCACGTCGAGATCACGGGCCCCGTGCAGCTCTTCGATGCCGACGTCGCCGCGGTGGCGCGCGCGTGGCCGGCGCTGCAGACGCTCGTGCTCGCCCCGCACGCGACGGGCGCGTCGTGCCTGACGCTCGGCGCGCTCGTCCCGCTCGCGCGGCACTGCCCAAAGCTCGAGTTCATCGCGCTGCCGCTGTGCGCGCTGGACGTGCCGAGCGAGGGCGCGGGGGGACACTACTACCTCGGCGGTCGCTCGGTTGCCCCCCTCGGTGGTCGCCCAGTTGCCTCCCTCGACGCCGCCCCCCTCGTCCTCGTCTTGTGGCGCGCGCTAGGACGCTCGGACAGAAACTACGGCGCCCATGTGCCCGACTACGATCCCGTTCTCCTCGCCAAGTTCCTCGTGTCGCTGTTCCCCGGGATCCAGCGCGTGTCGAACGACTTGGCGGCGGAGCGCGTGGCGAAGGGACTCGCCAAGGAGAAGGTCGAGGACTACTGGGACACGCCAGTAGAGCAAGGCATCTGGGACGAGCTCGAGCGCGCTATGCCTATGGTGCGCTCGCGCTAGCCAAGGGCGCGCCTACGAGGGGTCGGGAATGGCGGAGCACGAGTCGTAGCACTTGGGTGGTGTTTCGATGGTCGACGAGGTGGTGCCATGTAATCAGGCAAGTATTCCTTTGGTCTTCCAGTCTCACTCGGTTTTGGATGAATATTACGGTAGACCGGCTTCCGCACCCTGCTATTTATCATAGTAGTGCCACTTAACTAACGTATAGCGGTAGGATCGCCTACGTAACTTATCAGTAGTATATGCGTTAATGAATGGACTTGGTCTCAAAGGTATTCCGGAGGTGGTCTCGAAGATATTACGAAGTTGAACACTCGCTCGTAAGTAGACCGAAGTATCTGCGACCCGCGCGCGACAGGAAGGACTCACCGCGACGCCGCGGCCAAGAAAATCACGACGCCGCGTTCAAGAAAATCGATCGCCCGAGGGTGTTGGGGGTGTACGAAATGTATTGCAAGCTCCTGTACTCAACGACAACCATCTACGTACATGCACTACGACGACTACACACCCACCCCCTCGACGACGATTCCCCCCACGCACGCGATTCCCCCCACCCACGAAACACGCCACGCAGTCTCGCCCTCCCCCGACCACCTACCGCCCCCCTTCTCGGCCTCGACCGCCCCTCCCCCTTCGCTCCCCCTGCGCTCTCGCCACCCTGCGAGTAAGGTGTTTGAAACACCCCGCCCCGCGCCGCAATCGCCCCTTCGCCGTCCTACGCCGCGCGCACCCCCCTCGACGTCGGAAATCAACCCTCACACGATTTCGGTGCCGACGCACGCGAGTGGCCCGAACGTCGAGCGCGCGAGTTCGTCCGCGCGCTCTCCTCCCCTTCGTCTCCCACCTCCCTTTCCTTCATCGCTTCCCCTCCCCTTCAGCTCCCCACCTTCTCCCTCCTCCGCCCGTCGCACTGCCCTCCACTTCTCGTTCTCGTCCCCTTCCCTCCCCTTCGTCTCAAACCCCCACCCTACTCCCCATCCGTCTCACGCGCACGTTCTCGACACCGCACGCCTCTTCCCCGGTCTCCCAGGCTTGAGAGTCGCGGGCAGAGGGCGTGCGGCGATGAGTCAGGTCGTGGAAGGGGCCGAGCGCGAAGGGGAGGTCGAGCGCGAGGGAGGGGTTAAGCGAGGGAAGGGCTGGGGGAAACCGTCCTGCGTGAGGAAGAAATCCGGCGCGAAGGGGGAATCAGCGCGAGGGGAAGGTTAGCGAGAAGGAGATCAGCGGGAAGGGGGACACTACGAGGACCTCTGGCAAGGACTCCTTCCACTTGCGCGTCCGTGTCCGTGTCCACCCCTTCCACGTCCTCCGTAACAGCGAGATTCACTCACCTTCGAAGGGGGAGGGAGTAACCACCCCCTCGCGTTCTTTGCGGGGGTACCGCGCTCGTGCCGTCGGAGGCTCGTCAAGAGGTTAGTACGCTTCATTGAATAGCGGGGGGAGGGTGCGCGCTTACGGGTTTATCGACTCGCAGCCAAGTCACGAAGCACCCCCTTTTCGTAAGGTAGAGAGGACAGGAGGGAATGAGCACGCTAAGTGGAGGGGCATGAAGGGGGAACTAACCTTACACTCATCCCCGCGAGGAGACTCCCCTCTCCATTCCTTCCCCCTCTTCAAGTCCACCTCCCCCCGCCGCACTCCCCTCCTTATCCGCTTCACGTTCACGTTCTAGTTTCTTCCCCTTCCCTTCGTCTCCAACCTCGACCCGCTTGTCGAGCACCTCCTCCCAGCGCCGCACGCCTTCCCCGACCTCCCGAGCTGCAGAGAGAGTGAGCGACGGCAGGTCAAGTCGTCGAGAAGGGCCCGACACGATGGAGGAGCCGAGCGGGAGAAAGGGGGAAAGCTGCGCGGCCGCGTCCACCCCTTCCACGTCATCCGTATCAAAAGTGTCTGCTCACCTTAATTACACCCCCTTCAAGCCCCTCGCCGAGGGAGGGTGTTCGCCCCTGCGACGGCTCGTCAAGTCAGAAAGGGAGAAAAGGACCTGAAAGAGGTTAGCACGCGTCGTCAACCAGAAGGAAAGGGGTGGAGAGGGGGAGGGCACGCACTCGCGAGTCCTATCGACCCACTACCAGGCTACGAAGCGCCCCCCTCTCTGCTAAACCCTTTCCCGAACTTCAGGAATTTAGAATTAGAAGGGATAGAAGTGAGTCAGCGTGTGAATTCGGGGCTAGAACGAAGGAAAAAACGAACCCTACACTCGACTCCTTGAGAGAAAGGAGGAGGGAGGGACCCCTCCCTCGCCACAAAGCTCGCCTTTAGGGGCGCCGGTGGGTAAGGGGCACAGGATTTATAGAAAGTGCGTGAGAGAACGCGCTTTTGGGAGAAGGGAAGGGGTGTTAACTCACCGATATCGCCCCTTTTCGACAAGAGGGAAGGCCCCTCTTTCGACGCATCCCTCACCGAGAGAGCGCGGGCTTGCCTCCGGCGGTTCAGCCTCGCCAAAAATCAGTCAGAAAAGGGATCAGTACGCATGCGACGGAGGGGTAGGGAGGGAGGGTGATCCACCCTCTTCGCATTACTCACCTGAGGAGCCCGCGCGCGCCTCCGGCGGCTCGGCTTCGGCGAAAAGTTCGTTGAGAAGGGCCCCTTCCCCGCTACTCCAGCCGCCGAGGGAAAGGGACCCCCACCCTCGCCGCATGACTCGCCGAGAGTGCCCGCACGCGCCACCAGCGACTCGCCTCCCTTCGAATAAATGATCTGACAAGACGTCAGCACGCCTCTTAGAAAAAGGGGGTTGCTTCCATACACGTAGGTACAGTCATCAAAAAGAAGATAGGGGTACAACTAACCGGCGATTCCACCGCCTCTGGCGCGTGAGGGCAACCCTCAACCCACGCCTTTCCCCCCAAAAAAGGTGGGGGAACATCTCCCCCGTCGCGTAGCTCATTCGCGGGAGCGCAAGCATGCCTCCGGCGGCTCGGCCTAGCGAAGGTGGGGGTCGAATTAGTGCACCCCTCCAAAAAACATGGAAGGGGCCATAACTCACAATAATTTCGCCCCCATCCGCTATCAGGTGCCAGACATCCCTTCGCCTTTAAAGGGTGGGGGAGAAGCCTCCCCCATCGCATCCTTCACCCGGGGGAGCGTGTGCGTGCCTCCGGCGGTTCGACCTGGTGGCAAGGGGGAACTTGAGTACGCTCCAACAAGGAAAAAGACAAGCATACGACTCACCGCCCCTTCTGCGAGTGCACGCGCCCCCCACCCATGCCGTCACTGCAGAAGAGTGGGGGTTCCGCCCCCTTCGCGCCCCTCGCCCGGGGATGCAAGAGCGTAATACTAGCGGCTCAGACTCACGAAGATATGGGTCAGTAAGTTCGACCAAAAGCAAAAAGAGGGCATAACTTACCGACAAATTCACGCCATCCCGCAATGAAGTGCCCCCACCTCGCCCTTTTTCCCGAACGGTTGGGGGGATGCCTCTCCCCCATCGCATCATTCGCCGAGGGAGCACGCGCGCGCCTCCGGCGGCTCGGGATCGCCGAAAAGCTCATCAAAAAGGGCCCCTCCGTCGCTTTCCGAGGCGGCTAGGGCAAGGATCCCCCATCCTCTCCGCAGAACTCGCCGAGTAAGCCCACGCGCGCCACCAGTGGCTCGCCCCCCTCTGAGTAAGCGGTCTGACAAGACCTCAGCACGCCTTTTCCTTACAAAAAGGTGGTATGGAAGGGAAGAACAAGGTAGGGGCACGACTTACCAGCGATTCCACCCCCTCTCGCGAGTGAGGACACCCCCAATCCATGCCTTTCCCCCGAGAAAAGGGGAAATCCCTCCCCCTTCGCGTAGCTCACCCGAGGAAGCGCGCGTATGCCTTCGGCGGTTCGACCTAGCGGCAAGGGGGGTACTTGAGTACACTTCAACAGTGACATGAATAAGCGTGGAACTCACGAATATGGCCACCCCCTCTTGCGTGTGCAGGTCACCCCCTACCACGGCCAATCCCTCGAAAATGTGGGGGAATCCCTCCCCCATGGCGCACCTCGCCCGAGGGTGCGAGTGCGTACCTCTAGCGGCTGAAAGTGGGGAAGATGTAGGTTAGTAAGCCCGAGAAAAGGCAGAAAAGGGCAGAACTCACCGACATTTCGCCCCCCCCTCCCGTCGTGGGAAGCGCCTGCACCAGTCCCTTTCCCCAAAAAGGGGTGGGGGAGACCCCTCCCCCGTCGCATCGTTCGCCGAGGAAGCGCACGCGCGCCTCCGGCGGCTCGGCCTGGTCAGAATATGGGCTCAGTAAGTACGCTTTGTCAAAGAACAGCAGAAGGGTAATATCCCACCTAGAATCCCCACCTCTCGACGAGTAAGGGCATCCCCACCTTCCTCCTTCGCCAAAAAACGGGGAAATACCCTTCCCCCGTCGTAAATCTTGCACGAGAGGGCGCGTGCACACATCCAACGACGGGGGTCACCGAGGAAATCCATCTACGAAAGGGGTTAGCGAGATTAGCGGACGACGCGCATAACTCACAGGAGCGCATGAATATCCCCCCTTCTCCCTTTCTCGTCGCAGAGAGCCCCCCTCCATCATCAGCCTTCTCGGAGGGAACTCGCGCGTGCCTCGAGCGTCTCGGAAACGGACGACATTTCGCTAGGGGAGGGGGTCAGCCCGGTTCCAAAGCGCGAGGGGCCGGTCAAAACTCACTGGTGCAGACGGAGGGTAGATGACCCTCATCGCGTCGCTCATTCGAGACGGAGCGCGCACGTCTTCGCAGTTCGGGGCGGTCGATTATTGTGGCATCTAGAGTCCCGTTAGCGCGATTTGAGGCGGAATTGCGGAGAGTAACCCCCTCCACCGTTGAGCTCGTCTACTCACCAGTCCCCCTTCACCCCCCAAACCCGATAGGGCACCTTTTCTTCCCAAAAGGCTCGGCGCAAAGAACCCTCCCGGATCGTCGCATGCCGTAAAAATAACCCCAAAGAAAGGGCCTGGACGGAAGGTGGGGGGTGGGGGTGGCCTGAATCGCTGGGGTCGGTGACGGCGAGGGTCGAGGCCGGCCGCCGCGTCGACGTGGAAGTGGGGGAATGACGAGAGGTGGTGACGCGAGCGGTGCGCTCGCCGTCTGCGGTGAGATGAGCCACGACACGCGACGACGGAGGCGTGGACTCACCGATGCCGAGAGCGCTCGTGTGTCGTCAGAGGCTCCCCGTCGTACTCTTGCGCAGCCCGGGTGAGGTCAAAATGTGGGTGCCTCGATGTCGTCGACGACCGTGTAGTGCCCCGCTTCTGCCCGAACGGCGTCGACGGGTCTCCTTCGACGATTATTAAGCAAAGCAGACACGGAGGAGATCGCGCTCACCGTCAACTCTCACTCAGAACCGCACTGCGAGTGCTGGATGCGCAGTGAAGGGGGCGGGAGTGCCTGGTCACAGAGCAGACCGACTTCCAACGGCGAGCCTTCTGCGTGCGCGTCGAGGCGAGCAAAATGCTTACGACGATGACGGCGAGGAGAAAGGTGACCGTCGCGGATAGTGGGGGCCGGCGTGATGGCCTAGAACAAAGCGAGTCAGGGTGGCGCGACATCGAAAAGTCAGCCCGTCCTTACCCGATAGGCACGGGCGGGACGGCGGCGAGTAGTACTATAGCTATCCAACGAGTCAGTACGCATAGTGAATAGAGAAAAAGGATATGAACGTACCAGAAAAACGTAGAAAGTCGTTAGTGCGTTTGGTGTCGATTGATGATGCGCGTTCGAAGAAAGCTGTGAGAGAGGATCAGTGAACGGGTAGAGCGTTATTAGGAGAGCAGACACGGGGAACAGCAGGTCGTAGTAGTCTAGGATGTAATCCTAGTCAGTACGAAGCCGGGAGTAAAGAAGGCAGACTCACGAAGCAATGCAAAACGAGTAAATACCAAGACCTGGTTAGAGAAGGGTCAGAAGAATGAGAACAAGTAGATGAAGCGAGCACTCACACTGCACGCGACGTTACAAGATCCGATTGAAAAGGGGGAGGAGGTAAGGGATGGTAAGTGAAGAGGAGGAAGGGATTGGAATGCTGATTTGAAGCGGTGAGGTGACCTACCCTTTATACTTCGCGAGCGGCCCAACGCCGCGTCCAGTGCCGCCCAAACTTCCAGACCGGCGTTGAATATTTCCGGATCAGACCTCGGCGGTCCGCGACCGAGACCCGTCCAGCGGAAAGTCGGAAGATTGGGGGGAGGGGCGCGGAGTGCGCGCATGCAATCTTCCGCCGCATCCCTGCGCGAATGTCAGCCAGAGCGCGAGCAGAAAGCATCGAGGCTTGCTCACCCGGGCAGGGGATGCCGTGCACGTGGCGTCCGGCGGGGGAGGGCGGAGGGTTTATGCGACCTGTCCGCTCAGTGGCACGCAAGTTGCAGGACAGCGTATATCTTCCTTTCGTCCGCGTCGTCTGCAAAACAGCGTCAGTAACGTCGCGGAGAGGACGAGGGACGCCACGTGGCACGTGCTGATGTTGACTTGGCGCGGGATGAGCGCGAGACTGAGGAGGAAGAAGTCGAACTCACTTCCATCACGCTATATCTCCATTTAGCAGGCCTTGAGCTGCGCGGAGGGCGGCACGTTTTTGGCGCCTCTCTCTCCCTCGCACACTTCCCGAAAGACCCAGTAGTTACGCGACACGTGTATGCCGTCGTGTCGACATGTTGCGCGGGCGTCGGCGAGGGGAAAATGGGGTTGCTCCATTGTTTTCGCTCCGGTGAGGATAGCGGGATGAGCGCGGACGCGCCGAGGCCGCCGCTGGCGCGCATCAAATTTCATAAATTCTGATCCGATATTTCAGTGTCCAGAGCGTCGCGTTTGGGAGTATGCGCGTGCCGTAAAGTGGAGGAACTCGCGGGGAATAATGAAGGCGGCGCACGGGTATTCGACGATTTGAACGTCAGGGCCGAAGCCGGCGAGCGGAGGGATGTTCTGAAAATGTTAGGAAAGGGTTCGGGATGACGTACATGTGTCGTTGTCGTCGGTATTGAACGCGCAGGTGACGGGGAATATGTAGGTTGAGGAAGAGGCGGTCGTGTATTGTGAGTGCGGGATTGCCCTGGGGCTTCCCAAACTCCCTGAGATACGTGTATACTACTTCAATATCAAGATTCTGTGCTTATCCGGTCAGCGAGGGTCCCTGCGGTGTATGCACGAACGCACCAAAAACGACGCCACATATTCCAAACCACCTTCCCGACGTCCTACTGACCTCGCGCGGTCGCCAAACAGCGGCGCAACTACAGATATATAATCGGGTCGATGCCCCCCACCGATCGTTGAAGGTCAGCTACCTCCGCCAAAGTGGTCACCTACTGAGGGTAACCGGATCGGTTGTGCATACATCCCACATCGACCTTCAGACACGATAAGGGAGGACGCGTTCCCTGCTGATCGACGCAGCGCAGTGCTTTGACAATACATCGAGGGCGTATTCGGGACGTGTCTGGACCCATCGTGGGTGCTGGGGGTAATGGGGGATAGGTGCCGTAGCCTGAGATCGCGTCGTGAAGCGCTAGACGCGTGGTATGAGGAGTTCCGAGAGATCCCGGTGTGCTGTCCATTCCACTCGTCTGGGATGCTGAGGTGTATGCTCAAGGACGCGGGGGCCGTCGTCAGAACTGCGGGGGGCGACGGCGATGAGTGCAGAACGCAGAAGGCGCGGCGGGGGAAGAGCGGTCGGCAATTGCCGACGACCGGCGGCGCGGGGCGGAAGCCGGTAAGCGCCCGGCGCTTGTTGCATGCGGCTTGATCTCGACCTTCACCATCGTTCCCCGTGTTTGCGCGCCGCCCCGTCGATCGTCTTCCCGCCATGCGGGCGACTTTTGCGACGTCGAGGGAATCTTCTCTGTGCTCTATTCGTCTTATGCAATATGGCACCCAGTTCTTTACGACCTGGATCCGGCAAGAAATCTCTGCGAAGGACGCGGGGATGAGCCCGCGCGCGGCAGTCTCCTCGTTGAGCTGCGCGCTGCTCGAAACACGTGTATATGCGACGACAAGTCCGCCTCAATTCAGGTACCCGTGCGGGGTGATCTAGGCAAGTCCCCGCGCGGGGCAACTTGTTGATTTGTTGACTCCGATGTGCTTCTCGTGAAAACCTTCCGACTTTGGTAGGTATCCCCGCCTCCCCGCGACCCTGACGGCCGGGATCACGAGCCTTCGGCCGCTCTCGTGCGCTCTCGCACCGCCGACTGTCCGTCTTGCTCCCCGAACGTCTCGTCGACGGCCGCGCCGTGTCCGTCCTCCCTTGTCATCTCGTCGATCTTCTCGACGACGCGCACGCAACAGCGGCGAGAGCTCTTGCTCGACCGTCTTTCACATCGCCACATAACACAAGACTGAAGCTCGGTCTTTGACAAGGCGCAGCTCGTTACGCGCGCGCACATCGGTTTGGGTATGGAGTAGTCGGATTTGCGCCCGGCGAGCGGGAATATGCAGTGCGTGATGCACTCCTCGGTACGAACGTCTCGCGCTCACCTCGATCTAGACCTTCCTTATGTCGTCCAAGTCTTCCCTGTCGTTCGTCGACGCCGCCGCCGCCGCTGTCCGAGTCCTCAAAACTCACGGACAATTCTCCTCATCGCCGCACGCCACCCCGAGCGAATTCATCGCTGAAGCAACAGATCGTCGTCCGCCGAGCGGTATCATATGGTGCGTGGTACGACATATGTCTCCGAGTCTATCAGTCACAAACGTCCAGGCCCCAAACACCGAATCTCCTCCACGGAACGGGCCCGGAATTTACGCCCGCCGACTGAAGGTCTCGCCTGCTGGTGCCCACCGGCTCCACATTTCGCTTTATTTCCCCCGTCAACAACTCCCTTCGCGCTCGGGCTCTCCACGACCACACCTCATCGCCGCATTTCACGCCTCACTGCCCCATTTCATCCCTCATCGCTGCATTCCACGCTCACTATTCGAGTCAAGCGTCGAAGCAACGTCCTATTTCATCCGCCGAGGGTCGAGCGGCGCGGTTCGACGCTTCAGGCGAATTTACGGTGCGTGATACCTCCCTCGAGCTCATGCGGAAGACTGACGACGCTCTAGATTGTTCGCGGGGGGCGACGAGGCCATCAATCACCGCTCGGCGAGCGAGGCTGTCGCGTTCAGGCCATCTGTATCTTTCCAAAACCTCCGACGTCTCGCGCTCATCGTCTCCGCGTCGTCATCATGCCGTCGCGCTCACATCTCTCTTCTCCTTCTGTGAGCAGCAACATGGGCTCGCTCGTCAACCTCAACAACTCGTGCTCGACCTCGGTAACTCTTCCTACCACTTCCGCATCGTCCTCGCGCCGACCCAAGCGCTGAAGCAATAGATTTTTGTCCGCCGAGCGGGGTGATCAGGTACGTGCTCTGCTTTTAGCTCATGAGTTGACTGCTATTTCTTTGTTTTTCCTTCAGGTCTCGCCTTTGCCTCTGCTTCAAGTCTCCTTCTCTCGCTCGCCTCGCCTCGCCCGTCCTATCGCTTCAAGCATCACCTTCAGCCTCGCTTCAAGTCGCCTTCCATCTCCCTTCGCCTCGCTTCTCGCCTGCCACCACCTAGCTCCCCGCCTCTCATCTCCTCGCCTTTCGCCTCCCTTCGCCCCATACTTCCTCATGCTCCCCAAACCTCCTCGCTCTCCCCCGACCTCTCCGACGCGCTCCCGACAACACCCCGCCTCCCGGCGCCTTCTGATCGATACAGCAACATATTTTCGTCCGCCGAGCGACCTGATGAGGTCTGGGCTCTCGTCTTTGGGTCTTCCCATCATCTTGGGACCTTGCAGTCTGCCGAGTGCTTCTCTGACTTCCCAAGTGCTGGGGTGAGCGCTCGGGGTCTTTACTGACGCCTCAAACGCTTCGGCGTGTCCTTGAGTGCTTTACTGACCTCCCGAGCACCTTGCTCGCCTCGTCAAGTCTTTTATACTATACTGTACATGTTGTTGTGTACTCCTTTGTATGCCTTTTGTCAAAGACTTGTTTTTTGCTCTCGACTCGTCTGCTTTCATTTTGACTTGTCTGTTTGCTCTCGACTCGTCTCTCTCTTCAACTCATGAGTCTTGCTTCAGGGCCCATCCGAGTCTTGCTCGTAACTCGTCCAACTTGCTCGTAACTCGTCCGAGTCTTGCTCGTAACTCGTCCGACTTGCTCGTTACTAACCCAAGCCTCGCCCATCATCTCACGAGCAAGTCTCCGATTCTAGACTCACGAGCAAGTCTGCACTTCTCGACCCTCGACGAGGTCTCGAAGACTGACCTTCTTGACACGGCCTTCACATCCCGTCTCGGTGTTTACATACCATCTCGGTGTTCTCATGCCATCTCGGTGTTCTCATGCCGTTTCGGTGTTCTCATCTCCTTCTCGGAGTTCTCATCCCTGCAATGGTGTCCGTAACCCTACCAGCGTCTTCCCACCATCCCGCCCGCCTGGACCGCGGCTTCTCCTGCCCGTTGACCTTCTCAACTCATCCGCTGACCTTCAACAACCTCCGTCAAGGCCTCGACCCAGTGCTTCGCAATCCCCTCATGCTCCATCCATTCTCTCTATCCCCTGCGCTCCGTCCATTCTCTCCATCCATTCACCTACCTTCAGTCACTAGTAGCTTATCCACATACTCACAGCTCAGCAATGTACTTGTAACTCGTTGCTCGTTGTATATGGTATGACTCAAGAGTATGAGAGAAGCTGTCTCGCAGCCCTCCCTTATATACCCCCGCGACCGACTGGCCTCGAGCCCTCGGATCAGGTCGCGAGAGGTAAATCGGAGGACTTGAAGGGGTCGTACAATGGATCAGAGCCGAGGACCTGAATTACCGGGCCCTCGACCGGAGCAGCACAGCCGTCGGGCGGGAATGAAGCGCCGTCGAACGACTATTGACCGAGATCACGGAAGACTTTTGGTAATCAGGAGATGATTTGTGATGTCTGGAGCGAGGTCTGTAGGAGAGTGACTGGAGGAGTAAATTCAGTGGGAGGGGAGGAAGGAAGGGATGGACTAGCTGTTTGGCAGAGAGGTGGGCCAGACCACAACCTTCGACTTTGCCTTTGAGCGACAAGGAACAAAGAAGAACTCCACTCTGCACAATTGTTGTAGTGCCCATGTCACGCTTTCCCAGCGGGTTCGGAGGGAGTAGCAAGGGAAGGAGGGACAGCAGAGACCTCCAACCTCGGGGACCTCTTAGTTTGAAGGATGCAATCCCAGCGCACTTTGTCCGATGGCGCTAGGTGCCGTAGTTCACGAGATAGAACCTTGAGGAGGTCGTAGATGCGAATTTTCTTGCTTTTGACCGAAAAGGAAACGCGACGGTTCAACTTCCGTCACGTCACGCGGGGCGCGCAGGGTGGACCAGCCCGGACTCGCATAATTCATCAGCGCGACCGCCAGCCTCGACGCGGCGCAGGAGAGTACAAGAGCAGGCGCGCACGGCGGAATCGAACTCGGGCGCGGATCCCCCGCGATGACGCACGACGTCACCCTCGCCGTCCTTCTCCCGCGCATCGCCCGTCGCCGTCGCCGTCGCAGGCTGTCCGTCAGCCTCCCGTGCGTGTCCATGCCAGTCGACCCCAGGCGGAGTGAGCCATGACGCGTCGATCGGAGCGCGTCAGTCGAGCACAGGCAGAGGCGGACCACGACCGCTGCTTCGAAGCAGTCACTCGTATGTCAGTCTCTGACCCCTCCAGACCGTCGCTCTCTCGCACGTACATACCTTATCACTCCTCCAGCCGCTCCTTCGTCTCCCGATATTCCTCTCTTCGCCCGCGATGTTCATCTTCGGTCGTCCGCCACCTCCCGGGCCGCCGCGCCTCGCCATTCCCGAGCTGCTCTTCGAGATCTTCCGCGACGCGCGCCTGAGCAGGCGAGATCTGTCGCACGCGGCGCTGGTGTGCAGGGCGTGGCACGCTGTCGCGGACGTGGTGCTCTGGGAGGACATGCCGGGTCTCGCGCCGCTCCTGATGCTCATGCCTGCGGATGCCTGGACGATGGTGAGCCCGACTGTGTGCGCGTCGGGATGAGTACTTATGCAAGCGATTAGACCCCATCGAAGAGGAGGGTGGAGAAACAGACACTCGTACGTGGGTCCTCAAACCTCATCGCTCGCTGCTAACCCCTCCAGACCTTCCGCCGTGCACTGCGCGCCTCCGACTGGGCGAATGTCGCCACTCGATCGTGCTCCGTTCGGCGGCTTACCCTCTTCGGCGCCCCACCAAATTGCGTCCAGCGCGCCATCATCGCCTGCCCACCACCCGCGAACCTGCTTCCCAAGCTGCAGACGCTCACCCTCACCCAGCTCGTGGCCCGGCTCGGGAGCGGGGACACCTTCGCCACCGCGCTGGCCAGCGCCTTCCTCCACATGCTCCTCAGTAGCAGCGCGGGCGGCCCCTGCTCCTCGCCCCGCCACCTGCGCCTCCGCGACTGCGCGCCCGACCTCGCCCGGCACGTCCTCGACCACCCACTCGCCGCCCGCCTCGAGGACGCCACGCTCGACGTGCGCCTCACCGACCTCGCGCGCCTCCCCGCGCCGCCCACCCTCCGCCGCCTCCGCGTGCACGCGCTCGACGACGCGCGCCGCGCCCTCCCGCTCCTGCCGCGCACCCTCCGCGACATCCTCCCCGCCCACCGCGCGCTCGCCCGCCTCGCGCACGTCGAGATCACGGGCCCGGTGCAGCTCTTCGACGCCGACGTCGCCGCGGTCGCGCGCGCGTGGCCGGCGCTGCAGACGCTCGTGCTCGCCCCGCACGCGACGGGCGCGTCGTGCCTGACGCTCGGCGCGCTCGTCCCGCTCGCGCGGCACTGCCCAAAGCTCGAGTTCATCGCGCTGCCGCTGTGCGCGCTGGACGTGCCGAGCGAGGGCGCGGGGGGACACTACTACCTCGGCGGTCGCTCGGTTGCCCCCCTCGGTGGTCGCCCAGTTGCCTCCCTCGACGCCGCCCCCCTCGTCCTCGTCTTGTGGCGCGCGCTAGGACGCTCGGACAGAAACTACGGCGCCCATGTGCCCGACTACGATCCCGTTCTCCTCGCCAAGTTCCTCGTGTCGCTGTTCCCCGGGATCCAGCGCGTGTCGAACGACTTGGCGGCGGAGCGCGTGGCGAAGGGACTCGCCAAGGAGAAGGTCGAGGACTACTGGGACACGCCAGTAGAGCAAGGCATCTGGGACGAGCTCGAGCGCGCTATGCCCATGGTGCGTCCGCGCTAGCCAAGGGCGCGCCCGCGAGGGGTCGTGGACGGTGGAGCACGAGTCGTAGCACTTGGGTGGTGTTTCGATGGTCGACGAAGTAGCGCCATGTTATCAGGCAAGTATCCCTTTTGTCTCCCAGTCTCACTCGGTTTTGGATGGATATTACGGTAGACCGGCTTCCGCACCCTGCTATTTATCATAGTAGTGCCACTTAACTAACGTATAGCGGTAGGATCGTCTAAGTAACTTATCAGTAGTATATGCGTTAATCAATGAACTTGGTCTTGAAGATATTACGGAGGTGAACACTCGCTCGTTGGTAGACCGAAGTATCTGTGACCCGCGCGCGACAGGAAGGACGCAGCGCGACGCCGCAGTCTTGAAAATCACGACAGCGCGTTCAGGAAAATCGCCTGAGGGTGTTGGGGGTGTACGAAATGCATTGCAAGCTCAAATACTGGACGACAAGCATCTACGTACGTGCACTACAACGACTACACACCCACCCCCTCGAAGACGATTTCTCCCACCCACGCATTTCCCCCCAACCACGCGATTCCTCCCATCCACGAAACACGCCACGCAGTCTCGCCCTCCCCCAACCACCCTACAAGCCCCCCCCCCCCCCTTCTCGGCCTCGACCGCCCCCCTTCTAGACCTCGACCGCCCCCCTTCTCGACCTCGACCGCCCCTCCCCCTTCGCTCTCGCCACCCTGCCAGTAAGAAGGTGAGTGGAACGTCCCTCCCCTCGCCGCAATCGCCCCTCCCCGCGCCGCAATCGCCCCTTCGCCGTCTGACGCCGCGTGCTCCCCCCTCGAAGTTGAAAATCAACACTCACATGATATCGGTGCCGACGCACGCGTGTGGCCCGAGAGTCGAGCGCGCATGGCCCGAAAGTCGAGCGCGCAAGTTCGTCCGGGCGCTCCCCCTCCACCTCCCCTTCGTCCCCTATCCTCCCTTTCTTTCATCGCTCCCTTTCCCCTTCAGCTCATCACCTTCCTCTTCAGCTCCCCTTCCCCTTCCGCTCCCCACCTTCCCCCTCCCCCCTCCTCCACCCATCGCACTCTCATCCGCTTCTTGTTCTCGTCCCTTCCCCTCCTCGTTCTCGTCCCTTCCCTTCCCCTCCCCCTCACCCACCCACCACCTGCACCCACGTCCCATTTCCGCACCTCCTCCTCATCTCCGGCCCCCACCCACCCAAGCACCTCCTCCCACCTCCGCGCCTCCTCCCGTCTACGCACGCCCTCCCGTCTCCGCACCTGCCTCCACCTCCGCGCACCCTCCTGTCTCCGCACCTCCCCCCACCTCCGCACCTCCTCCCCTTTCCGCATGCCCTCCCCGATTTCCCAGGCTTGAGAATCACAGGTAGAGGGTTCGCGACGATGAGTCAGGGCGCGCGACGATGGGTCAGGTCGTGAGGAGGGAGCTGGCTTGATGGAGGGGGGTCGGTCTTGAAGGAAGGGGTGTCGAGCTTGAAGGAAGGGGGTTGAGCGCGAAGAGTGCTGGGGCGAAGGGCCCGGCGCCAGGAAGAAATCTGGCGCGAAGGGGGGATTAGCGCGAGGAAGAAAATCGGCGTGAAGGGAAGGATCAGCGCGAAAAAAAAAATCCGGCGCGAAGGGGGGATCGGTGCGAAGGGGGACTCAGCGCGAAGGGGGATCAGAGCGAAGGGGGGATCAGCGGGAACGAAGGAGGACACCTCCAAGACCTCTGGCAGGGACGCCTTCCACTTGCACGTCCGTGTCCACCCCTTCCACGTCCTCCGTAGCAACGAGATTTACTCACCTTCGAAGGGATGGAGTACCCACCCCCTCGTGTTCCTCGCGGAGGGACCGCGTTCACGCCTTCGGAGGCTCGTCAGAAAGAGGGAAAAGGGGGGTCTAGGGAAGAGGTTATTACACGTAATCAGATAGCGGAGAGAGGACGAAATAATGAGAGAGAGAGCGCGCACTTACGAATCTATCGACTCTCGACTCGCGACCGAGCTGCAAAGCCCCCCCCCTCTTTCACAAGTCCCCCCTTTCTTGGTCTCAAGAAAACCTAGGACTAGAAGGAACAAAAAGGAGTCAGTAGGCGAGGAGGGGGCGAGCACGAAGGGGGGACTAACCTTCCACTCTGCCCCTCGAGAAGATGCCGTCCCCCTCGTCGAGTCCCCCTCCCCCCACCGCACTCCCCTCCTTATCCGTTTTACGTTCTCATTACTTCCCCTTCCCTTCGTCTCCAACCTCCACCCGCTTGTCGAGCACCTCCTCCCAGCGCCGCACGTCCTCCCCGATCTCCCGAGCTGCAGAGAGAGTGAGCGAAGGCAGGTCAAGTCGTCGAGAAGGGCCCCACCCGATGGAGGGGCCGAGCGGGAGGAAGGGAGCGAGGTGCGCGGCCGCGTCCACCCCTTCCACGTCATCCGTATCAAAAGGGTCTGCTCACCTTCGAAGGGGAAGACACCACCCCCTCAAGCCCATCGCCGAGGGAGCGCGTTCGCCCCTCCGGCGGCTCGTCAAGTCAGAATGGGAGAAAACGACCTGAAAGAGGTTAGCACGCGTCGCCAACGAGAAGGAAAGGGGTGCAGAGGGGGAGGATACGCACTCACGAATCCTATCGACCCCCTACTAGGCTACGAGGCGCCCCCCTCTCTGCTAAACCCTTTCCCGAACTTCAGGACATTAGAACTAAAAGGGATAACAGCGAGTCAGCATTTGAAGTGGGGGCGAGAACGAAGGAAGGAAGTGATCCCTACACTCGACTCCTTGAGAGAAAGGGACCCCCTCCCTCGCCACAAAGCTCGCCAATAGGGGCGCCGGTGGGTAAGGGGCACAGGATCTATAAAAAGGGCGTGAGACAAGGCGATTTTGGGAGAAGGGAAGGGGTGTAAACTCACCGACATCGCCCCTTTTTGACAGGAGGGAGGGCCCCTCCCTCGATACATCCCTCGCCGTGAGAGCGTGGGCTTGCTTCCGGCGCTTTGGCATCGCCTCAAACCCAGTCGGTAAGGGGGTCAGTACGCATGCGATGGCGGGGGGAGGGAGGGTGACCCACCCTCTTCGCATTATTCACCTAGGGAGCCCGCGCGCGCCTCCGGCGGCTCGGGCTCGCCAAAAAGCTCATCAAAAAGGGCCCCTCCGTCGCTTTTCGAGGCGCCGAGGAAAAGGGCACCGCACCCTCGCCGCATGACTCGCCGAGAGTGCCCGCATGCGCCACCAGCGGCGCGCCCCCTTCAAAGTAAACGGTCAGACAGGATTTCAGCACGCCAAAAAGGGGGTTATGGAAGGGGGGAACAAGGTAGGGGCACGAATTACCAGCGATTTCGTCCCCTCTCCCGAGTGAGGGCTCCCCCAATCCACGCCTTTCCGCCCCAAAAAGGTGGGGGAACATCTCCCTCGTCGCGTAGCTCATCCGAGGAAGCGCGCGCATGCCTCCGGCGGTTCGACCTAGTGGCAAGGGGGTACTTGAGTACGCTTTAACAGTCACATGAATAAGCGTGCGACTCACCAATATGGCCACCCCTCTCGCGTGTGCAGGTCGCCCCCTACCACGGCCAATCCCTCGGAAATGTGGGGAAATCCCTCCCCCATCGCGCACCTCGCCCAAGGGTGCGAGTGCGTACCTCTAGCGGCTGAAAGTGGGGAAGATGTAGGTTAGTAAGCCCGAGAAAAAGTAGAAAAGGGAGGAACTCACCGACATTTCGCCCTCCCCCCTCCCGTCGTGGGAAGCGCCTGCACCAGTCCCTTTCCCCAAAAAGGGGTGGGGGAGACCCCTCCCCGTCGCATCGTTCACCGAGGAAGCGCACGCGCGCCTCCGGCGGCTCGGCCTGGTCAGAATATGGGCTCAGTAAGTACGCTTTGTCAAAGAACAGCAGAAGGGTAATATCCCACCTAGGATCCCCCCCCTCTCGACGAGTAAGGGCATCCCCACCTTCCTCCTTCGCCAAAAAACGGGGAAATACCCTTCCCCCGTCGTCAATCTTGCACGAGGGGGCGCGGGCACACATCCAACGACGGGGGTCACCGAGGAAATCCATCTACGAAAGGGGTTAGCGAGATTAGCGGACGACGGGCATAACTCACAGGAGCGCATGAATATCCCCCCTTCTCCCTTTCTCGTCGCAGAGAGCCCCCCTCCATCATCAACCTTCTCGGAGGGAACTCGCGCGTGCCTCGAGCGTCTCGGAAACGGACGACATTTCGCTAGGGGAGGGGGTCAGCCCGGTTCCAAAGCGCGAGGGGCCTGTCAAAACTAACTGGTGCAGACGGAGGGTAGATGACCCTCATCGCGTCGCTCGTTCGAGACGGAGCGCGCACGCCTTCGGCAGTTCCAGGCGGTCGATTATTGTGGCATCTAGAATCCCGTTAGCGCGATTTGAGGCGAAATTGCGGAGAGTAACCCCCTCCACCGTTGAGCTCGTCTACTCACCAGTCCCCCTTCACCCCCCAAACCCGATAGGGCACCGTTTCTCCCCCCAAGACTAGGCCCAAAGAACCCCCTCGGATCGTCGCATGCCGTCAAAACGACCGATTAGAAGGGCCTGGACAGAACGCGGGGGGTGGGGGTGGCCTGAATCGCTGGGGTCGGTGACGGAGAGGGTCGAGGCCGGCCGCCGCGTCGACGTGGGAGTGGGGGAATGACGAGAGGTGGTGACGCGAGCGGTGCGCTCGCCGTCTGCGGTGAGATGAGCCACTACGCGCGACGACGGATGCGTGAACTCACCGATGCCGAGAGCGCTCGTGCGTCGTCAAAGTCTTCTCGTCGTCGTCTTGAGCAGCGCGTGGAGGGTTGATATGTCGGTGCTTCGGTGTCGTCGAAGGACGTGCAGGGCCCCGCCGCTGCCCAGACGGCATAGAAGGGTCTCCTTCGCAGTGGTCAAGCAGAGCAGACACGGAGGAGATCACGCTCACCGTCCATTTTCACTCAGAACCGCACCGCGAGTACCGGAGGCGCAGTGAAGGGGGCAGGAGTTCCTGGAAGTTGTCTCCCGCGGTCGCAGAGCAGACCGACTTCCATTGGTGAGCCTTCTGCGTGCGTCGGCATCGGGGCGAGCGAGCTGCTGACGACGACGTCGGCGTCGATGGCGGCGAGAGAAAGGTGACCGTCGCGAATAGTGGGGGCCGGCGTGATGGCCTAGAACAAAGCGAGTCAGGGTGGCGCGACATCGAAAACTCAGCCCGTCCTTACCCGACAGGCACAGGCGGGACGGCGGCGAGTGGTCCTATAGCTATCCAGCGAGTCAGTACGCATAGTAAATAGAGAAAAAGGAAGTGAGCGTACCGGGAAAACGTAGAAAGTCGGTAGTGCTTTCGGTGTCGATTGATGGTGCGTGTCTGAAAAAGGCCGCGTGAGTGGATCAGTGAGCGGGTAGAGCGCTATCAGGAGAGCAGACACGGGGAAGAGTAGGTCGTAGTAGTCTAGGATATAATCCTAGTCAGTACGAAGCCGGGAGTGAAGAACGAAGACTCACGAAGCAATGTAAAACGAGTAGAGAGTAAGACCTGCATAGAGAAGGGTCAGAAGAGTTAGAGCAAGCAGATGAAGCGAGCACTCACACTGCACGCGACGTTACAAGATCCGACTGAGAAGGTAGAGGAGGTGAGGGAGGGTCAGACAAGTGGAGGAAGGGCTTGGAATGCTGAATGAGGCGGTCAACTATCCTCCCCTTTATACTTCGCGAGCGGCCCACGCCGCGTCCAGTGCCGCCCAAACTTCCAGACCGGCGTTGAATATTTCCGGATCAGACCTCGGCGGTCCGCGACCGAGACCCGTCCAGCGGAAAGTCGGAAGATTGGGGGGAGGGGCGCGGAGTGCGCGCATGCAATCTTCCGCCGCATCCCTGCGCGAATGTCAGCCAGAGCGCGAGCAGAAAGCATCGAGGCTTGCTCACCCGGGCAGGGGATGCCGTGCACGTGGCGTCCGGCGGGGAAGGGCGGAGGGTTTATGCGACCTGTCCGCTCGGTGGCACGCAAGTTGCAGGACAACGTACATCTTCCTTTCGTCCGCGTCGTCTGCAAAACAGCGTCAGTAACGTCGCGGAGAGGACGAGGGACGCCACGTGGCACGTGTTGATGTTGACTTGGCGCGGGATGAGCGCGAGACTGAGGAGGAAGAAGTCGAACTCACTTCCATCACGCTATATCTCCATTTAGCAGGCCTTGAGCTGCGCGGAGGGCGGCACGTTTTTGGCGCCTCTCCCTCCCTCGCACACTTCCCGAAAGACCCAGTAGTTACGCGACACGTGTATGCCGTCGTGTCGACATGTTGCGCGGGCGTCGGCGAGGGGAAAATGGGGTTGCTCCATTGTTCTCGCTCCGGTGAGGATAGCGGGATGAGCGCGGACGCGCCGAGGCCGCCGCTGGCGCGCATCAAATTTCCAAAATTCTGATCCGATATTTCAGTGTCCAGAGCGTCGTGTTTGGGAGCATGCGCGTGCTGTAAAGTGGAGGAACTCGCGGGGGAATAATGAAGGCGGCGCACGGGTATCCGACGATTTGAACGTCAGGGCCGAAGCCGGCGAGCGGACGGATGTTTTGAGAATGTTAGGGAATGGGTTCGGGATGACGTACATGTGTCGTTGTCGTCGGTATTCAACGCGCAGGTGACGGGGAATATGTAGGTTGAGGAAAAGGCGGTCGTGTATTGTGAGTGCGGGAATGCCCTGGGGCTTGCCAAACTCCCTTAAGTACGTGTATACTACTTCAATATCAAGATTCTGTGCTTATCCGATCAGCGCGGGTCCCTGCGGTGTATGCACGAACGCACCAAAAACGACGCCACATATTCCAAACCACCTTCCCGACGTCCTACTGACCTCGCGCGGTCGCCAAACAGCGGCGCAGCTACTGATATATGATCGGGTCGATGCCCCCCACCGATCTTTGAAGGTCAGCTATCTCCGCCAAAGTGGTCACCTACCGAGGGTAACCGGGTCGGTTGTGCATACATCCCACTTCGACCTTCAGACACGATAAGGGAGGACGCGTTCCCTGCTGATCGATGCAGCGCAGTGCTCGAACAATACATCGAGGGCGTATTCGGGATGTGTCCGGACCCATCGTGGGTGCTGGGGGTAATGGGGGATAGGTGCTGTAGCCTGAGATCGCGTCGTGAAGCGCTAGACGCGTGGTATGAGGAGTTCCGAGGGATCCCGGTGTGCTGTCCATTCCACTCGTCTGGGATGCTGAGCTGTACTCTCGAGGACGTGGGAGCCGTCGTCAGAACTGCGGGGGGCGACGGCGATGAGAGCAGAACGCAGATGGAGCGGCGGGGGAAGTGCGGTCGGCAATTGCCGACGACCGGCGGCGCGGGGCGGAAGCCGGTAAGCGCCCGGCGCTTGTTGCACGCGGCTTGATCTCGACCGTCACCATCGTTCCCCGTGTCTGCGCGCCGCCCTGTCGATCGTCTTCCCGCTGAGCGGGTGACTCTGGCGACGTCGGGGAACTTCTTTCTGTCCCCTATTCGTCTTTTGCAATATCATATCCAGTTCTCTATGACCCAGATACCGCAAGCAATCGTTACGAAAGGCGCAGGGAAGAGCCCGCGCGTGGCAGTCTCCTCGCTGTGCTGCGCGCTGCTCAAAACACGTGTATATGCGATGACAAGGCCGCCGTCTCTCAGGCACCCGCGCAGGGTAATCTAGGTAAGTCCCCGCGCGGGGCAACTTGTTGATTTGTTGACTCCGATGTGCTTCTCGTGAAAACCTTCCGACTTTGGTAGGTTTTCCCGCCTCCCCGCGATCCCGACGGCCGGGGGCACGAGCCTTCGGCCGCTCTCGTGCGCTCTCGCACCGCCGACTGTCCGTCTTGCTCCCCGAACGTCTCGTCGACGGCCGCGCCGTGTCCGTCCTCCCTTGTCATCTCGTCGATCTTGTCGGCGACGCGCACGCAAAAGCGGCGAGAGCTCTTGCTCGATTGTCTTTCACATCACCACCCAACACAAGACTCAAGCTCGGTCTTTGACGAGGCGCAGCTCGTTACGCGCGCACATCGGTTTGGGTATGGAGTAGACGGATTTGCGCCCGGCGAGCGGGAATATACAGTACGTGATACATCCCTCGCTACGAATGTCTCGCGCTCACCTTGATCTAGACTCTCCTGATATCGTCTAAGTCTTCCCTGTCGTTCGTCTCCGCCACCGCCGCTGTCCGAGTCCTCAGAACTCACGGAAAATTCTCCTCATCGCCGCACGCCACCCCAACCGAATTCATCGCTGAAGCAACAGATCGTCGTCCGCCGAGCGGTGCAATACGGTGCGTGGTACGATGTCTGTCTCCCAGTCCAGCGCTCACAAATGTCCAGGCCCCGAACGCCGAATCTCCTCCACGAAACGGGCCTGGAATTTCGGTCCTCCGAGAGAAGGTCTCGCCCACCGGCTCCACCTATCCCTTCCTTTCCCTCAACTCCTTTCGCTGCTCAACCACGATCGCGCTCTTCACGACCACGCCTCATCGCCGCATTCCACGCCTCATCGCCGCATTCCACGCCTCATCGCCGCATTTCACGCCTCACTGCCCCATTTCATCCCCCATCGCTGCATTCCACGCTCACTATCCGAGTCAAGCGCCGAAGCAACGGCCGATTTTATCCGCCGAGGGTCGAGCGGCGCCGTACAATGCTTCAGGCGAATTTACGGTGCGTGATACCTCTCTCGAGCTCATGCAGAAGACTTACGACGCTCTAGATTGTTCGCGGGAGGCGACGACGCCATCAATCGCCGCTCGGCGAGCGAGGCTGTCGCGTTCAGGCCATCTGTATCTTTCCAAAACCTCCGACGTCTCGCGCTCATCGTCTCCGCATCGTCATCATGCCGTCGCACTCACATCTCTCTTCTCCCTCTGTGAGCAGCAACACGGGCTCGCTCGTCAACCTCAACAACTCGTGCTCGACCTCGGTAACTCTTCCTACCACTTCCGCATCGTCCTCGCGCCGACCCAAGCACTGAAGCAATAGATTTTCGTCCGCCGAGCGGAGTGATCAGGTACGTGCTCTGCTTTTAGCTCACGAGTCGATCGCTCATTCGCTATGTTTCCCTTCAGGTCTCGCCTCTGCTTCAAGTCTCCTTCCCTCGGTTGCCTCGCCCCTCCCCTCGGTCGCCTCACCTCTCCCGTCGGTTGCCTCGCCTCGCCCCTCCTACCGCCTCAAGTCGCCTTCCACCTCCCTTCGCCTCGCTTCTCGCCTTACACCACCTCCCATCTCTTCGCCTTTCGCCTCCCTTCGCCCCAAACTTCCTCGCGCTCCTCAAGCTCCTCAACCTCTCCTCGCGCTCCCCCAACCTCTCCAATGCGCTCCTGGCAACGCCCAGCCTCCTAGCGCCTTCTGATCAATACAGCAACATATTTTCGTCCGCCGAGCGACCTAATCAGGTCTGGGCTCTCGTCTCTGAGTCGACCCGTCGTATTTGATTCTTCCCATCATCTTGGGACTTTGCAGTCGGCCGAGCATTTTCCTGACTTCCCAAGTGCTTGGGTGAGCGCTCGGGGTCTTTGCTAATGCTTCGAACGCTTCGGCGCGTTTTTGCGCATCCTCCCTAACCCTTCGAGCACTCCACTAATCTCCTGGGCGCCTCGCTCGCCTCGTCGAGCCTTATATACTATACTGTGCATGTTGTTGTGTACTCCTTTGTGTGCCTTTTGTTATAGACTTGTTTGTTTGCTCTCGACTCGTCTATTTGCTTTCGACTCGGCTGTTTGCTCCTGACTTGTCTGTTTGCTCTCGACTCATCTTCTTCTTCGACTCATGAGTCTCGCTTCAGGGCCCATCCGAGTCTTGCTCGTAACTCGTCCAGGTCTTGCTCGTTACTAACCCAAGCCTCGCCCACCATCTCACGAGCAAGTCTCCAATTCTAGACTCACAAGCAAGTCTGCACTTCTCGACTCTCGACGAGGTCTCGAAGACTGACCTTCTTGACACGGCCTTCACATCCCGTCTCGGCCTTCTCATGCCATCTCGGTGTTCTCATGCCATCTCGGTGTTCTCATGCCATCTTGGTGATCTCATCTCGTCTTGGTGTTCTCATCTCCTTCTCGGAGTTCTCATCCCTGCAATGGTGTCTGTAACCCTACCAGCGTCTTCCCAACATCCTGCCAGCGTCTTCCCAACATCCTGCGAGCCTCGACCTCGGCTTCTCCTGTCCGTCGACCTACGACAACCTCCGTCGAGGCCTCGACCCAGTGCTTCTCAATCCCCTCATGCTCCATCCATTCTCTCTATCCCCTGCACTCCATCCATTTTCTCTATCCCCTGCGCTCCGTTCATTCTCTCCAACCCATTCACATACCTTTGGTCACTCGTAGCTTATCCGTATACTCACAGCTCATCAGTGTACTTGCAGCTCATCACTCGGTGTATATAGTATGAGCGAGCATGAGAGAAGCTGTCTCGCAGCCCTCCCTTATATACTCCCACCACCGACTGGCCTCGAGCCCTCGGATCAGGTCGCGAGAGGTAAATCGGAGCACTCGAAGGGGTCGTATGACGGAACAGAGCCGAGGACCTGAATTACCGGGCCCTCGACCGGAGCAGCACAGCCGTCGGGCGGAAATGAAGCGCCGTCGAACGACTATTGACCGAGATCACGGAAGACTTTTGGTAATCAGGAGATGATTTGTGATGTCTGGAGCGAGGTCTGTAGGAGAGTGACTGGAGGAGTAAATTCAGTGGGAGGGGAGGAAGGAAAGGATGGATTAGCTACTTTGCAGAGAGGTAGGCCAGACCACACGCTCCCAACTCGCCTTTGAACGACAAGGAACGAGCAACAAGTCCGCTCTGCACAATTATTGGAGTGCCCGTGTCACGCTTTCCCAGCGAGTTCGGAGGGAATAGAATGGGAAGGGCTGATAGCAGGGACCTGTAACCTCGGGGACCTCTTAGTTTGAGGAATACGATCCCAGCGCACTTTATCCGGAGGCGCTAGGTGCCGCGGTTGGCGAGATAGAACCTTGAGGAGGTCGTAGATGCGAATTTTCTCGCTTTTGACCGAAAAGGAAACGCGACGGTTCAACTTCCGTCACGTCACGCGGGGCGCGCAGGGTGGACCAGCCCGGACTCGCATAATTCATCAGCGCGACCGCCAGCCTCGACGCGGCGCCGGAGAGTACAAGAGCAGGCGCGCACGCCGGAATTCGAACTCGGGCGCGGATCCCCCGCGATGACGCACGACGTCACCTCTGCCGTCCTTCTCCCGCGCATCGCCCGTCGCCGTCGACGGGCGCCCCCCGCGGGCTGTCCGTCAGCCTCGCGTCAGTCGACCGCAGGCAGAGTGAGCCATGACGCGTCGATCGAAGCGCGTCAGTCGAGCACAGGCAGAGGCGGACCACGACCGCTGCTTCGAGGAGAGCAGAGAAGCAGTCACTCGTATGTCAGTCTCTGACCCATTCAGACCGTCGCTCTCTCGCACGTACATACCTTATCACTCCTCCAGCCGCTCCTTCGTCTCCCGATATTCCTCTGCTCGCCTGCGATGTTCATCTTCGGTCGTCCGCCACCGCCCGGGCCCCCGCGCCTCGCCATTCCTGAGCTGCTCTTCGAGATCTTCCGCGACGCGCGCCTGAGCAGGCGAGATCTGTCGCATGCGGCGCTGGTGTGCAGGGCGTGGCACGCTGTCGCGGACGTGGTGCTCTGGGAGGACATGCCGGGTCTCGCGCCACTTTTGATGCTCATGCCTGCGGATGCCTGGACGATGGTGAGTCCGGCAGTGTGCGCGTCGGGATGAGGACTGACGCAAGCGATTAGACCCCGTCGAAGAGGAGGGTGGAGAAACAGATATTCGTACGTGGGTACTCCGACTCCATCATCAGTCTCTAACCCCTCCAGACCTTCCGCCGTGCACTGCGCGCCTCCGACTGGGCGAATGTCGCCACTCGATCGTGCTCCGTTCGGCGGCTTACCCTCTTCGGCGCCCCACCAAATTGCGTCCAGCGCGCCATCATCGCCTGCCCACCACCCGCGAACCTCCTTCCCAGACTGCAGACGCTCACCCTCACCCAGCTCGTGGCCCGGCCCGGGAGCGGGGACGCGTTCGCCACCGCGCTCGCCTGCGCCTTCCTCCACATGCTCTTCAGCAGTGGCGCGGACACACCCTACTCCTCACCTCGCCATCTGCGCCTCCGCGACTGCGCGCCCGACCTCGCCCGGCACGTCCTCGCGCACCCGCTCGCCGCCCGCCTCGAGGACGCCACGCTCGACGTGCGCCTCACCGACCTCGCCCGCCTCCCCGCGCCGCCCACCCTCCGCCGCCTCCGCGTGCACGCGCTCGACGACGCGCGCCGCGCCCTCCCGCTCCAGCCGCGCACCCTCCGCGACATCCTCCCCGCCCACCGCGCGCTCGCCCGTCTCGCGCACGTCGAGATCACGGGCCCCGTGCAGCTCTTCGACGCCGACGTCGCCGCGGTGGCACGCGCGTGGCCGGCGCTGCAGACGCTCGTGCTCACCCCGCAGACGACAGGCGCGTCGTGCCTGACGCTCGGCGCGCTCGTCCCGCTCGCGCGGCACTGCCCAAAGCTCGATTTCATCGCGCTGCCGCTGTGCGCGCTGGACGTGCCGAGCGAGGGCGCGGCGGGGCACTACTACCTCGGCGGTCGCCCGGTTGCCTCCCTCGACGCCGCCCCCCTCGTCCTGGTCCTGTGGCGCGCGCTAGGACGCTCGGACAGGAACTACGGCGCCCATGTCCCCAACTACGATCCCGTTCTCCTCGCCAAGTTCCTCATCTCGCTGTTCCCCGGGCTCAAGCGCGTGTCGAACGACTTGGCGGCGGAGCGGGTGGCGAAGGGACTCGCAAAGGAGAAGGTCGAGGACTACTGGGACACGCCAGTAGAACAAGGCATCTGGGACGAGCTCGAGCGCGCTATGCCTTTGGTGCGCTCGCGCTAGCCAAGGGCGCGCCTGCGAGGGGTCGTGGACGGTGGAGCACGAGTCGTAGCACTTGGGTGGTGTTTCGATGGTCGACGAGGTAGCGCCATGTTATCAGGCAAGTATTCCTTTGGTCTCCCAGTCTCACTCGGTTTTGGATGGATATTACGGTAGACCGGCTTCCGCACCCTGCTATTTATCATAGTAGTGCCACTTAACTAACGTATAGCGGTAGGATCGTCTAAGTAACTTATCAGTAGTATATGCGTTAATCAATGAACTTGGTCTCGAAGATATTACAAAGGTGAACGCTCGCTCGTTAGTAGACTGGATTATCTGCGACCCGCGCGCTCCACGAAGGCCGCAGCGCGACGCCGCGTTCTTGAAAATCACGACGCCGCATTCAAGAAATTTCGCCCGAGGGTGTTGGGGGTGTACAAAATGCATTGCAAGCTCTAATACTCGACGACAAGCATCTACCTACGTGCACTACGACGACTACACACCCACCCCCTCGACGACGATTCCCCCCACGCGCGCGATTCCTCCCACCCACGCGATTCCTCCCACCCAAGAAATACGCCACGCAGTCTCGCCCTCCCCCGACCACCCTATCAACCCCCCTTCTCGGCCTAGACCGCCCCTCCCCCATCGTTCCCCCCACCCTGTGAGTAGGGAGGTGTTCGAAACACCCTTCCCCGTGCCGCAATCGCCCCTCCCCGCGCCGCAATCGCCCCTTCGCCGTCCGACGCCGCGCGCGCCCCCCTCGAAGTCGAAAATCAACCCTCACACGATTTCGGTGCCGACGCACGCGAGTGGCCCGAAAGTCGAGCGCGCAAGTTCGTCCGCGCGCTCCCCCTCCCCTTCGTCCCCCATGCTCCATTTCCTTCACCGCTCCCCTTCCCCTTCAGCTCTCCACCTTCCTTTTCAGCTCCCCACCTCCTCCCTCCCCTCCTCCGCCCATCGCACCCCCATCCACTTCTCGTTCTCGGCCCTTCCCCTTCACTTCATCTCCAACCCCCTCCATCCTTCCCACCCATCTCACGCGCACCTTCCTGAAGCCGCACGCCTTCCCCGATCTCCCAGGCTTGAGAGTCGCGGGCACAGGGTGCGCGACGTCAGAGATCAGCGCGTGGAAGGGCCGAGCACGAAGGGGAGGTCGAGCGCGAGGGAGGGGTTAAGCGAGGGAAGGGCTGGGGGAAACCGTCCTGCGTGAGGAAGAAATCCGGCGCGAAGGGGGAATCAGCGCGAGGGGAAGGTTAGCGAGAAGGAGATCAGCGGGAAGGGGGACACTACGAGGATGTCGGGCAAGGACTCCTTCCACTCGCGCGTCCGTGTCCACCCCTTCCACGTCCTCCTTAACAACGAGATTTACTCACCTTCGAAGGGGGAGGGATTATCCAACCCCGCGAGTTCTTCATGAAGGGACCGCGTTCACACCTTCGGAGGCTCGTCAGAAAGAGAGAAAATGGTCTAGAGAAGAGGTTAGTACTCCTCATTGAATAGCGGGGCGAGGGTGCGCACTTACGAGTTGATCGACTCACAGCAAAGTTACGAAGCGCCCCCTTTTCGTAAAGTAGAGAGGACAGGAGGGAATGAGCACGCGAAGTGGAGGGGCACGAAGGGGGAACTAACCTCACACTCACCCCCGCGAGGAGACTCCCCTCTCCATTCCTTCCCCCTCGTCGACCTCCCCCCACCGCACTCCCCTCCTTATCAGTTTTACGTTCTAATTAATTCCCCTTCCCTTCGTCCCCAACCTCCACCCGCTTGTCGAGCACCTCCTCCCAGCGCCGCACGTCCTCCCCGATCTCCCGAGCTGCAGAGAGAGTGAGCGAGGGCAGGTCAAGTCGTCGAGAAGGGCCCCACCCGATGGAGGGGCCGAGCGGGAGGAAGGGGATAAGGTGCGCGGCCGTGTCCATCCCTTCCACGTCATCCGTATCGAAAGAGTCTACTCGCCTTCGAAGGAGACGACTCCACCCCCCTCAGGCCCCTCACCGAGGGAGGGCGTTCGCCCCTCCGACGGCTGTCCAGTCAGAAAGGGAGAAAAGGACCTGAAAGAGGTTAGCACGCGTCGTCAACGAGAAGGAAAGGGGTGCAGAGGGGGAGGATACGCACTCGCAAGTCCTATCAACGCACTACCACGCTACGACGCGCCCCCCTCTCCGCTAAACCCTTTCCTGAACTCCAGGACATTAGAACTAGAAGCTCTAGAAGCGAGTCGCCATGCGAAGTGGGGGCGAGAACGAAGGAAAGAACGAACCCTACACTCGACTCCTTGAGAGAAAGGAGGAGGGAGGGACCCCCTCCCTCGCCACAAAGCTCGCCTTTAGGGGCGCCGGTGAATAAGGGGCACAGGATCTATAAGAAGGGCGTGAGACAACGCGCTTTTGGGAGAAGGGAAGGGGTGTTAACTCACCGACATCACCCCCCTTCAACGACAGGAGGAAGGGCCCCTCCCTCGTTACATTCCTCACCGAGAGAGCGCGGGCTTGCCTGCGCCGTTTCGGCATCGACCCACACCCGGTCTGTAGGGGGGTCAGTACGCATGCGACGGCGGAGGGAGGGAGGGAGACCCACCCTCTTCGCATTACTTACCTAGGGAGCCCGCGCGCGCCTCCGGCGGCTCGGGCTCGGCGAAAAGTCCATCGAAAAAGGAAAAAAGGGCCCCTTCCCCGCTTCTCCAGCCGCCGAGCGAAAGGGCACCCCACCCTCGCCGTGTGACTCGCCGAGTACGCCCACGCGCGCCACCAGCGGCTCGCCCCCCTCTAAGTAAACGGTCAGACAGGATTTCAGCACGCCAAAAAGGGGGTATAGAAGGGAGGAACAAGGTAGGTGGGCACAACTTACCAGCGATTTCACCCCGTCTCGCGAGTGAGGGCACCCCCAACCTACCCCTTTCCCCCGAAAGGAAGGGGGGATCCTTCCCCCTTCGCGTAGCTCACCCGAGGAAGCGCACGGCCACCCCCTCTCGCGTGTGCAGGTCGCCCCCTACCACGGCCAATCCCTCGGAAATGTGGGGAAATCCCTCCCCCATCGCGCACCTCGCCCGAGGGTGCGAGTGCGTACCTCTAGCGGCTGAAAGTGGGGAAGATGTAGGTTAGTAAGCCCGAGAAAAAGCAGAAAAGGGTGGAACTCACCGACATTTCGCCCTCCCCCCTCCCGTCGTGGGAAGCGCCTGCACAAGTCCCTTTCCCCAAAAAGGGGTGGGGGAGACCCCTCCCCCGTCGCATCGTTTACCGAGGAAGCGCACGCGCGCCTCCGGCGGCTCGGCCTGGTCAGAATATGGGCTCAGTAAGTACACTTCATCGAAAAAAGCAGAAGGGTAATATCCCACCTAGAATCCCCCCCCTCTCGACGAGTAAGGGCATCCCCACCTTCCTCCTTCGCAAAAAAACGGGAAAATACCCTTCCCCCGTCGTAAATCTTGCACGAGGGGGCACGGGCACACGTCCAACGACGGGGGTCACCGAGGAAATCCATCTACGAAAGGGGTTAGCGAGATTAGCGGACGACGGGCATAACTCACAGGAGCGCATGAATATCCCCCCTTCTCCCTTTCTCGTCGCAGAGAGCCCCCCTCCATCATCAACCTTCTCGGAGGGAACTCGCGCGTGCCTCGAGCGTCTCGGAAACGGACGACAATTCGCTAGGGGAGGGGGTCAGCCCGGTTTCAAAGCGCGAGGGGCCGGTCAAAACTCACTGGTGCAGACGGAGGGTAGATGACCCTCATCGCGTCGCTCATTCGAGACGGAGCGAGCACGCCTTCGGCAGTTCGGGGCGGTCGATTATTGTGGCATCTAGAATCCCGTTAGCGCGATTTGAGGCGGAATTGCGGAGAGTAACTCCCTCCACCGTTGAGCTCGTCTACTCGCCAGTTGCCCTTCACCCCCCAAACCCGATAGGGCACCTTCTCTCCCCCCAAGACTAGGCCCAAAGAACCCTCTCGGATCGTCGCATGCCGTCAAAGTAACCCCCAAAAAGGGCCTGGACGGAAGGTGGGGGGTGGGGGTGGCCTGAATCGCTGGGGTCGGTGACGGCGAGGGTCGAGGCCGGCCGTGGCGTCGACGTGGAGGTGGGGGAAGGACGAGAGGTGGTGACGCGAGCGATGCGCTCGCCGTCTGCGGTGAGATGAGCCACGACACGCGACGACGGAGGCGTGGACTCACCGATGCCGAGAGCGCTCGTGTGTCGTCAGAGGCTCCCCGTCGTAGTCTTGCGCAGCCCGGGTGAGGTCAAAATGTGGGTGCCTCGATGTCGTCGACGACCGTGTAGTGCCCCGCTTCTGCCCGAACGGCGTCGACGGGTCTCCTTCGACGATTATCAAGCAGAGCAGACACGGAGGAGATCGCGCTCACCGTCAATTCTCACTCAGAACCGCACTGCGAGTACTGGATGCGCAGTGAAGGGCGCGGGAGTGCCTGGTCACAGAGCAGACCGACTTCCAACGGCGAGCCTTCTGCGTGCGCGTCGAGGCGAGCAAAATGCTTACGACGATGACGGCGAGGAGAAAGGTGACCGTCGCGGATAGTGGGGGCCGGCGTGATGGCCTAGAACAAAGCGGGTCAGGGTGGCGCGACATTGAAAACTCAGCCCGTCCTTACCCGATAGGCACGGGCGGGACGGCGGCGAGTAGTACTATAGCTATCCAACGAGTCAGTACGCATAGTGAATAGAGAAAAAGGAAATAAACGTACCAGAAAAACGTAGAAAGTCGTTAGTGCGTTTGGTGTCGATTGATGATGCGCGTTCGAAGAAAGCTGTGAGAGAGGATCAGTGAACGGGTAGAGCGTTATTAGGAGAGCAGACGCGGGGAACAGCAGGTCGTGATAGTCTAGGATGTAATCCTAGTCAGTACGAAGCCGGGAGTAAAGAAGCCAGACTCACGAAGCAATGCAAAACGAGTAAATAGCAAGACCTGGTTAGAGAAGGGTCAGAAGAGTCAGAGCAAGTAGATGAAGCGAGCACTCACACTGCACGCGACGTTACAAGATCCAATTGAAAAGGGGGAGGAGGTAAGGGATGGTAAGAGAAGAGGAGGAAGGGATTGGAATGCTGATTTGAAGCGGTGAGGTGACCTACCCTTTATACTTCGCGAGCGACCCAACGCCGCGTCCAGTGCCGCCCAAACTTCCAGACCGGCGTTGAGTATTCCCGGATCAGACCTCGGCGGTCCGCGGCCGAGACCCGTCCAGCGGAAAGTCGGAAGATTGGGGGGAGGGGCGCGGAGTGCGCGCATGCAATCTTCCGCCGCATCCCTGCGCGAATGTCAGCCAGAGCGCGAGCAGAAAGCATCGAGGCTTGCTCACCCGGGCAGGGGATGCCGTGCACGTGGCGTCCGGCGGGGAAGGGCGGAGGGTTTATGCGACCTGTCCGCTCGGTGGCACGCAAGTTGCAGGACAACGTACATCTTCCTTTCGTCCGCGTCGTCTGCAAAACAGCGTCAGTAACGTCGCGGAGAGGACGAGGGACGCCACGTGGCACGTGTTGATGTTGACTTGGCGCGGGATGAGCGCGAGACTGAGGAGGAAGAAGTCGAACTCACTGCCATCACGCTATATCTCCATTTAGCAGGCCTTGAGCTGCGCGGAGGGCGGCACGTTTTTGGCGCCTCTCCCTCCCTCGCACACTTCCCGAAAGACCCAGTAGTTACGCGACACGTGTATGCCGTCGTGTCGACATGTTGCGCGGGCGTCGGCGAGGGGAAAATGGGGTTGCTCCATTGTTCTCGCTCCGGTGAGGATAGCGGGATGAGCGCGGACGCGCCGAGGCCGCCGCTGGCGCGCATCAAATTTCAAAAGTTCTGATCCGATATTTCAGTGTCCAGAGCGTCGCGTTTGCGTGCCGTAAAGTGGAGGAACTCGCGGGGGAATAATGAAGGCGGCGCACGGGTATCCGACGATATGAACGTCAGGGCCGAAGTCGGCGAGCGGACGGATGTTTTGAGAATGTTAGGGAATGGGTTCGGGATGACGTACATGTGTCGTTGTCGTCGGTATTCAACGCGCAGGTGACGGGGAATATGTAGGTTGAGGAAAAGGCGGTCGTGTATTGTGAGTGCGGGAATGCCCTGGGGCTTCCCAAACTCCCTGAGATACGTGTATACTACTTCAATATCAAGATTCTGTGCTTATCCGGTCAGCGCGGGTCCCTGCGGTGTATGCACGAACGCACCAAAAACGACGCCACATATTCCAAACCACCTTCCCGACGTCCTACTGACCTCGCGCGGTCGCCAAACAGCGGCGCAACTACTGATATATGATCGGGTCGATGCCCCCCACCGATCTTTGAAGGTCAGCTACCTCCGCCAAAGTGGTCACCTACTGAGGGTAACCGGATCGGTTGTGCATACATCCCACATCGACCTTCAGACACGATAAGGGAGGACGCGTTCCCTGCTGATCGACGCAGCGCAGTGCTTTGACAATACATCGAGGGCGTATTCGGGACGTGTCTGGACCCATCGTGGGTGCTGGGGGTAATGGGGGATAGGTGCCGTAGCCTGAGATCGCGTCGTGAAGCGCTAGACGCGTGGTATGAGCAGTTCTGAGGGATCCCGGCGTGTCGCTCGTTTCATTCGTCAGGGATGCTGGGGTGCACGTCCAAGGACGCGGGGGCCGTCGTCAGAACCGCGGGGGGCGACGGCGATGAGCGCAGAGCGCAAGAGGAGCGGCGGGGGAAGAGCGGTCGGCAGTTGCCGATGACCGGCGGCGCGGGGCGGAAGCCGGTAAGCGCCCGGCGCTTGTTGCACGCGGCTTGATCTCGACCTTCACCATCGTTCCCCGTGTCTGCGCGCCGCCCCGTCGATCGTCTTCCCGCCATGCGGGCGACTTTTGCGACGTCGAGGGAATCTTCTCTGTGCTCTATTCGTCTTATGCAATATGACACCCAGTTCTTTACGACCTGGATCCGGCAAGAAATCTTTGCGAAGGACGCGGGGAAGAGCCCGCCCGCGGCAGTCTCCTCGTTGAGCTTCGCGCTGCTCGAAACACGTGTATATGTGACGACAAGTCCACCTCAACTCAGGCACCCGTGCGGGGTGATCTAGGCAAGTCCCCGCGCGGGGCAACTTGTTGATTTGTTGACTCCGATGTGCTTCTCGTGAAAACCTTCCGACTTTGGTAGGTTTTGCCGCCTCCCCGCGACCCCGACGGCCGGGGGCACGAGCCTTCGGCCGCTCTCGTGTGCTCTCGGACCGCTGACTATCCGTCACGCTGCCCGAACGTCTCGTCGACGGCCGCGCCGTGTCCGTCCTCCCTTGCCATCTCGTCAATCTTGTCGACGATGCGCACGCTCGACCGTCTTTTACATCGCCACACAACACAAAGCCCAAGCACGGCCTTCGACGAGGCGCAGCCCGACACTAGCGCGCTTCGGTTTGGGTCCTGAGTAGACGGATTTTCGCCCGGCGAGCGGGAATATACAGTACGTGATACACTCCTCGGTAAAGATGTCGCGCGCTCACCTTGATCTAGACTCTCCTCATGTCGTCCAAGTCCTCCCTGTCGTTCGTCGACGCCAACGTCGCTGTCCGAGTCCTCATAGCCCACGGAAAACTCTCCTCATCGCCGCACGCCACCCCAACCGAATTCATCGCTAAAGCAACAGATTGTCGTCTGCCGAGCGGTGTAATACGGTGCGTGGTACGACTTCAGTCACCGAGTCGAGCGCTCACAATTGTCCAGGCCCTGAACGCCGAATATCCTCCACGAAACGGGCTCGGAATTTCTGTTCTCCGAGCGAAGGTTTTGCCTTCTTGTGCCCATCGGCTCCCCGCATCGCTTTCTTTCCCTCGACCCCCTTCGCTGCTCAACCGCGCACGCGCTCTCCGCGGTCACGCCCCGTCGCCGCATCCCACGCCTCATCGCCCAATTTCATCCCTCATCGCTGCATTCCACGCTCACCAATCGAGTCAAGCGCCGAAGCAACGGCCGATTTCATCCGCCGAGGGTCGAGCGGCGCCGTACGATGCTTCAGGCGAATTTACGGTGCGTGATACCTCTCTCGAGCTCATGCGGAAGACTTACGACGCTCTAAGTTGTTCGCGGGAGGCGACGAGGCCATCAATCGCCGCTCGGCGAGCGAGGCTGTCGCGTTCAGGCCATCTGTATCTTTCCAAAACCTCCGACGTCTCGCGCTCATCGTCTCCGCGTCGTCATCGTGCCGTCGCACTCACGTCTCTCTTCTCCTTCTGTGAGCAGCAACATGGGCTCGCTCGTCAACCTCAACAACTCGTGCTCGACCTCGGTAACTCTTCCTACCACTTCCGCATCGTCCTCGCGCCGACCCAAGCACTGAAGCAATAGATTTTCGTCCGCCGAGCGGAGTGATCAGGTACGTGCTCTGCCTTTAGCTCATGAGTTGACTGCTATTTCTTTGTTTTTCCCTTCAGGTCTCGCCTTCGCCTCTGCTTCAAGGCTCCTTCCCTCGGTTGCATCGCCTCTCCCCTCCTATTGCTTCAAGTCGCCTTCCGCCTCCCTTCACCTCGCTTCTCGCCTCACATCACCTAGCTTCTCGCCTCCCATCTCCTCGCCTTTCGCCTCCCTTCGCCTCAAACTTCCTCACGCTCCCCAAACCTCCTCGCGCTCCCCAAACCTCTCCGACGCGCTCCCGACGACGCCCCACCTCCCAGCGCCTTCTGATCAATAAAGCAATGTATTTTCGTCCGCCGAGCGACCTAATCAGGTCTGGGCTCTCGTCTTTGGGTCTTCCCATCATCTTGGGACCTTGCAGTCTGCCGAGTGCTTCTCTGACTTCCCAAGTGCTGGGGTGAGCGCTCGGGGTCTTTACTGACGCCTCAAACGCTTCGGCGTGTCCTTGAGTGCTTTACTGACCTTCTAGGCACCTTGCTCGCCTCGTCGAGCCTTATATACTATACTGTATCTCTTGTTGTGTACTCCTTTGTGTGCCTTTTGTGATAGACTTGTTTGTTTGCTTTCGACTTGGCTGTTTGCTCCTGACTTGTCTGTTTGATCTCGACTTGTCATCTACATCTTCCACTCATGAGGCTCGCTTTCGAAGCCCATTGGAGTCTTGCTCGTAACTCGTCAGAGTCTGGCTCGTTACTAACCCAAGCCTCGCCCACCATCTCACGAGCAAGTCTCTGATTCTAGACTCACGAGCAAGTCTGCACTTTTTGACCCTCGACGAGGTCTCGAAGACTGACCTTCTCGACACGGCCTTCACATCCCGTCTCAGTGTTCTCATGCCGTCTCGGTGTTCTCATCCTGTCTTGGTGTTCTCATCCCGTCTCGGTGTTCTCATTTCCGCCTCGGCCTTTTTGTTGCTGTCATGATATTCTCGTCCCCACAATGGTGTCCGTAACCCTACCAGCGTCTTCCCACCATCACGCCAGCCTGGACCGCGGCTTCTCCTGCCCGTCGACCTACGACAACCTCCGTCGAGGCCTCGACCCAGTGCTTTGCAATCCCCTCATGCTCCATCCATTCTCTCTATCCCCTGCGCTCCATCCATTCTCTCTATCCCCTGCACTCTGTCTATTCCCTCTATCCCCTGCGCTCCGTCCATTCTCTCCAACCCATTCACATACCTTTGGTCACTCGTAGCTTATCCGTATACTCGTAGCTCATCAGTGTACTTGTAGCTCATCACTCGGTGTATATAGTATGAGCGAGCATGAGAGAAGCTGTCTCGCAGCCCTCCCTTATATACACCGACCACCGACTGGCCTCGAGCCCTCGGATCAGGTCGCGAGAGGTAAATCGGAGCACTCGAAGGGGTCGTATGACGGAACAGAGCCGAGGACCTGAATTACCGGGCCCTCGACCGGAGCAGCACAGCCGTCGGGCGGAGATGAAGCGCCGTCGAACGACTATTGACCGAGATCACGGAAGACTTTTGGTAATCATAAGATGATTTGTGATGTCTGGAGCGAGGTCTGTAGGAGAGTGACTGGAGGAGTAAATTCAGTGGGAGGGGAGGAAGGAAGGGATGGACTAGCTATTTTGCAGAGAGGTAGGCCAGCCAACAATCTTCGACTTTGCCTTTGAGCGACAAGGAACGAGCAAGAACTCTGCTCTGCACAATTGTTGTAGTGCCCATGTCACGCTTTCCCAGCGAGTTCGGAGGGGATAGCAAGGGAAGGAGGGAGAGCAGAGGCCTGTAACCTCGGGGACCTCTTAGTTTGAGGAATACGATCCCAGCGCACTTTATCCGGAGGCGCTAGGTGCCGCGGTTGGCGAGATAGAACCTTGAGGAGGTCGTAGATGCGAATTTTCTTGCTTTTGACGGATTAGGAAACGCGACGGTTCAACTTCTGTCACGTCACGCGGGGCGCGCAGGGTGGACCAGCCCGGACTCGCATAATTCATCAACGCGACCGCCAGCCTCGACGCGGCGCAGGAGACTACAAGAGCAGGCGCGCACGCCGGAATTCGAACTCGGGCGCGGATCCCCCGCCATGACGCACGACGTCACCTCTGCCGTCCTTCTCCCGCGCATCGCCCGTCGCCGTCGCCGTCGCAGACTGTCCGTCAGCCTCGATGCCAGTCGACCGCAGGCAGAGTGAGCCATGACGCGTCGATCGAAGCGCGTCAGTCGAGCACAGGCAGAGGCGGACCACGACCGCTGCTTCGAGGAGAGCAGAGAAGCAGTCACTCGTATGTCAGTCCCTGACCCATCCAGACCGTCGCTCTCTCGCACGTACATACCTTATCACTCTTCAACCCGCTCCTTCCTCTCCCGATATTCATCCTCGGTCGTCCGCCACCGCCCGGGCCCCCGTGCCTCGCCATTCCTGAGCTGCTCTTCGAGATCTTCCGCGACGCGCGCCTCAGCAGGCGAGATCTGTCGCACGCGGCGCTGGTGTGCAGGGCGTGGCACGCTGTCGCGGACGTGGTGCTCTGGGAGGACATGCCGGGTCTCGCGCCGCTCCTGATGCTCATGCCTGCGGATGCCTGGACGATGGTGAGTCTGGCAGTGTGCGCGTCGGGATGAGGACTGACGCGAGCGATTAGACCCCGTCGAAGAGGAGGGTGGAGAAACAGACATTCGTACGTGGGTACTCCGACCTCATCGTTCGTTGCTAACTCTTCCAGACCTTCCGCCGTGCACTGCGCGCCTCCGACTGGGCGAATGTCGCAACTCGATCGTGCTCCGTTCGGCGGCTTACCCTCTTCGGCGCCCCACCAAATTGCGTCCAGCGCGCCATCATCGCCTGCCCACCACCCGCGAACCTCCTTCCCAGACTGCAGACGCTCACCCTCACCCAGCTCGTGGCCCGGCCCGGGAGCGGGGACGCGTTCGCCACCGCGCTCGCCTGTGCCTTCCTCCACATGCTCCTCAGCAGCAGCGCGGGCGGCCCCTGCTCCTCGCCCCGCCACCTGCGCCTCCGCGACTGCGCGCCCGACCTCGCCCGGCACGTCCTCGCGCACCCGCTCGCCGCCCGCCTCGAGGACGCCACGCTCGACGTGCGCCTCGCCGACCTCGCGCGCCTCCCCGCGCCGCCCACCCTCCGCCGCCTCCGCGTGCACGCGCTCGACGACGCGCGCCGCGCCCTCCCGCTCCCGCCGCGCACCCTCCGCGACATCCTCCCCGCCCACCGCGCGCTCGCCCGCCTCGCGCACGTCGAGATCACGGGCCCGGTGCAGCTCTTCGACGCCGACGTCGCCGCGGTGGCACGCGCGTGGCCGGCGCTGCAGACGTTCGTGCTCACCCCGCATACGACAGGCGCGTCGTGCCTGACGCTCGGTGCGCTCGTCCCGCTCGCGCGGCACTGCCCAAAGCTCGAGTTCATCGCGCTGCCGCTGTGCGCGCTGGACGTGCCGAGCGAGGGCGCGGGGGGACACTACTACCTCGGCGGTCGCTCGGTTGCCTCCCTCGACGCCGCCCCCCTCGTCCTGGTCCTGTGGCGCGCCCTAGGACGCTCGGACAGGAACTACGGCGCCCACGTGCCCGACTACGATCCCGTTCTCCTCGCCAAGTTCCTCGTGTCGCTGTTCCCCGGGCTCAAGCGCGTGTCGAACGACTTGGCGGCGGAGCGGGTGGCGAAGGGACTCGCAAAGGAGAAGGTCGAGGACTACTGGGACACGCCAGTAGAACAAGGCATCTGGGACGAGCTCGAGCGCGCTATGCCTTTGGTGCGCTCGCGCTAGCCAAGGGCGCGCCTGCGAGGGGTCGGGAATGGCGGAGCACGAGTCGTAGCACTTGGGTGATGTTTCGATGGTCGACGAGCTAATGCCATATTATCAGGCAAGTATTCCTTTGGTCTCCCAGTCTCACTCGGTTTTGGATGGATATTACGGTAGACCGGCTACCGCCCCCCTGCAGGCAGGTGGTACTATTTAGCACATTAGTGCCACTTAAGTAACGTATAGCGGTAGGATCGCCTACGTAACTTATCAGTAGTATATGCGTTAATGAATGGACTTGGTCTCCAGATATTACGGAGGTGGCCTCGAAGCTATCAACGAGGTGAACACGCTTGCTTGTAGGAGGTCGCTGCTGTAAACGCGTCCTTGTCAGTAGTCAGCACGGATTCAGAGGCGGAGTGCGAAGATGAGAGTGGCAAGCAAGGAATGGTGTTCCACGTGGCCCGGCCGGCTCAGCTTCGGGCGGCGACGCAGTCACGCGACGGGGCTTCTGGCTCCTGTGCGTCGCGATGCGAGATTCAGAAGGCTTTCACACCAGACAGTGCATTAGAAATAGCATAGCAAGAAATACGACGCGAATACGAGAAGACGATACGAAGCGAACACGAGAATAATAGCAAGAAACAGCAGATACTAGTCGTACACGAAGGCGACGTGGGGTGGAGGGTGGAGACAATGATATACACGAAGGGGCGTGGTGCGAGAGGTCCGCAGGTGTGGGTGTGGATGGAGGGTGAGGGTATGTGAAGGTTGAAGTGCGCGGCGGAAGGTGTGAGGCGCAGGGCGGAAGGTGTGAGATGCGTGACGAAAGGCGTGCGGTGCATGAAGGGGTGCAAAGTTCGTTTGTGTGGAAGGGTTGATGGGGTTTGGGATGCGAAGAGAGGAGCGGAGGGTGGGGAAAAGGGGACCAGTCAAGAGGGATGCACGCACGTCACGTCCGCTAAGGTAGGTAGGTAGGTAGGTAGGTGGATATAGCGAACTAAGTCCTAGATGAGAGTCCCGATGAAGCATATCTATATGGCACATGAAGCGCTGAGCCCGGTCGTGTACAGGAGAAGGAGTGTTCGATGAGGGAAGGAAGTGAGATGTAGGTGGGGAAGAATGGGGAGTGGGGATGGAGGGGAAGCGACGAGGAGGCACGGCTGTGAGATGGAGCAGGGGGAAGGTCGACGTCACGATCCAATGGGTGGTTCGACGAGTACCCACAGGACATATCACGCAACAACACCCTCAGAACTTCCATCCCGCGAACGGCGACTCCATTGGGATGTCGACCGCGATAAAGTCCTTGCCGTGGTCGCCATTGAGCGTCGCCGCGCGCGCTTTGCCCATCGTCGAGGGCGCCGACAGGAAGTCCTGCGTCGACATCGACAGGAAGTCGCGCGTGGGAGGCTGCGAGTTGACCGTCGGCGGCTGCGAGCCATTGGTCGGCACTTGCGCGTGGCTCTCCGTCGTCTCCATGGAGCGCTTCGCGTTGGGGGCAGATATCCTCTCGCAGCTGAACCGAAGCCGCGGAGGCTGGCCGCCTTCGCCAGAGTCTTGGGAGGCAGGGTCGGAGCGGGTCCAACGCTGGTAGTCGGCGTCGCCGTCGCAGGAGACCCAGGCGTACTAGCCGACGGCGTATGATCGTCCTGCGCCGTCGACTGCGTGTACACGGACGCCGAGTCCGACGACGGCGTGCGATCGAGGATTGTGGGGCGGGACAGATGGTTAGGCGTCGTGGTCGACTGCGAGGTCGCCGCGGACGCGTTCGACACCCGCACCGCCGTGTCCTCCTCCATCCCGCGGAGCTTGTTCATGCGCGCGGCGAGCGCCGACGTCTCCATCTGCGACTCGTTGCGCACGCCGGCGGGGGCCGTCGACGGACGGACGGGCTTCTCGTCGTGCGCGGTACCGGTGGACGCTGACGGAGTGACCATCGGCGACGCCTGAATAGGGGAGGAGAGCATCGGCGCTTGCGCCTGAGGAACGTGCGGGGCACCCTCGTGCAGGGGCGACGGCGTATAGCTGTCGTGCCCGCTACCCGCCGTCGCGCTGCTGCTCCCGCGCTTGTGCCCCGAGAAGCCGAGGCTGACGCTGATAGGGCGCACGCGGGCCGCGAGGGACCTGTCCTTGGCCGGAGACAGCGAGGAATCACCCCTGGACCGCACGGACTCCCCCTTGCTGCTGAAGGAGGCTAAAGAGGGGAAGCGGCCGCGCTTCGGGGCGTCGGCCTCGGGCGGGTGCAGCTGGTCGTCGGCGTGGAAGACTTGGCTCTGGCGGGCTGGAATCAGCAAACTGCGGGACGCGAGGAGCGGCGCTTGACGCACGAGATTGTTCAGGCTCTGCATCCAGCTTTTGCGGTGCTGCACGGGCGGACGGGCTTCCCGCTCCTCCGCGCGCTTCCTAGAGCTGCGCTCTCCCTTCACGGACTTCACGACTGAGGATAGAATGCCGACTAACCCTAACGCACGAAGAGACGAAGAGAGCGAAATGGATACCTGCAGTTCCGCATACTCAGCCATCGCAGCGCTGGAAAACATTGAGTGATGCGACGGCGGGGGTGGCAGGGGGTGCTGGAGTGGGACGGGAGGGAGTGGCGACTGGGACGGGGGCTGGTGGGGGTAGTGCAGGAGCGGGAGCCGGCGCGGGAGCGTGTACAGGCGCTGCCTGCACCTGTCGAGGAGCAGAGATGGTACGAGGTGGATTGACTTGACAGACCAACCTAATTCAGACAAGCGCATTCGGGTGACCCTTGAGTCATGGCACGTTTAAGTCGTCTAAGGACAGGCTTCGCCGTCAGCACCTTGATCGCAACCAACGTCGGAGGGTTTACTGAGTGATCAGTGATTAGAACGAGGGATATGTGGTCGGCAATTTGATGTCGGGTACATAGCGCTTGACATGGCGAAGTACGAGCTCTGGAAAGGTACGAGCCGCCTGCATCTGTCAAGAGAAGCTGTTGACTTGGATACAGCTATGTAAACGGAGATCAGAAACACCCGCCGTCGTATGCGCCTGACGGTTATGGAGTCGTGCCCCCTCATACACGCAGATGTAGCCTGCTGATTAGATCAATTCACCAGACTTGATTGGATTGCATGTCGCCACTGCGCCTCGCGGCTCGCATCAGAAAGGCTACGAGCGGTGTAAATCAGAAGTAATCGTCCGCCTTGACACGCTTGCGGTTCCCTGTGCCGTTTGAGCACACGAGAATCTCGCCACCACTCGAACTCGTAGTCACTCACCCTGCTCTCGCCCTCCACTCCTATCGCGCTTGGGCGGATTACCTGTAGGAGAATGAGTCGGTCAGACTGATAAGGAGAGGGAGCCTGACCTCGCTGGCGCGGATCCCTCTGCGCATCGTAATACCCAACAGACGGGATTGGGCCAGCTCGGTGACCCGGCAGGGATGGAAGCAGATACGGTGCGTCGTGACCGCGTGAAATACTTGGATCTTTGCGTGTATCAATACGCGCGTCATGTGATACATACACGATTGACATGCCATGACTAGGCGGACTTCGGGAGTGAGGGTGAGGAAGATGCTGGTGCGGATAAGGAGTTGCTATATAACGCGTTAGCGCGTCTGCTGCTTATAAGAGGAACTTCACACATCTACGGCTGCCGAGATCTTGCGGCGGACGAGAGGCCGACCCTCTTTGCGAACCTGAAAGACCATCTTTAGTAGTGAAGAAATAGACGCCATGGACTCACTCACCTCCCCACTCGCGAGGCTCCTCCTTCACAGACCTCGACGGCGAGCCGTACTCCTGCTTTACGCCAGCGGAAGACGCACGAGAGTCAGAGCTATATCGACCATCCCGTAGATCGGGTGGGAGAGACGCGACAGCGCGCGCGAGGTCCGGATCTGGGCGACGCTCCTCTTTGACGAAGGAGCTACGCTCACTCTGAAAGGAGCCGTCGCGCCTTTCCTCCTTGACGAAGGCGTCCCGCCCCTCCTCCTTCACGCGGGAACCAGACGCTTCACCACCTTGGCTCGGCGCGGAAGGCATCTCCAGCCCGCTGTAAAGCGCCCGCCATTCGTCGCTCACTGATAAAGGAAGACGAGTCAGCTTTCCACGTCGCGCATGGGGCATCAGGTACGCACCACCCCCGTCTGCCATACTCGTTCCCCTGTCCTCTTGCTTGACGAGTCCCTCCTCCTGCTTGACGTCCGGCTCGCCCTTGATCGCGCGATCCAGTTCCGCGAGATTGGGCTTCACGTCTTCGTTGTCCTCCGCCGGCGTCGGCCATAGATTACGTGCATATTCGTCCTCTAGAGAACTCGTCAGCAAAAGCCTGTAATAGAGTGCAATCGAGATGGTGAGTCGACGACGCGGTCAACTAGGCAAGCCAACGATGCCCGGCGCGCGGGAGAGAAAGTCCATCGTCGCGGATCACTGTAGTTTGAGCAGACGAAAGCCTGACTTACCCTCCTCGTATGGATCGCGCTTGACGCCGGGTTCCGACTTCACCTGTGCTGGCGGCGGTTGGTTTGCAGGAGCCCCATTTAGCTGCGCCGGCCGCTCGTAGTGCTGGAACTCTTGACGCTGCAGGATTGCGTCAGTCATTCCGCGTCCTCGTCCTCGATTGGTCGCGGTCAATCAAGCCCTTCAGCCGCTCCAACGCAAACACTCCGCACCATGGCATTGAGCTCAGCATGACGCAGCGCGCCGATTGGAACCAGACGAACACTCACCCTCCGCTCCGCCTCCTCCATCTCCCCCCTCTCCCTCTCTTCTTGCTCTCTCTGTTCCGCTTCTTCTTGAACGCCACGCAAGAAGTCCTCCGCCTGCCTCGCCCTCTCCTCCTTCTCCCTCTTCATCTCCGCTTCCCGCTCGGCCCTTTCCTTCCGCATCCTTTCCTCTCGCTCCGCTCGTTCGCGCCTGACGGCCTCCTCCCACTCCTTCCTCGCCCCCTCCACTCGCGCCCAGTGTGCTTCGGGGACGCTAGCGAGGATACCGCTGTGATGCGTGACGGGCTTTGAGAGAGGGCGATGCGGCGGTGGATATGGTTGGCGGATGGGGAAGTCGCGGGGGATGGCTTGATAGGTGAAAAGCGCTTCGACCCATTCTGCGGTGTAGATCAGTATACAGAGACCGCGAAGGGACGGTAAGTGAGTACAAAGGTGAATCTGAATGATGAAACGAAGACAAACGAACAACATGGAAGGTGAGGCAAGGAGTAGACGAAGAGAACAGGATAGGCGGAGAGAAAATGACGATGTGTTCGAACGAACTGACGCTTCCGCTCCGGGTGCCCTTGATTCTTGAAGTTATACGGGTAGATAAACGAGGCGCCGGGTAAGCCTGGTATGTTGAAAATCTCCTCCAAGAGGTGGTCTCCCAAGAGCTTCTCTAGTGTGACGCTGATGGGGAACTCGACGATGACTTCGGCGTGCTGTGGTGAGGTCACGTCAGGACAGACGCGTTCGCGGGGGTGAGCACGCTTCAGTCATACGCATACAAAGCGCTGAAAACGCGTCGAAGATTCATACGTAGCTGGGTACTTGTGGCAGGACGGAAGAGGATGCGCCCAGATTGAACAAATAGAAGACGTACCGTTCCTTGATAGTACAGCGCTGTCGGTCTCATCCCACTCGCAATCTCCAGCCACGCTCCAAGGTTGTTGTGGAATCCAGTCTGGCTAGTCTTGTGCGTAATGCCGTCTTGGCCCCATGGGTTGACCACGACGAGAAAGACGGCATCGCTGGGAGGCTTGTACTCCTGATGCCTACATGTTAGAGTGTGTCGTATGTGGTAGACAATGCAAGGAATCTCGTGAAGGTCTGCATACCTTGACCTTGAACTTCAACTTGGGCGCCATTCGACCGGGATGTGCATGGATGGCGGGACGGAGGGCGGACGCGTGGAGCGCTTAAGCGCCGAAGGACAGGGGTGAGGTTTCTCACGGTGGGAGAAGCGGGTAACGGAGCGCTGTGGTCGCGCGATGCAAGGTTTCCTGACCTCGTTTTCTTTCGACTCTCAATAGGATCTCGGAGGGTCGCTCATGGCCGCCAGACGGACACCCGGGATCGGACAGCCGCACAAAACACCTCGTGTATCGCCCGCCTAGCTCAATCGGATAGAGCGTCAGATTCTTACATGACTAGGTGGAATCTGAAGGCTGCGAGTTCGACCCTCGCGGTGGGCTATACGGACGCACAACTGGTGCATATTTTTTCGGCATATCCCGGGAAGGTCGCGATACTTGTCTGCGGTCTTCACTTGTCTCTGAGGATCCCCGTTTACCAAACCAAGAACACACCATAAAGCAGACGGCATGTTTTGGCAAGAAAGGGTGCACATAGCGAAAGACAGTTAACTCTGCTCTACGGGGTGATAATCACGGATGCTCGATCAGATAGTAAGCGACAGATATGCAGTCAATAGACTGTATTTGCAACGGGGTCCCGGCCGATTTGCTGCGGGCGCCGGAGCTACAGACTCCCGAAAAGGTACGTCACGCTTCCAAGTTTGGCTACCGCGGGGGTGGGTGAGCCTCCGCGCTCAACCTGAGAGTATGCCATGGTGCATGTTATGTAGTGTATATAATATACATTGTCCCCCCCCCTTTTCAACCAACATACCAGACAAGGGATGGTGTGCTTGAAGACGACGAAGAGTTGAGCTGGCCACAAACCCACATGGACCTACAACTGCCTATTTCGTCACGATCCCCGGTAAGCGCGCGCGCGACGCGATCGAGACGCGCAACTCGCTCTCTTGCACCAACCGACGCGTCTTCACTGATAATCCAGTAATCTACAATGTCCCACGACACGCATAATACAGCCACACCCCAGCATTCCTCTGCACCTGCCCAGCAAGGCATCACCAGTCACCCCGACTTCCCTCGCGTTCCCCCATCCCATCCCCACGGCCAATCCGACTTCCCTCGCGTTCCCCCATCCCACCCCCCTGGTCAATCCGGCTTCCCTCGCGTTCCCCCGCCCTATCCTCCCGGCCTGACGGCTGGACCGCATGCGTTCGCGTTCGGCCAGTTCGGTGTCCCAGGCTATGTTCACACACCCGCGGCATCTGTGCAGCCGCCTGGCCAATCTGGCGCGCACTTCTCGTGCTTCAGCCAGCATGCTGCAGCACCGAACGATACGTCCCCACCCCCTCGGATGGAGACTACCGCTTTCGTGGGCGGGCACCCCCCGCGAGAGGCGCAACGCGCAGATGCAGCCGCTGCGCGAGCGCGGGTGACACCGCCGCCTCAGCAGAAGCATCGTGGAGGGGGTGATGCAGCTACGAATGCTATCGGCGATGACGACGAGGCCGCCGAATTGACTGCAAAGAAGCCTCGCGGACGCACCGGGCCAGTCAAGCGTGGGTTGAAGCCCAAGGAATGCTTTGACTTGGTGTATATTGCCGACGATATAGATTATTTCGGCCCGGGAAAGAGGGGGGACAAGGACAAGGCACTTGGCAGCGCCGCGCGCGCTTGTAAGACCTTACCTCAACTCTCAGACGGGATGTTCAGAGCTCGCTCATCAGGAAAAGCAGCCCAGGGGCCGAAGCGGACTCAGCTGGACTCAAGCGGGCTCAAGCGTCTCAAACGCTCAAGAGTGTCAAAAGTTATTGCCTGATATCAAACGCTCTCAAGACACTTGACTTGCCCTTGAACCCGCTTGAGCCCGTTTGAGTTGGTTTGAGTTCAGCTAAGTGCCATGAATCCACTTCAGATTTTATTCTTTTCCATCACTAGATTTATTGATAGATCACTAAATTTGTTTATTGCTGATCTATACTACACTGTAGATCTACATCTACAGGTCTCCTCGCAGGGAAACATATCCTGGCTAACTCCCCACTGCTCAGCGTCGCCCTGGCGCTCCATCCCCGAGCATCACAACACGTGGTCGTGGCACCACCTTCCCTGTCCATCGGACGCCCCTCCCACCACCTCCTGCCCGCCCCTCGCTCCTGCCCGCCGGCCAGTCACGCACATTCCCACACTCCTCCCCACATCCACCGCCCGTCCCACGCCCATCGTCACCCAACGCGTGCCTCCCAGTGCTGCGGAACATGTCCGCGCCACTTGCGCTCCCGACGCACACACCTCCCGATACTAATAGCGCATCCTGCGCTCACGCACGCCCCTTGCATCGTCATGTGTTCTCCAGCGCCCCTCGTGTCGTGCGCTCGCGCGGGTGCGGGGTCGAAAGCTCACCTGTCGGCAAATTCCGAGCTTGTGCCGAGGCACCCGAGCGAATGCCCAGGACGCGCGGTGCTCGTCAGGTAGTGCACTTGAGTGGGGGACGTACCTTACGTCGTGCTGCGCATCGACACATCTACTCCCGTGCGCGCTGACTGCCGCGCCGGTTCATCCCGAGCCGCCACCCACGCGACGTCCCCCTCGCCCGGTTCATCGCACGCCTGCAAACCGCAGGAACACACTGTATGGCTGGTCAGCGGGTGCATGCAAGCCAAGCAGCCCGTGCGTACCGAACTACGCGCGGCCGACTGCGGACACGAGACCGATACACACGTCGACGTAGACATGCCACGTCAGCCCGTGATCGGCCCCTCGCGGACGCGGCGGCCGAGGCGGGCGTGCATAGAGCACCTGCGCGCACAAGACGCGCGGCAGGTGTAGTGGGGGGTGGGGATGAGGAGGGGGAGGACGTCAATAGCGACGTGGCCGACAGGCGTCCTGCGTTGGCGGTCGCCTTGGTGACGTGGCATAGACCACATCAAGCGCAGGGTGGCGGGGGCCGCGCGCGACGCGTTGGGAGCACGAACGGCGGGGCCACGTGTCGTGGCGTCGGAGGCCCGCATCGAGCAACGACGAGTGCGGTGGATGCGGGGAAGGGCGTCAGAACGCGCGCATGCTTCGGGCGGTTGCACGAGGTGAGGTGGAGGTGGCGAAAGGGGGTGCGCGACGCGCTGGGAACGCGGGTGGCGCGGGCACGTGTTGCGAAATTCGGTGTAACAAAGCATAGGTGACCGTGGCGGCGGCGGCAACGTCACAAGAGCACGACAGAAGGACAGCGCGCGGCCGGGTGGCCGACGCACGTCGAGTGGACAGCGAGACGATGAAGGACGAGGACAAGAGTAGGATCGACTGCGGCCGGATTTGTTCCGGACGCGTCACGTGACCTGTCGGGGCCGGCCCGACACGCCGACTTCGCCTCGTCCAGTGGCGCGGCCGTTGTCGCCGCCCTCGTCTTCCCCCAACATGAACCTGTTCCCTGCTCTTGTGCAGCTCCCTCAAAAATGCTGCTAGCATACTTGATGTGTACTATACTTTATACACTTTTTCTTTCCATTCAAGTATGCTCTACTAGTTCCCCATGTACTGTTCCTACTTTACTCAGACTATATACAACATAGAAAATCAGACTGTGTATAAAGTCGACAACCATCAAGTCTCCTGAGTTCACTTGAGATGCAGCCCCAGATTCTCAAGTGTTCTCAAGCCGGCTCAAGTGGGCTCAAGAGCGTTCAAGCAGCTTCAGGAACTGCTGAAATCTCAAGCGCTCTCAAGCGGCTTGGCCGCAGGGGGGTTTTTGGTGATGCTTGCTTGACATACTCGCCTGGCATGAGGTATGTCTGGGACTACTCGTACGTATGCCCCATATACTGATCTTTCTGCAGGATACAGCAGGTCCTAACTCGTGGACATCATGTCTTACCGGTTCGTCGATTGCGGGATCACTAGGTGCCCCCTGCGACCGTCTCTGCCAGGCGCGAGATGATGCTGCCACGAAAACAGATGCTCAGCGAGCAGCTAAGGCAAAGGTATGCCTACCAGTGGTCCATATGGTTTGAAATACTCATGTTACTGCAGAAGGAGAGGGAGGACAAGATTGGGGGCGAAGCGATTCGTTCTGCGTCGATGCGCACGTCCCGGTTCAAGCAGCGGGCTGGTCTTGTCAGGAGCAGCAGCCCTGAACGCGATGTGCAGTCCCCCGGTACAGTGACTGCTCGGGATGTGCAAGCGACGCCGTCGCACGCTCCGGGCTCCCGCGAGCACGTGGAGCCAGAACGGCATACCCCAGCTCCGCCGACTCAGCTGGATGAGACCGGTTTGGCGACGCCCTGCAGCCACCCTGGCTCGCCTCTTGCGGGCTCACCGCTGCTTCCCCTTCGACCGGAGGAGTATGCGGCGGGGTGGTCAGACCCTCCCAATCCTGCGACCCCTCAACGCTATAGCTTGTTTGGTTTTGGCACATCTGACTCATCACCGACCTCTCTACCACCTCTCCCCTCTGATTCATCTCCACCCCCTGCTCGAAATGCAAACCACGATATCCCAGCCGTCCTCTCCTCTCCCGACTTTCCTGACCCACCAACCGCCGCGCCGCCACGCCGTCCGCATGTGTCAAGGGTGTCCCGTGGGGACTTTCCGGCACTCTCATCTCCATCACCCCCTGCAAGCCCCTCGCCTGCACAGCGCATTCTTCATACGCCGTCGACACGCCCGTCAAAATCTGCACAATCACATCGGTATCGAAAGCAAAAGCGCAGCGCAGAAATGGCTGTCGATGTGGGTAGTCCTACCGCTGGGAAGGAGAATGTCCCGAAGAAGCCCCCGCTTCTTCAGGACGTTCCTCGTACGGTAAAGTTGGGGCATAAGCGCAAGCGTGACGGTGATGCGCATGAGCCCAATGAGGACCGGCACCCGGTATCATCATCGACCTCGTCTCGGAAGATGCTGAAGAAGGAGAGTGATATTGAGCGGCTCAGCAGGGAGATGCGGGAGGGCCGTGAGGAGAGCAACAAGCTTGTACGTGATCTCATCAACAGTGTTTCTGAGAGTACGAAGCGCTACGAGGAATTTCTTGCGCGCTCGTCTCAGTTTCAGAATGATTTCCTTGCTCTTCTTCGTGACCGCCTCACTGCCCCGCGCGACTGATACCTTACTCACCGTTTACTATCCTTTTTACCTACACATATATACATTTATTTGACCTTCCATACAACTATTCGCTACTTGTCTAACTCCAGTCATTCGTTGAAGATAGCTATGTTGTGAAGTCATGAAGATACTCTTCTAAAGTAGGGGGACAACAATCAAAGTATTGAGCAACTTGGTTGGGATGTAAGCAATCAATGCAGTTGGCAAGTAACACACCAATCCTATAGTACCGTCCAACCGGAGAAGAGTACAAATGCATTTTCCACCCGGCATTCAGGAAAGGAAAAAGGTTCGTAATATTTCCGAAGCCATTCTCGACAGTAATGCGTACCTTGGACATCATTGCATTCCAAGCCTGCTGCTCCTTCGTCCGCTCTCCAGGTCCTGCAAATGGGCTCAGGATATGCAGGCCAAGACCATAGGCAGGATCTCCAAAGATCTGCAGAAAGCGCTCCTCGATTGGGGCATCCTCGCGTACGTCCTCCCGGATAGCGAAACGCTCCAACCTCTCCATCAGACCACTGCCAGCCAGGAGGGCATTGTCGTTCCGCCGTCCTTCCCACGGTCCATACAAGTGGCCGATGATTCCATTCGGAAGCATGAGAGCCTGGTATTTGAGGGCGTGATACTTCTTGTGACCGTTGTATGCCTGCTGCTGATGCCAGGTTGGCCGAGCAATCTGTCGGATGGTACAGTCGATGAAGGCGAAGACAGATGCAGGAGGTGCTCCTTTTTCATAAACGGCAGCAGCGTACTCGGCGAGAGCAGATGGACGGAGAAGGTGTTCGTGGTCGAAATACAGGATGTGCTCCCATCGCTCATCCAGCCAGATGACGAGCTCATTGATACACTCGGATATGGATGCCTGTGAGCGCGCGTACTTTGTGGAGAGCTCGTACATATCGCCAGCAGAGCGAAAACGTGCGAGAAGGAGGCATAACGCTTCGAGGCCCGAGAAGACGTATCGACCAGCTGTTTTGAACTGCTCTGGTATGTCGAGCGCTTCCCTAAGCTCGATAAGCTCTTTGGCGTTCAATCTTGAATATATGAGTAGATGCACACTGATATCGGGTGGTATAACATACCGAAAACGCCAAACACAGTCATGGTTGCTTATTGATTCGAGCCATGCACGTGTGATCCTCGTGCCTCCCTGCTCTGGATGCACTCGTTTGCCACCCTTGTGGACCTCAGGAGAAGGGTCGGCGCACAAGAGAGCGGTGATCCTCTCGAAATCATCAAGGAAGTCACTGGCAGCAGCAACTGAGCTGACTGCAGCTGCGTTGAGAGGCGGAGGAGGGGGAGGAGGCTCGGATATAATGGGGAGTAGTGTCAGGATGAGGTCGATGTCATCCATGCTTGCACCGAGTATGAATCTGCGCGTCGATGACCACCGGAGGGCGAACTGTGCGCGTATGATCGAACTGTGATCAGAGATCAGTCACACTTGCCATTCTGGGGCGCCATCACTGCCATCAATATTTTGCTGCGGTGTGATCTCATTTTGCTAGGTGCGCGGGAACCGCGTTGCAAATACACTCTAATAAGCGCACATCGTAAAGAAACCTGCATCGCGCGCCAGCCCCACACCTCATAACCGCATCGACCTCATAACCGCATCGACCTCATAACCGCATCGACCCCTTCACCGTCCCGGACCCGAGCTCCTTCCACCACTGTGTCTTCTCCTTGGCTGGTTTTGCGCCGCCCTCCCTCGCCGACTTGCCTCCTATACTCCCGCTCGCCCCCGCCCCCCGCCTCACCTCCCTCGCCCCGCCCGCGTGCCGCACGACGGTCGAGAGGCCGGAGGAGATCCCCTGTTTGGGGTGGGGTTTGGTTTTCTTCGACGAGGTGGAGGACTTCCTCGACGAAGAAGTGGATTTCGGCTTAGAGGGCGTGCGCCAGGGCGTCTCGTCCTCGCCTCCTTCCATACCAACCCCTTCACCGTCTTCCTCATCGTCCGCAACCCCTACATCATCGGCATCCGCAACTCCTACTTCATCGGCATCCGCTGCTAGCGACCCATGCCTCCGCTTGTTCCCCTTACTCTCGCTCTGCGCGCGCTTCCGCGCCTGCGCGGCGGCCCACGCCTCCCACGCGCGCCGGTGGATGCGGAAGACGGCCATGGTGGCGCGGGCGTCGGTGACCTGGGGGGGGGATGATGTAAGTAATAAGTAAGGGGAGGATGTGAGTGAGGGGGAGGATGTAAGTGAGGGGAGGATGCCAGTGAGGGAAGGATGTGAGTAAGGGGAGATGTGAGTGAGGGGAGGATGTGAGTGAGGGGAGGGTGTAAGTGAGGGGAGGATGTGAGTCCAGGTTGAAAAGTGCGCATCAGGATGAGGGGGGAGGACATGTCGGTGAAGGAGAGGGATACGGGAACAAGCGGAGGAAGACGGAAACAAGCGCGTAGGAACACGAGGTCGGGCGTGCGTATGGGACAGGAGGTAAGAGCGTATGGAAGAAGAGGTGGGAGCGCATAGGAGCATGTTCAAGGGCGGGATCAAGAAGGAGAGGCGGGTGAGTACGGAAAAGATTCGGTGCGTACCGAACTATGCTCCCCCGCCTGAATTGCCATGCCCAGCTCCTGCTGCACGAGGGCCCTTAGTGCAACCCGGCTGCTGCGCACAAGCCTGAGCTTGCCCGCGAAGAACTGCGTGTCGCGCGTCTGCGCGCGCGGGTGGGAGAGGAGGAGCGCCTGCAGATCGTTGTGCACCGCGTGCCCGACGAGGATCTTGTCCGCCAACAGCGCCGCAACCTGCTTCTGCACCTCCTCGAACGGCCGCGCGCCGATCATGTCCCTCTCCCTGACGCCCGATACGTGCGTCCGGTAGTCGGTGACGCGCTCGCGCTGGCGGACGAAGACGTCGAGGAGGACGGCGCCGTGGAAGTTGACGAGGGAGACGCGGGCGAGGGAGGATTCGGTGCCTTCGGGGCCGACGCCGACCATCTCGCAGTCCATGGCGAGGTATTTGCCGGGCCTGGGGCGGTGGATTAGGGGAAGGCAGAAGGACGAAGACGACGATAGTTCGATCAGTGTGTGATGCAGGGGGAAGTATGGCATACGCACTGCTTGTGCGCTTCCGTAAGCGCCGTCTTCCCAAGCACCATCTGCCGCAGCGCGGGAAGCGACTCCCCGTTCACGACCTCGTTCGATGCCGAAGTGCTTGGTCCAGCAGACGCAGAGGCATCTTGAGCTTCCGCCCGCGGCGCGCGGCTAAACATGAGCTCCTCCGACTCATGCGATAGTTTGCGTCGTTTCCGTGGCTGCTCATCTGCCTGCTTCCCCTTCGACTTGTGCGTCGACTTTCCCAAAGACTGCACACACATGAGCTCTCTCGCATACTCTCCGACCGCTCACGCACCTTCTGCAACGCCAACCAATTCGATGACGGTGCCGCCGGCGCACTTTTGCTCGTCTTCGACATGGTGCTCTGCGGCAAACGCGATCGACGGCTCGATCGGATCCTCCGCGCTCGTGGCGTCTTTCAGCCGCTTTTGTCGAAACTTCCCACGGCGTGCGTTTTGCTTCCGAACATGCAACTTGCGTGCAGGCCTTGCGCGTGTTGTATGTCGGCGAAGCAGCAGAACCCAGCAGAATCGTTTTGTGATACTAGTGAGTCAATGTGGCCATCGAAGCCTTCGCTCGGAAGAAAATCATGGGAAGACGCTGGCCTAACGCGCGCTTTCAGGCGCGTCATTGTATGCGGAACTGCCGGACCATGCACCGCGAATGGACCGTCGAGGCTCCGTGTAAGGCTGATACGCTTCTCCTGATATGCATCTTTCTTTGTTTTACGTCGATCTATCGCTCGCGCCCCGCCTCCGCAGCCAATCCGAACTCAAAGATAGCCTTATTGGGAACAAACGCCGGGAATCTGCAATTGTCGGCCTCATCACGCCCTACTCCGCGCCATTCAGGCCATCCCCGCGCTATAATTGTATCGCCAAGCACAAGCCACTCTATTCAGTCGCGCTCATCAATGCGACCGACAAACACGACACGCGCCGGCTGATCGACCGGGCGATTCATTGTGCTCCTCTTTCAGAGACGAGGGGCGGCCATGGCGCCGAGCGGGGCTTTCAGCGCGGGCGCGTGGCGTCCTATATAAGAAACGGACCTAGCTGTGCTTGCTCCTTGCTTCCGCCCCATTTGCCACTGCGTACTTGGACCCGTCGTCGCGCCGTTGACCGCCCTCGCCACCCCAACTTCGACGCGTCCTGTGCTCAGTCGCGTGGATCTATTCCCTGTTGACTGCCCGACAGTCGACTGCTGACAGGTGAGTGGTTGCCAATGGTTGACTGCCCGCCGACAACTGACAAGTGGCCGACAACAGACCCATATAAATTGAGCGCCACGAACCTTCAGTCGCGGCTTCGTCAACTCTTCCAGAACCACCATCATCATGTCCTATCCGGCGTACTGCGTGCCATCTCTGCCCTCCAACCGCGCACAGCGTCGCGCACCTGCCTATCCGCGCCTGACTTCTGCGGCGCGTCGCGAAATGCCGCAGGTCAGGCGCCCCGGCATGACCTCTCTCACGCGCCCCGACACAAAGTCCGCGACCTCACTTCCGAGCCTCACGTACCTACCCTCGTACATGAGCAGCCTCTACCAGTCGTCGAAGGCCAACGCGCTGCACCGCGCGCCTTCGGGGTACCAGTACCAGGCGCACGCGCCGTCCGGGCAGCTGTGCCAGGCTAACAAGACCAACAAAGAGTACGCGCCGCCCCGGATGGCGTACGTGCATGACGGCTCTCCCTACGTTGGCGGCTCTCCCTACGTTGGCGGCTTTTCCTACATCGCCACCCACGGCCTCCCCTACATCGCGAACAACGGGCTCCCACTCGCCGCCGGGTCGCCCCACGTCGCCAATCTGCCGCTCACCGACAACGCCTCGAAGCCCACCTCCTTCATCGTCACGCGCCGGCCGCAGTATCCGAGGTCGGAGGGCTACTATTCGGACGACGACGAGGAGGCGCCATCGAGCGGAGAAGAGGGCTCTCCGGCGTCCTCCTCCAGTGGCGAAGTCTTCTCCTCGCCATCGTCCTCGTCCGAGGAGTTTTTCTCGGCGAGCGAGGATGAGGGGGCTTACTCTTCCGCCTCGCCGCCGGCGTCGAACCTCGTCTCGCTCGACGACACCGCACTCATCCCCTCCCCCGACGACCACCTCATTTCCTTTGGCGATGATTATTTGTCGCTCACTGAGGACGACGCGAACATCCTAACTAAGGACAGCGATGACCGTTCTCCTCCTGGGGACGAGCGCGCCAACTCCGAAGACGGGCACAGTCACTCTGACGAGTCCACCGACTCTGCGGAGTCTGGCGACCCTTCTGAGGTGCTCGTTGACCCCGAGGAGGAGAGGCGACGAGAACGCGGTATGAAGCGCCTCGCCATTATCGCGGAGTACGCCCGGCAGGCCAGGGAGGAGATGCGTTGTGAGGAAGCTGCTGCGCGGGGCTCGCGCGTCGTCCCGGCGATGTGCGCGGGGCGCGCGCCCTCGGCCAAGAACCTGCCCAAAGCCGAGGTCCGCACCGCGATGGTCGCGTTCATCGCGTCGCGCGGCGAGGGGCGGGCCGCGGGGGCTGACGAGGCAAAACCCGAGAGGGCCGACACGAACGACGACGCGAAGTTCTCGTATTCCAAGTTCGCGCAGGTAAGTCATCCACCCCTGCTACCCAAGCGCGTCGCTCATGCGTCCCCCAGCTCCACGCCCAGCGCGCGCGCCTCGGCTACCTGCAGCGCGCCCGCGCCGCGCCGCACACGGCGTCGCACGCCGAGTACGTGCAGCGCCACGCGTACCTCGCCCAGCTCGCGCACCTCGAGGCGCGGGGCCTCCCGCGCCGCCCGCGCGCTCGCCACCCCGCCCACCCCGATGCGGCCTACGTCTCCCCGCGCGACCTCGCGCTGCAGGGCCCGCCGCCCGTCTCCCGCGCGCAGATCGAGTGGGAGGTGCGCGAGGGCGGGCCGGGCGCGGAGGCGTACCGCACGGCGATGTGGGTGCAGTACCAGCAGGCGAGGGCGCGGGATGCGATGGCGGTTGGTGCTTGAGGGCAGCCCGCTCGATGCGAAAGGCGAAGGCCTCGGCTGACAATCATCGACGCGGAAAGCCGCTGCACAGCAAGTGAGAAAGGACGACCACGGGCCCCGTTATTGGCGTTCTCGGCGCCGCATAGATGGCGGAGAGACGCGCTATGTTCGGCGGACGCTGAAGACGGTGGAGAACGCCGTATAGACAGCGGTGAGCGGACCGGCGCCAGTCACAATCTGGCGCGATATTTACGACGTTACGATCTTTCCTTTCTTCTTGGATTCGGATCTTTCCTCGTCTCTCCCATTGTACACATATTATGCATCCCTCTCCTACAGCCCCGGACCCTAACGTATTAAAACCCACACATATATTGCTGGCTACTGTCTGTTGTGCCTTCTCTGTCTGCTTGGAACTCACTACTTATCTACTCAATCTCAGTGTCTGTTGTCTCGGAATTATAATGATATTGCTGGGTGCAGTGCGCCTCGGAATCTGTAGTTGGAAATTCACTCCGCAATTTCGACTCGAACGCCGGTGAAGTATCTTTCGCCGTTGTTCTCAATCCTCCTGAATTCAGTGACAGACCAAGGGCCTTCGCTCACACTACGGAAATCTGCGATAGTGCTCAATGTCCCCCTTCTCAACGTAAAGGTCCACGGAACGCTCGAACCAAGCTCCGATCGCGCACGCTGTTTGTGGCCATCAAGGTGGCTTTTGCGCGCTGAAGCAACTATGGATACAAATGAGTATACTACGCGTCCCTTCTCTACTGTCAGTATCCCCTCCCCATCTACGCTCTTCTTTCTGCAGATTTCGCTACCACTAATCCTCGTCCCAATTGCCCGCCTGCTGCGGCACTTTCGGGCCGCCCGCAGGCTTGCTCATGATGATGCTATCGACGCTGAGAACGCTGACGGCGGCCTCGGTCGCCAGACGCAGCGCCCACGCCTTCGCGGCGAGCGCATCGAGGATGCCGGCCTGCGCAGCAGGAAGGGTGCCGTCGGACTCGCCCTGCAACCGCACGTCAGCAACGACCCCTTCAGCCTCACGAGACCCTCCCCACTCACCTCCACATCCACACCCCACTCCTCGCCGCCCTCGGCCTCGTGCTTCGCCCACAGCTTGCTCACGACCTCGTTCCCCGCGCGCCCGCCCATCGCGTTCTCCGCCAGCGCGCGCGGCACCGCCTCCAGCGCCTGCGCGTACCGCCGCACCGCGTGCTGCGCGAGCCCGCGGAGCCCCGCGCCGTACGTGTCCACCCGCCGCGCGAGCTCGAGCTCGGCCGCGCCCGCGCCGGGGACGAGCCGGCCGTCCTTCAGCAGCGCCTTCAGCACGTTCACGCCGTCGTCGACCGCGCGCTCGAGGTCGTCCAGCCGGTTCGCGGTCGCGCCGCGCAGGAGCACGGTCGCCGTGCGCGTCGGCTCGCCCTTGCCGTCCGGTTTGAAGCCGGGGTCGCCGGGTCCGAGCTGGCGCACGACGGTGACGCGGTCGCCGCCGATCTCCTTGGTCTCAAAGACGTCGGCATGGCCCGCCTCCTCGGCGGTCGGGGCACCAAGGCGCGCGAGCGGGGTAGCGCCGACGACGCGGCAGAGGCGGCGGAGGTCGAACTTGGAGAGGACCTTGAGGACGGCGATGTTGTGGCGGTTGAGGTAGTGGAGGGCGAGGTCGCCGACGGTGGAGCCGGCGATGACGACGCGGACGCCCGAGTCGGCGATCTCTTTGATGATCTGGGGAAGACGTCAAGCCGGGTCGGTGAACGGGGGGAACGCGATGCGACGAGGGGAACGGGATGCGACGAGGGGCACGGGATGCGACGCACCTTCTCAAGCTGCTCCTCCTCTCCGCGGGTAAAGTTCAGCATCTCGTTCGCGTTCTTGAGGAGAACCGTGCCCTTCGTTTCTGTTTGCGAGATGTCGACGCCGGATGTGTAGACGGCGACCTTGGCGTTCTCCACCTTCTTGACGGAGCCTGCAACGCGCGGTGAGTGATACGGGAGCGGGGGCGACGGCACCCCCTCACCTTCTGGTTCACGGCCAAAGACCATGCCCTGGACGACCGTGCTGTTGTTGAGGCTGCTGCCCATGATCTTCACGACGCGCACATTGTCGACGTTAAAGTTCTTCGGGTTCGGGGGCATCACTGCCAGGCAGGCCTCGGCTACAAGCGCGGCCAGCTTGTCCTCGACGCCATACTGCTTTGACGCGATCGCGGGGCGGAGGGCAGTCGCGAGGGATGATGTGGTCAACGGGGAAGGGAGGGTCTTGACGGAGAGTTCTGGGGAAAGTTAGTCGAGAGGTATGGATGCGCTGCGCGACACGCACTCTCGAGCTCCTCCTGCGCCTTGACGGACGCCATCTCGTACCCCTTGATGATCTCGCTCGGGTGGAGGCCGAGGATAAGCAGCTGCTCGGCCTTCTTGAGCAGCTCGCCCGCGAAGATGATGACCTCGTTCGTCGCGTCGCCCATCTGTGCTCATGTCAGCGTGCATGGTCGCGATCGACGCGTGCGGGGGGACGCACCTCTGCCTCCTGCGCTTGCGAGGCCATGACGAGTAGCTTCGCGGCTGGATGGACGACCTCGATCTCGCGAATGATCGTGGCAGCATCGGAGGTGACGAAGAGGCGCCCGAGATGGTTGATGATCAGCTTGTTGCGGCCTGGCGAGATGTCAAGGCATTTTCAATTGCGGAGGGCTACACCGCGCACCATTGGGACCAAAACTTGTCCTGACCAGGTCGGAGAGCTCGGCTACTGCCTGAATATTGCGCAGAACCGCATCGTCGAGTCCTTGTAGGTGCTGCGCGTGCGTAAGCAAACATCGCAGTCCAGAGTGCAGTTCACGCACCTTGTACCCCTCCTTAAAGAGCTCTATGTTGTTTGCTTTGGGGACCTTGAGCGACATCTTGGACGCGCTCGGGATGAACGAAAAAGACAAGACGCGTATGCCGCCCGATCGCGTTGATGGAATTGATCGCTAGCGCGCACGGCTTCACTCCTCGTGGTTCTGCGCGAGCAACGACGGCGTCGGTGTCTCAACTGTTCACCAAATGTCGGCAGGACTTCACGTCTGCAAGGGGGTTACTGCCTGAGATTGAGATGACAAAAAGATAGCCCACCGCGAGGGTCGAACTCGCAGCCTTCAGATTCCGCCTAGCAGTAAGAGTCTGACGCTCTATCCGATTGAGCTAGGCGGGCGGTGCAGACCAATGCAACCGTACTTTCTCGTTCGCTCTTCACGATACCGATAGTACGAGTTGAGCAGGATCGAAGGTATCCCAACTGTCGTTGATGGTGGTAAAGGACAAGAGGATAAAGCAAGGACTAACTACGAAGATGCGGTATGTGACGCGCGGGTCCAAGCGGCGTCCGGCGATCGCCGAGAACCCCAATTCCATTGATAGTGACACACTTCTGCCTCTTTCCTTTCTTCTTCTTCCTTCGCGCGAAGTAAATGGATGTCGAGGAAGGCAAAGGAATCACTTTCATGAAGTACTGAGGTAGAAAATCCTAGGAGAATGAGACACGCGAGCCAGAGGCGCCTCTCGCAAGCCGGAAAACTCTCGTCTCGACTCTAGACCGTCATGCCGGTTTGTTCGCCTTCAGTGCCCTACTCCAGCCAATCTCGACATTTTCGCTCTGCTCCATATGAGACTCTGTGCTCGCATCCTGCTTTCCGATCTGGCCTTCTCCTGCGCTCCTGCCAGCTCGCGTCCGTCTCCAGCGCTTTCGCTTGCACGAATTTGCTTTCCACATTTACCCCTCCGCGCGCTCTGATCCTGCAGCTGACCCGTTCTCCTCTCGAGTTCTCGTCTTTTTGCTTCCCGACCTGCAGCACTCAGAATCCGCTCCTGCGCCGGCGTCCCGACGCTCTGCTGAACTCTTTCACATCGAGCATCGGTTTGTCTATGGTCAAATACTTTACCTCTGTGTAACGTCTTCACTCTGGTATCTCAGCCTGCTCTGCTTCCCTTCCAGACTACGAAGCGCTCAAAGAGCCTGACGTCTTTGTCTTCGTGGCAAGCATGCGCGGCACAGTGCCGTCTGGCGACAATATTATGTTTTCGATACGCTCAGCGGATGCAGGTGCGCGAAATCAAGGGAGTCATACCTTGGCTGTGGCTCCAGTTCTCTCAATCTCGATCCTGAAGTCGCGTCGGAGGGTGGGATGTTATGCTCCGAGTGCTATTGTCCATCCGAAACTCGCATCGCTCTTGCTCGTCGATGTGCCCACAGAGGATGGTGGTACGCGCCAGATCACTCACTGAGAGCTGACTGCCTTAGTGTCGCCTTTAAGCGGAAAGTGCGCTTGGAAGTATGGGCGGTATACTGTAAAAAAACCTCGAAGGTGAGTTAGCGACACAAGTCTCCGAGCTCGATGCAAAACGACACACCTTGTCGGTGAGGTCAACCAATTAACGCAGTTGATCGAGAATCTCCCTGCAGTCGAGCGCTGCATAGCAGGCCTCCTTTGTGGCTGGGAGTAGCTCAGCGGTGGCTGCTCAACAGGGCATGTGGTCCGCAGGGCACGGACAGCTGAAGGATCTTGATATCTCACGAGGGCGATGCCCTACCGGTGCGAAGGGACCTGCACGCTCGCTCAGAGAGTTGCAGGGCTGACTGAAAAGTGCGCACCATACCCTACTTGACAGGGATGAGTGCGCGAGGGCCGGTAAGCCGGGGCTCGTCACAGCGCTGGTCACGAGGCCCCCTCGAACTCAAAAGCCTCGATTCTGTTTAATGCCATTCCGAGTAGGTGCCCTCACCTCTTAGCTGTTGTAATGCCATACAGGGCCTCGCTCGTATGGAGCTGAGATGGTGACCAATGACTTCCATCGCCAAGGGAGGACGGTACCGGCGAGGTTCAAGTTGTCACGTGGATTGCACGTGGCGGTGCGCGGGATTTCCTGCTCGCCCCTCCCTCCAGCGACTGACTGCCTGCCTACCGCGGCCACGAGGGCCAGTAGAGTGCAAAGGGTTCTTTCAGTGTAAGTCCCGATCACAGGTGTCGACCTAGGTCTCGACTGATCGAGCTCGCCGGTTCGATGTGTCGATTTGACGAAATCTGGAGACCTGCGTCGTTAAGTCGTCCGAGGTTTTTTTACAGTATACCGCCCATATATACCGCCCATATGGAAGAACACATTACTACAATTGCCGCTCCCCGACGTTAGCGCGACGATGCCTACCTACACTGGTCCAGTGATCGCCGTGAAGATATGTCAACAGTACTTTGCGGCAGTGCGAGAGTTTGTCTTACCACCCACAGCTCAAGTGGCGTACTCCTGCACCGCGCACGCGACATGGCAGATGGGTGCTCAGGCTTTTCCATCAGTGGATCCCTCCTGACTCTAACGGCACCTCCCTCCGCGCTTGCGCCTTCAGGCGATGCAGCCCACGTCGAGTGAGCGCATCTATTGAATGGCAAACGCATAGCACCCACCTGCTCCCGTGCGCGACGCAGCCCCAGAGCTATCCACCTTACTGTATACCCACAACGCACCGACGAACGCGCATCTGCTCGCGCAGCGATGATGAAGAGCAGCGTCTCGTAAGGAGACTCCGTTAGCCGCTCCAGCTGTTGCTTTCGGCGCATCGCATGTCGAGAAGTTAAAGGGATCTCGTGAGGAAATGAAGGAGGACCGAGGTGGGTGTCGAAGGCGGGCATTGAGAAGGAACTGAACGTTGATAGACTGCGCTTGATCTTTCGCTTACTACAAACCTTCGTCAGCCCGCCTACTTTCCCGTCTCCCCCAGCGAACATCCAGGTAAGCAGCAGTTGCCGAAGTCCAGCCATCGGAGGTACGCCTGAGATAGGCGTTTGTGACCTTTTATGACCTGCGGCAACCTCCGCCAACAAAGGGTAATCCTAAAAAGGTATCCGGTGGCGTCCATTCGGCCCCCGTGATGACCAAAATTGGCGGATGCGACGCGACGGACGATGTGCTCGAACCGATCATCCTATCCCCGCCATGACGTGCCTAGGCGCTAAAAAGAGACGCAGACAAGGCTTGTTCTCGACGCTCATCTTGTTCGAGGCTAGACGCGAAGTTTGAGGTTCCCCGAGGAGGGACGGCTGCAGCAGACGCGGACGACGACGACGGACGACGGACGGCTCCGAGTAAGGACCCCTGAAGAAGAGGACGTACGGAACGACTAGACCAAAAGACACAACACGACACGAGGATGTCCGCAGACCATGGGCACGACGCGGGGCATGGCGCCCCCACGCACGACCTCGAGAAGAAGAGGACGCGCGCGAGCTCCGAGGACCACGCAGAAGGACACGATGAACCGCCCCCTCCACTACCTAGCTTGGCGATGGGGATTGCGCTCACGGCCGTATGCACGACGGCGATGACAGTCAACGTGCGTAGTCAAACCGGTTTGCTAGTGCTTGAACTGACATGGCGTGCACCCTAGATCTCGAACATAAACGCCGTAGCGATCGCGCTGCCTACGATCGGGGAAGACCTAGGGATTCCGGAGGACCAGCTACAGTGGATGACGAACGCCTATGCATTGAGCTCGGTGCGTGGTACACTGGCCATCCTGTATACGTGCTGACCTGGTTACAGGGATGCCTGCTGCTCATGTTCGGGAGGATAGCGGATGTGTACGGTCGGAAGAAGACGTTCCTGGCGGGGGCGGCTTGGCTATTCGCTTTCGGGCTGGGCTGTGGGTTCTGCAATGGTGCGTTCTCCCCTTCATTTACAAGAGTCTGTCCTGATCGCGCATGTAGATGCGGTCACGCTTGAGATTCTACGAGGGTTCCAAGGTGCAGGCGGTGCAGCCACTATCCCCGCCGCCGTACGTCCCGAACATGCGTTCTCGCATGCGTTCCTACATGCGCTCTTACATGCGCGCTGATATATGTCCCCCCAGCTTGGCATTCTCGCACACGCCTTTCCCCCATCTCGCGCACGCTCGATCGCCTTCGCCACATTCGCGGCCGGCGCCCCCGTTGGCGGTGTTCTAGGCACCCTCGTCGGTGGCGCGGTGACTCAATATACGAAGTGCGCTTGTCTTGTATTTCCCTCCGACATCTCTGGCTAACCTTCTTCTTTCTCTCCTCCCCTCATACGTGGCGCTCTCACACTTCCCATCCCTCCCTATCAACTTCATCCCCCTCCCTTCTCTCCCGCGTTCCCCTACCTCATACAGCCCAACCTGGCGCTCCGCCTTCTACTTCACCGCCGCCCTCTCCGGAGGTACCTTCGCCGGTGGTCTCTATGCCATCCCGCGCGACCCACCCTCGACGGAGAAGGACCGGCGCGTGGACTGGCTCGGCGCGTTCCTCGTCACGGCCGGGTTGACATTTATCATCTTCATTTTGGCGCAGGGCGAGATTGCGGAGCCGAATCAGTGGGCGACCGGGTGTGAGTAGTCTTTCAATAGACGTTGTCAGCGAGAGTGAAGGAGTGGTGAAAAGAGACGAGGTGCTGACTCGCATTGTAGATATCATCGCGCTGCTCGTCGTCGGCGTGTTCCTTGTGGGTGTGTTCTTGTGCTGGCAGTGGTGAGTACGATGGTTTGAACGGGTTACATCCGTCGCTGCGAGGTGCCAGTGGATGACGGGCATGATCACAGACGACGAAGTTCTCGGACGAGGAACATACTAACCTCCCGCCACAGGTACCTCGAACGCGTGCAGGACAACCCGAACGCGCCTTATTCCGTCTGGACGCCCCCGCCGCTCATGCGCCCGTCGCTGTTCGCGCGCGCGAGGGGGAGGTACGGCGTGCAGATGCTCATTGCGTTCTTGAACTGGTGTGTGTTTATGGGGTGGCAGTTTTGGGCGCAGGTGAGTGGGTGTTCGTGGGCGCATTCGTGTTTCTTCCACGGCGCTGAGCGTATCGTGGCGATGACCTTGCTAACGCGCGCATCTGCTTCAGCTCTTCTACCAGAATTACCAAGGCTACGGACCCATGCTCGCCGGCATCCGCTTCATCCCGATGTTCGTGACGGGTGTGTTGTGCAATGTCTTTATCGCGCAGTTTGTTGCGCATATTAGCTTGGTGTGGCTCATGTGTACGTCGTCTCAAGTTCTTGATCCTTTCCAGTTCCTTAACCAACCCCTTCACGGCGCTGTCTTAACGTGTTCCCCTCTCACCTCTCTTCCCACCTCTTTTCCACGCGACCCACTAACACCCCTTCCAGTGTCCGGTACCCTCATCACCTCCGTCGCCGCCCTCCTCTTTGGAGTCATCGACCCGAACGCGCCCTACTGGGCCTTTGGCTTCCCCGCCGCCATCACATCCGTCTTCGGCGCGGACTTTGTGTTCGCAGCGGGGACGCTGTTCATCGCGAAGATCTCGAAGCCGCACGAGCAGAGCGTGAGCGGGGGGTTGTTTCAGACGATGATTCAGGTGAAGCGATCTCAATACGCGCTTGTCGGTGACGCTCATGCTATTGCAGCTCGGCACCTCGATGGGCATCGCCGTCTCCACCGTCGTCTTTGACAATGTGCAGAAGATGTCGGGCAAGACGCCGCTGGACGCGTACCGTGCGGCGCAGTGGACAGCATTCGGCTTCGGCGCGCTCGCAAGCGTACTCGCGTTCATCTTCCTGCGCGGCGTGGGCGTCGTAGGGCATAAGGAGGAGAAGGTCACGTCATATAGTACAGACGAGGAGCGGACGGCGGTCAGGGACGTCGAGGCGGGCGAGGGGAAAAGGGAGGAGGCGCACGTTTAGCGGGAGGGTTACGACCAACGATGTAAGTGGGGGGTGTTTGTGCGAAGCTATTATTGGTGCTAATGGAGCTCTAGCGCAGGACTCCCGCATACGGTACTGATAGACTACATATATTGGGCATTACTGTAATGATACAGACGACGCAATGGAGTTCAACCTCGGGTTCATAATGAAGACGCGAGGATCCGCGGAGATTGGACGACATGCGGCATGCATGAGTCAAACCCTTGAACGTAGTGAAGACGCAACCTTCGCAAGTCCTGCGCCACTCTCGTGGTTCTCTGAGCAGCGCACCTCGAGTATATGACGAGACTCGGTAAGAATTCAACTCATCCTTTCTGATAACTCCCGCTGGGAGTCCTTAGATTAGCCAGCGTCGACTTTCCTCAGTCTGTCACCCCACTCTTCCTCCTATTGTACGTGCAATCTGGAGGATGATTGGCAGTGACGCGTAAAGTGCGTTCTCATTGACGTTCTCGGTGAGCTGTCAGTACTGACCAACCCCCTTGCAGTCATTGTTCTCGTTCTTAGCGAGGCCCAAACCTTCGCGGGGATGGTTTCGTCCAGCTTTAGCACTGTGTGAATCGCATCCCGCCGTTTCTATGCGGTGGCTTCGCCCTTCCCACGCAGTCCTCTATTCATGCCTCTGAGGTCCTTCTCCCACAGATCATCATCGATGCCCGCGGCGAGCAAGCGGTCACCCTTTCTCGCCATCCCACGACGCCCGTCGGCCTCGCTCGCTCGAAGACGCCCCTCGCGATGAAGGGCATGCGCCGCTGTCCAACTCGCTTCCCGAAGAGCGACGCCGACAGGGTGCGGCTGCGCGTGATCACTACGCGTACACGATGTTCCATTGCTGGGCCTCCAGAAGCACTGACGTTGTGGGTCGCGTGCAGGGTATAAGTACCTCGCCGCCGTGAACGCTTACAAGCTTTCCCGCAGGTCATCCCGCGCATTTACGTCCACGATGCTCCTGACGATCGCGCGGCGCCCTTTCACCACGAGCTGTGCTCGTCTCTCGTTGCGTGGCTTCGCCACAAGCCACAACTTCCCTGCGTTCCCCTCTGACGTCCCAACACATCCGCTGCTAGTCGTCGACTATGCACGCATCAAGGCTGGGGACAAGGCAGAGATCGATCGCCTCTGGGAGGCAGCGACAACGCTTGGGTTCTGGTAGTGCGTATCGTGCTCCGCTTCTCAAGAGATCAGTACTGATACGCGCTTCGTAGCCTGAAGAATCACGGAGCTGATGCGGAAGCTGAAGCTATGTTCAAGATGGGCGAGGATGTGATGCGCCTACCGCTGAAGGAGAAGATGAAGTTCGAGCAGGGCGATACAGGGAACTCCTTTGGGTGCGTTTGTCTGATAGTCTCCTACGCGAGACGAGATTGATTCTATCGCAGCTACAAGGCCGCCGGCGCGAATGCTACCGACGCTGCGGGCACTCGCGACACCGTCGAGTTCATCAACATCGCGAAGGACGACGCTCTTGCATATCCCGTCGTTGCGCGCCGAACATACCCCGCTCCTGTTGTGAAAGCCATGCCCACTGTCGTCCAACCGTTCGTTCGCAAGTCGGTCGACGTCAACAGCATACTTCTTGCCACGCTCGGCGAGCGACTCGGGCTCCCGAAGGACTCGTTGCAACGTCGTCATTCTGAGACGGAGCATAGCGGTAGCGAAGCGCGCGTGATTCACAGCATGCCGCTGACGCCTGAGGAACGCGAGGCGCGAAAGGCAATTGGCGCGCATACTGACTTCGGTTCTTTGGTGGGTGGTCTTTGTCGTCGTAGTCCATGCAGCAATAACAACCCCTCGACAGTCCTTCCTACACAATCGCCTCGGTGGTCTGCAAGTTCTCCCGCCGGGCTCGGAGAGATGGCAATACATCAAGGTGAGCATCTGCAACGCCTACATACAATGCACTTTGTACTGAACTCGCGCTTCTATCATGTCAGCCCCTTCCCGGACACGCGATATGCAACCTCGGCGACGCCATGGCGCTCTTCAGCGGCGGGATCCTACGGTCCAACATTCATCGCGTCGTGTACGTTGTCGTCTCTGCTTTTTTGACGTCGTGCTAACCTTGGTTATACAGCCCGCCGCCTTCGTTCCAAGCTGACCTCCCTCGGTGGTCGCTCGTGTTCTTCACACGCCCCGGGAACGGCCAGATCTTGCGCGCGCTCACGGACGAAAGCCCTATCATCCGCGATGCTATCGAGGCTAAACGTGCGCAAGGAGAGGACGTTAGCGTAGGTCCAAATCCTTGTTCGTCAACGCACCAAAGCTAACGTGTTCGATACCATAGGCGTATGATACGGGCTCGACGGCCTTTGACTGGTTTGCGCGACGCATCCGAAATCAGCGTATGAACAATCGCAAGGTGAGAACTTGGTGTCTAGCGTTGAGATTATCGCTCTAATGCTCGCGCGCAGGGTCCCGAGACGTGGCTGGCAAGCAGAGGCACGGAAGGTCGCACGGAGGATGCTATACCCGAAGTATGAGGTGGCCGACGCGTAGTACGAGGAATGTGTATACTTTCTTGAATACATCGTCGTTCTTTCGTTCAACGCCTCGCCAACTGGTGAGCGTTGAAGTTTTTCCGCTTGCTATCACGGAGGAAGACCGTGCCTTCGGTCAATCGATCGACGAAGCGTGCGCGCGAGAGCGGGAGGAGCCTGCGACGTGAACTTTGCGTTCGCGCTCTCTCGAAACTACAACTGCACCAACCAGCGGCGCAAGTCGGACCTGCGCTTTGCTTTCCTGGACGAGAATCTCAGTGCTAGGAATATGGTCCGTATGCATGGGTCCCATAGTACATACAACATAGCACGACGTGCGCGACACATACTTACATAGCTAGACGTTACACATACAAGATCATAAAGTCATACACAGCAAATGACATAACAAACAGGTCAATTCGTATTCCGTGTCCCCGCCTACTCGTCGGGGTATTCAAGGGTAAGCTCTCCCTCGTCCAGGTCGTTTGGATCATAAGGTGGTGCGTTCGCATCGTCGAGATGCGGCAGCTGAGCGACGTCAGTCGTGGTTGAAGGTGGAAGGTCGATGGGCGGCAGTGAGGGGGCCGGCTGCTGCTGCTGCAAGTCATTAGCGTGCGTCCCCCATACTCGCACTCGCTCTTGACTTACCTGGCTTGAAAATTGGAGGTCGGACGCATTGGCGGGGTCTGTGTCCAGAGGCGGTGGTGGCGGTAAAGCCCTCGAGAAGCGTTTGAAGCTGGGAAGCGGTTGACGGCGGGGCGGCGCGGGGAGATCGAAGAAGCGGATGGGCGTGTCGGTAGCGTCCTAGAAGTGCAGTCAGTGAAGGGAAGAGCGACATGGGAACTGAAGGCGATAGAGCATACCTCTTGCTTGATCCCGCGCTGCTTCCCCTCGTCTTGCCGGTCCAGCGCGGATGGGGAGTATCTGTATTGTCCACGCGTCGCCGAGGGAGGTGGGGGCGTAGAGAGGACGGGCGAGGAGGGCAAGGTGGGTGGTCCAGAGAAACTTGACCCTTGCCGCGCACGATGACATCGCGGCCTAAACGCCGCAGGATCTGTCTCTTCCATGTCGAGGGACAACTGCTGCCTTGCGCTGCGCAATGGTGCCCTCGCGCCCGACGGCGTCGGCGCCGACGTTGCGCGAGCACCCGCCCTCGAGATCACAACCGTCGCCTGCGTCTTCTTTCTCTTCGGCGATCTCCTACTTGCCGTCGTCCTACTGCTTCCCGCCGCCCACCCATCTTCAATGCCAGGCAGATCGTCCCACTCCCTCCTCTGGCGCTTCCTCGGACCCGGCCCTTCACCGCCCTCGATGATGGCTTCAGCTTGCGCGATAAGACGTGGCGTGTCCTCTTGTCGGCGATACACGTTGGGCGGGCGGAAGCGGTCGACGTCGGCGATGGCTTGGAGGAGGCGGAAGGAGAGGGCGGGCATGCCGTGATCGGGGTCGAGGGGCTGGTTGGGAAGGCGCTAGGAAGATGGGCATGTGAGTACGCAGATGATTGCGATAGAATAGGTCGACGTACGACGAGGTGAAACTGGCAGCGTAGGTATCCGTCGGGCGCCTTGACTTGCCAGGCCTGTGAGATTGCTCAACACGATGAATGGGTAGATGGACGAGTTATGCACGTTGATGACCGTCCATTCGCCGTCGTAGCGATATCCTTCCGCGGGCCCGTACCGTGTAAGCGAACCGCGGCATACGCGCACAGGCTGTCCCGAATGCCATGACTCGAGGAGAGCTTTGTTTCCCGTGCTTCCCCAGTCCTGGTCTCGCTCATGAACCTTGCTGTTCTTCTTGCGGCCGCCTGAATGTCAGGTATGAGCGACAGGGTATCCGACCGGGAGGTTGAGCAGCGAACCTTCGCCATCCATGATACTAGCAGACCATTAGCGCGCTGCTAGAAGGACAGATGAAGTAGACGTACATCTCATTAGGTGCCTCGCGATCGCCGGTATAGCCTGAATTCCTGTGATGTGCTGTCAGACGTGACATGATCGTGCAGCGAGGAAGCGGGGGTATCGTACAGTACGACCGATCGACATCCCGTGTGCGAGCCCGCTATACCGCGCTGTGTCGCGCAATGGACGCCTTCGGCGTACATATCGTCAAAACCCTTAAAGATCTTGAAGTGGGGGACTCGCTGGAGGTGACCAAAGATCGTGCTATCACCGATTGAGGTCAGCGCGAGAACCAGGACGTATGTTCAAAGAATGACGCACCTATCGTGCCCAGGTTGCTTCTCTACCTTCTGCCGTCCCTTGTTCTTACTTGAGGAGGACCTGAAGTCACTGGAATTCGAGCTTGAGGGCAGCCGAGGATCTGCGGCATCCTCGATGTCGAACGTCGGATCGGGCGTGGGACTCCAGTCGGGTCTGGCTCTCGAGGTGCCGCTTCCACGGCTGGCTGGGGGACGATGGACTTTGGCGCTAGTACTAGCGCTACCGCTCATTGTCAAGCTTTAGATATCGAGATCTGAAGATGGATGCGGGGGAAGATGAATGACGGAAGCAGATCCCAAATGAGATCGGAGGCAACTCGTCATCACATTCGCCACGTGCGCTCCCGATTCACATTGACGCCACAAATATTGACAGGCTCGGCTCCTTCCATCATCGAGCGCTCGTCGCCTCAGGCTGTCCTCTGCCTCAGCTCCCTCTTCCAGCCCCAGAAGTGTACTACATGAAACTGCTACGTCGCGTTTGATATGTTCTCCGACGCACTATCCTCCGACGTTCGTATGATATCACGGCTGCGCAAAGCGCCCCACAGCGCGTATACTCTTCGTGCACTCCATCCCCCTTCCCGCGCGCATGTTGACTCTGTTCTCGTCTGCCGGTATTCTCTGAAGATATCTCCCTCCTTGGTTGCGAAACAAGAACGATGAAGCTCTCCGTCGTCTTCGTCATCGCTACGATCGCTCTGGCCTCCGTTGTCGGTGCAGCCCCATTCCCCGAGACAAATGGACAGCGCCTAGCGCGCGGACTTCTGCCCCTCAGACCACGATATACTGCCGATAGTGCGTCTGTACTCCTCTGCGCGTCGATCACAGCTAACGTGTCAACTACAGCTGCGACAGCAGTCAAGTGGAACGAGCCTTCCGCGCGCGCGCGCTGAAGCGCGGCGAGCCCTCGGCTCGAGCTCCTAAGTGCAACGAATCTCTCACGTGCGCATACCGCAAGCACAACGAACCGTCCGCGTGCGCGTACGCCGTCTAGGTCGTCTAGTTGAGGGATTACAAGGTGCGTCTGTCAGTAAAGCGCATAGAACATAGCTGACAAAGTTGCAGACCTTGCTCATTCCACTCACCTACGAGGCGATAATGCCATCACGAACATGTAGCATACCATTCTCCTCTTTCCAGGTTCATCTCGGACGCTTCACTTCAATCGCAGTGCCCGCCTATCTATCCTGTATTCTACCACGGACATATCTCCCATGTAGTCGACTAGGCCTCCATAGACATGTCACCGACCTCACTCGTATCCTACGAAGACTCTGTGGCAGTATTCCACGAAGCCTCTTCGCCGTCCTGCCACACTCCCGACGTCCCTTATCGCGCAGCCTCACAACGGACTCATGAATTCGCGCGCATAAAGCGCTTACCTTGCTACCTTACGATGTTTATTGTCGCTAATTGACGGACTTGCTCTTCCCCTTCGCGTGCGTGTTCGGTACCTCGTTCAAAGGTGCGCCGTAAGTGACGAGGGCAACCGCAGCTCTCCCCGCGATGCGTCTTAACAAGACAGCTGCGCTTTGTGGATTGTGTATCATTCAGCCTGCATCGTTTGTCGGCGTACTATGGGTGGTGCGTCTTCATATACTCTCACTGTACTGGCCGGCTTTGGAAGAATCACCCGTCGTCCGCTACGATATTTGCTCAAGATGTGGAAGTCAAGGAACTTCGCACACAGAACTTGATGTCGCGTACGAGGTATGTCGTCCACTCGTCACCTTCGCGTACAGGACTATCCATCTTATCCCCGTAACAACCGCTTGTTCCGGAAATCCAACTGCCCTACCAATCCAACTCCTTCACAGATATATGGTCAACAGTTAAGGAAAAAGATTGCTTAAATGTCTGTGGTGAAGGTAAAAAGCGAACTCCAACCAGAATACTCAACATGATATTGCTGAATTAGCGGACACAACACGCTAAGTTGCGCACCCGGCCGGCCGAGTCGGCAAAATTAGCAGAATAAATTTGTTAAGTTGAGCGACCGGATGCGCACCGGCCGACCGGGTGTCTAACTTTGCGCGGTGAGTTGGCTAAATCGAGGTGATTGCTCGGCCGCCTCGCACGTGAATTAGTGCATTGGGTCTGCTAATACAGTGTGCCGGCATGCCGCATATCCTTCGGGCGGCCGACCGCATCTTCCGGGCGGCCGAGCGGCTGAACTAGCAGAACAAATCTGCTAATTTATACTAGACAATATGTTGCCAGTCTCCGCGGCGGTACTATAGTACACGAATTATTCCAGCAGCACAGCTAATGTTACTTTACACTACGTCGTGCTCTACACTCGGTGGCAAAATATTTTGATACAAGGCTTGACACGCAAGTCAGTAGTAGGTACACATGGAAGACAAGGCACGTCTGACTATTGTACTGATGGCTTGGCTCATCCTTGTATTTGTCACGAGTTGGTTTTGTTACATGTACAGCTCGACTCTAGCAGTCACTCGGTCACGTCACGCGTTCACGCCTTATATACCGAGTAGTCACACTTATACACTCTTTAGTCCGTGCGTTGTCGCCTTCGGTTTGTGTCTGTGTTCGGCGTTGCCGCTGGGCGCGCCAGCCCCTCCAGCTTGCGGCTGAGGGGGGCCTCTGAGGCCCTGCCCGGGGCTTTGTACCGGGTCTGTCGCTGTCAAAAGTGGTGCGTAGGAGGGCGAGTCTGCCTTCTCCCCAGTGACGCGCCACAAAGTGTCACGTCACACAGTGGAGGTTCGACCCCTCCACCGTAACATAGCACTAGCGTCACGCTCCGGATTAGGAAGGTGCCCCTATCTGTAGATACAGGCGACGTGGCACCTCGTTCCCAACTTCCCTCAGTCGCTATCTCCCTAGCAGGAAGACTGAGGGTATGTTGCTCACTTACTGTACCTATATTATATACTAACCTTACTTTAGTCTTGCGCGTCCTGCGCTCTTTTAGGTATGAATATCAGTCGCTATCTCCCTAGCAGGAAGACTGAGGTCTTGCGCGTCCTGCGCTCTTTTAGCTCGTGAAAGGTTATGAGCCCCATGGCCTAAATCGAGCAAGACTTCGATCTGCGACTCACTCTATCCCACTCTGCGCCATGGCTCCCAAGGACAGCAAGGTCCCGACGCTCACCGACGCGGCGGACTGGCCGCTCTGGCGCCTCCGGGTCACCGACGCCCTCAACAGGGACGATCTCACCTCCGTGGTGACTGGGTCGGAGAAATCCCCTCCCCCTGAGATTGCGGTGTCTCCACCGACGCCGACAACGTCCTCTCCCCCGTCCACGTCGCCCGGCGCTCCGGCTACTACCACCACATCCACGGGATCGGGCTCCTCCTCCACCACTCACCAAGTTGCGCGGAGGGAGACCTGGTCTTGGCGGAATGCCCGCGCCCTCTCCACCATCCGAGAGCACCTCTCGAACGACATCGCCCTCGAGCTCCACAAGTACCAGCACGCGAGCGAACTCTGGGAGAAGCTCGTCGAGAAGTTCGAGCAGACCAACACCAGCGAGATGGCGGTCGCCGAACTGATCAAGATCTTCCGCGCAAAGCTCGCCGACGCCGACGACGGGGACATCTTGTGAGGGTCCTGGGCATCTTGAAGGGTAACTCCTTAGCGAGTCCGGTATTGTCGAGTGCATTTCTCTTTTCTTTCTTTCTGTTTCTACTTACGACGCTGAGCTACGCTTACTTTACGGCTGATACGGCTTCTACCTATGCTACGCCGGTGCACGTGTCGGGCGAGTGACCGCCTCGTGCACCGCCGCGGACTTACGTTTCGTCACATCACTATCTAGTCGCACAATTATGAGAATAAGACTTACCTTTCTACTTGCACCCGCTTCGTCCCGCGGCTACGCCACGAGGGCTCCGCCTACTACGAGACACCTGCTACGGAGAGCCGTTCAGGTGTGAGTGACCAAGGGCTACAGGATAGCCGTTCCCTCGCCCTCTATCTCGCCAGTAGGCGACCACTCTATCGCGCCCGCTGCGTCTTCGTGAGAAGTACCCACCAAGCCGCTAGGCTCTTACAGAGTGGACACTGTGGGATCTCGCGAAGACTCGAGACGAAGCTTCTCGGTACGTCTCGCTTACACCCCCATTGAACTAAATCCTTTGATAGCCTCTTCGGCGCGCGAGAGCGTATCCGAACACGAGTTAAGGCGTGCGAGTCAATCGCCTTCACCTACCCCCACTACCGCTAGCTCGCGGACTCTATCTTCCAGAAATAACTTTCCGCCTCGACCCCCCACGCCACACCCGCGTGCGCGCGCCATGAGCGCCTCGAAGGGCGCCAGCACCAGCGCCGCGGGGCCTTCTGATTCGCCCGCGCAGACGGGTACGCAGGCGACGGAGGCGGACACGCAAAACCGGGAGGACGCCGGACGTACGTCCCCAGGGAACTCAGAGACTGAGGAAGACACACGGATGGCCACCATCAGGAGTGTGCAAATGGCATTCCGTCTGGTCGACGACCCTTCGAATCCGGACGCCGATCTGAACTCTCCGCGCAAGCGAATCGACTCTCTCATCCACCAGAAGACGCTGGAGAAGGAGGACATAGTCGACCGAGGAGTGCAGAAGCTGCCCTCGGTGCGGCCAGAACCTTGGTTCGCGGTCAAGACGGACGTGCTGAACTTCGTGAAGCAGACCTTCGAGGAAGTCCAGGACCTTTTGGACGCGCTCGCGCCGGCGGCGAGACCCGACATGACCGACTTGGAAGCGGGCCGTTGGACGATAGACAGGAACGACGTCCTTATTCGTAACTTGACCCATGCGCGTACTCTGTCTGCCTTGCATCTAGCGTGGTCAGCTATCAGTACCCGAGCGGCAGTCGCTCTTCAGGAGTACCGCAAGATGCGAAGCCGAGCGGAAGCGCTAGCGCAGGGCCGCCATCCTCCTTTCATGTCCCCTATCACTACTCCATCCAGCGTCTACCGAGAGCTTGACGAGATCTCCAACCCCGAAGAGCAGCTGAAGTACGTGGTAGGAGCGGTGCCGGGGTATAAGGACAAGGACGAGTATAACCCGGACGCACCAAGCGCATATCGGAGGCGCTTCATGGGAAAGACGTTCGAAGAGATGACCGTCGTCCCTCGAGAGCTCAACAACGCCTTCCCGGAACGGCGCCCCGAATGGAATCCGCCGCTCAAGTACTACGTGGATGGCGAGCGGTTTGAGCACGACGGCAAATCGGAGACGGGGAATCCTCTCGCGGGCTACCTGGAATATGTGCCGCCCAGGAGGAGCGGCAAAGGGAAGCAGAGAGCCGAGTTCGTCGCTGACGCGAGGAGCGGGTCACTGTCGGAGAGAGAGAGAGAAGACTCGTCGAGCGAGAGAAGAAGAACACGCGAAGAAAGCGCTTCGCGAAGGGAAAGGTCGCCCCGCCGAGATGACTACAGGCGACGCGAACGCTCCCCCCGCCGAGAACGTTCACCGCTCCGTCGGCGGCAGTCGGGTATCGGCGCATTGGCGGGGGATCTGAGACCTACCGCTTATGTTCCGCCCCACAAGCAGCTAGGCTTCGAGTCGATCTCGACCGCGCGGTACGCGCGACGCGCAGAAGGCAGTTCCAGTCGCGAAAGGGACGCGCCGCCGCATCAGTCCAAGTCGAGGGGCAACGCGGATGACGCAGACTGGAGGAGGAAACCAGAGAAGGATCGACGGGACTCGAGGCGCAAACTCACGAGCGGTCCGCCAAGTCAGCGAAGCAGAGGCCGTCGGGAGGAACGTAAGCGATCAGGCAGAGGGGGACCACCTCTGATGGGATCGTACGCTCACGAAAGACGCGAAGTACAGTCTAGCTAGACGATCCACACAACCAAACACCAACAACCACGATAGCAATGAACACGCTAGACTGGAGGCGCTACGAGAGCGGGCGAGTCCGAGTATTTATATTACTAGGGGATAGATTGTGTTGTTTATGCCAGTTCCAGACGAGCTGGACTGAAGCGAGAAGTCGAGTGGGGCAATCGGACGTCTCGGCGTTCTTACGAGCGCTTTCGGGTTTGATTGAAGTTCCCAAGGCGGTTTAATGCACTCGGAAGTTCAGGCTTTTATGTTGTGTAAAGTGCGGGTTAACGCGGTTGTGTTTATTTGGTGTGGTGTGTAGGTACTAGGGCTTCTCTGCGCGGGGCGGGAAAAGTCCTCGAATCGTATGTAGGTCTCGGTATATAACTTGCACGCGTCGTCTCGGCCGTCCAGACCGCGCGGTAACACACAATGCCTATCTCTGAGTCAAAATCCAACTATAACGCCTATCCGCGCGTTCTCCTGTCCGAATAATCGCGCAATGACTGCGGTTCCTGGCGGTAGAGCGGTTGACTGGTCGGGTATCCTCCTGCGCCGCGATGCCGGGCGCGATTCCACACTTGTTGATGTTTACCAAGGCAAGGCCGGCCTGGTTTCCACCCGTTCCCTTGTGCGCGACGCGGCTCAGAGGCCGGCGCGGCGGGGAGCGTACAGTCTGGACTGTCGATACGCGGGGAGTGAAGCCCTTGCCGGGGCGGACAGCGCTTGGCAGCGCCGACGCTCGGTTCGGAGTTCAACTCGGCGATGTCCGAGATCACGAGCTCGGACCCGAAGTTCCGGTCTCGGACCCGAAGTCACGTGTAGTCACGTTGATGGTTCGAGTTCCACTTGCGCGGTGCTCTGCGTGTCTCCGCATGACGGCGAGCAGCAGGAAGGCTTGTCCGAGCCCCAACAATAATCTAGATTCTCTTGACACAGCAGGGCAAGAGGACTGAAGGCTTGAGGCGCGTATAGCGCGGCTACTTGATTAAGTAGGGCCCGCCAAAGGACTCGCAGGATGTCATCGACGACGCGCAGACTCGTGATCAGGCGCCGAAGAGCTCGCTGCTATCCTTGGTCAGTCATTGCAGACGGATAATGCTGCGGACTAGTTGTATTGAAGGTTAGGAAGCGTGGCGCTCCTGGTTTTCTATGTCATAAAATACCCCCGACGCGCCCGTTGTACAGTCGCGACGTCGGTGCAGTATATACGGATCCGCCCATACAATCTAGACCAAGTCGACTAGATATCGCTTGTTTGTGTATGTTTTTCCGCGTTTTTCAGCCGCAGGGCGTATCATCTCCCCCACACCAATAATCTGGACCGTCCTCGGTCAGTTAAGGTGGATGGGTGACTCGGTGTTGTTACTGGGTCGTCGGGTGACTCGCAGTCGACTGCTGCCGCAGTCTCTTGGTAGGTAGTTGTCGGAGGGCGGCAGGGCGCTAATTAAGCTTTTGGCTCACGCCGCATGTTCCGGGCATGCATGGTCGTTTAAAAGCCGGCCGTGCGCATCTCCCACGGTTTTCCAACTTGTCCTGAACCACGAAGGTACGTCGCTGGTACGCGCGTTCCGACGCGCCGGCCATACTGACGACGATCTAGAGATGACCGCCGGCAACGAAGGCCCACACTCGACGGTGCGCAAAGAGCACCAAGCTTTCGCCCGAAAGCTCCACCAGATCGAGAAGGATGCGAGCGCGCTGCTCAAGGGCGAGGAGCCCACGGTGGTGAACTTGGTACGGGGGATCCAGCGCGATAAGAAGCGCGCGACGATCCTCAAGAAGAAGCTGGTAAGCTCCGTTGTGCAAGTTGTTTCCGGCGCTTGCTAACGCTTGATTGTAGATATCCTTGTCCGACGCCATTGCGCAAGCGCGCAAACTGAGAGAGACGGGCCCCTGGGCGCCGACCGCGGCGATCCAAGGGGCGATGTTTTTCCTGTTCGACTGCCTCAAGGCATCGGACTCCGAGTCAAAGTGGTACGCGCTACAAGAGATCGCGCGCCCCCGGTAGGTCTCGGACATAGTTGAGTGAAGCCCACTGACATTTTCACAATCTAGGTATGTGATCAACATCGTGGGGCTCGATATCCCGACGCACGACGCGACACTGCGTGTCGCTGACCGCGATCGGGTGCCGCGAAGGGCGAACGAGGACTTGGTGAGTCCTCGGCGTTTTTTTTTATGTGTTCACAGCTCGACTAAACGCCCGCAGGACGTACTGCTCTTGCAACAGCCGCAGCTGCCCGCCGACTTCGTCGCGGTCGAGGCAAAGCGGTGCGGCCTCGGTGAGGTCAAGCTGAGTGGGTGCGCGCCCGCGACGCCAGCCCAAAGGAGCCATCCAGGGCAAAAGGCGCACAGGAACGACACGAACAAGGGCGCGACGAAGCGCAAGCGCGCTGCTAAGGTGCGTTCCACCTTGTTGCGATTGGATTTCAGGTTCTACAGGCTAACACTTCTACAGAGGAAGGTCGCCGCTGTTTCCGACGACGACGAGGTCGAAGTCGAGGAGCCGGAGCCCGCGCGCAAGCGCACGCGCTCACAGACGAGGGCCGCCGCCTCCACCTCGAAGGGCAAGGGTCGGGCGAAGGCGGGTCCGAGCTCGGCGCGCGGTCGGCGCGGCAGGAAGGCCGCTACGCCTTCGGACGTCGAGGAGGAGGAAGAGGCGGAAGAGCGCTCTCAACCCGAGTCCGAGGAGCGCGACGTCGTGCCGCCCGTCCGTTTCCGCGTGGACTGGGACCGTCGCCCGCGCGATGCGGACGGCGAGCTCTTGCCTTACGTCGAGACGGAGGACGAGGCTAGCGAGCGGCGTCAGGGCGAGTTCATCGCGAAGGGGCCGGCGCCCATCTACGGGCTGAACGGTGACCTGCTTGGTCTCACCTCGCCTCCTTCCGAGGACGACGCGCAGATGCTCGAGGAGCAGGCCGAGGAGCAGGAGCGCCTCGCCGACGAGGAGGAGCAGATGCTCCGCATCAAGGAGGAGATCCGCGCCCACAACGAGCAGCGCATGCTCGCGGGGTTGGGTGACGACGACGCGCCTGAGTGGCCGGTGGCGGGTAGCTCGGGGCTTCAGCCTGGCTGGACCCACCTCCCAGACGCCGAGGACGAAGAGGACGGCAACGCGGGGCACCCGGGCGCCGAGGAGGAGGAAGAAGAGCTTGAGGACAACGACGCCGAGCCCCCTGCTCTTCCCTCTCCCAAGCCCGCAGCGCCTTCGCGCTTCCCGACGCCGGAGTGGATGAGGGAGGGACCCTCGGGCGACCGTCCAGCGGAGTTGCTCTGAGCGCTCGGCCGAGGTAAGTCCCGTTTTGATTTCTTTTTGTCGTTTTTGTGTATCCTCGCTGACCCGCACCATCCCGACAGCTTCCTTCGAGGAGGAAACGTGGTAGGTAGTTCTGGATTAACGGGGACAATGCGCGCGACACGCGCTTAGATATGTGTTTTCTTGGGTCCCTGTACATTAGATTTTTCTTGTACTTCTTGTTGTACGGACTCCAGTTTCAATTGTACTTCTTGATTTCTTGGATGATTTAGGACGATGCCAAGTGACCTAAGAAGCGATAAATTACGCTGCGCGACCGCCTTAGTGGTCGGCCAGTTGAACGCTGCTCGGCGGCGTGCTCGCGTGGGTCGCACGTGACCGTCGGCCACTGCCGGTTGTGGTTCGACTTAACGAGTCGTGCTTGTTCGCGATAGCGGCGCGAAAATCTCCGTCGTGGAACGAGCTGGATCGGCAGCCTATCTCCCCCACACCAAAAATGTCGGCGACCTCGCCGGTGTGGAGTTCAGGAGCAGGTAGAAATTTATGAAATTGCGGCAGAGGGCGCGGATATCGCGTCCCTGACCGGCCGCGCGGTCATGATATAAGATCGGAGCGCGCTGGACGGATGAGTCCAACCCACTGCAACGATTCATTCCTTCATCTCCCCCAATGGCCAACAAATACCAGCGCGATCTCTTCGATCAGTTTCTTGCGCTTCTGCCTTCAGCTTCGGCGGCGCTCAAGACCGCGCTCCGCGAGGTCGCGCACTGCGACCTTCCCGCCGCCAGGAAGATCGTCAAGTATCTCAAGACACACGTGGAGGAGCTGCGCGCGCTCGACGCCAAGGTCGTCGAGCATTATGAGGGCAACAAGGAGAAGTTGGTTGCCGCGCTCGATGGGGTCATGGTGCGTGTTCGGATCGTCGCTGATCGCCTCCCATCTCACACTGAGCGTTGCAGGTCATCATGGACTTCAAGCAGGTCCATGACAAGCGGCCGATCATGGCCCACTGCCTGACCGTCTGCTACACGGCGACGGACAGTCTGGCACCCGGGGAGTCTGCGGACGACTTCTACCGCGGCCTGTCGGCCACGAAGCGATCTCTGCAGGAGATCGTCTCGAAGGTGCGTTGTCGGACGTTATTTGTCGTCTAAATAGACTGATTTATTGTTTTTCGCAGCTCAAGGCCGAGGAGACTGCCCCCAAGGACGCCGACGACGTCGTCATGCACGACGCCGACGCTCCCGCCGTGGCGGAGTCATCGAAGGGCAAGGGGAAGGCTCGTCGCAACCGCAAGGGCGCGGCGCCCGGTCCCTCTGCTCCCGACGTTTCTGAGCCGTCGGCCCCCATCGTGGACAGTCTTGCTGCCGCGGCAGACCCTGGATCTTTGAAGCGCTCCGGATCGCCTACGGAGGGCGACCGTCCTGCTAAGGTGCGTCCATCTTCTGCCGCTTATTTGTTGTCTGGGGCTAACCCAAGTTCCATCTCAGATGTACGTCTGGGACGCCTCGGCGTCCGGCTTCTCTCAGTACGGCACCCAAGGCCTTATGGTCGAGGGTATGTACGGAGCGAATCCGATCGCCACGGCGCTCGGCGAAGGTGCGAGTGCGATCTTCGATCGCGCGAACACCCTCGGACGCCAGTCGTACGGGGACGGTGAATTCGATCTAGGCGTGGTCGTCCATAGCCTGGCGCAGGTCACGGCGGTCCTGAACGCGTCCGCCTTGAACCTTGGTGCGTTGTGCGCTGCACACAC